TTCTCAGAAGCAGGGCGGCGGGGGAGGAGACTTTTTTTATGACGATGCGTTGGTTGGCGTGATATGAGCGGCTGAGCCGGCCGAGCGATGAAGTAACGAAGGATTAAGATTTTGAGATTTGTGGGTTTTATCGGGATTCTGGTGATTTGGTGAATGCTGTGCTGGTGTCCTCCCCTGAACAGGCTGCCTGGCTATGTAATTTCAATGAGACTTGTCACATGGTGATCTATCTAGCTACACATATCCGGGTAGAAAAATCGGCGTCTTAACATTTACAATACAGGTTCTAATTTACACCAAAATACATCCTCCATCTCCCCCCCCCCCCCCTCATCTCCCCCCCCCTCCCCCCCCCCTTCTTCTATGCTCTCCCCAATCTATGCTACAATACGCATCTTCAGCGCCCCCCTCGCAATCTCCCCCACCACCCCATTACCCGCCACCGACCACTTCTCCGCAACACTCCTCTCATCAACCGCCTCTCTCAACACCCCACTCGCAGCCCAATACTCCATCAATCCCCTCGCCTCCGCCTTCGTCAGCCCCTTCAACGACATAAGATCCACATTCTTCAAACTCTCCATCACCCGCGCATCCGTCACCACCCACGGCGAGGGAAGCGTAACTTGCTCCCCAGCAGCCTTCTCCTGGATCTGCTGGAACGCCAAGTTCATCGCCTCCGTCTTGGGGATGTTCCCCGAAGTCGTAGCAGCCACCACTGCACCGCCGTTAGGCAGGGTCTTAGCACCAGAAATGTGGTCCACGAAATGCTTAACCAGCACCAGGTCATGCGCATGCACCTGGCTGAAATCCGGCGCGCGATACGCCGAGAAAGTCATCATGTGGTTCAGTCCATCCGTAGCGAGCAGGATAGGCGGGAACCCGGCCGCCGTGATCTCCTTCCAGAGAGCTTGGAAAATAGGCCATGCTGCCTCTGGGTCGCGGGCGCCTAGCTCGGCGAGGCGCGTGAGGGTCGTGTTGGGCGGGATGGGGATGGGGAGGGTGTGTGTCTGCTTGACGGTGTGGGCGGAGAGGATGGCGTCGTTCGCTTTGCCGATTTGGGAGAGGAGGGTGGCGGTGTAGACGTTTTGGGAGAATTGGAGGGGGGTGGTGCCGGGGAGGGGGGTGTAGGCTGTTACGGCTGTGGCGACCTCTTTGGCTGGACGGGGGGAGGGCGGTTAGCGGGGGGTGGTTGGTGGGAAAAGGGGGGGGGATGGGGGGACGAACCATCGGGGATGCTGATGACGATCCAGCCTTTGGCGAAGGCGGTTGCCATGGCTTGGAGGAGGAGCATGCTCTTTCCCGTTGCGCGGGAGCCGGAGAGGATTATAGAGGCTGTTTTCTTTGCTGCTGCTGCGTCGAGGAGCTTCTTGGAGAGGGTGACGGTCTCGTCTCGGACAAGTATGCTGGGTGTTCGGAAGAGATCCCAGGACTGGTTCTTCTTGAACGCCTCCACGACTCTCAATTGATCGATGACTGGTCCGGGGATTGTCACCACCTTGCCCACCATCGCGGCATCCACCATTGTCTCCGGGCTCAGCTCCTGGAGTCCCTGAACCTCCAGCGCATTGGTGTTGCTCAGTACGATTCGCTTCCGCATCGCCTTTCTCTCTCCCGGAGCTGGCGGGCGTCCGGTCTTCACAGGGGCCTTCTTCCTAATCCTCAATGACTGCGCAGCGCCCTTCGCCTTCATGTTAGGCACCTTCGGCTTCTGCTTTGCGTTTGCCGCTGCGCCAACGGTTGTCGTGGTCGAGAAGGCGGCTGCTCGTTGGGCATTGGAGAGGGCATATGGAGATGCTGCGGTGGAAGGCCTGATCAGGCACTTCCAGCAATTCGTCGAGGCCATCGCCAATGCTGTGGATTGGCGAGCTCTGGGGGATTGTGATGGGGGCTTTTGCGAAAGTTGGATTGTATTCGAGGTGTTGCATTCGGGTGTGCTTGCTGCAGTACACTTTTGAAAAAGGGCGCTAAAATGCGGCCGCTAAAAAGTTGCGGCATCCTTGCTCGCGCGACAAGGAAACTCTCTGTTCGCTCGAACTTTTTGCGCCGCCGATAACGATACCACCCACCCATTTACGAATTTCTTTTTCAACCACAACGATACCTCGAAATGGCTGAAGTTCAGGAACGCACACGGTTACCGGTCGTCGTTGATAAGCCTACCCCGTATACTTTTGATCTCGGGTACCTCCTCGCAAACGACCCAAACCCGCTGGAGCTGAACAGTGAGAACATCGAGGATGATCTGAGTGCCACAGCGAGGGATGGTGCGCAGGCACTCATCAACCAGCTCTTGGGCACATGTCCCATTACTTCTGCGCCCGCTGGCGTCCTCCTCACCCTTCCTACCCCGAGTACGCACCTTCCGCGTGAAAAGGTAAGCCTCTTTCAATTCCCTGCCGCGCATAGTACATGCCGCTAACTCTCTGCAAAGCCTCTTCCACCGCCAAAGGCCGAGACGACCTGGGAGCGCTTCGCTCGCAAGAAGGGCATTAAGGCCAAGACTGCCGATGTGCGCCAGAAGATGCAGTATGATGAGGCGACTGGGGAGTGGGTGCCTAAGTGGGGTTACAAGGGAGCCAACAAGGCCGGCGAGAACGACTGGATCGTGGAAGTTGATATGAAGAAGGAGCGTGAGAGGAAGGAGGGCACGACTCAGCAGGGTGATGGAAGGAGAGATCGTAAGGAGAAGGTTAAGAGGAATGAGCGTCTCCAGAGAGCGAATGAGCGTAAGGGGAGAAAGGCTGGGGGGAAATAAGGGCCAGAAAAGTAGTTGTTGGGGCATTGTAAGGCGTTTGGGAATGTTGGCGTTGGCTGGGTGGGAAGAAAAGGTTCGGCTTTAGTTTGATTGATGGCTAGCAGTGGACACGGCCAACGTCGAATACAAAACATGTAACTTTGATAACTTCTCAAGGCATCTGAAGTGAATGGGGTCGACTATTGGTGAAGCATCTAGCAGCAACTTGCCGCAGATAAATTCAGGCTTGTTAGGCGCATCCAATCCAGAATATCATCACAAGGCGGCTATCTCTCCATAGTAGGAAAGCATTGAGGAAATTTAACTTTGAATTCGTAAACATCTACCCTGTGCTCTCCTAGCGTGAACACACTGTATACCATCCTATGAAACGCCAGCACTCCAATGCACAAGTCTACATATAGAACATGTAAGAACTTCCCCCCTTTTAAATTAAAACATGTCCTCCACATCTGCGTCCTTGTCCACGTTCTGAAGGAACGCCAGTCTAGTACCATTACCGGAAGTTTGCCAAATCTGTAGTATTCATTAGTATTATACGGGCAACTCAGTTGGGAAGAAGGGCTTACATCAAGCTGTGTGTACTCATCAATCGCCTGTTGGAACTGATCGATTGTGAATCCCTTGGCAATAACTCTCTCCTGCACCTTTCTAATGCTGAGTTCGCCGCTATCCGATCCATCATCAACATCACAGGTGCCTGCCTCGGCCAGGGCGAGAATGAGATTGTAGATTTTACTGCTCGGTGTGCCATCACGTCCGCGGTTTGTTTGCTCATCGTAGAGACTCTGCTTCGACGCATCGATAAGCCTCAAGGCCTCATCAACATCGGGCAGAATAACTTCATTGTCGAATCGCAATCGTGCCAGAGCCTGCGACAGACGAACGACGCCTAGAAGTGTACGGGCAGAGGTGTGTGTGAACTGCTTTGCAGTCTTCTCATCGCGAGCTTGCTGTGCGCGCATATCAACATAGGCGCGGACCATGTACTCAGAAACTTTGTTGGTAATGACAGGGCGGAATGAGCGTGCTTTCGCCACGTATTGGCGAACTTCATCCTGCGACAAGACGATACCATCTGTTTCTGGGTGCTTATTGTGCATGTGCACATACGTGACGTGCTTAGCCAGCATAGCATCGGTCTCCCGGGTTGGCTTGTCCAGAATCAGGAAAAGTACGTCGAAACGGGACAGTAGCGCAGCAGGCAGGTTGATGTTCTCAACCGGGCTAATACGAGGGTTGTAACGGCCGTATTGGGGATTGGCCGCGGCAAGGATAGATGTGCGAGCGTTGAGGGTTGTTGAGATGCCGGCCTTCGAGATGGAAATGGTCTGTTGCTCCATGACTTCGTGGATGGCAGTACGGTCGCTGTCGTCCATCTTATCGAACTCGTCGATACAGCAGACGCCATTATCAGCTAGGACAAGGGCGCCACCTTCGAGAACCATTTCATCGGTGACCGGGTCTCTCATGACAGCCGCAGTGAGACCAACACCACTCGAACCACGACCTGTGGTATAGACTCCACGAGGGGCAACCTTGGTGATATATTTGAGGAGTTGAGACTTAGCCACACCGGGATCGCCCATGAGGCAAATGTTGATATCGCCACGGATTCTCATTCCATCGCCCATCGCTTTCGTCACACCCCCAACCAGCAACAGCAGCAAAGCCTTCTTGACATCAAGATGGCCAAAAATTTCTGGCGCAATAGATTTGGCCAAGTACTCGTACATTTGCCCTGATGCACCGTATGCATCAAGTCGCTTGAAGATTTTTGGGTCACTTTCCATGTGCTCGTACGCCTTTTTGTGTTGAATAACATGCTGAGCTTCCAGATATGTGTCTGTTAGCAGACCAGCTCTCATCGCTTTAAAGCCCGTATATGGAGTCGGCAGGAAAATTCCGCCGCAGTCGATGAGGTCTCCTGGGCTGATCTGGCGCACAAGTGCTCCATGGCACAGAATGGTCAGTTGTCTTGGGATATGTCCAACTGGAACTTGATCTGGGACTTCTTGAATTTTAACTTCCTGGAAAGGGACAAATTTGGAAGCCCGCATGGAAGAGAATAGGTTCCCCTTGGCATTGTTGACTTTGCAGTCCTCTGACGGACATTCGGTCAAAGGTCCGTAAGACTTCGTGGTAACGGGTTGGAAGACTTCGCAGCCACAAATACCACAGGTATATGCGCTAACTAGGATGGAAGGCTTGACGTCAGACACCCGTGTTGCGATGCCGCGAACTGTGATGAGGTGGCCGAGATGCTCCCCTTTAACTTCGCGGACTGCGAGAGCTCTGGAGCGAGTGAGTTCATTGGCTGTCCTTGGCTTGAAGTTAAGGGTGTATCTTCGAGTCAACTCCGCGGGGTAAGGCGCTGGCAGGACGGATGGGTCGTCCATATTCTCCTCATTGTATCGATTCTCCGCGTTTCTTTGAGATCTCTGCGACATGATAATGTCGAGAACGTTGTCTTTGTAGTTGATCTCCTCTGTTGGCTCTGGCATCACCTTATCGACGGCCCTCGACATGATCTCGATGTAGTGGTGGGTGTTCCTTTCAATCGCTTTGACTAGATCCGAGAAGATATCATCATCTTCTAAAGACTTCTCGTATTGCGCCAGGTCGTCGAGATCTATCGTGATCTCATTCGCCTTCCTATTTGCAACCTTCTGCAACAAATCCATGTACTTGTTTGCGAATTTCTGCGGTTGCTGTTTATTCGCATGCCGGCGCTCAGCTGCCTCCTCATCACTATCAGCGAAGTCGTATTCGTCACTAGTATCACCGTCGTCGATGCGCATGTTCAATGCGGCATTCTCGAGTTCGTGTGTTGCCGATTTGAAAGACTCCAAAAAGCCTTCAAACTCGCCTTATATTTTGTTAGCGTATACGACACATATCCAAACTCATGTTGACATACTCTGTTGCTTTGTATAGTCGACATCCTTGCGGTAGGTTAGGAGCGCCATTGCGCTGAGAGCTGTGTTGTTCCGTAGTTGCTCTGTAGGCGCTCTGCTTGGCTATGATGGTGTTGCGGAGCAGTATGTAATCAGAAGGTAGGTGCGGAGTGTATTGGTGATGGTATAATTATGTGGAAGGTGTTGAGTTGGCACAATCGAAGTTATTTAGAGGGGCTGGTCGCAAGGAGTCGAGGTTGGATTTGGCGAAGCTTTGATCTTCAAGCGCGACGCGTAAAGTGAACCCCCATGTCGCGTCGTTGAAAACTACTTAACGCGACGTCCCAAAGAAGAATGGTCAATCTCGGGGTACGCTAGCGCCTAAATTGGTCGGCCTCGGTTGTTCGAGATGGATTGTCGGCACGGGCTGGAGTCCTCCAACTGCGACATCGTGGGATTTACAAGACAGACTCCTCCTTCTGACAAACGGACATATTTGTTTCGCGCAAGACAGATCTTTGGTCGCATTGCGTGCCTCTATATGATTTCAGCTTCACATTTGTAATATATTTATTTCCATGGCGCCAAAAAGAGGCAGTGGCCAGGCGGTGCCTGCCGAGCTGTCATTAGTTCACCTCAAGAACTGTTTGGTCAATCTGCCGTCCTCTTTAGAGTCTCTACTTGTTAATACCAATACTGTGAGATTACTCCCCTCCTCTGTCAATGCGCCATGCTAACAGCCAAGGTCGCGCAAAATGTCATTGTCGAACTTAGCTACAAGGAAATGCCCCCGCCATCCGCCACCGGCGACAAGGCGGAACCGACACAGAAATCGATATATGTTGGATGGACAGGTATGCCGAGCAGGCGGAAGCTTGCACCAATAGTCAGCAAAGACGGCATAAGCGGGACACGAGGCAATGCCTCTGGTCGGGAGCAAGAAATCCCACTTGTTGAGATAGACGCAACATTCGGCCAAACTCTCGGCTTGTCAGATGGGCAGAAAGTCACAGCAAGCCTTCATCTCGACCCTCCGCTCTCCCACACGGTAAACATAGAGCCTCTCACCTCAGCCGATTGGGAGATTATAGAACTCCATGCTACATTCCTCGAACTAAACTTTCTGTCTCAAATAAGAGCACTACCCAATCCGACCTATGTCTCGGCCAATGGCCAGCCAACTAAACCACAGGCTCTTACGGTACATCTCTCTCCAACTTCGACCGCAAATATCATAGTTACAGGACTCACCCCTGCGCTACCATCAACTTCGCCCTTTGCGAAAATTGCGCCAGATGCCGAGGTCTTCGTGGCTCCTAAGGCCAGAACTTCAACTCGCGCGACCAGCAGGGAGAACCGCAGTAGTGCCGGGGCATCCAGAAGAAGCGCAGGCGGCAGGAGTGGTGCAAGCACAGCTCGACAAAAGGCCGAGAGGGAGGCGGAAGCGCGACCTTCGATACTATTCCGTGGCCTCGACAGAAGCCGATGCGATGATTGGTTCCAGGAGAACGAGAAGCAAAACCCACAGAGCTTGACTGTCTGGGTGGACAGAGAAGTCATACAAAGCAAGAACTTGCGCGGGGTCTCCTATGTCTGCGTTACAGTGATTAAACCCGCTGGTCTCGACGCACCAGTAGATCCTCAGAAGCAGCAACAAGATGCCGAGGCAGCTGGTGAAGCAGGGAAACCCACACATAAAGTCGTTGCTAAACTAGCCGAATGGGACGATCCTCCGGATAGTCGCCATATTGCGTTATCATCTACACTGTGCGCATCACTTGGTTGTGCTGGGTTTGTGGGAGGTCTGGTCAAGATTGAACCAGCGCCCCAGCAGATGCCGCTTCCACAGCATATCCGCAGAGAATCGGGGTCCGAACAAAACAGCTCCACCCAAAAGCTGATGATTTACCCATTTATTTCACCCAACACCAAACGATCTGACGGTATCAGATTCGGAGGGGAGTCTAAAGCTGAGCGAGAAGAGGCTGCAAAACGCATCCTCAACGCTTATGGCAGACTGGTTCCTGGGGGAGGTCTGCTTGATGGGCCGCTCACAGATGGGTTAGTCTTGCCCCCACATACGGACCTTACGAGGTCCTCCTCGTGGGAGGGCGGATTAATACGTTTTGACCCATCGGTACAACCGGGAGAGGCAGGAACCCAGCCATGGGGGTGGATTATCGGGTCTGAGCGCAAGTTTTCGATCGACATCCAAAATCCGATACCACAACCAGCATCTCTTTCTGGGAGCGATGCCATTGGAGAGCCTTTATCGGCGGAAGCTCCCCAGTTGGTCGGTATCGATGCTCTACAGTCCCAACTACAATCTCACCTCACGCATTTATCGGGAGTACTCCTTACCGGAGGCCTCGGTGCTGGGAAAAGCTCTGTTGCGCAGCTGCTGGCACACAAGCTACAAGCCGAAAATTTGTTCCATACAACTTATTTCCCCTGCCGGAAATTGGTTACGGATGAAACCCGCGTAGCTACGATTAAGGAGACCCTTACCCGTGTCTTTATGGATGCGGGCTGGGGTGCGCGCCTTGGAGGCCAGTCTTTAGTCATTCTGGATGACTTGGACAGACTGTGCCCTGCAGAAACAGAGCTAGAAGTTGGCAGCGAGAATGGTCGCAGCAAACAGATTAGCGAGATTATCTGCTCAATTGTGAAGCAATACTGTGGCCAAAACACTGGAGTTGTTTTGCTAGCAACTGCCCAAGCAAAGGAGTCTCTCAATAACGTTATTGTTGGCGGGCATGTGGTGAGAGAAATTCTTAGCTTGAAGGCACCAGACAAGGAAGGGAGGCGGAGAGTGATGGAGATGGTTGTCAACCAAAATATTGTGGATAGTACAAAGGACTGCGATGACGATGAAAACACTGGTAGTCGGCCGCCTACTGCTGATGGCGAGACAGACGAAGAAGATGCCGGCGGTTGGATGAATGTTGCCTCGTCGTCTAAAAAGTCTGGGTTGGCTTCTGAAGATACTGAAGGGTTTGTCCTTGGTCGCGAAGTCGACTTTTTAGACCTTGCAGGCCAGACAGACGGATACATGCCTGGTGATCTTGTCTTACTGGTATCGCGGGCACGGAACGATGCACTTATCCGATCCGTTTCGGAAACGTCCTCCAAGATTCAATTGGGCAAGGTGGATTTCCAGAGCGCGCTGAAGGGATTTACTCCGGCTTCCCTTCGTAACGTGACTCTCCAGACCTCTACAACCACCTTCGACTCCATCGGTGGTCTCCACGAGACACGCAAGGTTTTACTCGAAACCCTGCAGTACCCGACCACTTACGCCCCGATTTTTGCGCAGTGCCCTCTTCGCCTCCGTTCGGGTCTTCTCCTTTACGGATATCCTGGATGTGGCAAGACGATGCTCGCAAGTGCAGTGGCAGGTGAATGCGGCCTCAACTTCATCAGTGTCAAGGGCCCTGAGATTCTTAACAAGTACATCGGTGCTTCCGAAAAGTCCGTCCGCGACCTGTTTGATCGCGCCGAAGCAGCAAGACCCTGTGTTCTTTTCTTCGACGAGTTTGACTCCATTGCACCAAAACGTGGCCACGATTCCACGGGTGTTACGGACCGCGTGGTCAATCAGCTGTTAACGCAGATGGACGGTGCAGAGGGCTTGTCTGGGGTGTACGTTCTTGCGGCCACTTCCAGGCCTGATCTGATTGATCCGGCCTTGTTACGTCCAGGTCGTTTGGACAAGTCGCTGATTTGCGATTTGCCGACATACGACGATCGTATTGATATTCTCCGCGCCCTTGGAAAGAAATTGAAGCTCTCCAACGAGGTCATCGACGGACCTGAAGGTGGACTCCGTGAGATCGCACATCGGACGGAAGGCTACTCGGGCGCTGATCTACAGGCCCTGGTGTCGAACGCGCAACTGGAGGCTATCCACGACGTCCTAGGTGACCAAGATCACACCACTCCAAGCAAAGCAAACAATAAGCGTGGTGCGAAAACGGGCGTGTCGCCCACATCTGCGAAATCCTTTATCCAATTCCGCTACGGTGAAGCAGAGAACGAGGCGGAGGTCGAGGCTCGTGCGACTGCAGGCTCGAACCGCTCCAAGGCGCTCGCGGAACAAGCATCTATTACTGCTAAACTTGATGCGCTTAAACTGGCCAAGAAGAAGCAGAAGTTGGCGCAGCGAGGAGATTTCGGGAAGGACAAGGCTGATGGCGAGCCAGAGGAGAAGGAGCATAAGGAGGTGATGATCGGGTGGAAGCACATTGTGAAGGCGTTGGAGGGCACGAGAGCGAGTATCAGCAAGGACGAGAGAGGGAGGTTGGAGAAGATCTATAGGGAGTTTGTTGTGGGGAGGAATGGGGAGATGCCTAATGGGCAGGGCCCGACTGAGGTTGGCGGAAGGAGTAGTTTGATGTAGGGGCTTGTAAATCTATACTACATACAGGATATGACATTTACGATTTCTAATTCAATTATGCGGATCTTTCATATTTATTTTCTCCTTCCTGATATTCCTGTGGCTTATTGTGAGAGTTTCTTCCGCCTGACGTCGTTGGTAAGGCGAGGCTACTAGGGAATATCCGTGGGCCGAGGCACAGTTGCCACATGGAGAAATGTGGGGTAGTTTCGTGGGGAAACTATCACGAGGGTCCATCCAGCTTCTTGGGTCATATAATACCAGCATTTACACTTGCCCTGCTTATATCAAATCAGTTATATATATATCAAGTTATCAAAATATCCTTATAATGTCCAGAAAGCCAGCACCAACGCCCTCCAGCTCCACTGCAGGGTTCTTCCAAGAACGTCCAATCGTTCCAAACCAACTGCAGGATGACCGGGCGCTGCAGCGTGTGCTAGCATGTATGTTTCACACAGACTGCCTGTCAGCACTAGAATAACGCAATTAATGATAACATCTACAGTGTATCTCCCATCCGAAGTCCAGCAAGAAATATATCCCGACCTTAACCGCTTCGGGGATGTGGTTCTGTCCAGGAAAGTCCTCGATTGGGTCGCGGATTCAGAGAAGAACCTCCCATATCTGAAGACATGGGACACGTTTGGAAAGAGGCGTGATGAGCTTATCACAAGTGAGGGATGGAGGAATCTTCAGGACCTGGGCATTGAGGAGGGGATAGTGGCTATCCCCTTCGAGAACAAGCACAAGGAATTCAGCCGAGTGCACCAATTTATCAAGTAAGTGACAGACAACTTCTCTTCTCTCTTGAGGGCCCAGCACTGACGCTCAGCAGATACCATCTTTGGACCGCCTCCAATTCCTCCGTAACATGCCCGTCGGCCATGACCGACGGCGCCGCAAGATTCCTATCGCGGCAAATGGAATCCCCAACCCTCTCCCCTGAACTCCGCCCCATCCTCCAATCCGCCTACTCACGCCTTACTTCGCGCTCCCCCTCCAAAGCCTGGACATCCGGGCAATGGATGACCGAGCGTCCTGGTGGCTCTGACGTCTCTTTCACCGAGACGCTCGCCACGCCCGCAGCGTCTCCCATCTCCGCCAAGTCCATCGACGGCAGCCCGCTAGGATCCTGGTCCATCAACGGCTTCAAATGGTTCAGCAGCGCCACTGACGCCCAGATGACGATCCTTCTTGCGCGCACCCCGGAGGGGAAGCTAAGCACCTTCTTTGCGCCGATGCGGCGCACCACCGACGGAGTTGAGACCGAGCTCAACGGCGTGACGATCCAGCGACTGAAGAACAAGCTGGGCACGAAGTCGCTGCCGACGGCGGAGTTGGTGGTCAAGGATATGCGCGCGCATCTAATGGGTGAGGCAGGTAATGGTATCCGTGAGATCTCAACGATCTTGAATATCACTCGCGTGCATAATTCGGTGACGGCGGTCGGGGCGTGGGGACGCGGGCTGGCAATTAAGCGGGCATTTGCGAGGGTGAGAAAGGTCGCTGGGGGAAGGAGACTGATTGATATGCCCAGTCATATTGCGGTGATGGCGAGGGATGAGGTCGAGTATCGGGGATGGATGCATCTTTCGTTCTTCACAGTTTTGTTGCTTGGAATCTCGGAACAGGGATCGGCAAGCTCTGGGAAGGGAGTTGACGCGGCGCTGGTTCCGGATGCGAAGGATGTGACGAAGTTGCTGAGAGTGTTGACGCCTGTGCTGAAGGCGGGGAGTGCTAAGGCTTGCATTACTGGATTGCAGGAGTGCGTTGAGGGGTTGGGCGGGGTGGGATACTTGGAGAATGAGGAGATGGATTTGAATGTGGCAAAAATTTACCGGGACTCTAATGTGCTGAGTATCTGGGAGGGTACGACGGAGACTCTGAGCTGGGATTTGGTGAAGATTGTGAAGGGACGCAGTGGCAACGAGGTGCTTGAGGCCCTGGCTAGGTGGATCGGTGGCGCCAAGGTCGGGTTTGATGGTCAAAGTAGGTGGGAGCAATGGGCTGCGAATGTGAGGGAGAAGAGCGAGGAAGAGTTGATTATTGATGGAAGGGAGGTGCTGCTTGAACTTGCGAGAGTTGTAGGGGCAGTGTTGTTGGAAATCGATGCGAGGAGGGACGGAGATGAGGTTGCCAAGGAGGTAGCAAAGCGTTGGTTAGCCGGTCCCACCGACTGGAAAGCTCAGGGGTCGGGAAGTCTGAAGGAGAGGGTTAGGATGAACAGTAAGATCAGCTTTGGGGAAGCCCCAAGTGATGCGGCTTCGAAATTGTAAGACGAGCGTTACAGCCAGGGGTAGTTGGCGCTTAATTTTGATAAGCTCGCAGTAAGCTTCTATGTAAATAAGAGCAACATATTGTAAATTCCAAATCAGTGTTGTCAAAGTACGAGTCTCCCATCATCTGTCATCTATACGAGATAAATATGGGGTATTAAGAGGGCGAGGTCCTTTAATTATCTGGTCATCTTTACGAGATTGGGATGGCTTATAAAGACGGAAAGGTCCCCAACTAAAAGTAAGTAATAGATTCACTACTTACGAATTATGAAAATGAAACTCTCCGGCCATCTTGTCAGCGCGTCTATAGTGAGCCTTGCGGCGGCCGCAATCGGTAACCTTCGTAGGTGCCACTGACTTACCCGTTCTCACATTCCAACGCTAATTTATGGATACGCAGCAACTGCCTGCAAGAGTAGCAACCTATCCTTCGACAGCTCAAATGCAGATACTCTCGCCGGTTGTGCAGGACTTGCTTACAGTTGCGATGGCGAAGTCGTACAAGTCAATAGCACGAATGAAGCTATTACGGCCAATTGCACACCCCACCCGTACAAGATCTTCATCGATGGGACCATCAAAGGGCCGTTGGCAATTCCTGGGATGGCCGAAGCGTCTAGTATCACCGTCAATGGCAGCATCGTACTCAATTCACCAGCCTACCTCGGTGCCGTATACTCCAGCAATATTACCAGCCTCGACCTACCAGGCCTCGAGAATGTCGCATCGAGCTTCATAATCTCCCATGTATCTTCACTCACAAGTTTGAACGTCCCAAAGCTCAAGAACGTCACCGAGAGCCTGGTATTTGATCTATCAGATGGACCAGCCATCAAGCTTTCCTTCCCGAGCTTGTCCTATGCCCGTAACATAAGTCTGACTGGCAATATTGATGCGTGAGTCCCATCTGAACCATCTTCCTCCGATCATCAAGGCTAATACATCCTCTTAGTATTGAGTTCCCGGCTTTGAATGAGGCGTTGAGTCTTGACATCTACACAACGGGAAAGCTCGATTGTGCAGCATTTATGAAGAAGGTCGACGCCGTGGTCCATACTGGAGGCCAAGGTAGAACTTGTACGTCGCGGATCAGTAAAGGCACCACCACCTCCAGCTCCCCTGCGCCTACGGACACGGGGGACAGCGTTAGAATCGGGGTTCGCGGTGGGTTGTTGGCGTTGGCAGTCCTCTTGGCGTCTGTGTTGGCGTTATAATGATTAAGAAGACGACAAGACTTTCATTTTAGAGAAATGGATCAATATCAACTCGCTTCCTTGCCAGGCCACTTATTATGCACTAGCCGGAAAATACTCTAACCCCGTCATCCGGAGACAAGTCTAGAGAAGGTAGAGATTCTTGGGTGGCTGGGTGGCTGAGTGATAAGATCTGAGGATGGGATATTGCAGGACAGTGATCTAGAGGTTGAGAACGGCGTACAGGCACTGTTGTTAGATAAGTGATATATAGAAACTGAAAACGAATCGGGGTTCTTGATCACTTTGAAGGTCTACTAGAAAGAAGCATGCGAATTCTGCAAAATGAAGCTCAAGATATTCACAAACTTGCGCAGATTAGCGCTACTAGAGCTTGAAGTGCGCGGATTCAGAAATTGAAGCTCAATATATTCACAAATTGTGTAGTGATGTATCTGGAAACTCGATGCGATCATTCTTGCGCAGATTGGCGCTACTGGAGCTTGAAGCGCGCGGGTCCTTAAAAATGAAGCTCAGGATATCCACAAATTGGGTGGTGATAGATATACAAGCTCGATGCGATTCATCTTGCGCAGATTGGCGCTAATAAAGCTACTAGTGCGCGGATTTAGAAGATGAAGCTTACAAAGATATTCACAGAAGTGCGCAGGTTCTCAAAAGTCTTTGTATATAACTGTTGCTGTGGAAAATGTGATTATGTCACCATTGCTAGATTACTTGAGTAATTAGATGATGTGGGCATGGCCCGTATTTCGAACGATTTTGGGGATAACTATTGCACAATAATCATCCCACAATTATAGTCCCTACCAAGCCTTTCTCAGTGTCCGTGCACGCCGGTTATAAGTGGATCGTAGTGCGCTTATGTCAGAGCTCGCAACTTATACCAATAACTATCTCTCATTGCATTAGAGCCATCGTATGTCCAGCCAATGGAGCATATGTCCATATGCAATGTCAATTCCATTCGCACCATCATCGGCTTGACATAAGTTCCGACCAAATATCGTGCAGTTCATAACGCTATGTTGCGCCCATCTCTAGAAGCGCTGTTCGCTGGACATTCCGACTAATACGGGGTTGAGTGGAACCACCTTGGAGTCAAAAGACGCCGGTCAAGACGGCGACCGGATCTTATATATAGGCCGGTCAAGGTGATATTTGAGCGGTTACTCGCCCAAATAGCTTATGCTCGGCAATGTTAAAATCCGTCGATTGAAAAGGGATGAGGATTCAGCTTACATCAGACTTACCCCTCGTAATTGAGCGCTAGTCTGTGATTATCACTCTTACAAGCTATAAGTAGTCATTTCCGTCGTTACTTTATTTTCGAGGGGGGAGTTGTATCTCTGTGTTGCTAGGAAATTACTTTGAAAATATAGACTTGTTAGAATATCACCTTTCCCTACTTTGATGGAGTTTTGAAACTGACATTTGGATAGAAAATCCGCCTCAATGTCGGGAACATCAAACACAACCGAGGGGCTATATGCCGCCGCAAAAAATGTGGTCGCAGACCTAGCTTCAAAGCTTAGCTCGAATTCTAAAATTGTGACGGAGCAAGATGCAGAGTTTAAGGTGTTGCATGAGCGATGGACCAACATTGGAAAGAAGACCCCAGCAGCCATCGTCGCAGTCGCTACCGAAGCTGATGTCCAAGAGACTGTTCGTCCTTTCATCCTAACAAATCCACAATTGGGGGATTCTAATACAGTCGCAGGTTAAGCTCTGTGTTGCTCACGGCGTGGAATTTGTCCCTAAATCCGGTGGCCACAGCCTTTGGTCGACAATTGGCGCAGAGGGCATCATTATCGACCTCACTGCTTTCAACGCTGTTGTTGTTGATAAGGAGGCACGTACAGTGACTGTAAGCGGTGGTTCACAGATTAAAGATGCTGTTGCTCCGCTCTATAAGGCAGGCTTATGTGCTCCATTTGGCACGGCGAACACGGTCGGCAGCGTTGCTCAAGGTTCGTACCCTTACAAGTCCCCCGCCCAATTCCGTAGTACAAAGCTAACTCCCCACCCCACCCAGCCGTCAACGGCGGCCTCACGATCTTCTCCGGCATCCTAGGCCAAACCTCCGACGCCATCCTCTCAGCGCGTCTCGTCACCGCCGCCGGCGACCTCATCACCGTCTCCGCCACCTCTCACCCCGAGCTCCTCTATGCCATCAAGGGAGCCGGCACCTACTTCGGTCTCATAACCTCTCTCACCTTCCGCGCCTCCCCCCTCTCCGTACTCAACTCCCCCGACGGCACCATCTGGAAAACCGCCGCCCCCTTCCCCGCCGCCCGCATCGGCGAACTGATCAGCGCGCTTGCGCCTCTCGCCGCCTCCCCCGAACCCCGTGCCGCGGGCGCCATGGTCATTACCAAATCACCACATGGCGATGGTTCGACCATTGTTCTTGCCTCTCTCATCTTCTTCGGCAGCAGCGAGGACGCTAATGCGCATTTCGCGCCTGTCAAGGCGCTGGGTCCATTCGTGTGGGGGGAGAAACGCGTCTCTTATGCGAACATTAACGATGACTTTGATCCATTCTGCGTGACGGGAGGGTTTAAGAGACATATTGTTGCGGGAGTTCCAAGGGTTCCGGGGGAACCGGCAGTGTGGGAGGCGGAGGTGAAGGCGTATGAGTCGTTTATTGAGAAGGAGGGCGCCCAGGCGGCGAGGTCGATGGCGTGCTTGATGTACGTTGGAAAGGGAGAGGCGGGGAGGTGGGAAGAGAGTGCGTATGGGCATAGGAACGTGGCAGCGTGGATTGAGGCGGTGTGTTGGTATACGGAGGAGAAGTCGTATGAGGCGGCGTGGGAGTGGCAGGTTGAGGCGTTGAGGATTGTGACGGAGAGGTATGAGGTAGGAGAGACGGAGACTTTCCAGAATTCGCAGAGGGAGACGCCGATTGAGAGTCGGTTCCCTGGGGAGGGGAGACTGGAGAAGTTGAAGACTTTGAAGAGGGAGTGGGATCCGAAGGGGGTGTTCACCGATGTTCTTCTGTGAGCAGGGTTGGAATATTGAGCAATTCCTAGGCTGGCCTTTATTCGGTGTTCATGAACAACAATGCCCTCCTTACGATTAAATCAAAACGATCTCTACTCATGCGCAAAAATAAATATTTCGGGATTATTAGGAGCCATCTAACTATACAATAACCTGTTTCAGTAAATTTAATTGTTTGTGTTGGTCAAAAGAATGGTATTTATTATTCCCAACTATATATCACATAAAATAAACATAAAATAAACATAAAATAAATATAAAACCACTAAAATCTACCAACAGGCAACCACTATACATCCTCGAATTAAATCCTCACGCACCTTCTTCTCTAACACCGCCCCCTACCATGTTTCCTATAAAACGCAAGCTGAGCTAGACGACGTTGGTGTTGTATGCACATAGTTACATTTTTAGCGCCGGCCGCAGGCTACAGATCGGTTGGGCGGCTAGAGGAGGCGCAGGGGTGGGGGCGGTGTTGGTGGGATGGTTTGTGTTGGAAATGTTACGTCGATGGAGGGAGGTGAGTTGGTTGGGGGGTGAATTGAAGAAAGGAGCGGAAGTTGGAGGTTGATGGGATATGGTAGGCACGATCGCTGTATCGTTCCTGCCGTATCATACAGTTGCTATGTGGAATGGCAGGCACGATGCACTCGCAACAACTGTAGAGGAAGGCACGCAAAGTAGGTCGCGCCTTCCAATATGCATCAAAAAAAACGCGTTTGCAGTTAAAAAATGATGATTTTGGAGTATGTTCTCTGATTTCTTAATTTCCTATACTAAAGTAATGATTGTATATCACAAATCTTCATGCTATATCCCATTCCCATGCCATCCATCCCATCCATCCCATCCAGTTCCAATCCAATTCCAATTCCAATTCCATGCTCCATCCAGGCTGTGAAGCCGTTCCAAGAAAAAGTAGGGTAATAATAATCGTCGACCACAAACAATAAGGACCGCTAAATATGCGAGCAGATAACATAACCACCCAAACAGCCCAAACAAAAACACACCACTTCAGTCTGTCGCAACCTAGATCATGTTGCCATTGACATTGATCTCGAAGCCCTCGCCCTTCTGCTTCAGCGCCTTCGCCAGCATGAGCTCTCTCATCCAATCAATCCTCTCATCCCTCGACTTCACCGCAAAATGATGCGTCTTAACCTTATCCTTCTCTACACTACTACTCCCAAAAATCCCACTCTCCCTATTCTTCCTCAACTTCTCTGCCTTCTCCACCACAGCGGGGATAAGCTGGAACGCAAACGCGCCCTCTTCCTCCTTCTTCCCTAACTTAATATTCATCGCCTTAAACGCGGTGTTGATCTTCGACGACGCAAGCGAGCTGCATGCGACAGCGTAGTCATCCACATCAATCGACTCGAGAACCTCGCGCGCGCGCTCATCCTTGTGCATCGCCAATCGCGTCCCGCGCAGCGTGAAATGGTGCTCGTGCCACTCATGCCTCAACATGCGGGTCTTGCGCTTGCGCATCCACCCCTGGTGTCCCAAGTCATCCGTAGAACGCTCAGCGGGCGCGCGAACAGGAGAATACGCGTTTGAAGCCACGACCTGCCTTGGAGGTGAGATCGGTCCAAGGACACTGGAGCGCTGAGGGCGGGGTGGGGCAACGACTGGGTCCTCGTCGAGGCGCGGGAGGCCTGCTTGGTAGGAGGGGCGGCGGGAGGAGCGGGATGCGGAGCGGGAGAGGGGTGGGCCGGCGGCGGGGACGTTGTTGCGGTAGGACATGTTTGGAGGGACGGACTGGGAGGCGTCGCGCGAGATGGGGCCGTGGTTGATGGCTGTGACGGGGACGTCCATGTCTGAGGCTGGGGTGCCGAAGCGGTAGGGTTGGCGCTCTCGCGCGCTGCGGAGGTCGGGGGAGAGGGCCTCAGCGCGGTCCATGGGGCCTGGGGAGAAGGCCATTGCGGATGCGGAGCGCGGTGGGCGGGGAGGGGGGATGGCGAGTTTGGGGAGGTTGCGGAGATTGGAGAGGGGGTGGGTGGGTTGAGCGGTGTGTTGGAGGGCGACGGGGAGGGAGGGGAACATCTCGTATGGTGGGGTGGGAGGCTCCTCGGAGGACCAGTTCTGGTCGATGTGTTGGAAGTTGAGGAATTGCTTGACGTTGTCCTGGGGGTCGCGCGAGGCGAGGGCGGCGAGCTGCTCGGGGTCGAGGTGGGAGAAGGTGGGGATTTCGCCGGGGCCGAGGAGGTCGGAGGAGGCGACGACAGAGGGCTGGGCTTCGGAGAAGGGGCGCACGGCTTCCGCTGTGAAGGGGTTGCCTGGGTCGCCGGCGATGAGGATCATGCCGCCGTCTGGGCTGACGGGGTGGCCCATCTTGAATTGTTGGATGAGTCGCTGTTGCTTCTTCCAGCGCGAGCAGTTCTCGCCCTTGGAGCACTTGTGCGCCTTGGGCATGAGCTGCTCGATGCCGACGATGGAGACGGACTCGAGTGGGGAAATGATGTCCTCGAAACTGGCCTTCTTGTGTTTCCTGCGCGGCTTGGACTTCTTGTGCGTGCGCTCATCCTCGTCGCTCGATCCGCAGTCGATCTCAGTTGGCGACGTTGGTGCGCCCACTGCATCGCCGCGGAGGGTGTGGATCTCGGCCCACAGCTTGTGGCGCTGGCCAAAAGACTGGATGTCGAGTTCCCGGAGGTCTTCAAACTTGAGGGTGGTTAGGATCTCGCCCGAGATATCGTTCTCCTCGAACTTCTCCACAATAGCTGGCTCGAACCCCGCATGGTACATCCACCTCGCCACCTGGCGGGGCGTCCACATGGCTACCTCCATCTTATTCAGTTTTGTCACGGCTGCCGTCAGCGTGCTGATTGGCCTATGCTTCAGCTCCGGCTGTGGGTATGGCATCGATGGGACTCTGAATGCCGTCTCAGGCCGCGACGATGGTGCGTATCGCGGGGTCACTGGCGACATTGTGAGATAGTACTCCTCCTCCGGCGCCACCTCCTGGGAGATCCTGAACAGATGCGGTCCCTTTGGTCCCTCTACTGACTTGCGCGGCGCCTGCGTCTGCTGGAGTTGGAAGTCAAAGCCATGGAAGCTATTTGACTTTGGCGTTGGCAGGTCCTCAAATGAGGACAGTGTGGTCTGACTCCTCCGTCCAGCCTGTGAGCGCATGTTAGTAATCTATATTGAACAAGAAATGCGCCGCGACGGGCGGGCACACATACGGAGTTAATGCTGATCCTGGGCGAGTATTCGCCTTCCTCGATCTCGCTGCCATCGTCCTCGAAGTCTGTGTCAAACATCTCCGTCGACGACGACATTGGACGAGGCGCCAGCGCCTTCATGTCGAAGAAGGAACCATGCTGGCCCTTTTGGAACATCTCGCCGCGGGTGTCGAGCGGGGGGAGGGCGGCGGTGCGTTGCTGTGAGAGTTGGGATGCGCGCCGGCTACTACTGGCCTGCTGGCGAGTCGCCATGGCTCCGGGGCGTCTTCGCGACAAAAGTGGTAATGCGCGAGGGTGATAGTGCGACGATGTCTTGTTTCTCGTTTCAAACGTCTCTGACTCTGGGGATATATAATCGTTGTTTTGCCCGTTGCCGGAATTTCGTTATGGTGTGTATATAAAAAAGATACTCTTTCCGATTTTTCTAATTTGCCGAGCGAGATGATACTGCAAAAAGGGAGGATCTGATTGACAACTGATGAAACGCTACTGGGTATAGGGAAAAGTGAGAGAGATTTTTGGTTCAAGGAAGTATCAAGAGGAGAGGGGCATGAAATGCCTGGCGGCTACGGTCTGTATAAGTAAGGAAACGGCCGAGGGCATCGCGGGGAGGGCAAGAGGTGGCTGTTTCGCGGTTGGACACTATGTGTGAAAAGAGGCATGGTTTCATGGCGCCAATCGGGCGGCCACGATGGCAGTGCTGGGGGGGAAGGTGCTGTGCCCACTGTGATGGCGATGTGATATTTGCTGTGATAGCTGCACGAGATAGGACATGGGAGTATGGTGCGATTCACAATTGGAGGGACAAATGCTATTCTGGGATGGGAGGAGTCGACTCTCCGATGGTCGCACTGGGGTCCCCGGGGTTGGCTGGGGATGGTACTGGAGTTGGAAGTACCTCTGTTGGTGCTGGAGCGAGGAAGAGGTTGGGTTTGTATGAGGGGAGGTTGGAGGGCAGTTGGAGGGGAGTCAGGAGGGGGAGGGGGCGGTATGTTGGTGATTGGGGGCTGAGATGGTTGGTTGGAAGGTGATAAATCAGTGGACGACCAAGCAACATTCAGCAACAGACAGCACCCCTCAACAACCCTCAACAGGTCATCCTCAACCCCCATCCCAGTGAGAATACTTGCAACCAAAGTACCATCTTAATTCTCGACAGACATGGATCAGGTGGTGATGGCCGGTTACCACAGCAAAGTGCATGCATAGTACAGAAATACTCCCTGTTCAAAACAACTTGAGCCGATGTGTGTCCTCCGATTTTTTTCATTGGTCGGTTATTTATGGAGATACTGTGCTGCGAATTATCATTGGCCAGTCACACTACAACTAGCAGCGATGCTCAGCTGTACGCGCCGTACCCTTTCTTACCCTATTCTGCCCCAACCCCCGCTGCGCTCTGCAAGTGGCCAGTTTGCTATTCTCAGATGTCCTTCTTACCTGTTTTGGCGGGCTTCCACTGCGAGTAGCTCACGTTTCTATCAACGGGCCGACACTGGGGTGCCGTTGATAGAGAAAAAACATCCAGTCTAGGGAATTATCCTCCGTCCCGTCCCTGCACCGTGCCAATGGGGACCCAGAAACAGTCCCCTCCTTCCTGTCAAGAGACCCTGATTCTGATAGATAGCGAGGGTGGGTGACAGTTGACAGAAAGAGGGCTCGAAGCGGGGCGGATATGGGAAGGGAAGGAGCGGCCCGATGGCGAGAAACTGGCGTGACTTACATTACTGTCTTACTCTCTGAGTGTCTTACATATCACTCATAGTCCGCTCCAAGCAAGGATAAAAAGAGGCAACGAAGGCGAAAAGGAATGTAATGGTGGAGAAACACGCAGCGGCATTCTGACGCAGGTGTCTCGGAGCGACCAGATGTGCCGAGGAAAATTGAACAGGTCGTTCGCTCTATGGCCCGCTCTGTCTATCTGTATGGCTGTCCAGTTGCCAAAAGTGGGATATGTGCGGGATGTGGCTCCTCCTCCACCCCTCTCTTCTTCACTCTCCCCCCCCCACCGCCCGATTCGAGGCCTGCTTGGGTTGGGCGCCACTTATACGCCACAAATATGCTCGACTTTCCCTTCCAAGCCCAATGCGACGCTCTCTTCCCTGCTACTGCGCAGTGCACTACCCAAGTTCGAGCTACTGCACACACCGCCGTGCACATCGCGATCCCCTTGCCTTAGCAAGAGCATAACCGCTGCAGCAGCCCCGGTCTCCGTCAGTTCCCCGACCGTTTAATTCAGAACAGATAATGCTGTCCGTGAGGAATTGCTCAAAGCGGTGGCGTTGAGTGACGACATTATATTGGGGGTGCATGCTAGGATGGGAATGAGAGATATCTGATCCTGGAGAGGACGACAGCTTGACATGGTTGCTATGTTATTAAGTTTTTCTTGCTTTTTTTCACAGTCGTCGGGATCGGATGCGATGCAGCGAGTACTTGGGATATACCCACTGCATAATTCGTTACCAAGACGGAATATTTGGAGTTACGTTGGTATCGAAACTCGTAACCTATTCCCCTCTTTCTACTAAGGATGGAGGCGCACACGTGCATCTATGGACGGGAGGTCGCATATCGGACTGCACACAATGAGCTGTCCGCTGTGGATTGGTCTTTGAAAACGTCCCAGTCGCAGTACGCGTTGTACGGCATTGAGCGGCATGCGGCATACGAACAGTGGTACGCATAGTTCTACCCGAGCGTCGCGCGATCAAACTCCACAAGAGCCACTCTCTACCGCTCTCTATGACTCTCACAACAGAACATCCACTCGGAAAAAGATTCCAAGTGACTCCCCCCCTTCTCTGGCCTTATCCATCCAATTGCCATCCCATACTCACCCACACGCTCTTCACATGACCAGACCTCTATGCGACGAGCCCTGCTATCTCGTCTTCAACAGAAAATGGGCTCCGACCTAGCTACGATGCGAAATATCGCCGTTCAGCGAATAGCTCGCGCGAACACTACGATCTCGAAGATGCAAGAACGGCCGAGGGTGTGGGGGGTATGGTGTGCATGAACCAGATGGGCCGGGTGATCAGCATCGAGACCATCTGGCGACCGAAACTTCTCTGCAGACCGCCTTGAGGGGTTGAGCGGGACGCGACCGAAGTTGGAGCGAGGTTGGCGGGGAGGGGAAGAGTTGGTTGGGTTAAGCCGCACACATGACTCTGTAGTAGTGCTGAGACGCAATCTCAACGTGACTTTGTCGGAGCAAGCTGAGAGGGCGGCGAGGGGCGAGCTGTCCTCACCGTGTTTTCAAGTGCGGAGTCGGCCGAGCGAGCGCGAGGCTTTTTGCCCCAGTCTACGTACGCCACCGTCGGCCCAGCGCGAGACATCGTTAGAGACAGTGAAGACTCCTCACCCGCACGTTCATACAATTCACTATAGCCGAATAGCGGACTCCTCACTCCGTCATCCGGCTGCTGTCACGTATTGACCGGTGACCATAGCGCCAGATCGCTTGTGGAAGGATTCACACAGTCTGCATTTTTACAACCAAACTGGGCCGAGTTTAATTGGGCTAAGACGCGGCCAGGATTTACAGTACAGCACGGCATTTAGCACAGTGCGATTGAGAACGGCAGAGTCGCATCGTCCGTCCGTCCCTTCCCCCCCCCGTCCCCCCCCCACCGAATCTGCGATCGCACCGCCGGCCCCATCTCGCTCGCCTACCCTTGACCTGACCGCTGCCCGCCCGCCGCCCGCGCACGTTCATCGTACTCGTAAGGTAAGGTGTCCATGCGAGCCATGGCGGGATTTCCCACCACCTTCCCCGCTCGCACAATGGGCCATCAGCATCGATCGACCGACGGCAGAGCGCAGCAGCGGCTGCGGCAGCGATCATGAAGGAACAAAGGAACAGACGATGAACATGACGAGCGCTAAACTCTCGAATCATCACGACGCCGGCGTCAAGAATGCGTCCATCCTAAATATAGCGTGCAGACGCGATCAGACACCCTCTCTCCTCCGTGGGTGCATATTGCGCTCCTTCCGCGCAGACACGACATGAAAACCCTCACTCACTCCTCCATCCATCCCAGCTCTAGCCTTTTCCTTCCGTGATGTATGTACTCGTAAAGTGCATGCAGACACTTCCCTCTGTGCAGGCGATCCGTACATACCTGGGTTTAGCCCCGAGCATCCCTGGCCCGCCCGTCCACTTCAACCGTGTACCCTTGTACGTCGTTGTACTCCCTCCCTTCTGCTGCCGGATACCCGCTGCCGCTGATCGCGGGTGGAGGGTACGCAATGCTCCATTGGGGGTGTGCGACGATCTGTGCACTGTGCAAGTGTGTGGAAGTGCAAGGTGGAAGATACTCCGGTGGATATGGGAGGCGGGGGTAGGCGAAAAAGAGCTAAGATGGGGGGTTGGACAGAGTTGAGTTGAGTTGAGGTCCACATGGTGCAACGGTATGTCATCATCGGATCTGATTATGCGACCTTTTCCGCTCCGTTCCTCACCGGCTGGGAGACAGAGGGCGGGCTGGGCTGTCTTCGCGTTCCGCAAAGACGATGCGCTGGTGCGCTGGGAGGATGCGGTGACACTTTGCTGTGTAATTACCATCGCACAGCTCGCTGCTGGCGATGGACTGCGCGGGATGGGAAAGTGAAGACTGTGATACTGTGTACTCTACTGTACCACATGTCGAAATTACCCTTCAGGCACGAATTTTCCGTGCAACCACTACTTCTTCCTATCCCATCCCATCCATCCTATCCGACCCCCTCCCTCAGTCAGCCCAGGTCCCAGTAAGCATACTCTACTCACTATCCTCTATATCGGCTATACCCCCAACCCCCGCAGCACCATCAAAAAGAACCATTTACCATCTCCCGCCCTACCCCATTGGCCCAAGCTCACCCCCGTCCCTTCCTCCCCCCCCGGGCTCCGCACCGCACGAGCCCCAGATCGGGGCTAGCGCGTAATCGCCGGGAGGCATCGATTGGTGACGGTCGCTCCCGTCGCCTAGGGGACTAATGCACGCTAGGGGGTTGCTAATGCGGGATCCCTGCGCCGAGGGCAACTGTCACAACAACGGGAGCGAATGGGGTGGGGGAAGGGCAGGAATCACGCGCTGGGTGAGGGGCGGGTGAATGCGATGAACGCTGGTGATGGGGGGAGGTTGGGGAGGATTGGGGGGGATTGGGGGGGTCTTCGTGAGTGCTGGTGCGTGCTGTGCTGTGGTACGCACTCACTTCACTGGTGCTGACCGCTCTCTGGAGCTCTGGACCGCTGACTCGCTGCTACTGGAGATAACTGGAGATTGCAGATGTGATGGGCGAGCGTTGTGGACGCCTCGTTTGGTTCTTCGCGGGACGCTAGGACGGACGGTTTTCTCCCGCCCGTCCACCGCCACTGCCAGATGCGCATTCTGGTCGTGAGTGGTGAAGAGGGGTTCTCCACCTGACTTGCGCATGAAATGAGTGGATTTGCCCTATGGCGTATGGCAGGTCGAGGAGGGGGGATGTTATGACGATCACGGGGGATGAGGCAGATTGTGCTTTTCTGTTCTTTCAGCTGTCTGTGAGGTGCTGATTTTTCAAGATCCCGTGCCAGGGAGGAATATGGCGTTGGTTGGCTGGCTGGGTAGGAGATAATGTGGCCTTGATATTGATGGGTGAGGAAGCTGGGCAACGACGGACGGACATCTCCTCATCTGGAATGGTACGCGAGAGGGGGATACTTGATGGAAGCTTATATGTGTGGTTATTATGGCTTTGGTTGGGTGGAGGGTATGTATCTCGATGTACTGGATATGCCCACATTGGTTGCTCCCTTACCAGAGTTTGCATGAGGCCTCGATGATCGATGTCGGGATGGATGGATGGGCCTGCCGAGCTATCGTTATCGAAGTGGGACTTACTGTTGTGGTGACAGTCCTTGACAGCACCTTGACAAGCACCCACTCTTCTTTTCCCTGCACTCTTTCTTCTGGTGGTCAAGCTAGCATCGCACGCACGGGGGAACAGTAATCCCGCCGGCAAGATGTGAAGAAAAGAGCCTAGCCGGACCACCATCAATACCTGTGCTCATGTACTCCCTCCATATTTTACGCACACAGCGCAGTAGCGTCGGGGATCGACAAGAACCTTTTTTTGGAGTCCTCGTCCTCTTAGAGAACCCTCTCTTGCTTGTCCCCCTGTTGTCTCTCACTGGCCCTCGGACCACTCACAGCACGAACAAGCTTATTGTCTCTCGCCCACCCCTGCTGCATGTCAATACTTGGTGGCAGGGAAGGCGCATGAGGGCGGCTGCTCAGCGAAAATAGCTATTGGGCGCAACCCATCTGTTGGTCTGACTGGCTGGAGGGGACAGGCCACCTTCCCTCGCTGTAGCTCACGACCCCTCAACACCTTGTCGTTCACCCAATGTGGGCAGCGATAGACAGCTGTGAACATGGGGGATCATGAGACTAGTGAATCTTGGCTTGGAGAACGAACAGAAGAGGGAAAGACTCGACGGGACCCTGGTCGATGTGCATCACCATCCACCACTCTCCGTCGAGTATTCAGCTTCGAGGGTTGGACCAGCTGCAGACAAACATGCACACACACACAGACACACACACTTACGCACTCTTCCCCCAGCCAACTCACACTCACACTCTCACATTTTACACGCCCACCACCTTTCTCACCCACACCAACCCGCACAACACCCACCAACACGCCCACATACAACATATGCACCCATATAGATCACCGCTACCAATATAGATCCATCCACTCATGGCTCTCTATTCTTCGCCTAGTCACCTATCTCGAGTGTTTTCTTCCCCACTAGGCCATGTTTGTGAGGGCCAAAAATATCCACGACTAACTCCAGCACACAACATCCCCCATCCTATTCGAAAAGATGTAAAAATAGATTCAGGTCTTTGGAGAGGCCTCACTCGACCTGCATCTTGGTCGATATATAGACCACACAACACCACGAACTCCATTTTAACCAAAGTCAGACCGTGTGTGCTATTCTTCTCGAACCTCTCCCTCCACCTCCACCTCTTCTACTCTCCCGACTTTCAACCTATTACTACTCCTTCATTTAATAATTGTTATTACCTTTCGACCCAAAGCCAAGCTGGACTTCGCTTTGATCCTATCATTCATTTCGACGCATTACTACTAATTTTCCCTGGTCTCGCCAATATCCTATCATCCCCTGTTCGCCAACTCTCGCACTCTCGCACTATAGACACGACTGTCCCGAAGTGGCTTGCCCGACCTTCACCCAAGTCACACACCCCTCTTTGCACCCCCACACACACTTCACACTACGGACGACTGGCGCGCACGTACCTTGCAAGCATAACACCACCCACCTAACGCTTATACCCTTTAATACCAGCCATGTCTCTCACCTCGAGCTCCATGAGCAGAACGAATCCCACCACAATGGCCGTGGCACAACCAAAGCCCAAGCCGGCTTCCAAGGCCAGCAGCACCAGCACTCAGCAGAACAAGTTAAAGGCACAGATGCACAGGAGATCTCGCACAGGTTTGTCCGCGCTGTTTACTATGATACCGGTCAAAATTTCCTTCTGAGCTCTGTGTCGCTTATGATAAATATGCACGTGTACTAACTAGACTCCCCGCCATTAGGATGCTACACCTGCAGGTTACGAAGGAAGAAGTGCGACGAGGGCAGCCCGTGCTGCTCGGCATGCAAGAACCTCGGTCTGGAGTGCAATTACAAACGGCCAATGTGGTGGAGCAATGGCGATTCGCGCCGCCACCAGAAGGACACCATCAAGATGATCATCAAGCGCAAGAAGCTTTCCGAGAAGACGTCGCAAATCCTGCCGCCGGGCGCAGACACCCCACCAGGACTCTCGCACTCTCTGCCCACCTCGGCGACCTACTCGGACTCGATTGATCGCACGCGCTCCGGCTCGGCCGACTCTACATTCTCGCTCGACTTCAACTTCGACGTCGCGCCAGGCATTGCAAACTACGACTCATACAATGCGCAGATGCACTCGTCGCATGCGCATTATGCTCCTCTATACTCCGAGTTTGCGCCGTACGAGGTCGGTGTCAAGACTGAGCGCGAGGTACTCATGGAAGATGGCCTGACAAGGCGCGAATCGACGGTGTCGACATTCAGCACTTTCCACACACCCCAAGAGTATCACCCGTCGCAAGACGCCTCGCTGTCTTCCTACAAGGGCGACGGTGAGTATTTTGACGACATGTACTTTGAGCGCCGGGAGTCGATGCCAGAGGAGCTTACCGCAAACTTCTTCGACTCGCCCGACGGCATCCCCGCCCCGAGCCACCCGCTCCTGCCTGACCTCGAGCAGAGCGACGAGTCCCTGCTTGGCCACTTCATCCAGAACGTGCTTCCGTCAATCTTCCCCGTCCTCGAGGCTAATGTGAGCGCTCCCACGCTCTCGGACCTGATCCTTCCTGCGCTCGAGACCAATAAGAGCTACCTGCACTGCGCCCTCAACATCTCGGCACAGCACTACAAGTCTACGGTTAACGCTCAGGAGAACAGCGATGCGATCGACGCGGATATCATGCGCCACCGTCAGGCAGGAATCCGCGAGCTGTGCGCATCAATCGGGCGCAACGAGCCGACCGAGCAGATCCTCGATACGACACTAGGCATGATCTTCCTCCAATGTGCCGTCGGCCGCGTCGACGAGGCTCTCCCAGACGTCTCGTGGCACCAGCACTTCCACGCTGCAAGCGACCTCGTCCACAAGCTCGATCTTCCCGCACAGGCAACCTCGAACACAGCATCCGCGCCCTTCAACATGACACTGATGTCCTGGATCGACATCCTGGGCGCCGCCCTCGTCGGCCGCTCCCCCACCTTCGCCGACACCTACCGCGAGAAGAACTTCAGCTCCACCAGCCTCGGTCTGCGCGAGCTGACTGGCTGCGACGACCGCGTCATGTTCCTCATCTCCGAGATCGCGTGCCTCGAGGGCCTCAAGCACAGCGGCATGGGCATGGACGTCCTGTGCTCCTACATCACCACCCTCGGCGAGCACATCACCCACACCGAGAACGGCGCCATGAGCCTCAAGAACCCCTTCGATGCCAACGGCGTCCTCGACGCTGACCAGCTCAGCGTCAACATCACTGCCGCCTTCCGCATCGCCGCGCGCATCTACTTGTGCTCCCTTGTTCCGGGCTTCTCGCCCGCGCAGGAAAGCTGCATCAGGCTCGTCGACAACCTGACGCGCGTACTGGCGTTCATCCCCGCCGGTGCACATGGCTTCGACAAGAGCATGGTCTGGGTCTACCTCATGGGCGGCGCGGTGAGCACCGCTGGATCTAGCTTTCGCGCTTTCTTTGACGCGCGCGTTGCTGACCTCGGCAACGCCGCCGACTGCGGCAGCTTCGGCCGCGTCGCATGCCTCCTGCGCGAGGTGTGGGCGCGCGCGGACGCGCAGCCGGAGGTCGTCGTCTCCTGGAGAGATGTCATGCAGAGCAAAGGCTGGGACTTCTTGTTGATCTAGAATGTCTATTTTCCCTGTGGGAAAAACAGCTATTTGTTCTATCTTTCTTTTTTTTCTGTTCTGTTTGGACGGCTGGATTTGGGAGGGATGGACTGGATGGGGACTGGAATGGAGGGAATTATCATCAGCTCGGGCAGCGGACCTTCGCGGCCTTTGCCATCATCACTACACCGCAACACACACACACTACTTCACTTCTTTTTTCTTTTGGAGACTTTGGATTTTGGTACATATGCATAGCAGGCAGGCATACCCTTATACGGCGCAATATAGGAGTTTTTATTTTTCGGGGCGGGATTGGGCTGGGGGGGGTAGTTGAGCACAGCTCCTACGGGGGGATATATTGGGAATAGAATAGGAATAGGATAGTCAATCAACCTCCCCTTTGGGGGAGCGAATAAAATAACTTATAAACTATATCGATGGTTCTTTACTGCTACTGTTGCTTGGCTTGTGATTTTTCAGTGAGTGGTTTTGGGTGGGAGTTGGGCTGTGGAGTGACTTGATCTCGTCTCGATTTGAGAACGTGGAGCTGGTACTCTAGAGCACCATATCATTTATTCCGTATCCCCCTCCCCAGAGACTTCTGCCCGCGCCTCTCCATGAGAAGAAGATCCATTCCATGATGACCTACCCCGCCGCCTCGCCGCCTCGCCACCCTGCGTCTCCACCTCACCGCTTCACCGCCTCCTCTCCATGCCTTACCCCCCCAGCCCAACGCCCAGACTCGGGCGTCATAATAATGACGTACCGTCCGCACCGAGTGGATATGGGGTAAGAAGCTGTAAACATGGGAAACAGGAATCCCATCCCGTCGCTTCCAATCGTTTCCACTCGTCGGAGGGGAGGGGAGGGGACGGTATGGGACGAGCTGAGCTGAGATGAGGTAGAAGGTGGGAGTCACATGTGCATGCGGAGGGTAGCGGAGTTCAGCTATTGTGTATTAGGTATTGATTGTTAGTTGTAGTGTTGAGATGGTATGAATTGTCTGGTCAGTATCCGTCTTCCAACGACTATTCGACATAACCCTCACCCATTCATAGCAGCGTCCAATCTCCACCCCTTCCCACCTCGAAACTTCCCACCCAAACATCCCAGAATATCCCCAATCCCACCACGAGATCAGATGACTACGCGTGCCCTGGGTATTGGTAGTTCCTCTCCCGCATAAATCCGCGATCGATTCGGGGCGTAAAGCCAGCCGGCCAATCAGCAAGCCCGCCCTCTACGCGCCTCATAAGCGCCGAAACACCTAACTTTACCCACAACCAATCATCCCCGTCCACAACCCTCTTCCCTGGAAAATCCTCAAGAGAGTACCACCACAGGTTGATTGATCCACAGCATAGCCTCGCCCGTTCTTTTCTTATCGAGTTGCAAGCGCCGATAGCCAGTCAACCCGCAGGCGCGCGTAAGCTTTGTTTCGGCGCGCGCGTCGGGGGGTGGAGGTGCGTGGACAGGGGGTAGGAGTGACGTGGGTGGAGGAAGGACAAAGGTGAGTGCTGTGAATGTGTGGTGTGGGCGTTGAAGGGAGTGTGGGACGCGTTGTGCTATTTGTGGTGGTCGTCGCGCGCGTGTGGTGGAGGGCGAGCGCGATGGATGGAGATGGGGGCTCTCTCTTTGTGTTTCCCGGAAGGGGATGGTGGGACTGAGGGAGTCAGATGGTTAGGGGTGGTGGTAGGTGGTTCCTTTGTTTCTTTGGATTTCGTTTTTGTTTCACGCACCGTCTTTCTCTCTGTTCTGTTCACGCCTTCTCTCTGCTGCTTGTTTTTTTGGACGCAAGGAACGGTGAAGAATATACGATCATCGAGAGATCTTGGGAGGTGAAGAATACACAACGATTTTGGGGTTTGAAGAGGAAGCATTCGGTGAAATCACTTCAAGCGACAGGACCACTATAAACTTGGATAGGCTTCTGCCTTTTACACTACTTCCGACGGCTTGAGGCTTCTGCCTTCTACACTATTTTCGAGGGCTTGGAAGACGAACCTACATATATTCGAACACCACAACCCCATCACCGCGATGCGGAAACAAAACCTCAACCCTCTGGGTCTGGCTCTAACACTCCTAGCCACCCTCACCCACCTCATCACCACAACCTCAGCAGCATGCCCTGCCAACTTCGACTTCTGCGACGGCTCCGGTTTCCCCTCCAACTTCTGCTGTCCCAGCGGCTCAAGCTGCATCACTCTCGCCTCGAACACCACGCTTCTCTGCTGCCCCGCTGGCGGAGATTGCACCGCCATCAACCCAATCCTCTGCGGCACCCCATACCAAAACGCCACCCTCCACCCCGAATCAACCGTCAAGACAACCGATCTAACCGGCACCCAGCTGCCGGCATGCGGCGACAAATGCTGCCCCTTCGGCTTCACCTGTTCCGGCACCGGCAAAACAGCAATCTGCGTCCAGGACCTAGACCAGAAGCTCCTCCCCCCCCCATCCTCCCCAGCCTCATCCACATCACCATCCTCCACCTCCACACTCCCAGCAGACTCGACCTCCGCCGGAGACACCTCTACGACCATCTCCGCCCTCTCCATCAACCCCACCGCCATCCCAGCAACCTGTCCCCGCTTCCCCACAACCGCCATCCTCACCGGCCTCCTCCCCGGCATCCTAGCCGGCATCCTCCTCTCCCTCACCACATTCTGCCTCCTCGGCGCCCGCCGCCGCCGCGCCGACGCCCGCGCCCCCAAAATCTCATCCCCCACCTACCAAGGCTCAGACTTCCGCACCGATTTCGTGCGCCGCTACCAGCCTTCCAGCCCGGGCACTTCGAGCGGCACGCCCGCTACGGGGATCAGTCGGGTGCGCAGCCTGTTTCGGAAATCCTCCTCAGCGGCGGCAGGAGCGCGACAGACGCGTGGATTGGGAATGGGCCTCCCGTCCTCGCCATCCCCGCGGCGCGTGGCCCCACCGATGCCAGATCGCGATTTAAGAGCGTATCAACAGGAGGCGCCTGCTGTAGGGGGCCAGCTGAGACGAGAGCCCAGCTCGGAGAGTATTAATATCTTCGCTGATCCGAGTACGGCGCGCAGCGGCGGGTTGGGGGTGGAGGAGCGGAGGCAGTCGGCGCAGACTACTTTTACGGAGATGATGGAGCGGGCGGATTTGAGGGGGGTTGGGCAGGGGGAGCCGTATGTGTTGCCGGTTATGCCGGCGAGGGAGGGGGAGGGGACGAGGTTGAGTCCGTCGAGGTTTAGTCCTGAGAGTGGGAGGGGGAGTCCGGGTCTGAGGAGGTAGGTTGTTTGCAGGAGGTGTTTTTTGCTTTTTTGGGGGGAAAGGGAAGGTGCTGGGGGGGGGGGGTTGGGGGAGTTTGGTTGTTATATGGGTGGGATGGGGGTTTAATAGTCGTTTTTCGTATACCAACGCTGCGCTCTTTGGAGATATCGAATATCCAATGTATCAATGTATTATTTCTACCAATCGCCGAAGCACAGATTCATACCTTCCTTGCAGCAATTGCTTGCTTTATACAAAATATAATGTTATAAACCAAGTACCATAAATAGATTCAGCCATCCAAACAGCTATCCAAATACCCAACCATCCCTACAACCCCCCTCCCTCCACCTCCACCACATCCCCAACCCTAATCGTCCTCCCCCTCGTTCCAGGATCAACACACATATGCCCCCCAAAAAACACCTTCCCCTCAAACCTCCTCGTCCTCGCCAGCGTCACAAACGGCTCCTCATCCTTCACCCCCGTCACCTGATCCACACACACCATATAACACCTCCTACACGCCCCAAGCATCTTAAACCCCACCCCCCCAATCCTCACAGCCCCCCACTGATCCTCCGCATACGCCTCCCCGCCGCCGCGAGACCCAACAACCACATTCCCCCGAAACACCGCCGCATCAGCTTCTTTACCGCCGGTGGAGCGGATGGTGGCGTTGAGCGCGTCTAAGCTCGCGCGGTGGACTAGAAGAATCGGGCTTTCATTCGATAAGAGGATTGGGCGCGGCGCCATGGCACACTCGCTATCAGAGTCTGGTGGTGTGGGGGGAAAGGCGCCGGGAATGGAGGCCCATGATGGGGGCCTCTTGGGGCGCTGGTGCCGCTGCATATGCGCCTTTGAGTGGCGAGTGGTCAGACCGGCGCCGCCGGCTGGGAAGCGTGCGAGGGTGCATGGAACAGCGAGAGCGTCGGAGAAGAAGGCGCTGATGTGCGGTTGTGCGTATGTCTGCGCCGCGACATTATCACCGCATACGCGAGCGCCGAGTGCGCGCTGCGCAGGCTCAAAGAGCGAAGGGTCAGGGGAGAGGGGGACGAGGAGGCACTGGTCGAGGTATGTGACTATGAGGTGGCCTGTTGCGAAGTTGATAGAGGGTCGGAGGAGGGCCATGCGCGGGTACCGCTTTTGGCTGAGGGCTTGGCCGGTGCCTTTGTGGATGAGACACCATTCGCGGTCCCAGGCGAGGCCTTCGGGGCGGACTTCCCAGTCGGTGGAGGGGGGGATGGGGAGGCCGCCGCAGCTTTTGATGGGGAAGATGGTGAGGGACTCGACGTAGAGGGTGTTTTCGGTGGAGGGGGGAAGGGGGATTTGGGAGGGGGAGGGGGCGTTCTCGACGTAGAATTCCTGGATGAATTCGATGAATCGGTCGATATCGCGGAGGGTGCTCATGGCACCTAGACTGGCTCGAATGACGCCGGTGGGCTTGCCGGAGATTATGTCGTTGTCGCCGCCGCATCTGTAACCTGCGGAGAAATTTCTCCTAAGCTCCCATGGCGAGAGGTCGAGGGCTTTGGCTATGCCACCGGGGTTGCAGAGTCCACCAGTTCGGATATGTATTTTCCGAACCGTTGCTAGCTTCTCGACCTCGGTGTTGCTGACCCATGCACCATGACTATCCATCAAGTTGAATGTGACAATAGGACCTTGTGTAGACTTGTCCTCGAAGGAATGAGCGTCTCTCACGTAAAGCCGACATACGTCAGCCCCATTAGCATGTTTCAGCAGCCTGAGGCTAGAGTAGAGCTTTTGTGCTAAAGACAGCGTGTGCTCGGATATACTATCCATCGACGCATACAGCTCCTTATGGACATCCATAGCTATTCCGAGGGCCATAATATTGTGCATTGGTAGGGTACCATCCTCAAGACTCGCGTGTATATTTTCAACCTTTGGCTCATGCCATTGCTCCTTGATACAAGCGACAGTCTCGACCGTTCCACCTCCAAAATATTTGCGGCCCTGCAGGACATCTGCAGAGTCTCTTCGCACTATCAGCGCCCCTAGGTCCGGGAAGCCGAAGATTTTATTGAAGCTGAGGACTGTAAAATCCGGGGCGTTCCGGACATCACCTAGGTCTAGCTTCGAGGTTGACACCAGAGCCGCCGCATCCAGCAGCGTATATATCTTTGATGTCCCCTCAGAAGCCGTGCGCAATTGGCCTGTCCAACGGAGTGGTAGCCTCCTTCCATTCATGTTCGATTGTGCAGGATAGGCAAAAAGCGCCAACCGGCCGTCCCCGCCACCATTGAAGAACGGCAGCGATCCAGATATCATAGCCTCAACATCGTTGCTGCCAAGGCAAAGGCTTTCTACAGCCGTTTCCCTAACGCCAACGAGGCTTGTATGTGAGTCGCTGTGGTAGCCATATGTGAAACCATCGTCACGCGAGCGGAATGCATCCATGACGAGTTTTATCCCAGCAGTCGCATTGGCGACGAAGACGACATCGAAATCGACCGGGTCGGCATTGGAAAACTCCAGAACCCTTATCCGTACATCGTCAATCCGCGCCGTAGATGCCTGGGAGGAGGGGGAGGCAGAGTGGGGGTTTCCGTAGAGGTTCGATATCATTTCGGTGGCGAACCGCTCCATGAGAGACTTTGCGTAGAGAGTTGTTCCGGCATGGTCGAGGTATATTTCATCTACATCGACAATTAGTTTCCTAATATTAAATATTAAATATAACTGATTTACGCATACCTTTGAGCATGGGATACTCCCTCTCTCGCATGAGATCCACTTGCTCGTTCATATCTGACATCCAAGTGCTTGTCCCCATGGGAAACAAGCATGCACAGTATTCAGGGGGGATGCCGCAAGAATCCTACTCTTGCCATACAACTTCTATAACTTTGCATATTAAGAACGCATGTATGGGCATTAGCAGATTGATATCTCATCCACCTTCCCGTCTGTATCCACGATCCAAGAGTCGCTCATCGGAGCTCGCCTCGCGTCGGTCGGAGATACCTCGGGTGGCAATTGACCCCTTGCATATCGGCAAATCGTATCTCCGTTACCGTCTAAGCCTTGCATCCTAGGCAGAAATTATTTGTAGAGCTTCAGTAAAATCCTTGGGGTGGATATACAGCGACAAGCATCACTACCATCAAAATGTTACGGCCACGCATTATCCGGGCACTGCCGACTCTGCGGAGATCGATACACAGACTGCCGCCTTTGGAGAAGTTCCAGGAGGGTATTCCGGGCCTCCTCACTCAGGATGGCTTCAGAATTGCGTGGACCGAATACCAAGGGTTGATGCTTGAGAAGCTCAATGCCCTCACAGTTGGTGCGTATTCTCTTGGATGGCTTCTACAATCCCTCTCGCCCTGGCAATTTGCTTGTACAAGTGCACGACTCTGCAATTGACTCGCGCTGCCCTCCCTCCCGTCATCCACCACCCCTTCTGAAGCCTCCGGCTAACACCACCTAGGATCCGGAGAAGACTACTCGAGCTCGACCAAGAACCTCCTCATCAAGTACGCGCGCCAGCCATCCATGGCGTCCCTCTTCAACCACGCCTCCATGGCGCACAACAACCACTTCTTCTTCTCCACCCTCTCGACCGAGACGACCACCATGCCCGCCTCCCTGCAACGCGGTCTCGAAGCCTCCTTCTCCTCAATCGACACCCTGCGCAAGGAATTCGTCGCAACCGCCAACGCCATGTTCGGCCCCGGCTTCGTCTGGCTCGTCAAGACCAAGGAGGGCAAATACGCGCTCCTCACCACCTACATCGCCGGCTCCCCTTACCCAGGCGCCCACTGGCGCCGCCAGACTAAGGACATGAACACCGAGTCCGCGCCTGTGTCTGCCGACCCGGCTAATGCGGCCGAGTACTACCGCCAGCAGGCTATTGCGAATATGCCGATTGCCAACACGGTCGGTGCGCATGGTCCGTTCAGCGCGTCGGCGAAGTCGGCGCCGGGAGGTGTGGATGTTAACCCGATATTGTGTGTGAGCACGTGGCAGCACGTGTACATGCCGGATTGGGGTGTGCTCCAGAAGAAGCAGTTCTTGGAGGCGTGGTGGGATCGCATTGATTGGAATGTGGTGGCGGATGCGGCTGGGGATAGCAAGTTCCAGGGCCCGCAGTTCACGCGGTAGGGGAGGAAAGGGGGGGTGATTGTAGCATATATAAAAAGGCGTTTTAGGCTTACATAGAGACGTGTATAGTAGGCAGTGTACGATGAGTGTTGGCACGGTGGCTATATTGAGAAGTATAGAATTGTATCATCATGGTGGTGCAAGTCTTTGAATTACGCATAGTGAATGGATTTCGATTCTGCAGCATCTCTCCTTAATGGTCGAACTACTTGACAGATATCAACACACGCCGTCGCCTCCGACAAGTGCGGCCAAACGTAATATACGGCCACCCATCTTCGCGCCCCTTATTCCGAGCGGATTGATGAGTGATCTAAGGAAGCCTGCATTCAAATTTTGGTCCAGACACGGCAAGGAACCCGCAGCAAAGGAATACAAATATGATTCTTCATTCAAGCCACCCATTCGCCTCCCATACCTCTACTCCAAACTCAACCCCCTACTCCAAATCAATAACCACCCGTCCCTGCAACTTCCCCCCCTCCATCTCCTTAAACACCTCCGTCAGATTATCCAGCTTCTCAACCCTCATATGCGTCGACACCAGTCCCCTCGCCGCCAACTCCAACACCTCCGCCGCCTCCCTCTGATTACCCACCGCCGACCCCACAATCGTCAACTGCCTCGCCACCAACGACCCGGGATCCGCACTCGCAATCGGCACCAGCTCCCCCTCCGGCATACCCACACACACCACCGTTCCCCCAAACCTCAGCAAGCCCAGGGACTGCGCATACGCCTTGTTCACCGCCGTGCACACAATCACGGCGTGCGCTCCAAGGCCACCAGTAACCTTCTTAATCTCCTCCGCCAGTCCCTTATCATCGAACTTCGTGACATCGAAGAACGCCTCCGCGCCACTCTCCTTGACTAACTCCTCCTTAGACCCGTGATCAACTCCAATCATCCTCAATCCCATCCCCTTAGCACCAATCTGGATAGCCAGATGTCCCAGTCCACCGCCCGCACCGGCGATGACGACGAATTGACCAGACTGTGCGCCGGATTTGCGGAGCGCGGCGTAGGAGGTTAGACCGGCGCAGAGAAGGGGCGCGGCGGCTTCGGATTTTAGACCGGCGGGGATGGGGGTTACGTAGGAGGCGGGGGCGAGGACGTATTGTTGGAAGGTGCCGGGGGTGTAGTAGCCGGAGATCTTTTGGTTCTAGGTTGCGTGTTAGCTAGTGTAGAGGAAGAGAGGGGGGAGGGGGGACGTACGAAGCACACGCCGTCGGCGCCCACGGAGCAGGCGGCGCAGGAGCCGCAGGCGTAGGAGATCCACTAGGAGGCATTAGTTTGGGTTTCTTGGATGGTTTTGGGAGGGGGATGCAAACCTTAATACCAACGCGGTCGCCGACCTTGACGTTGCTAGGTCCGGCAGCGGGGCCGAGCTTGTGAATGACGCCGACGCCCTCGTGGCCGCCGACCTGACCGGGCTGAGTAGGGAAGGGGAGGCCCTTCCAGGAGTTTGTCATGACGCCCAGGTCGGAGTGGCAGACGCCGGAGTGGGTGCTGGGGGGTGGTTAGCGGGGTGTGCTCGCTCTGGGGACTGTAGGTTTGGGAGGTAGGCAGATGCAGATGGACTTACAGGCGCACGAGGACCTCGCCGGGGCCGGGGGTGGGAGTGTCGAGCGTCTCGATCTTGGTGGACATTGTGCCGGGGGCATCGTAGACGGCGGCTTTGTAGGTGGCGGGGATGTCGAAGGTCTGGGGAGCTGCTGCTGCTTCGGCCATTTTGAGATGCGGGGTGTCGAGGCGACGAGGATCTGGGGATGTGGGTTGCTTGGAGGTGGTAAGGGATGGATGAGAAGTGTAGGTAGGGTCTTTTCAATTCACTTGTGGGATGGAGGTGAGATGATGAAGTGTTCAAGCTCTGAGAATGGGCTGATGTAGAAATGTTGTATATATATGAGAATTTTATCTATAGACCCCGCGTTGATCAAAGTTACTCCGACTATCCGCGCCCTTTCATCCGTAGAGGAAGCTGTATCCTCGGCGTTGATGGGGCTTAGAGGGGGGTGGCTGTCGAAATGTCCGAGTCAGTGAGTTTGGCGTTGTTTAGGGTGGTACAGGTGGGTGGGTGCGACGGAGGTGGGGGGTGGAAATTGCGGGGTAGGTTGGGGTTAACCTCGCTTGAAACGCTTGGGGGGGTGACGTTGCGATCAACAAGCTTTTTGGAACTCCACGCGGGTTTGTCGGGGGTTGAGTTTCTATGCTCCGTAGTGGAACATATACCCCGTGTCCGTGGTGTATATAGTGCGTATGGTATAGAAATAAGGTGATTACTCAAGTGTTGAGTTTAGTATTTAAAGGTGAGACACTATACCGGAGGGTCCTCTCTATATCCACATGTCCTGCCTGTGATCCAGGCTGGCATAATAAAACAGGTCTCGTAAAGAATAGATACAGGAACACAACCAAGAGTTTGTGGCGCTGCTCGACTTTATAATATTCCATTAGTCCAGCGAATGCACAAGGTGCGGGGAACGCAACAGGCCGAGGCTGACTTCATATGCCCCTCCAACATAACATGATAACCGCTGTATGACACTCTCCATCCTCACAACACTCCCATAACCCATCATCTTTCTGAAATCATCCTCCTATACCCTCAAAGCATCTCTAATCCCTATCCAACCCCAACCCCCATCCCCCACCATGTCCTCAACTGCTCCCTCCGCCGCCTCTAACCCCTCCCCCTCCTCCCCCGCTCCCCCCAACTACTCTGCCTTCCAAACCGAGCTCTACACCTCCTCCATCCTCCACGGCAAGAAACCCCTCATAACCACCAACCCCAACAAGCTCGAGGAACAAGCCCGCGCCGCCCTCCCCCTGCGCTCATACAACTATGTCGCCGGCGGCGCCGGCGAGCGCGCCACCATGGACGCGAACCGGCAGGCGTTCCGGCGGTGGGCGCTCGTGCCGCGCATGTTGAGGGATACGTCGGCGAAGAAGGTGGGGGTGGAGTTGTTTGGGGTTAAGTATGGTGAGTGCGCGGGGTCTACGGGGTGTCATATAAAGGGGAGGGATGGAGTAGGGCTAATAGGTGTGCAGATTCACCCATCTTAATGGCGCCGGTGGGCGTGCAAACTATCTTTCACAAGGATAGGGAAGTCGGTCTCGCAAAAGCATGCGCAGACATCGGAGTCCCCTACATCATGTCCACAGCAGCAAGCAGCACCATCGAAGAAGTCGCCGAGGCATCAGGATCGGGGCACCGGTTCGTCTTCCCCCTCTCTCTATTTTCTAAAGAAACCCCCCACTAACCCCCCCCCAGCTGGTTCCAACTCTACTGGCCCTCCACAGACGCCATAACGCGCTCCCTCCTCACCCGCGCCACCACCTCCGGCTTCAGCGTGCTAGTAGTAACCCTCGACACCTGGTCCCTCGCCTGGCGCCCCGCAGACCTAGACGAAGGTTACATCCCCTTCATGGAAGGCGTGGGCAACGCAGTCGGGTTCAGCGATCCTGTATTCCGCGCCGGGTTTGCGGCTGCTATGGATGGGGCGACGCCGGAGGAGAAAATCGGACATGCGAGTGCGGGGTGGGTGAGGGAGGTGTGTCCGGGGCGGAGTAGGACGTGGGAGGATTTGAAGATGTTGAGGGGGTGGTGGGGGGGGAAGATTGTGTTGAAGGGGATTCAACACGTCGACGACGCTAGACTAGCAGTTGAAGCCGGTATGGACGGTATAGTGGTATCTAACCACGGCGGGCGACAAGTCGACGGGGCGATTGGATCTCTTGAAGTTCTTCCTGAGATTGCAGCTGCGGTAGGGGATAAAATCACCGTCTTATTCGACTCGGGCATCCGGACGGGGGTGGATGTTATTAAAGCCCTCAGTCTCGGCGCAGAAGCAGTGCTAGTAGGACGGCCAGCTGTGTATGGATTCGCAGTCGGTGGCGCGGAAGGGGCGAAACAGGTGTTGAGGGGGTTATTGGCGGATTTCGAGATGAGTTTGGGGTTGGCGGGTATTGATGGGGTGGAGGGGTGTAAGCCGGAGATTCTGAGGAGGGTGGAGGGGGGTGGGAGTTTGAGGAGCTCGAATTAAAAAGGGGGGGGGGGTGGCAGAGCTGGTCTTAGGTTGGTAGAGTAGTATTGGGTATGGATTTCACTTCTCTATGGCGATGACAGTGGAGCGGATGATACTTATTGATCCGGCGGGCTTTTTAAATCCATAAAGTTCTAGAAAACATATCCATCCACCATCTCCAATCCACACTCCCATCCACCCTTCTCCCCCCTTCCCCTCCCCACACCCCCATCACACCCCAAATCCCCCAACCCTTTGCAAATGCCACCCCTCCTCCCTCCACCCCTCGTCATCCTCATCGGGCATCGTACACGCCATCCCAACCTCCACGCACCCTTCACACAACTTCCCCAGCCCACACAACACGCCCACCTCCCAGCATCCATCACATCACACGCAAAGCGGATTCCCTCATCATCTTCCTCCTCTCTCCTCAGGTTCGCAGAACGTACAATCCACACCCTCACCCATACAGGCGGCACAAGGTTTGGGAATCCGAACAGACGACTCCGAGTTCATGGCAGCGCGCGCATTTCACCTCCTCCTTATCCTCCTCGATATCCTCCTCCCCCTCCTCCTCGCTATCTTCCTCCACGCTATCCTCCTCCTCCCCCCTCGCGCCTTCCCTATGGTAAGCAAGCAAGACAAACGTTCGCTCCTTTCCACCTTCCACCCTTCTACTACCCCCCCCCCCCCCCCGGGCAAAGCCCCTCCCTCGTTCCTTCCTTCCTTGCTAGGTATAATAAGAGAGATATGATGTAGATGTTAGCGTTTACCTACCTACCCATTTGGGGTTATTCATGGAGTTGGTGTGGTTGTTTAGTGTATGCATCATTTCTTCACTTTTGCTCACACTCTACGCTCATTTCTCACTTTTTTTTGTCATACGATCAACACACGAGAACTCGCATTGGCCTTTTTTTTTGGTTTCATTTATATTGATGTTTTTTTCATTATTTATTTCATTTAATTCCTCGCATTTCAAGTTTCGTAAAACCGCCCCGTAGCTCGTAGCCTCCCAAAAATGAAATAATAACTCCAAACTAGAAGACTCCCAAACCCAAACCGAAACCCAAGCATAGCCCAGTGCAGTGCAGTATAAAAAATCCATCCCAGTCCGTTCAGACGCCTGCGCCCCCTCCCCCCCCCCCAAAAAAAAAGAACCTCCATGCTCATCCATCATAAGCCATCACAATCTCACCCAAATCCCCCCTCCGCTCCCCCTTGCCGCCAGCCAAGCTAAGCTAGTCCCGCCAGCCGTCTCCCAAATACGCTCTTCCCGAAACAACCCCCTTGCACACCACCACAGCTCCAAAAAAAAAAAAAAAAAAATAACAAAGAAGAAGAGGGTTGAGATAATCTTGAGACTATTCATACAAGAAGCAGAACAGAACCATAACCACACAAAACGACAAGTGATAAAGAGAGGGAACAAAGCAAACTCTCTAAAAAAAGGTATGGTGATTTCGTACAAGAGGTAATGCATGCAAAGCCATCCCAACATCGAACACTGCCCGAAGAGCCTATTGTGAGCCATCAGCTCCGCGCCCGCGGCATGTCGATATTCTCCTCACCCCCTCACCCCCCGGCCACATTCTTTATATCTAATATAATTCCCCACCCTTTCTCTCCCTTTCCTTACTTCCCACAAAAACGCTCTCGGGGCGGGTCAGCCACTTTCGCTATCGCATCTGCCGCAACTCCCTTTTTTTTGGTTGGTTTTGTTTATGCTTTGCCCTAGGTGGAGGGAGCGAGTGAGTAGACGGGTTTGTTGGTCGATGATGGTGGTGGTGGCGTTTTTTTTCTTGTTTGTTTCGTTTCGTTTCGTTTCGTTTTGCGGCGGGCGGGTTGATGGGAAGAGGTGGTATGTGTATAAGGTAGAGCGCGCGTGCGTGGCAGGGGGGTGAGCAGTATGTGTGATGCGGTGCTGAGAAGAGGGTCCATGTATCCGCCGTGCCAGCCAGCAGTAGTCTCACCACCTCAAACCCTGCCAGCCAACGTGCAGTCGAGCGAGCGACGTGACAAATGTAGCGGCACCAGGCCAGCTACACGCATCATCCGCACCTCCTATCCCTCTTACACACACACACACACACATATACACACACAACACCCCCTCTCTCCCTCCATCTCTCTCTCTCTCTCACGCACACAAACACCTCAATCCATATAAAACTCCCCCCTCAACATCCTCTCCCCTACCTCATCCGGCTTCCTCCTCTCCCTCCTCTGCGGCACCGGCAGCGGCTGCGTCCTCGCCTGCGGCTGGGCCACCACCTGATCTCCCCCCTCACTCCTCGCCCTCCCATGCAGCGGCGGTCCCTGACCTCCCTGCCCACTCATACTCCCAAACCCCGCCCCCCCAACCGGTGGCGAACTCCCCATCATAGGTCTATGCACCGCGCTCGCCGCTCTCTCCCTAAACTGCTCCGACCAATTCAGACCCCCCGCATCACTCGGGCTTCTGGACTTAGTCTGCGGACTCGTCGGTCCCCCTCCGCTGCCGCGGGGAAACAACCCCGATGACCCGCCGAAGGACATATGTCTCGTGAACGGGGTGGTCGGCACACTACCCCCCGAATCGGGGGAATCGTCTTCGATAGCTGATTCCGAGACCGCGGAGTTAGGCAGGCTGGAAGAGGCGGTCGAGGAGGCGATGCTGGCGCGGCGGTCGCGCGGGAAGAAGTTTGGTGCCCCCGCGGAGCTGGAGAGGGGGGAGCCGGAGAGGCCGAGGGTGGAGATGGACATGCGGCGGCGGGAAGAGGGGGTGGGGAGCGGGGCGGTGGTGGAGGTGGAGGTGGAGGTGGTGGAGGAAGGGGGGGAGGGGTTTTGGCGGCCGGGAGGGGTGCCGTTGGTGCCGTTGGTGGGGGCGCCGCGGGGACCGAAGATGGCGGAGAAGGTTGCGCTGGAGAAGGAGCCGCGGCGGCGGTGGTGGTCGGGGGTAGGGGTAGGGGTGTCGTCGGTCATTGTTGGGGATGTGGTGGGTGTGGTGGTGGATGGAGGTGTTGGCTTTGTGGTGGTGTGGTGTGGCGGGTGAATGGATGTATGTGGGATTGGTAATGAGGTGTCGGGGTTGTTCGTGCGGAGATATTGGGTTCGTAGATGTGAACTGTAGATTGGAGACTTGGTCAGCGTCTCTCCTCTCCTCGTGGTCTACTGCCTGACGACGCCACTGACCTTGTCACTTCCGCGGAATGCCTCGGGTGGGCGGAGTAGGTATTGCAGCGGCGAGGTGGTGCGTCTTTGTTGGGTGGCGTAGCTGTCGACAGCAGTATCGTCGTTGCGGGGTTCACCCTCTTTATATACTGCACAGCTGGCAAATTCGTCCGTGAATGGGAGTATGAGTAATTGTATGCCTTTCTCCGGTTCGCTTTGAGTCGTGACGCAGCAGCAGCAGCAGCTTCAGGCGAATCGAGCTCTCGTTCGTTTCAGTCAGAGCTCTCTCTCGGTTCGTACAGGCAGCTATGGAGCAGCTGTATCTCTCTCTCTCTGCTGTGACCTCGCAATCGGATCTTTCTTGCAAGGCAAACGATGTTTCGTGATGTTGGTTCTAATATGAAGGATGGAAAGGAACCTTTTGTGAAAGAGGGGAAAATGGGGGGAGGCAGGATATATTGGTGGTGGATGGATTGTGGGTTTGTATAGTAGGCACAGGTAGGTAGTGTAGGTATGTGGTGTTCTGGTTCTGGGTTAGGCGTACATAAGCACGCACGTATCTTAGCGTAATCAGGGATAGCGGCCGGCGATTGGGAAGGGTTGTTTGGTGTAGTTGGGGCGGGGGGAAGAAGGGAAGGGTGGTAGGGGGTAGGTGTGGCGAATGGGAGAGCTTGGATTGGGGGGGGAGGGGGGGAAGGTTAATAGGCGATTAGAGGTGGGTGGTGGAGTAGGTTAGTGGTAGATTGTGGGGTAAGAAGGGTCGAAGGGTAGAGGGGACCGGGGGAAGGGTGAGAGGGATGAGGTGTTAGCGGGATGGAGGGATGGAAGGACCACTAACATGTGTTATAGAGGGAGAGGAGGGGGATGGTTAGAGGGGGACTATAGTAGAGTATAGTTGGTATTAGTTAGTAGTGGTAGATCGGGGATAGTTAGAGAGAAACTATGTTAGTGTATAGTGAGGTAGTTCGGGGATTTGGATGGGGAATTTGAATTAGGGATTGGGAATTGGGATGGAAGATGGAAGGAATGATGATGTAGTCTGTCTAAGGGAGGGCGGCTAGAATGCTGGGGTAACCACTACTCATTAACCACAGTATGCAGCGGGATGGAAGAGGGTGGAATGGGGCAGGGCGGGATAGGGTAGGATGGGGTAGGATGGGGTAGGACAGGATAGGATGAGGTGATGACAAGCTTTGGGGGCAAGTGGTAGTGGGTTGGATGCTAGGTGCTGTGTAATGTTATACGACGATATATATATATATATGTATATATTATTACATGTGGCCATTACAGAGTAACAGAAATAAGAGGGACGGGAGGATAAGAGAGTGAGTGCCTAGGTGCATGAGTGTTTGAGTGGATAGTGCTTAAGTGGATGAACCGTAAATGCGCGACCGCCTACGTGAATGCGTGTCGTGTCCGTGCATCATGTCCTCCTCTATGCACGATTACTATAATTCGCCAAACATTATTGGCAACGTAAGACAGTATATGGTATCGTCAACAGCATTTGGTTCTGCACCACAATTTGCCGATTGGTGGTTGTAGCTGTAGTCGTCTGTAGTCTGTATAGTGGTAGCAGTAGTGGTAGTTCAGCAGAGTAACGCACACACACGTCGCTCTCCCTTCTCCTAGCATGGATAATAGCATTCCGTCATGTCGATAGAAGCAGTTTTATACCATAGAAGTAGAAGTAGAAGCAGAAGCAGAAGCGAAGCAAGAACAGTCGTACGATACTAGCTGGGTGTGCAACCGAAGATAGACAGCGGGCAGTTGAAGAAAAGACGGGACGGTAGAGGCTGTGTAAGTTAGTTAGTCTAGCCGTGTCTATTCCATCATCCTATTCCTGTCCTCCAATCCCTATATGGCTGTATTCCGTATGGTGGGCTCGTTGTTTTCTGGTCTGCTGGTCTCTAAAGTATGGTAGACAGCAGCTACTAACTAAACTAACTGCTTTCTTCAACGGCGGCTGGTAACAACACACTACGTCATCGATGGTTGATTGACTTGTGTGTAAACTCGTGTGTGTGATTGTTAGGCGCACATGATTGTTCGTCTGTGTCCTGGCCTTGTCTTTATGCGTACGTAGGGTGGCGACAAAGACGACAGACAGCAACGGGGGATTGCCACCTATACCCTTTTTGCAGCTCCAACTCTGGTAACAGTTAGAGAATAAAGGACCCTCTCCCTCGGCTCCCTTGACTGCTGGACTGGATCCCCACTACACACACTACCACTACACTACCACCCGTTCCTCTCGTCCCTTCGTCCCTTCGTCCCTTCGCGCATTCTGTCCCTTGTGTCCCTTACCTCATACTGCACTCATGTCTCAAATGTCGTCTTTCACATGCAAAAACTATGCTATGCTAAAAGTGCGGCCTTGGAAGTCAGGCTAGTTAGAGGTGCTGGTGTATTCAATCCCTATTGCCAAGGAACACTGCTTGATGAATGCCTGAGGACAACTTCTGACTGACACTGCTGTGCTGAATAGTAACACCATCACTTTCGTGGTAGAACAGTTGGTATAGGAGTAAAAGGATACGTGGTTTCTTCACCTCCTCGCTTCTCTTTCTTCAATTGACTGCAACTGCCGTACTGCATGTATGCAGAGTGGTATCACAGACTGCGAGTGACTGACTCTACCACTTTACAGCAGCAGCAGCAGAAGCTATCAGCCTGAACACTACGGACGCATGTTTGTGTTCATCCGGTGTCTGGCTGTATGTCTGTCTGTATGTATGTCTATCGGTATATGTATGCTGTATATGTGTGTATGCAGTCGCCAGTCGGTGTCTACACAACCTGTCGTCTTGTTCTGTCGTCCTGTCTTCTTGCCCATCTGTCTCCACACACGGCACATAAGAGGATACAGCACCACAAGTCTCGGCCCTCACCCACTGCCAGCCCACTGCCAAACCCACTGCCAATCCACGGAAACCAAGAACCACAGGAACTAAAATCCCAGCTCAGCTCACGGAGAAACACAACTACGGGGCTAGCAGAGTACTCACAACACAGGAAACAACTTCAACGGCGATCGATCGTACAATCACACAATATCACAGGTGGACAATCAACCGCAGAGAGACACCACATCATACCACGCACAACAGGACTCCATGCACAAACAAACATCCAGATAGATGACTGTTAACCCATCTTATGCATCCACTCAACCACTGCATACAGTACCACCACTCACGATTCACGATTCACCACCCACCACCACCCACCACTCACCACTCAACGAGTCGGAATGTTACAGACCACCTTAGCCCCCTAATCGCCCCCCCCCGTAGCTCCGTTTCATCCAAGTGCCGGGCCATCTCAGGGGCCCAGCCACCACTCACCACCGTCCACTCCCAGCTGTCCCCATGCACCACCACCCTGCCCTGCAGAATGTGAGACGTAGCCTGTCCTCTCTCCAGTTCTGACCACCGCCGCCACCATACATACCACATACCACAGAGGCCAAAAAAAAACAGAAGCCGGCCGAACGAACGAAAAAAAAGACGGACCGACCAAGAAACTGACAGGAGCTATATCCCTAGTTTAGGGAGTTAGTCGAAGTTATACAGACAGGCCATACACCCTATCAAGACATCAAGACTCAAGTTCCTGCCCACTTCTAGTCAGGGAAACAAGTAGTATGCCATGCCAGTCGTCCAATCCCAAGGGGGACTGGCGGCTAGTATGAGGGTATCCCCGTCCGTATAAACCCACCCTTCCCCCCCAGTTCCCAGTTCACTTCCCTCGCCGAATTTTAACCTTCTTCTCTCCTCCCTCCCTCCCTCCTCCCCAGCTCGACCTCCCCCTGCCCAGCATTGACCTCCTCTTCTCTTCTTCTCCGTACCTCCTCTTCTCGTCTCCTCTCTTCCATACCTCCCTCCCGCTTCCCACCTCAGACAACAAACACACCTGCGATTCACCTTCCCCTTCCCACCAACCCCCCTTACCTCCGACACGATACGATACACCCACCGTATCCACCTCGCCGATCCCAAGGGCGACGTCATACATCCACCCCATCCCAGCCACAGCTACCGATCGGCGCGAGACGCCCGATTGACGCGGGTGTGCCGATCGAGCTACACAGGAACAAGGGGAGTGGCCTGTATTCGAAGGGGCCCACGGACGAGGAAAGGGATTTGTTTAAACGACTTGGTATGGGAGAGAAGGGAGGGTAATCGGAGTTTGTTGTTGTTATTGCCAGCTTTGACCCGCTTTCTCTGGAGAAGGTGTCCGTGTCTACAGCAGCAACGATAATTGTTGGTCACTGCACGATTGTTCAAGGGAGGCCGCCATCCAATCGCTCGGGATACGATACGATATAGGAAGCTGGACAATACCTCGGAGGAAAGAGATACAGGAATTGCAGGCCCCAATCAGTCAATCCCGAACTACACCCTCGACGCTGATCTACGCATACACATACCAACCCAGGTGTGTGATCCGCAACCACCCAAAGGGATCGGCACGCACTTCAAACAGCCCTGCGACGGACGCGAATTTTTGATCCTCGAACGGACGGACGGACACCCGCGCACACCACGCGGGCGCGAACAAAGAAGGTGCAACGTTTAGCGCTGCGGCGGTTTCTCTTCTATTTCGACATCACCTCTTTCGTTATCTCTTTTATATTTTATTTCTTTGTTTGTTGTTTCTGAGGGTCAAAACCTCTTATCTTCTTTCCTATCTGCAACTTTTTTCGACAGAGGATATACTCAAGACGACAACGCGAGACGGAAGGAAACTTTGTCGGTGCTGGCACGACACCGATTTCTATCTACGTTTGAGCGGCTGAAGGGATATATCTTCAAGGAACCGGCTCTCTTCTTTCTTACTGCCATTTGAGCAGCTAGCTACTTTGTCTGGACCGCTTGGCATCGATCACCGCCGCCAAGCTACCTTCTCCAGGCCGGCCCTCACCATCACCCACCTGGCCTCCAACCCTCACCACCACCCATCCGGGTCTCCAGGCCTCACCCTCACCCTCACCACCCTCATCCCATGACGAACCACCTCGACCTCACCCTCTCCCCCACCCGCGCCAACATGCTCCTCTCCCCCTCCAACCCCCCCACGCGCATGACCCTCCGCCGCGGCCCCCCTTCCTTCGACCACGGCCCCCTCTCCGCCACCACCTCCCGCTCAACCTTCGCGCGCCTCCTCGCCTCCCCCCCGCCATCCCCCAGCCTCCCCGCCCTGGTCCCACGGCACGGGAAACCCCCTCCCTCGCCCACCCCGCGGCGCCTACGGCGGCTAACCCGGTTTCTCATCTGGGTCTTTGGGGTCTCGACAATAGTCTACTACGCCACCGCCCTCCTGCGCGCACACCGGCACCTCCCCTCCATGGGCGCCTGGTCCACCGACTCCGGCACCTCCTACGAGCTCGTAGGCGACGACTCACTCCCCGACTTCCCCACCCCCGTCGTCGTGACCGATTCCTCCGGGAAACCGCGCTGGACAATCTCCATCCCCCCCCACACGGCCTTCCCCCTCCACCCCTCCGACTACGCCGAGCTCTGCGCCCAAACCGGGGAAATAGCCACCCACGTATCCAGCCTACTCCACAAATCCGCCCCTCCCGCCGCGCATAAGCCATACTCGCACATCGATCCCAACTTCCTCGACCCCACCCTCGCCGACCGTCTCGGTCTCCTCCTCTCCGCCGCCCAAGCCGCGGGACTAACATACCGCCCTTCCCGCCCTCCTCCGCCTCCACTACTAGGGGAATCCTTCTCCTCCCTCTCTCTCCCGCCCTGCACGCGCTCCCTAACCGTAACCCTCGAGACCCCCTCCGCAGGGCTCGCACCAACCCTAATGCTCCTCTGGACCGCCTACGGCCTCGCCCTCTCCGAAGACCGCGCCTTCTTCATCGACGACACGAGGTGGCCCTACGGTTCATACACCGATTTCTTCCTCCCTCCCCCGCCCGCAACATGCCGTCCCCCGCCGCGTCACCACATAACCCCGTGTCCGCACTCAGCAGCCCACCTCCTCGTCTCCGCAGCGACAACCCCCCACACCTTCGGCGGCGCCTTCCACGACGCCTTCGAAGACGCGCATCGCGCCGGCAATGCGCGACAGAAACCCATTTTCGACCTCGCGAGGAAGGGCTACGAAGCCCTCTTCCACCTCAAGCCCGAGGATGCCACGCACGTCTCAGATCGCCTCGCCGAACTCCGCTCAATGGTCGCCCATCCCGAGACACCCGGGAAGATAGTAGCCATGCACATCCGCCACGGCGACGCGCACCCTCTATCCTTCCAATACCGCGACGCCTACATCCCAACCCCCCACTACACCTCCGCCGCGCACTCCCTCCTCTCCACCTCCTTCCCCTCCACCACCCCTTCCGCCTCCTCCCACCGCGCTAGGAGCGTCTTCGTAGTCGCCTCCGACGACCCAGACGTCTACACCGACGACGACCTCATCGGCTCCGTGCGCGCGCAATCGGTTATCAAACTCGCATCCCGCCCGCCCCTTTCGGCGTCGCAGGAAAAAGGGGAGCCGGATGAGAGGGGTATGTTTAGACGCTTTATTGAGGCGCCGGTGGGGTGGGAGGGGGGGTTTTTTGCGGGGATGTTTTGGGGACTTGGGAAGGGCGGGGAGGTGGGGGGGGAGGGGTGGAGGTTGAGGGGTTTGGTGGGACGGGCGTATTTGTTGGATTTGGCTGTGCTTGCTGGGGCGGGTGGGGGGGAGGGGGAGGGAGGGGGGATTGTGTGTGGAGTTGGGAGTATGGGGTGTAAAATCCTTGCTGTGATGGGGGGGTGGGAGATGGTTGAGAAGGGGGGGTGGGTTAATGTTGATGGGGAGTTTGGGTGGAGGGGCGTGAGTTGGTAGATTTTCTGCCCCTTTCTTCCCTCTTGCCCGCTTCAAGGACTCTGTGTGTGTGTGTGTGTGTTGTTGGTGTTATTGAAAAAAGCATATTGAAAAATCTAGCGATGGGTAAAAAGGCGGGGTTGCATTGGCGTTTTGGGGGGGGGGGGGTACATAGACGGGAACTCGGAAAACTCACTCACTCACTCACTCACCTATTTTGAGGAGGAGGAGGAAGGGAGGAAGGAAGCAGCTAGTGGCAGGACGCACAGCAGCAATGGCATAGTACAGCAATAGCATACAGAGCGAGAACAGGCATGTCGCAATAGATATAGCATATACAAGAAATCCAAATTCGGAATCACAAATCACCTACCTACATACCTACATTACCTACACAAATGTGCCTAGTTAAACTAACTAACTAATTAACTAACTAATTACCTCCCAAGATAATATATAAATAAAACGCCAGCATAACAAAACCCACCAGCCCCAAACCCACCCAACCTCTGCCAATCCAATGCCGCCGCCATCCGCCATGTGTGTGGGGGTGGGATTTCAGTGCCATGGTGTATGTAGTGTGTATAAGAAGGCGTATCGCGCCTTCCTATATTAAAGAGCGAAGGAAGGGAAGGAGCCATGGGAGGAAGAAGCCATGGGAGGAAGAAGCGATGGGAGGAAGGGGCGATGGGAGGAAGGAGCGATGGGAGGAAGGAGGGAACGAACGAACGAGGTGTCTTCGCTCGGCGCAGGGAAGGCGCGAGGGAGCTCATAAGCTGTGTTCGGAGGGAAGGAGCGGTGGGGAGTGGATAGAGATTTGAGAGGGGAGAAGCGAAGGAAGGGGGTGGCGAGGGAAGGAGCGAACTAGTTAGCAGGTGAGGATATACATAAATAGGAGAAAAAAGGAGGGGAAGCGTTGTATAAAAACTATTCATTTTTTTTACGTTGTTTTTTTCTAGTTAAGATTCCCCATCTGTAGTAAAAAAAGATGAGGAAGAGATTGAAGGCATTAGATAAGTATTCTTTTTTTTGGTCTTTTCGTATTTTAATATTCCCCAAACCCGAACAGAACAAAGTAAACAACCATCCTCCTCGGTTACGGTTCATCCACTCCGAGACCGTCACAGACAGCCTCGGGATGGACAATGAAGAATGGAAAAGCGAACAGCGGTAAAGATAAAAGCAGAGATAAAAAGATGATAAAAAACAGCACGAGAGAAGAGGAGAAAGGTGACGAAGCAAGCAAGGGGAATCTGATCAACAGGGCCCCCCACCATCCCCTCGCAACCCCTCCCTCTCGCACCGAAGAAACGAAAGAAATAAAAATCGCGCGGTAGACGACAAACGAAAAGAGCAACCAGCCACATCCAGGGCAGGAAAGACACGATGTTAGCTTCCGCTCACTTCATCCTCTTCCTCCCCCTCCCCTCTCCCTCCCCCGCCCCCCTCTTCCCCTCCCTCCCAGCACTCCCCCCTTCTACTCCCCCCCTAAGACTCCCCACAAGCCACCCAAGCTTCTCACCATAAACCGCCGGCGCCGCCCTCCCCCCAAACGCCTCCTTCGCCTCCTCCAGCACCCCCACCACCCCGCGCCCCGCATCCCCCAAATCCGCCAATCCATCGACCAAAAACCGCTCCCCCCCCGCAGGGGGCTCGCTCCCAAAGAAGCGGGCAAAGATATTCCGATCCGTCAAGGGGAGAGTCTGCTGACGCGTCCCCTTCCATGTGGGCGTGGCGTAGACGTCGATATTGCGCTTCGAGAGATCCAGCAGCGTGAGGGCGAGGGACTCAGCAGCAGCCTGGCGAGCAGCCATAGACAACGGTGCGCGCGCTTCGTGAACACGAGCCAGGATCGCGGCAACAGCTTCAGAAACAGCATTTGCAGCGAACTTAACATCATGCACCACCACCGACGGCCCCCCCGCAGCAGCAGCACGCGGTCGCGTAGCCGCATACGCATCCAACTTCGCCAGCGCTGCCGCCGCTCTCGCGCGCTGCTTACGGAAGAAACTAGCCGCGCAATGGGACGACGGGACGAGCGCGCGGAGATGGCGAAATAGATCCGGGTTCGCGAGCGCGGCGTGAGCGAGTGTCTTCTCGAGGTCGGTGGGGAAGAGGAGAGGGGAGGAGGGGTCGGCGGGGAGGGCTGAGAAGATGTCGGGCCTGTAGTCGTCGCGGGTTGCGGGGGAGAAGGAAGCGAGGATGTCGCGGATATCTGTTATTCTCGCTGCTGTGGCGGCGGCGGGGGAGGGCTCGACGTAGGACGGGGCGATGCGGAGGTCGCAGTCGAGTTCCTGGAATAGATGTGGCCCCGAGGCCGTGATGTGGTGGTAGGCGTCTGCGTTTGCGGGGGCGCGGGAGAAGCCGCGGGGGGAGAGGGGGAGGGGAGTGGATTTGTCGGAGGTGGAGAGGGTGTGTGAGGCGATTTGGTCGAGGAGCCAGAAGATGTGTCGGCAGGGGCCGGGGTCGGAGTCGCAGTGGCAGGTTAGGCTGCGGTACTCTGAGTCTGGGGCGCCGACGCGGACGGAGAAGCTGACTGTCTCGAAGATCTGGAAGGCGAAGTACTCGGAGCCTTCGGAGGGGTTGTAGACGGAGCAGTGGCCGAGGGTGAAGGGTTCGTTGAGGCCGGCGCGGGCGCGGCGGGTGGTGCTGCGGGTGAGGCGGCTGGTGTCGTAGCGGAGTTTGGTGTGTGCGGAGCGCAGGATCGAGGCGTCTTCGGGGCTGGAGTCTTCGCCGGAGTCGTCGTTGCTGTCCTCGTCGGAGGAGGCGTCGGAGGAGTCGTTGCTGGGCTGGGTAGCACCATCTTCTGGGCGGGTGGATGCCATCCTGGAGAGGGAGAGTCGGGAGAAGCCTGAGGTGGGAGAAGACATATGCGCCTGAGGTTGAGGATGGGATGCTGGATGAGGTGTGAGAGGGAGAAACTCATGATGGCTTCCATTGAGTCTTATAGTCCTCGCCGGACAGCATCCCGGCGTGTTGGTTGGTGTTTGCCTTCGGCCTGAACCGTCAGTAGCAGCAGCAGTAGCAAGGCTTTCCGGCCTAAAATCGGCAATGCGGTGAATAATGTGATATCGAGGAGGGTCAGGCCCAAGGCCTCCTCTCTAACCTTTCCAACGGCGCTTGCACAGCATCCAGGGCGGCGGATCTCCATCAGATGGAAAGTATGAGAAATGATACCAGGCCGGCCATGGCGAGGCCCAGTGCATGAGTACATCGCGTTGGGGTTTTTTTTATCACGGAACCTGCCTTCTGTGACCTCAGAGCACAAGGTATGGTGACTTGCGAGGTAATGCGGGCGTTGCTATCTTTCTCGAGCTTGTCATGCCGGTTAAGCCACAATATCCACACAGCATCATTGAACCGCCCGGCGGTAGCGAGTTAAAAGCCGCAGACGCCTGAAGCGAGCAACTAGGATGACAGCCCCGTCGTCCCCGCCGTCCCCTATGGTGGGATATCAAACGACGCCCCCTCACAGAGGCCTCATTTTTCTTCTGCATCCGCGCGTGCCCGGAATAACCGTAAGCGTCATAGTCCCCGCCGTCGACGATGATAGTAGAACTTGCTTTTCCCATTTCTCATCAGGCCACCGCGACACTGCCCGCGGATCCTGGCTGAGGCAGAGAGAATAGGACTTGTATCATGCCGTGAAACAAGACGAGACTTTGATACTGTTAGTCTTGCGGTGCAGGGAGATCGTAACTTCGACATGTAGAGCCAGAGGGATTGATGTTGGGGGCGGAGACATTCCTGCCCGAAATGGACGACTTACAAGGGTTGAGGACCGACGATAGACTCTAGATGAGAGCTCCGTGGAGAAAGCTGTACCGTCATCGGCCGAGTTTGGATCATCCCATTGTTGCAGTATCAGAATCGCAGAATTGCTGTTGGTTAGGCTGCCACATTTGGTGCTGTTTTCCTCTGCCTCCCTCTCTGCCTGGTCTTGAACTTGGCCTCGGTGGCCCGCATGGCCGCCGATATGGTCTCCGAGTGGCCGCCGGTGAGGTCTCCGAGCAGGTCGAGCCGTAGGTCTAAGTCCCGCGGCCATTTCAGAGGCCATGTCACCCCATTATATGTCTGTGATTGCCGCAGGCAGCATAGTTAAGCGGGTAGTGGTGTGGTGATCCTGCTACCTACAGTGTGGCGCAGGTTGATTTAATGAGGCGATGCCCACTCCACCACCACAACCCTACTACAAGCGCGTGTAATTCTCAGATATCTCCTCAATGCTACTGTACCTCATAAGAGAATTCCGAGAGAATAGCGGCCAGGCAGATAAATTACACCACTGAATTGTACAGTACTGGACTGTGATGTCCAACTCAGGCTTAAGTGCCGGGGGCTATGCACAATAGATCAGTGAGTGTTACTGCCAACGGTCTCATCCAACATGGCCATCTCCACTTCTCGAATACTTCTCGAAAACTAGGAAATATCCTGCATGTACTCTCAATCAAGTGATCTCCACGCTAGGCTTCAGCAAGAACGACGGCCGCATAGGCACGAGCAAAGAGAAGCAGCTGTCGTGGCTCCTCTCAGACTCATCTCCGATGCGGTGTCCAAAGTCCATTGCCGCGGAGATTCACCGACTCTGTGTTTCCTCACCAATCTAAATATCACATATGATTCTTCCATGAGAGATCCCTTTCCACAATGTAGATCAATCCCCTTCTAGATTCTGAACAGCCCGCCCAAGGCCACGAGCAGAATTAGACATCCCCTATCCCGCACCATGGGATTTAGACAGACGATGGCTCCCGCTCTCGATCGTCCAATCGCGAGCGCGCATCGCCCAAAACCACAAAGACCTTAAATCCCACAGCCGAGGGAAACGTGCTTCCTCTTCCTTCCACGATGCGGGAAACGGTCGCCAGCCAATGCTTGGCCGAGTGCAGGGTAGTGAGTGACGCGGGAGACGGAGCCTTGTGGCGATGCTGGTTGTTGGTTTAGGCCCCCAATATTTGGCCCTGTGAGCGAGGAGCAAAGAAGGAAGGAAGGAAGGAGGGAGGAAAAGGTCGCGCGAGCACGGAAGTACGATTGTGGGGATATTTGGAATCGAGGATTGGGGTGTTGGTAACAGAGTAATTGCCGATACGACGTGACTCTAGGATTGAACAATATCGATATCTGTTGGAAGGAGAAGGGCCGTTGCAGTCTTGACCACCGGCTGAGTACTAATGGCAGGTGCAACCGCAACTTACAACACAAAAGACCCAGATCCAAATCCACAATAGCAGGGCAATCATAGCACCCGGCCTCCCCAACGCCCTCTCCCCCATCCTCCAAGGTTGTCCACCCAACACCCCCTTTTCCCACCCACTCGCCTCTCCCCATTCCCCAGCACCACCCCTCTCACGAAACCCTCCCCTCCACCTCCCCGCCTCAGCCGCAGCCCTCCCCCATCAACGCGGTCGCATTAAAGTAACCGCCCCCAAATGAATTGGTCACACATGCATACAGAGCACGGATCGCGTACAGCACCACGAAGCGAACGGCCAGCCGCGGACGCTGCTTTACCGCCGGCGTCCGTGGGGGCGGGTAACATAGATGCACGTCTTGTGGGGAGGGGGAGTTAAAAGTGGTGCCTTGTCACCTCATTTGCGGCCGCGGCATTTGTGCTCGTTTGCAGGAATGTGAGGAGGAGGGAGGGTGTGGTGATGGCAGGGCTGGCGGACGGCTTCACCGCTTGGGGGGAGAGGAGGGGAGTGAGGTGAGGCGCGGTCCGAACGTCGTTCAATACGCGGTTGCCTGAGGAGACGAGGGTTCACGGTGACTGAGCAAGAGAGTGGGAGAAACGGCATTCCCATTTCATTCATTCGTATCTAGAACCGGCTGCTCAAACTATTATGTGATATTAGGTAATCTATATATCTGTTTCCTGTTGTTCCAAACGCCGCCCAACACAATTATTTACACTCCGGCATACCATCCTCGGAGCCAGCCAATCCATACTCCCAACCATCCATCCCCGCAGCGACCGTATCACAGGCCGGCCCTTAGTTCTTCTCCCGCTTCTCCCACACGATCATGGCCGGGGTGAGCGGCCGCGAGAACAGCGAGCTGTAATCCGTGCCCACAACCTCGTTGACTCCGTCAGGCAGCCTCCACTTGAACTCGCGCACCATGGTCGCGATGATGGTCCCGAGCTGCAGGCTGGCGAATTGCTCGCCGATGCAGCGGTGGCGACCGGCGCCAAAGGGCAGGTAAGGCGACGTGGCGCCCTTGCTGATCATGCCGTAACCGTAGTCCTCGTGCTCCTCCTTGATGTCGCCCATCTGGACGCCGGCCGCGCCGGCATCCCAGCGGTGGGGATCCCACTTGAGGGGCTCGGGGAAGTACTCCTCCATCCGCGCGGTGACACCGGCGGAGGAGAGGAGGGTGTGGGTTGTTGGGATGACGAAGTTGGTTCCGGGGACGGGCATGGGGGACTTGACTTTGCGGAGGATGGAGTGGATGGGGGTGTGGAGACGGAGGGTCTCCTTGAGGACGGCGTTGTTCAGGGTGAGCTTGTTGAAGTTCTCGTAGGTCAAGGGAGGGAGGTCGGGGCCGAGGACGCGGAGCTGTTCTTGGTAGAGTTCCTCGATGATATCGGGGCGGGCGGCGAGGTTAAGCATCATCCAGGAGCTGGTAGACGAGGAGGAGTGTTGTCCGGCCATGAGCATGGCAATCATCATGTGCGAAATCTCCTTGTCGGGGATGGGGGTGCCGTCCTTGTAAACCGCTGCCATCAGATGGCGGATCAAATCGTGCTCATTCTCATCTGGGATGTTTCCAGCGCGACGTTCCTGGATGATCTCCATGTATGTCTCGGAAAGGATTCTCTGAGCGCGATCGCGAGCACGGTTTTGTGGCAGAGGTGCCCAGTGAAGCATGAAGTTGATTGGGGTGAAGCCCATGTCGAGGTCGTGGAAGAGGTTGGCAAAGACGGCGTTGAACCTGGATCGGACTTCCTTTCCTTGGAGTGTACGGGAAGCGGTGTAGATGGTGATCTCAGACATGGCTGCGGGAAGGTCGGTTTTGCCGCTGGGGCCCTTGAATGCCGGGCTGGTCTTGATGAAGTTGGTGACCTCCTGGACGATAAGGGGCACGTAGGACCTGAACGTCTCGGTGGTAAGACTGACTTTCACGAACTGCGCCAGTTAGCCACTAATCATTTCTCAGTGTATTTAAACCCCATACCTTCTTCTGCTCCATGAGCTTCGCGTTGGGACAATCGTAGACAACTCCGGTACCGAAAACTGGCGTGGTGAGTTTTGTGTAGATCTCCTCGGCGTTGACGTCCTTGAGTTTGCCATTGAGGATGAACTCGTTGCCAGCTGTTCCAAGGTATACGGTGGTCTTCTTTCCGAGAAGAATGAAGGTGAAGATATCGCCATACTACTAAAGTCAGCTTGGTCCTTCGCCCAGCACTTTCACGTTCACGAACCTTTTCTCTGCACTTGAAGAAGAAGGGATATGGGTCCATTCCATAGCTGATAGTGTTTCCAAGGATTGGGAACCAGTGGAAAACAAGCGGTGGCTCGTTGGGGTTCTGGGGAAGGAGCTGGCTCAAGACATTGAGGACGACAGCGAGAGCGATGAACGACGCGAATCCAACGGCTGCCACGACGGCGAGGCCGCGCTCGGAAATCTGCGCATTGATTGGGATCAGGACGGCCTGAGTGAGGCTCTCTGTTATGCCCATTGTGCCGTATGTGTTCGGCGGGGGAACGGTCCAGGTAGTCGGGGTGAATTCGTAGGAACCAAAGTGGTATTTGGTTAGGACAGGAGGGAGGGACAGGAGGCAATTTGTATAGTTTTCTGGGGAGATAATCGAATTAGGAAAGGCGGCTATGATTGGCCCCTCGAATCGTTGGCAGTATTTCATTAAAGTTGCTTAGTGTCATGGCTCCTTTCCCGCAGTTGCCACCGCCCGGCAAAATCAATTATATTAGCTTAGCGTATACATTATAGCCAATGAGAGTGCGCTTATAGGAATTTGAGATTGACCCCAGAATTCCAAGGCACAAACCTATACGAAAACGAGCACGAGCACGAGCACGAGCAGACCACATGCATGATCACGTGTTTAATGATGAAGTTGCCTCAACAGCACTGTTTGGGTTATAAAAAGTACACAGATAATGTTTGATAGTCGCACAAATATCCACTGAGCTGCGTATCGAAGACAGGCCACGCAAGCCATCTCCGCACTTACCTTGGCCACCAACCCAATAGGCTCCAAGCCAAAGTCATCCTCGTCTGCCTCCTTCCCAATGAACACCACAACCCCCTCCGGCCCGCTCCTCTCCCTCACCCCCTACCCCCTTGCCCATCTCCCTCCCTCCCCTCAAACCAACAGCTCCTCAGACTACCCCGACCTCCCCACTCCCACTCCCTCCGCGCCCTCAGCCACCTCCCTCCTCACATCCCTCCTCGCCGAAGCCCTCTCCCTCCTCTCCTCCGCCGCCCCCCGCGACGGCTCCCGCCCCTCCTGGACCCAACAGCGAAAGCCCCGGCATTACCCCAACTCCACCGCCCCCGTTCACCTCTCCTCCAGCCCACACAACGGCGCACACTGGGTCTGTAGGCGCAGCTCACACCGCGACGCCGCGCAGCGCGGAACAGCGTCATGGACTGAGTTCGAGGCCGCGTTCAAGACGGAACATACGCTCCATGAACAGGAATTCACGCCTTCAGTGATGGGCTTCGAGAGAGTCGCATGGTGGGAGGAGGGAGTGAAAGATATGAGCCTCGAGATCCCGCGTGAGCAGTGGAAGGGAGTTAGCCTGGAGCTGCTAGAGATCGCACATAGCCTCCCCAAGCCCCTGAACCCGCGCTCCTTCCCGGTGCTGCAGGGGATCGCAGAGAGGGTTGATGTGGGTGTGGAGGGCGGGGAGTTTGTGGTGGTGACCGTGCCGGTGGATGTGAAGTGGAAGGTGTGGGCGCAAGCGGTGCCGGCGAGGTATGCGGCGGTAGAACGGTTTCAGAGGGTTGGGGCGAACGTGGAGTGGGTTATGGCGACGGCGTCGAGGGCGGGGGGTGTGTTGCCCGGGTGGGCGCAGGATATGTCTGTCCCCGGGGTGGTGGCGAAGGATGTGGATTTGTACTTGAAGTGGGAGGCTGAACAGCGAGTGAGGAGGGCGGAGACGGAGACGAATGTGGAGGAGTCACCGGAAAATGATGGTGCGGATTGATGAGGTGAGCCCGGAGCCATAGGATGGACTGTAACGGAGGAGCAATCTGATACTAGGGGGTCGTTGGATGATGCAGAGTCGCTGGCTCCAGGAAATGTTGGAGGGGGAATACCATGAAAGGGAAGAGCCGTAATAGGAGTGTACGCCGCGGATTGCGATGGAGGAAGGAAGGGAAGGTCACTGAAGACACCATGGAATCTCAAAAGACATACATAATCTCTATTTCCCTCCCTTCTTCTCCCTCCTCTCCCACAACTCTTCACTAGCCTTCCTCGTCCCCTCCACAATAATCCCATGCTCCACCTTATGAATCCGTTCCTCCAGCCCCTCGAGCGTCTCGCCCTCCTGGAACTCAATCTCCCGCACCAATATCGGCTGTCCGCGATCCACCTCCGCAACAACATAATGCACCATCACCCCCGTCGGCCCCTTCGACTTGCCAGCCACGAAATCATCGTAGGCGCGTTTAATCGCGTTGGCGCCGTCGTAAGCGCCCGGGAGCGCGGGGTGAAGGTTTATCACCGGGACGTGTTCCTTTTCCAGGGGCGCGAGGAAGGGGGGAGATAGAATGTGCATCCAGCCCGCCTGCATCTATTAGCTTCTATCCTCATCACAGGGCGGAAAATGGGGAGACTCACGCAAACGATCAGGTCCGGCCCGTCGCTCAGGATCAGCGCTGCGAGATCGGCGTCATACTTCTCGCGGCCGGCCTTGATGGCTTCGGGATCCTTTTCGCCGCTCTTGAGGTAGTGGCCGGCGACGAGGTTGTGGTAGGATGTCTTTATGCCGGCGGAGCGGGCGCGGTCGAGGCCGTAGGCGTTCTTTTTGTTGGAGATAACGTGGGTGATGATTGTGTTTGGGAGGGTCGGTGGGGAGCTGGTTGTGGCGTCGATGAGGGCTTGGAGGTTGGTGCCGGAGCCGGAGATGAGGACTGTGAGCTTGGTTGGGGGGTGGGAGGAGGAAGACATGGCGTTGAGGAGGTTTAAGGCGTGTTTTGAGAGCTGAGGCCGGTGTAGGAGGTATTTGGCGGGGTCGAAATTTTAGACTGGATTGCTGCAGCACCAGGCGCGACCGAGTTTCACGGAATATCCTTTCCGTTAAAAGGTATCTATACGGATCAACTATGACCAAAACAGATGAGCTGGCTATGTGAGACAAACGGATAGAGCGTAGCACTTCATCCCCAATCGACGTCAACCATCCAGCAAATAATTCTACCCCACCACACGTGACCCAACCTGCCCCGCTCCTAGCGTGGTCTTGTGAGATCATTACAGGTATGTAATGATCTCACACCCGCCAGGTACGACGACGTCCTCCCCGAGCTCACCCCAGCTATCTACTCACTCCTACAACCATCTATCAACCCTCAAAACCATCTATCACTCGTTGAAATCACCTGAAATCACCATGTCACCTACCGGCAAAGGCATCGGCGCCGCCCCGAAGATTGACGGCTCAGACCTCCGCATCGGCATTGTGCACGCGCGCTGGAACGAGCAGATCATCGAGCCACTCCTCGAGGGCGCTCGCAAGGAACTCCTTGCTGCCGGCGTGAAGCCCGCCAACATTGTTGTGCAATCCGTGCCCGGCTCCTGGTATGCCTTCCCCCATTGACCCTACGGCTACCCCACCCCGCCCTACCCCGCCGAGCATACCAGAGCACGAGCACGCAGCTAACTTCTGTAGGGAGCTCCCCATCGCCGTCCGCGGGATGTACACTGCCTCCCAAATCCAAGCTACTCAATCCTCGACCTCCTCTGCCGGAGACCTCCTCGGCTCAACCTCCGACCTCGCATCCGACGCAGCCGCGACCCACACCCCACCCTTCGACGCACTGATCGCTATCGGCGTGCTGATCAAGGGCGAGACGATGCACTTCGAGTACATCTCTGACGCTGTGTCGACGGGCCTGATGCGCGTGCAACTCGATGCTGGTGTGCCGCTTATCTTTGGACTGTTGACGGTGCTGAGTGAGGAGCAGGCGCTGGTTAGGGCTGGGCTTGGGGGAGGGGAGAAGGGCGCGAAGGGGTATGCGGCGCATAACCATGGTGAGGACTGGGGGAGGGCTGCGGTGGAGTTGGGGCAGAGGAGGAGGGAGTGGGGGGAGGGGAAGATCCTTTAGAGCAGGGGTTGATGTGATGAATAGGATATATAGAGAATAAAACGTCTGTTTAAGCTTGTTTTCTTAGGTGGAAGGTGCCCAATGCAGCACAATTAGATTGGGCCGATGAGCTAAGTCTATCAGCGGATGTCATACTCAGCACTGATTCTCATCTTTCTCATCTTGCCGCACGGTTGAAACGTAAGCCCTCTTGGACGTGTGCATAACGTCATTATAGATGTTAATACTCTGAACACTCGTTCTAAGTATATAGTACGGTATAGTACAGAATATGAATATATACCAAAGTTTAGTGTGTATTCCAAGCCGTCGTGGCTCCCCTTCAGCTGCCCAGGCTAGAAATTTTCCATCTGTAACAAAACGCTGCTGGTGTCGCCCAAAAGTTCGAAGGGGTACCTACTTAGCTCTTCAGACTTTAAAACAGCAAGAGTACAAGTCGCCGTATAGAGCACAGAGAGTAGACAGAGTACAGCGAGCACCAGATCACCACCAGCCAAGTTTCGGCCCAGCGCTGATGACGCTATAAGTTGCGACGACTCCGATTTTGACGGTGAGTATAGACCAGTGCAAACCACACTGTAAAAACAGGGCTGAGAGCACAAAAAGTACGACTGAGCACACTGTCATAGCATCCACTATGGGGAACAACCGCCAATCCATCTCAATTCGGGAAGTATATCGCGACATAAAAAAGCCGCCAACAGAGAAAACCAGAAGGATCGACCGCTGATTCGCTCCGCCCCGGCGACTCCGCGATCCGAAGCATGATGGTCGGCCTGATTGCTGACGCGGCGCTGTCAAAACGAGCATGGGTGGGGATGACACCCCCACAATTCCGGCTGAGCACCAACGAGCCCTTTAAGCTTTGCAAAAAGAGCTTTATATCTCCTCGCTGCTGTCCGCCGCCGTGTGACATCTCTCGAGAAACATCACCGTCGCATCGACAAAACTACGTGCCCTTTCCAGCCTCGTTGCACACTGAAAAGCCCAAACCGCAACCCCAAACCCCGCCGACCTAGTCTCCACCGCCAAAATAGGGAACCTCACGAACTACCTAACCATGGCTCACAACAGCCGCTACGAGCGCGTTCGTCCCTCCTCACCAAATCTCCCCTCCAGCCTAACTAACCCTCCCTCCAGATCGGCCAAGACGACGATGCCGTCTCCCTCCAAACCGTCGCCCAAGACTACAACTACAACTCCGGAGTCCCCAACTCCCCACCCCCCTCCTTCCGCTCCACCACCACCCCCCTCACGCCCTCCACCCTCCGATCCCTAAACGGAGCCTGCACCGACCCCACCCCCCCCTACCCCTCCACCATGGCCCCCTCCCTCGCCGGCGTCGACCTCCCCGAGACCTGGTCCGGGACCGTCGTTGACGCCCCCCCAAACCCCGCCGCCACAATCCTAAGCCTGCACCGGCGTCTCGCGAATCTCGAGGAGTCGCTGGGCCGGCTGCTGCTGGAGAGGGAGGAGTGGCAGCGCGAGGCGGAGCATAGGAGTCCGAGGGCGAATTGCTGTGCTAGTTTGCCGGCGGATGATCCGGTGCTGAGCTCGAGGAGTAATTGCTGTGTTAGTGTGGTGCCGATGTTGAGTGCGGAGGCGCAGGAGAGGAGGCAGAAGAAGGTGATGGGGTTTGTGATTGTGTTGGTGTTTTTGGGGTGTTTGTTTGTGTGGTTGATTGTGGATTCGGATAGGAAGGGGAGGAGGGGGTGAGGGAGGGAAGCCAGGGCGGTAATGAGGGGATGGGGAGTTTATGGGTGCGGCAATAAGTAGCCGGTAATGAGGGGGTGCTGTGATGTTTAGGCGGTTCGCCTTGGTGTCTCTCGAGGGGGATGCTGTTTAGCGTTGCGAGCGGAATGAGCGACGAGATCTACGCTGATATACACGGTGTTTACGAGGTTTCTAGGCTGGGGATATTTGGGGTCAGGTGTATAAACATATTTCAAACTCTACTATATAGAGTCACCAGCGACACATAGCTATTTCATTAGGCAAATAATAGAGCATTACGACTTGATATCTCATTCTACAAGTATGTAAATACACCTTCCAACTCCCCAAAACAATTGCCACCAAAAATGTACCAATAGTCCCCCCATACACAACCCCAGAACGCCATGCTATTTTTAATCAGATACCAACCTCATCACTCATCGCTATCATCATCACTATCCTCGACCACTACCCTCCTCCTCTTCCTCCTCCCTCCCCCACCACTCTCGTCCCTGACCTCAACAGCCTTCCCCGTCGACCTCCCATACTTCCCAACCAGTGTACTGATATCCGGCAACTCCTCATCACCATCCATCGACTCCTGCGTAGCGGTGAACTGCGTCGGTTCGAAGAACGGCCTCGCTTTCGCTGGGGGACTGACTGATGAGGAGATAGTCTGGTGTGCTCGCGCGGAATGCGCCTTGGGCGTCTCGTCGTCGCGGACGATGAAGTCGTCAAGATCGCTGTCTTCTTCATCGTCGTCGTACCGGGGGGCTGCCGAGCTGCTGGACATGGTGTTGATTGAGTCTATAGGTGGAGATCTGGGGTTCAACCGATATTTGGCCCGGGGTGCTGCGCGGTTCCGGCGGGGTGGGGTCAGCGTCTCTGATTCTTCGGCAGAGAGTGAGAATAGGTCTCGTGGTGCTGCGGAGGATTGGCTTGTCGAGAGGTCTATCGAGGTCTGGCTGGACCTTAGAGGGAGGGGGTCATCTTGCATGCGCTCCCAACCATCCAATGTCTCATCATTAATATCTTGCATTGACTGCAGCATCTTCACGAGCCTCTTTGAAGCTGCTCCGTGTTTGACACGCTTCGTTGGCCGTAGAGATCGTTGTAGCTCAGTATGTTTATTTAATTCCGGGACGCTGACATCCAGTGTTTCGAATCCGCCGGCGATGGTTTGATATGTCTCCAGTAACAAAGCTTTGTCGGAGTGAGATAAAAACACCGACTCGAGAAGTGGCTTCTCCATCCGCTGGTCCTCTGATAATTCCGATACCGGTTCTTCTGCGGCTTGTGATAACGCAGAGCCCTTTCGGGGGGTTTTCTTCCCAGACATCATTGACGCTACAGACTGAAATCCGGTCTCAACATCATCAGGCATGTTGAATTTCTTTGGCGGCCTTTTTGGTGCTCGTTTCGCCCGGCGCTTCGGCTCTGGCAACGACGGGTCTTGGGTGTTCTCCACTGGTATTTCAATGTCCCTCTTATCAACAGCTGGCACGATATCTCGAGGCACTATTCGTGTTGATAGGTCAAAACGGAAGTTAAATCGGGATCCATCACTGATCATCCGCTGCATAGCCTCGTAGTTATCTTTCGCCTTGATAAATGAATCCTCCTCTTTCCCACGCATCAGGAGCAGTACGATACTACCCGCTCGCTTTCTGCCCGTCCTTCCCATCCGCTGCAGCATGCGAATCGGGGAGGAAGATGCATCATAGCAAACGATGAGATCAACCTGTCCAATATCCAGGCCTTCTTCGCCTATAGATGTGGCAACAATGACATTGAAAATTCCCTCTTTGAATTTTCTGATCGTCTCAATCTGCGTGGCTTGATTCATGCCATCAGAGTGCTTCGTGCCGGCTTGACCGACGAAGACAGACGCCCTTACCATTGGCGCATGCCTATTCAGCACCCGGGCCACTTCTTCGGCACTTCCGCGGTATTCACAAAAGACGATGATTCTTGTTTTGGATGGTGGTGCTCCATCTTCCTTCCTCCCGTCACCAGCATCGAGGAAGTGATTCAACACCGTATCGCATAAATAAGTAAGCTTCGGATGGCCAACGAAGTCATCCTTGTTGATCCACATATTTACCAGATCCATCATCTTCTTAAAGTGCGGACTGTCCATAATTTGTTTCTTATATTTTCCGAGTTTAGCACCGCGTTCCTCTGCTTCGGACCGGAAATCTTTCATCGTTTGGAAGAAGGGCCCAACACCATGGAAATTCAGTAACTTTATCCCATGCGATACGCTGGCGAGAACTGTGAACAGGCTTCTCATCATGCCTTTCAACCCGAAGTTTGCCGATTTCCCTGCAGGCGATTTCAGCCACGTCTCTTGAGCCTTCAGCATTCCAAACGGCGTCAGCGACAGAGGATCCCGGTTGTAATACGCATTATGACCGCATAATTGGTCCACCAAGGGTTTCAAAGTCTTTGATAAAAGATCTTGAACCTTTACAATCTCTTCCGATGGGTCCAGAATCACTTGGTCTATGTTCCGCTGGTGAACGTATTGCTGGATGTCAATAGACTCTTCGGTCCTTATTTCCACTTTTGAAATCTCGAGCCCGTTGATTACTTCTTGAACGGCCTCAACAGACGAACCAGGGGTGGCTGTCAATGCAAGAATGCGAAAACTCTTCGTGAAACGTCGCATAAACTCGATGACCTTAACATAAGAGTAGTTACCCGTTGCTCGATGCGCCTCATCGACCACTAGGAGCACAATCTTCTTTGGATCGGCAAGACCGGTCCTCAAATCATTCTCCAGTGTCTGAGGCGTCATGAAAAACACTCGTTTCGAAGCCCATTCTTCCGCTCTCAGCGCTGGACTGATCTCGCCGGTGAGCATAGTCGTAGATGATCTTGGAATGCCAGCAATATAGAAACACGCATCCACCTGTTGCGCCACGAGCGGTTTGGTTGGAGCCATGAAAACAATTTGAGAGTCTTTCGTCCATCGATAATAGTTGAGCATGATCGTGGCTGCAATAAACGTCTTTCCCAGACCAGTCGGAAGTGCAACAAGCGTATTATTGAAGAGGCCATTTTTCGTAATCGAGTACTGGTAATCGCGAATAGCTCCGAGGTTTGTTGGGTATACCCATGTCTTGAGCGCTTCGGTGTCTAGCGAGTGGTGTGTGGGAGCTTCGGGGGGCAAATCAACCCGATAGCTGTGAACTTTGTTGACCTGGGATGCCGGGAGTGGGTTGTCTGCTGCCCGTCCACCGAATAGAGTAGTTTGGCGCAAGCCTGTCAAAGGTGCTACAACGCGTTGCCGAGGTAGTATTTGAGACTCTGGCGGGCTCTGAGGGGTTGCTGGTCTCGCATCAGGCTCCGGTGATGAGCTGAATGCGTCTGATGGAAGACCCTCAAGCTCTTTGTCGGCGTCAAACCCGGAATAATTCGTAGCCATGGTGCTATTGGTTTGCAGTCTTCTTTTTCCTCCTGCTCATCTTGAGCTGATGTTACCTCATACCTGTCATTGGTGTTGCTGTGGAGAGCGAGGGAGCGAGTGAACTGTTCAGGAAGGAGTTTCCACGATGGCGAGGCTGAGAGGCTGAGAGAGGCTGCCATTTCTGGGAATGGAGACGCGACTGACAGGGGAGACGCGTTTGCTGCCTTAAATACTAGACACAAACTATTTACACTTTCTTCTAGTCTTGCTTTGTTGCCTTATATTCTAGGCATCACGCATTTCCACCCAATAGTCTTCCTGAGTTGGCCTTATAAAATAGGCATATTCTGTTTTCAGAGAACTGGAGAATCTCCGCATCTAGGTTACTCTATGTATAGTTCTTTGGGGTACGTACCCCATTTGTCTTGGCCCCAAGTCCTCGTGGGTCCCCAGTTCTCGTGCCATCAACCAACCACATGGCACGATCATGTGACGTGCATAGTATTTTGCCTGTCGTCATACTCGAAATGTTATCTAGCTCGTCTTTTAGAGCACTTTACACTCGGGTAAACCGCATCACATGACATATTTCCTCCCTTCTTATCACTTGGCGCTGTTTCCGCCGGGGTTAGCGTCCACTCCGCCCCTCCGCCGCCAAGATATCCCCAAGAAAACCCCACTCCGCCGAGCCTAAATGTGTGGCGAACACGCCTTCTGAGCCGCACTACGCCGTCATTCCTATAGAGTACCAAGAATACAACGTACTCATACCTCCTCAGGCGTGTCTTGGTACCACCCTTTGGGGATTTCATGCTCCAATGGCTCCAATGGGGCCATTTAATTCGATCAACCCTTGAATGAGCCAAGAATATTATTTACTCGTAAGTCCCCAATGGCGTCAGATGCGTCTCTTGGTAACCTTTGTATGCTTGGGCTCGTCGGATATTCCCAATTGCGAGATAGTTATAAGGTCTGGGCTATCCCCCTCATTTCTGTTTCCTTTCGTCATAACTAGCAAAAGTTGAAATCCCAATCCAAGAATATCATTTCAACATTGTAAGCCTATGCCTCGCCTAGATGGCTCCAAAGAAGAATACCAACAAGCAGGTTCTTGATCCTCACCCTTTCTTACTATCTGTCGAGGATGTGGCCAGTCAGCTGGGAACAAATATTGAAACCGGCTTGAGTGCCAGGAGGGTGGCTGAACTCAAAAATGAATATCCTCCAAATGAATTGGAAGGTGGGGAAGGTCCTAACTGGACTACCCTATTGATGAAACAAATTAGCAATGCAATGATATTGGTATGTTCCCACCCTAAAGACCCCAAAGTATGACAATTTCTAATGCTCCAAACAGGTACTTGTCTTTGCTATGGCTCTCAGTTTTGGCGTTGGGGATTACATTGAAGGCGGCGTTCTTGCAGCCGTCATTGTTCTCAACGTCACAATCGGATTTGTCCAAGAGTTGAAGGCAGAAAAAAAGATGGACTCGTTGCGGGCACTGTCATCACCCAGTGCTGCCGTGCTGCGAGATGGCAAAATAGACGTCATCCCGAGGTAAGCTCTATCCCGTAGTCAAACCATTTGTCGAAAGTTACTAACATATCATAATTAGTGCCGAATGTCTTCCAGGAGACATTGTAGTCTTGAAAACCGGTGACACTGTTCCAGCTGACTTACGAGTCTTCGAAGCAATGAATCTCAACTGCGACGAGAAATCGTTGACGGGCGAGGCAGAACCGGTTGAGAAGACAGTCGAAAATAACATTACCATCCCTGGCACAGACACGCTGGCTACCAGAGAAGAAGAGGTAGGCATTGGCGATCGTCTGAACATCGCATACTCTACGACTACTGTCATAAAGGGTCGTGGGCGTGGTATTATTGTCTTCACCGGTATGTTAACTGAAGTCGGAAGAATTGCAAGTGCTACAAATAAGAAAACTCGCAAGCCTGGTCGTTCAATGAGTGCAAAGAAATATGGCAAAGCTCAACCGATCAAGGGATTAACTCGACGAACATATGATGGAATCGGATGGTTTCTCGGCCTCACAGTTGGAACTCCCCTCCAGCGAAAGCTAGCCAAGCTGGCTTACCTTTTGTTTGGTTGTGCTATTTTCCTGGCTATAATCGTGTTCGCTGTCAACAAGTTCAATGTGACAAACGAGGTTGCCATTTACGCCATTTCTACTGGTATTGCCATTATTCCGGAATCTCTGATAGCGTACGTATTTCCTACTCCCTCTACATGGATATAAGGCTAATTAATCTAGTGTTCTCACTATTACCATGGTTGTTGGAATGACAGTCATGAGAAAGGCTAATGTCGTTGTCCGCGATCTTTCGGCCCTTGAGGCCCTCGGCGGCATCACCAATATTTGCTCCGACAAGACAGGAACTTTAACTCAGGGAGCTATGATCGTGAAGAAAGCTTGGCTGTGGAAGACAGGAGTCTACACAGTTCAGCGCTCAATGGATCCAAATGACCCTACCCAAGGTGTCGTTACTCAGAATATTTCTGTACAGGGCATCGAAGAGGCACAACCAGAAGCGAAGAGTGTCGACTACGATCAGCAGCGCTCCGCCGCCGCTCTAACATTTGATGTACCAGCTGAGAAAGCGATAAAAGACCAAATGAATGGCGAAAACAAAAACGCAGAAGAAGAGGCCGCGGAGATGAATGCTGCTCTCGAACAATTTCTGCAGACGGTCGCTCTCTGCAACTTGGCAACGGTCACGAAAGAGAAGCCCGAAGGCTCTAACGAAGAGATATGGCAAACTACGGGTGAACCTACCGAAATAGCGCTCCAAGTTCTTGCCTGGAGATTCCAAATGGGCAAGAAGTCCTGGGTGCGCCAGGGCTTCACGCAAGTTGCCGAATTCCCATTCGACAGCACCATCAAGCGAATGTCAGTTGTCTACAACTCCGGAGCAGAGAATAGTCTTATTTTCACCAAGGGCGCTGTCGAGCGTGTCTTGGACCTCTGCACAACCATAGGTCATGGCGAAAACCAGGAGCGTCTGACAGAAGATATCAAAGAGATGGTTCTCAAGCAGATGGATGTCTTCGCAAACCAAGGACAGCGCGTACTAGCTGTCGCAACGCGCACATGGAATGGTGATTACAAAAAACACGCCGCGAGCGTAGCACAACAACACAAGGGCAACAAAGGTGCAGATGACGAGCTCAGGGGCGAAGTCGAGCAAGACCTTACACTCCTTGGGCTTGTGGGTATCTACGACCCTCCACGTGATGAGTCTAAGGGTGCCGTCCAACAATGTGCTGAGGCGGGTATCAAAGTCCACATGTTGACTGGTGATCACCCTGCGACGGCCACCGCAATCGCCAAAGAAATCGGAATCATCCCCCACAATATGAATGTCTTGTCACCAGAGGTTGCTGCTTCGATTGTTAAGAAAGCCACCGATTTCGACGGCATGACTGATGAAGAGATTGATGCAATGCCGGAGCTTCCACTTGTCATCGCGCGTTGCGCTCCCAGCACCAAGACCCGCATGATCGAAGCACTCCGTCGGCGTGGACTATACATGGCCATGACTGGTGACGGTGTCAATGATGCTCCATCTTTGAGCAAAGCTGACGTCGGGATTGCCATGGGTCTCGCTGGATCTGATGTTGCGAAAAGCGCTGCTAAAATTGTCCTTACAGATGATAAGTTCAACTCCATTGTCTCCGCAATTAGCCAAGGTCGCCGCATGTTCGACAATATCCAGAAATTCGTCCTTCATCTGCTGACTTCTAACGTTGGCGAAGTCATCCTTCTCATCGCTGGCCTTGGCTTCCAAGACGAGAATGGCTTCTCTGTGTTCCCACTGTCGCCACTTCAAATTCTCTGGATTAATATGCTTACATCCTCGTTCCCGGCATTCGGTCTAGGCAGAGAAAAGGCTAGTACTGAAATTATGCGTCGTCCTCCTCACGATAACAAGAGAGGTGTCTTCACTGTCCAGATCATGGTTGACATGATGGTTTACGGCCTTTTGATGGGCGTCTGCACTCTCATGACTTTCGTGATCATCATCTACGGCGTGAATGACGGGAACCTAGGACACGACTGCAACCGATCCTACAGCTCGTCTTGCGATGCGGTATTCCGCGCCCGTGCCGCTGTCTTCGCTGAATTAACTTGGCTCATTCTAATCTCCGCTTGGGAGTTCAAGTCTATCCGCCGCAGCATGTTCCGTCTCGACCCAAGCTCTGAGAGTAGATTTCCCTTCTTCAAGGATATATACGAGAACAAGTTCCTGTTCTGGGCCGTCGTTATTGGAGCCGTATCTGTGTTCCCAGCCGTCTACATCCCTGGCTTGAACACCAACGTTTTCAAGCACAAGGGCATCGGATGGGAATGGGCCCTCTCGTTTGGCGCTGTCTTCGTGTTTGTGATTGGCGTCGAAGCCTGGAAGTTTGTTAAGCGCCATTACCATATCTTCGAGCGTGGCTTCGAGGACAGAAGTGAAGATGAGCGCCAGAGCAGGTTCGGGAAGGTGAGCCTGAGACAAGGCTTCTTTTCCATGACTCGAGCGAGGACCATGAGTTTCAAGAGGACACTCAGCGTCAGAAGCAACCGCAAGAAGAAGAGTGATGGTGTGAGCATCGTTGAGGTGACGACTAATGATACCACTCGTGGCTCCATGGATGTCAATAACAATGGTCGTGAGATGGTACAGGTTGGTCAGATGAGGCCGGAAGACCAGGTCTAGATGCGTTTGCTCTCTTTGATTGTTTTTTGTGATACCATTTCGCAATTGCTATATCTTGATACTTATTAAACATGGCAGAATGTCTATATTTAGAGGGTAAAAATTAGATGTCCAAGTGTGGGACGAAGACGTTCATATTTTAGAGTCATAAAAGGTGTCTAATATAACTATTTCTTTAAGATTGACCTCAAACCGTATATTTGAATTTCGCGATATTACTATAGACCATTGATTCACCTAAATATGACCATGGCAACCGTGAAGGTGACACAACTAATAATTTAATAATTTGTTTCTGTTACATCCTAGGACGTCAGGCTGGGACGAGTATTTGATTCTTGCTAATTTAATGCTAGATAATTGTAAAATCAAAATGAATTAATTTAATGTTATTTCTTATTTGTCACCCTAACCCCCTCCTCTTTCATTAAAGCATACCTCCAACATGTTTCATCTCTACCAATTCTCGTCTGTAAGAAAACTAAGTTAGCTGCCGTGAGCGCGAGTATCTCGTCTTAGAACTCCTGTTAATCATTTCACAAGTGGAACCCAGGAGTCGGATTACTAAGCTTGAAGAGCCGTACCTGTGCGTGCGATAAGATAAGCCATTGAGGAAGTAAGGGCACTTCCCAACTAGACCTCACAACCAATCGCGCCCAGCCAACGTCTTTGTTCAGGAGAGAGGACCTAGCTTCCTACCTCATCGTGGGGTTCCCTTAATTGGGCGATTCTCGGACCATTGTCTAAATTCTGGCGAAAACGGCATAGCCACCGTCTGAAGGTGGTCTTTGTTCACCCATCGTACGTCTTCCCTCTAAAAACACACCTTGGGGACGTTTACTGATGCAAGGAGACCTCCAGTATTCATCAACCAGTTCCATTCAACTGACATCATTCAACTGAGCACGAAACCCCTCCTCTGACGAGTCGATGAATTCGAATTGAAACCGTCATGCCACCGAACTATCACAAGCATCCGGACCCAGCAATGGACTCCTCCAACCTCGACGAAGACTCCGATCTGGAGGACATTATTGAAAAGCCAGAGGTTGTATGGACAATAACATACCCCAAGAAGCCAATTTCAAACAGCAGCCACCGAATCCGGAAACTTTGGAATGATGCGCAGAAACACGAGTCCAATTTCCATGGGAAGGGCCAGGCCAAGGAGGCTTTGAATTTAAGGTATATTGTCGAGCCGAGCGCGTCGGGTCCTTGGCTGGGGATGCAAAACTACTCGAAATGTACTAGTAAGTAGATCCTATATGGTCATCCCTTGGGGATGCGCTGACTTTGGCCGCTGTTTAGTTGAGAACGTACACTACCGAAAGAACGACTTCGTATACGTTCGCCCTCCGGGCCTCGAGCTTGATGGCGACGACGATGAAAGGAAGTTCTACGTCGCGCAGATACTGGAGATACGGGCGAACGATCCACGCCAGGTGTTTGCGCTCGTAGCATGGATGTATTGGCCAGATCAACTGGTCAATGCCCATGTGGGTGCAGAGAAGCCAATGTCTCTCCGGCGCTGGTATCACGGCAAGCATGAGCTGATCGCCAGTAATCACCTTGATATCGAGGATGTTACTAGCTTGGCGGGGCTCGCACCTGTCGCTCAATGGCTTGAAGAATACGATGACAAGGTTCAAGAGGGTTTATACTGGAGGCAGACGTTCAATGCGCTCGATGGAAACCTTTCGGTATGTACCCCTGGAAACAGAGACAATAAATACCTATCTAACTTTGGATTCGGAACAGGCTCTCCGAAAGCACTGCATCTGCAAGAAATACTACAACCCAGATGTCATCCTTGTGGCCTGCCCGAACAAAGAGTGTGGCATTTGGATGCACGAGGAGTGTATTGTCAATGATGCACTGACAAAAGCGTATGAGGCTCTCCCCGCGGATCCTGAGACAAAGAAAAAGAAGAAAAAGAGTGTGAAGCGTCTCTCAGTGAACAAACTATCTGAAGATTTGAGCTATAAAGATGCGGGCTACAGAAAGCGCCTCACGGGGAAGGTTGTAGATGGCGGAAACCAAATTCGCATTATAGACCTGGTTAGCAAGAAGATCTCAACGGAAAAACTCTGCTGCTTAAAGTGTAACACCGCGCTGGGATGAGCTTCTGGCTTTGCAGGGAGAGCATGCGCGTTGAGGACTAATGACTGATGCCTATGCGAATCGTGGGAGGGGTTTTATTTTTATTTTCAAGAAATTGCTGCGAGACGAATACCCAATGGAATGGCTGGCGTTATATTTTGGAGGTCGCTATCGATGCTGCTGCTGGACATATCAGGGAAGGGAGGCTATTCAATTTATAGGCACAGATGGCTAGGAGTTGGGGCATCATCCACGGGTTATTATTTGAGTTGGCTTAGCGTAGCTTTACTTTGGGAATTTTATAGCTGGCTAAGTGAACTATTCGGGAAACGAATAATAGCTTCCTTATCACTAAAACCGTCTACGTCTAGAAAGGGTGAAGTCCCATTGTGAATTACGACAGAGCCTCACATGCCGGTTACTTGGAGATAGCATCTGGGGTCCGGTTTGTTCCGTGTGATGGAGAAAATTATTGCAATAGATAGCACAACATCTAACATTTTCTATCCACAAAACGAAGAAAGAACATCATAGATGAGAGAGACTTTGGTACATTGAGGGTGCGAGTTACAGCTAGGGGTTTCCGTCCATCTGCAGATCTAAATAATAACAAAAGAGATTCTATGCACAATCCCCTTACTCTTCCGAAGCGGCGGCACCAGTGATAATCTCAACCAGCTCGTTGGTAATAACGGCTTGACGGGTGCGGTTGAAGAGAATCTGGTACTTGGTGATCATGTCGCCAGCGTTCTTGGAAGCGTTCTGAAAGGGAGTCAGTTTGCGGCCTATACGTAGTGGGAGGAATGGTGGTTTCGGGGATACGTACGTCCATAGCGTTACGACGGGCAGATTGCTCGCAAGCGTGTCCCTCAGCAAGAGCCCAGTAGAGGGAGTTGGTGAGAGCGTACTCCTGGAGGTTGGGGAGCTCAGCATCGTCGATCTCGAAAGCGGCGAAGTTGGCGGAGCTGAGGATGGTCTCAACGGAGTAGGCATCGATAACGGTAGCCTCGTACGACTGGGCGTTGACGAACTTGTTGTAGACGATCTGGACGCTGTCGTACTTCTCTGGGAGAGCGGCGATTTGATCGGCGATCAAAGAAGCGTCGGCGAAGGTCGGGATGGCCTTTCCGATACCAGTGAAGTTGATCTTGATGTTGCTGGAGTTGGAACGAGCCATCTGGGCCTTGGCCTTCTCGCCAATAACGACGAGGTCGGCACTGGGGTTGGCAGCGAGCATGCGACGGGTGTGCTTGCCCAGTCCGGAGTGGATTCCACCGCAAAGACCTTTGTCGGAGCTGGCAATGACAATCAGAGTCTTCTTGTCGCCCTCCTCGGCAACCTTGGTCTCGGCCTCCTTGAAGACGGTGTTCGAGGTCTGTCCGTATGCTCGGGAATCTTGCATAGCGCGTGTCGCTCTGTTCAGCTTGGTCGAGGCAACAATCTTCATGGTGTTGGTGATCTTCTCGATGTTGCGGATGGACTTGAGACGGTCCTCAATCTCACGAAGAGTCGCGAAGGTGGCAGCATTTGGAGCAACGGAGCTGTTAGAGGTGAATTGTTAGCCTAGATACCATGTAGGGATCGCATATACACGATGAATCGTGATGAAGCCGGTCGATGATGAAGTAAAATTGGTGTAAGGAGAAATCGTACTGTGTGGACGCCGCAGCGCCGGCGCGGACGGCGGGACGGGCAGCTCTGGAAAGCATCTTGGGCACCGAATGAAATCCTCTACAATATTATTCGATCAATGTTCAATTGACCAAGGGCGTGACTAGCGATCAATTGAGGGAATTGCGTGGTGTAGTGTTCGGAAGTCAATACGGCCTCATCGGCAAAGCTTAGATTTCGATTACATAAGCAGGCTTGGCATCCGACCCTCAGGCAGGCCTCCAGAGCTGGTTTTCTCCAAGTATCGAGTCTCACTCAGTGGCAGCCAGGAAAACACGCCTTTTACATCCTTTCAATTCGATTTATACAATCTCTCATTCAGGCAATCAGGATAGCCACAAGCTTTCAATCTATAATACGCGCTCAAACGGCACGTTCTTTCGCTTCATGTTTATTATTCCACGTCATACTTTCAAGTGTTGACCTCGAGTTAGCTCTTATTTCGGTTTCGGGGCCCGAACATTATCTATACTTCACTTCAATCAAGCGCTGCACAACATGAAATCGTCTTCGCCTGACAGTGCGCCTCTGGCAAGGAGGACGAATGGGTCTGGTGAGTTTATTCTGTTTATTTGTGGCAGTTCAAACTACAATTCGAGAGCGGCTGGGCCTTTGTGCCACCTTGGAAAATACTCCGTCGCTACTCCCTGAAGTCGGTCCAGCCAGGCAGCTGGCAATATAGACCTACTTCACTCCTACCCTACTCTTCTCTTCTCTACCTATTCCATGATCACCCGGCCTCTTTATCATATACTGACCTCAGTGTTCTCACAGCCTCACGAGCCAAAGTATCCAAGAATATCGACAACGAAATGGAGAAATCTACAAATGGGGACTATGCGCCTGCTGGCGTCTCCATACGAAATGGACCCGTTACGGATGAAATGGATATCGATCTTCCAGCTCTGAACGGCAAGCGCAAGGCTCGAGTCAGCACCGGGAAGCCAGTTAACTACAATGACGCTGCAAGCTCTAGCGAGGAAGACAACAAGCCGCTGGTATTTTGCTCCGCCCTGAGTGATAATTCACTCGAATCACCTCGAATTCACAGTTTCTGATATGATAACTAGGCTAAACGACAACGAACCTCGGTTTCCAAGGCCAAGAAGGATGAGTCGGATAGCGATGACGCGCCAATAGCGAGGAGGAAGTCGGGTGGAAAACTGCCCCCAAGCATCGACGGTTCCGATTTCGAGCAGGAGGAGAAGAAATTGGCCAAAGAGAAAATCCACATCGAAAAGAAGGCCGAGAAGGAGGCAAAGAGCATTCGAGCAAAAGAGTCGAAAGGAAAAAAGCCGGTCATAAAAGAATCGGATTCCGAGGACGAGCCTATATCGAAGTCGCGCGCAAAGAAGGCCAACGGGGCGAAGAAGGAAGAATCTGACGATGATGTCCCTCTTACCCAGAAGATTGCAGCTAAGAAGGCCAACGGAAAAGCGCCTGTGAAGACGCCTGCGAAGACACCCGTGAAGAAACCTGCGAAGGGAAAGGCCGCTAAAAAGGAAGAAAGTGAAGAGGCAGAGGCGGAAGAAGATGAAGAGTACCGCTGGTGGGATGCCCCGAATAAGGATGATGACAGCATTAAGTGGGAGACCCTTGAGCACAACGGTGTTGTTTTCCCCCCAGATTACGAACCTCTTCCCAAGAACGTCAAGCTCGTGTATAATGGCACGCCTGTCAGCCTGCACGTTGAAGCAGAGGAAGTTGCAGGGTTCTTTGGGGCTATGCTGAACTCCACGCTCAATGTCGAAAACCCGACCTTCCAAAAGAATTTCTTCAACGACTTCACTGAAATCTTGGGCAAGAATGGAGGAGCAAAGGACAAAGATGGCAATAAAGTTGCTATCAAAGAGTTCTCCAAGCTAGACTTCACCCGAATCTTCGAATACTACCAGGGCAAGAGCGAAGAAAGAAAGGCGCGTTCATCCGCTGAAAAGAAGGCTGATAAGGCTGCCAAAGACGAGTTCGAGGCACCATATCTGTACTGTACTTGGGATGGACGGAAAGAAAGAGTCGGCAACTTCCGTGTCGAACCTCCTTCGCTCTTCCGTGGCCGTGGCGAGCACCCAAAGACTGGTAAGGTGAAGAAGCGCGTCATGCCCGAACAAATAACAATCAACATTGGCCCGAATGCCACTGTGCCAACCCCGCCTCCAGGGCACAAGTGGAAAGAGATCAAGCACGACAACAAGGCGACCTGGCTTGCTATGTGGCAGGAAAATATCAACGGCGCATACAAGTATGTTATGCTTGCCGCCAACAGTACCGTCAAGGGGCAGAGCGACTTCAAAAAGTTCGAGAAGGCCCGGGAGCTGAAGAAGCACATCGATCGTATCCGCAAAGACTACCAGAAGGAACTGAAGTCTGAGCTCATGGCCGACCGACAGCGGGCAACTGCTGTGTATCTGATTGATAAGTTTGCGCTACGTGCTGGAAACGAAAAGGACTCTGAGAACGAGGCAGAAACAGTCGGATGCTGTTCTTTGAAGTTCGAACACGTTACCTTGAAACCCCCGAATACGGTCATCTTTGACTTCCTGGGTAAAGACAGTATTCGCTTTTACGACGAGGTGACTGTTGACCCTCAAGTTTTCCGAAATCTTAAGATCTTCAAGAAGTCCCCAAAGACTGAGGGTGATGACATCTTCGATCGTCTGAACGTAAGTGGTCCTCGTTTCTGTATTATGATCAATACTAACTGCTATACAGACTGGTCAGCTCAACAAGCATTTGGCCAACTATATGCCTGGACTCACTGCGAAGGTGTTCCGTACTTACAATGCTTCATACACCATGTCGACGCTTCTGCAGGAGCTGAAGGCTACAAACACCAGTCTGCATGAGAAGATCAAGCTCTACAACGACTGCAATCGGAAGGTTGCAATTCTCTGTAATCATAAACGTACTGTTGGCGCAGGCCATGAGGCCCAGATGGGCAAACTCACGGACAGAATCAAGGGTCTGAAATACCAAAAATGGCGCACGAAGCAGATGATTCTCGATCTTGATCCAAAGCAGAAGAAGAAGAAGGGTGCCGAGTGGTTTGAACTGGATGACGATTTGACTCAGGAGTGGATTGAAGAGCACCAGGCGTTCTTGGTCGAAGAACAACGTACGAAGATCACGAAGAAGTTCGAAAAGGATAATGAGAAGCTCGTTGCCGAGGGTGAGAAAGAGATGAAGGCCAAGGAGCTCACTGAGCGCCTGGGAGTCGCGGATGACCTAGCTAAGAAGCTCAAGAAGGAGAACAAGACCAAGAAAGTGGAAGCCGAAGGACGAACTCCGTCCGTGGAAAAGCTGGAGGCTGCGATTGAGAAGATTGATCAGAGGATCACTACTATGAATCTCCAGGCCGAGGACCGAGAGGGCAACAAGGAGGTTGCACTCGGCACTTCCAAGATCGTAAGTTTGGCTGTGTGGATACCATTAGACGGCTTGCTAACACACATTAGAATTATATTGATCCCCGCCTTACTGTTGTCTTCGCCAAGAAGTTCGACGTGCCTATTGAGAAGTTCTTCTCGAAGACACTTCGTGAGAAGTTCAACTGGGCCATCAAGTCTGTTGAGGACGACGACTGGGAATTCTAGAAAATGTCAGTCAGCTGAGGCAGGCAGGCGCCAAATATTTATCGCAAAGGTGTGCGTGCGATTCGTTTTCACATAGTTTATTAGTTACTTTTCGCAGAGGATATATGGTTTTGAGCTTGCATATGAGAAATGGAAACGGGGTGTGGGGGTTTGGGGCGGGGGGAGGCTGGCTTGCATTTGACTCTGGAGTTACGGCAATTGGGACACACGGCACATCGAGGGAGGGATTCGGGATCTCTCTGGATATCTGCTTTCCGACTCTTGATGTGAGGTGAGCTCATTTACCTACATTGTATATTTAGATGGTCTAGGACGGTGCGTTCAAGATGTTTTGCGGCGACAATAGAAACCAAATGAAACCACATAAAGACCACAAAATGATATTGAGACCAGGGTGTTTAATTTGCAATACCCATACAAATTCCAAGATAGGAATGCTGTAAGGTGCTACAGACACCGTTATCCTTCCGTTTGTAGGTTAAGCTCCGAGACGTTCAGCACATGTTGACTTTCCACATTCCAAAAGAGAAGGAGACTCTTTGAGATTAATATGGGACACATATTTTAAACACGCACGTGTCTGTACTATGGCAATTCCTCACCTTTGCAGGATTGAGAATTTGTCTAGTGTCACCCTGCCCGAACCCGTTCCGGGAAACTCGGTCCTATCCCACAGCAACAAACCGCCGACGGAAGGGCGTGCTACACTCCGCGAACCCCCCTGTCGGGCGATTTGACACATCTAGGAGTGCCGAGATTTCCTGTTCTCGGTCCATGGTGGGAAATTTGTCTTGTACTTGCACATACTGTGGCGTTTAAGGGCGTTTTTTTCTGCAACTTGGCGAGCTCTGTCAGATGCAGGCGGTCGAATCAGTGAAACACATACTACACTGCATGGAAAGGGGAACAAGGCAGTATGTCCGGTCTGTGGCTTGCTCAGCAGAAAATCTCTCACTCCCTTTGGGATTCAGATATGTCCAACTGGCCACATTCCTTCGCGACGTAGGGTTTGTCCAGGGATATCTTCTATCAGAAATATATATTTGATAAGGACAGGCATACTCACAAACCTGGCTACGCCTTAACCGAGCGTCTATTACAGGATTGGGGTTTACTCTACGTTGCAAGTGCAGGACACTACTGTACTCCATATGAAAGTGCAATTTCGACAATGCTGCCTACGGCCAATCCATCCGCTCTTTCATCGCGGTGTCTTCAGGGGGTGCGGTTATGACTTGCATGATCAACCATGTTACTGCAGAGACCGGGATGGGAATGAATTCAGGTACGCGAGGCGCGAGCAACAAGGTATAAAAAAAAGTCTGGCACCTCCCCACCGGGGCCTTGGCAGGCACGGCCACGCTGTTGATCTGTCTCGGGGATGCGGAAATTCGTGCTGTGAACGGATGCTGAGGGCATTACTACCTGCCTACTATGGGGAGCTCCGCGGCGTCGGTCCGGGAACAGCCATGGATGCTGGCAGCATCCCTCGCCGCGAGGGATGCCAGAACACACCGGCTCCGATGGGTGCGCATCCCTATCTCCTGGGTCCGTCCGCGTCCCCGGAGCACGACGACTGTGATGAGGCTTGCATGTTTCGCGCAGGGATTCGGGTGATGAGGTGGCGAGCGGGCGTCAGATTTGCTTTTGCTCAGGTCCCGTGTCTGTGCCCCGGGGTCTGAGTTACCAGCCTCTGTGGTCGGGTCTGTCGGATATGAGAGAGAGCCGCCAGTCAGTCAGTCAGCCGGCCTCCATGGCGTTGAGTCGATTGCTTGCTCGCCGCCTCATGGGAACAAACAAAGCTTTTGGTCTATCGGGGATGGGATCCGTGCTGAAGACGGCGAGCCGGCCTACTTGCTTACCAGCTCCACTATGACGGGATCAACCTCCAACCTCCAACCTGAGGAAAGGGGACGGGCCAGTGCGTGGTACCTGGGCCTATATATGTGGTCCCTGATATTGCAGCAAGCAGTCCCCGAAAAAGGGTGTCGAATTTCTGGGACGAAATATTCGCGCGTTGGTGTGCGTGCGAGCGTCCGTGGCGGGCTTGTGCGCCGCGCCGTCCCACACGATGGCGTACCCGACTTGCCGTTAGTTTACCATTACCATTACCCAATTCCACGGGAAACTTTTTTTTTCAGCTGGCCGTGTTCGCGCGGGTGGTGTTGGCACCGTAGTTAGGGTCGTGCTGACGGCCGCATGCAAGGGGGAGAGCGGGGTGACAAACACGAAGGTGGGAGAGAGTGGGAAGGGGGAAGGGGAAGTCTTCTGGAAGGAAAGGAAGGGGAGGAGGGACCAAAGTTTTACTCGGGTGTAACAGTGATTGATATACCCCTGAGTAAAACTTTGGTGCAGCACCGACGAACGCGGGCTCAGTACTCCACCTCAGTAGTAGCACCAGCTCCTGTAGACACTCTCAAGGCCAGACAGTTTTTGATATGAAAAATAACCTGCAACCCTCAAAATTACGCCTCTATTTTCGGTGCGGCCCCTGTCTGCATCACCCGCTATCTGTTCTTTTGTGTTGAGAGCCGGGGATTAATTTGAGGATTTCCAATCGCAGGGGCTCCGCCGGACGGTCCCCATAACCCGCATAACCCGCAACAGACTCCACCATAAATCCAATAGTGGAAGTAGTAATCTTCCAGAAGGTCATTCCGCAGCACAAAGACATGTATTTTACAGGCAGGAGTACAGTTTTTTAGTATACGGAGTTGAGTAGTAGGTAGTACAGTTCCACGGCACCACTATGTGGCACCTATGTATTGTATTTGTATGTACAACTGTGGGCACGGATACTGCGCTCTACTGTACCTCAAACCTCACAAAAACTGTTTGCTTGTTGTACAATTGAGGGGTTTTAGAAGGCATTTTTACTAGATAGAAGCCCGTTTGTGTAAGCTATTCCCCCTGTTACTCTGTGTGCCCTGTGTAATCCTCTCGGAAATGCGAAGCTCAAATTTAAGACAGCTAGGTAATATACTCTCTGTACATCCTCTACTGTAAACTGTTTGTATCATATTACTCTTGCATGAGCTGACTCCGCTATGATGCTGTCTGCCCCTGCAAGTCGATCGATCTAGTTAACGATTCACCTGCTTTGGCCGCCAGTCTTGCTCACTCATTAAATGTCACTCGATGCCAACTGACTGATGTGTTTCTCAAGGCTGCACCCCTATTGCCCTGAATAATATTAACTGTGCGCTGCCTGCCCTGACTCGTTCCGTCCTTTCTATTCTTGCTCTACCTAGCCGTCCCTCCTCTCCGGAGTGAGGTCTTTATCTATTATCTTTGTCCCTCCTTGCCCATACATAAGCCAGTCCCTCAATCACTAATAGTGCGTTTCGAATCCTACGCCGCTCAACACTTTCTACTTCCCTCGCGATATCTCAACCCGACTGCGGAGCAGGAGGCAAAGTACCACAGATCCCTATATATTCGATTTTAGCAGCTGCGCGCGCGGGCTCTTCAATTTCCCCCAATCACCGAAGATGGCCGAAAAACCAAGTGTGCTGATAGTCGGCGGGATGGGCTACATCGGCCGCTTCCTCGCCCTCTACATCCACGAGAACAACCTGGCCTCCGACGTGCGCCTCGTCGATAAGGTGCTCCCCCAGCTGGCGTGGCTGGCGCCTGAGTTCAGCGAGGCGTGCGCGCAGAGCAAGTTCGTCCAGGCGGACGCCTGCCAAGCTCGTGAGCGGAACCTCCCCTTCCCGCTGTTTTGGGAGATCGGCGTTTGCTAACCTGCGCTGTCTAGAATCGCTCCCGAGGATATTCGATCGCGCGGATGGGAAGGAGTTTGACTACGTCTTCAATTGCGCCGGTGAGACGAGGTACTCGCAGGATGATGAGATTTATAAGCTGCGCGTGGTGACGCTGGCGCAGTCGATAGGGAAGGAGGCGGCGAAGAGGGGGGTGAAGGCGTTTGTGGAACTCAGCTCTGGGCTTGTCTACAAGTCGGATTCGTCGCCGAGGAAGGAGACGGACAAACTGAAGCCGGCGATTAAGCATGCGCAGTACAAGTTGCAGGCTGAGGAGGAGTTGGCCAAGATCGAAGGGTTAGTTGTGACCCCTCATTTGTGTTGACGAATTTCCCTACATTTTTACTGGTGACAAGAAGCTAACATCTTAAACCTCCAGGCTCAACCTCATAATTATGCGCCTCGCATTCGCATACGGAAAATACGACTCAAAATTCGTGTCCAAAGGTCTCGTACTCGCACGCGTCTACAAGCACCTCGGGGAGGAGCTGAAATGGCTGTGGACGAAAGACCTCAAAGTCAACACTGTGCACGTCGACGACGTAACACGCGCTCTCTGGGCAGCCTGCGAATGGCAAGCCAAGGGCAAGGCCGGCTGGGACGCCAGCACGATGGGCGCCGTCCCTACCTTCAACATCGTCGACCACACCAACACCAACCAGGGCCAACTGGCGACGCATATCACCGAGATCTACGATATCAAGACCGGCTTCGTGGGATCGCTGCTCAGCACGTTCGCGCGTATGAATATGGACCATGTGCTGGAGGACATCAACGAGCATGTTATGGGCCCCTGGGCGGACCTGCTCAGTGACGCTGGCATCACACGGCCTGGTCCCCTTGGCCCGTATCTGGAGAAGGAGCAGCTCAAGGACGAGGATCTGTACCTTGATGGGTCGAGGTTCGAGAGTCTCGCCGGGTTCACGTACTCGCGGCCGAAGCTGGGGAAGAAGGAGCTGGAGGAGATGATTGAGAGTTACAAGACGATGAACTGGTGGCCTTAAAACGAACGGCCTTCTGTTCAGGCGAACGAGCGACGATGCAGGCCCGACTGGGCTGGACGGCCGTACGGCAGATTTTTTCCTTGGTTTCCGAGACTTGACACTTTGCTCATTGTGCGACGAAAAACCCCTTTGTTTTCTTTTCTTTGTACAACTTATACGGCTGGCTATGATTGATGATGATGAGTAGCAGAGCGATGCCACGATGACTTATCGGTTTCCTTTGTCTGTACTCTCTTCACGTTTTGACGTGGTTCATGGGCGTGTGCTTTCTGATCGTTGGGGATGTAGGATAGATAGATAATACTAATACACGAATATTGTTATACCGGAGATGTTGAGTATGCCATGACAGACGTCGTGACCCCTCAGTGACCCCTCAGTGGAACATAACCATGCACTGTATGCACGGCATTGATCAGATGCACCTCTCTAAGATTGCGAGTTGCACTGGCGCCTTGGAAGCGTCGACACCATCCAAAAACGAGTTTCCCCGTGCACGTATATATGCACAGTATAGGGTTGGTGTCTCTTCACGCTCGCTCTCTAGCCTTCGTTATTATGCAGCTAAGAGCTTCGAACCCTTCAAACTCCTCTTTGAACTTCCCTATAGTGTAACATTGCGCCGGGCAAGATGTTGACTGATTCAGCATAACTTACAAGAACCATGACAGCCATCTCAGCCACAACGGCCACGCCAGTCCCAACCCTTTTTGCCGGCTCCTTTGAAACTCTCCCAAGTCCCTCATCCTCCCCCGTCCTCCCCCGCGATAATCCCACACGTGCCAAGAATCCCATCCATCCCTCATTCCCGGATCATCCCAATCCACAATTGCCCCGGCCTGGCAGAACACTGGGGACAGACCATAGTAGAACCTGCCTATCCCCAGTTGTTCTCCTACTCGCTTTTCACGCGTCAGGCATAAAAAGGAAGTATTACCGAGTTAAGAGCGCATTTCCGCACCTTGAGAAACTTAGCAAGCGACCATCGACAGTACCAACGCGTATGCAGGTAGCGCATTACACGCATATAGCCCAATGGCGTGCGCCGAAGATTGCCAACCCCTCATATTGTCGGACGTTGGGAACTGACCCCACAATGATGACCCCGAGTGCCCCGCATCGAATCGCATCCTCGGTCGGCGTCACAAGTCAGCGAAGACCCTCCGCGCGGTACACACACACACACTGCGTGCGGTAAGGCTGGTGAACGCCCAGGCACCGTTCTGACATGTGAGAGAGAGCCTCGGTGACGTTTTGGACCTGGGGCATCGATCCTCTCGATAATGCGCGCGCCAAATGCGCAATGCATATATGCATGCGTGGAACCGCAGTTTTATGGGGTGTGTTCTGCTTGTGGAAACTCTAAAATCATTCCATCCTCTGTCCTCTCCTGCGAAAAACACCGCTCATCATCGTACGTTTAACCGTTCCATCTCCCCTCGCTCTTACCCTCGCAACTCTTCCAGTTCTTATATTCTACCACGAGAAAAAGTCTCATCTGCTCAAACAACGTATCTAAGCTCATTTTTACACCTAGAAATTCAAGACTTCCAGAAAGAATTAGACCAATATCCTCAAAATGGCCGCTCCCGCTGAATACACGATTGCCAACCTGAACGGTCAATGGGTTCTTGTGCGCAACACCCCCCATCCCTCTCACATGCACCGAACCCACAACTAACAACCACCCAGAACAAGACCCTCTCCGACGCGACCGAGCCCGTCCTCACCCTCCAGGGCGTCGGCTGGCTCAAGCGCAAGGCCATCGGCCTCGCGACCATCACTCTCTCCATCACCGAGAAGGTCGTGGACGGCCTCACCATCATCGACATTGAGTCTACCGGCACCGGCGGCATCCAAGGCACCGCCGAGCACCGCGAGCTGAACTGGAGCGAGCGCGAGCACGAGGACCACGTCTTCGGTCCGCTGACCGGCCAGACCAAGTGGCTCGACAACAAGGGCGCTGACTGGGATGCCCTGGACTCGTTCCAGAAGGAGGGATGGCTCGATGAGAGGGTTGGCCCCAACGGCGAGCCGCACATCCTGACTACCGCTGTCAGCAAGACGAATGGCTGGACTGCTATCCAGGTCTGGGGTTTCACTGAGCTCAACGGCGTCAGGTACTACACCAGGAAGGTGGTCATCACCAAGGGGAGCGAGGTGTTGAAGGTCAGGATCTTCTACGACTTTGCTGGCCCAAAGGCCTAGATGGGCGCTGGACGCTGGGGTTGATGGAGTAGGGTGGACAGACGGACAGGCAGACTGCACATATGGGTTGCGCGATTCATTGCTAGCGGGTTACCCTAGAAACCGCGTGGGTTAGAGGTTATAACTAAAAACCATCGAGAATACCCAAGTACCTCCCGAGGACACGTAGTGGACATCTTTTTTGAGATATAATCGGCGGTGACATGCTTCAATGACGCCATCTGGCAACAAATCGTAGAGACCACAGAATTCGGTTTATAAACGCCCCATAATAGCTCGCAATAAATACAGATCACGGCACGCTCCCCTTTCCCCTCTACCTCTTCATAGAATCAATCATCTCCCTATGCGCATTCTTCTCCTTGTTCGCCTCAGCCAAGCTCTGCACGCTGCGCAGGTCACCGACCACATCCTTGGCCTTGCCAAAGTACACCTCCTGCAGCAGGTTGCGCATCTTGAGCTCCATGTCCTCGACCAGCTTGCCGATGTTGGAGATGTGGCTCCCGTCGTCGTCGACTGTTAGGTCCGCCTCGATCTGTCGCGTCATGTTGCCTGAGAGGTCCATGTCACCCAGCGCGTCGGTCCCGGTCGAGAGGTGCAGGATCACAGTCGAGGTAAGCTTGTAGTGGGCGGTGCGCGCGCGGTCGATGGCTTCGAAGACGTGGATTGAGTCCCATGATCCTTCGGAGCCGCTGTTCTGGGGCGAGCCTGCATTATACTGTTAGCCAAGTTCCAGCCCTCCCAATGTCTTCCCCGTCGTTCGTATCTCGTGCACTCATCCCCCACCTAGACCACCAGGCAGAAACATACCTTTCTTCAGCAGCACAACCCCCGCAAACCCATCATCCAAATTCCAGAAGTACACCGAGCTCAGCCCCCCCTCATAATACAGCTCACGATACACATCAAACGCCTCATTCGCCCTAATCTCCATCTTCCTCACCCTATCACTGGGCACCGCGCCCGCACCAGCCCCCTCATCCACGCCGCCCTCGCTGCTCTGCTCGAGCGCCGGCTCAAACTCCCCCGACCACGGCGACCGGTAGCTGTCGCCATCGCGGTTGTAGTCGCAGACCAGGTAGTCGCGCTTGGTCTTGCTGCACCAGCGTGTGCTGAGCGGCTGGTCGACGGAGGAGAGGAGGTCCTCGGTGAGGTCGGGGACGAGGTCGATGAGGGAGTTCAGGTGCGTGGAGGTGTGTTTGGGGTCGAGGCGGCGGAGGAGGTCGCTGGGGGGTGGGTGTTAGTGCGGGGTTGGAGGTGGGGATGGGGGGAGAGAGGAGGGAGAGCTTACAGCGCGCTGTCGAATTGGTCGACGGATGCCATGGTGATGGTTGGAGGGGTTGTTGGGGGGGTGGAGGGGGAGGTTTGGAGCTGTGAAGGTAGACTTTGTGGTCGTGGTGGAGGGGTCGAGGTTCCCAGACCGCCAGGCTACGAAGCGAATGCTGGGGAAAGCGACGTGGTTGGCAAAGGTCCGAAGAGAGGGTATAGCTGGATCAATACCTGCAATTTATACTTACAGAACTTATCTCTTTAGTTCCATTTGGCTTACTGGTTACAGCCCCAAGCGATTGAATGCCTATGATTTAATTGTAGTTGCTGTAATCGCCGTTGTTTTGCACAATCCTTCTTCAGACTTTGGTACTACAGCATATTTGAGGGCCAAATTTGGTGTGAAACTGCCCTGCGACCTTCACCACCTTCTCCGTGTACGTTTCAACCATCACTCGTCTTCTGCTCTCTAAATACTATAGGATACGCATGAGCCGGCCGGTCAATTATAGTTCCTCAACACTCGGAAATATACTTTATAGCTGGTATTTAGCATAAAGGTGCCGTGGTCCTGTACCATAGATCATCTGCCATTATGGGGAAAAGTGCCGCTCTGGGGTAACGATGGGCTATTGGTGGAATTGGTGTCCAAGCCTTCAAATACAGTATGTATAGTTTCTTCCTCACTTTTCTCTCCTGTCCAAACTATATAACTACACAACTAATATTACAGTGCAGTGCGGGGAAATGACACGGCGTGCAATATATGTTATACGCTTGCCACCACCAGTAAGATGCTGGTCTTCTTAGACCGCATTTACATGTTTCGCAACCAGTCCTTCCGCGATATGTGCTCACCAAAGCACGGTTGTAGAAACGGTAGCCATTAACGCGCGGAGTTTTTAATATATTTCAGACTGCTAATTCCCCTACGGCCTTTAGATCTCTGGTTGCCACGATCAGTGCCGTTCCCACGAATGGTAAGTATAGCAGCTTCCTTGCGTTTTCTATTCTTCCGTGCGCGTTTAGACTTTCTATAAAGCACAAGGTAAATCCATCTCCCTTTTTGTCAGGTCTCAGCATTATCCCATTGCCTTCTTAGCCATCTAGCTGCCATGTTTAAGCCACTCGTCATCGTCTCCTCGCTCCTGGCGGTCTTCGGACAGTCTGTCAGCGCATACTCTAACCCTGGAGCTTGCACTGGTGCTTGCTGGGCTCACGACCCCAGCGTCATCCAACGCTCCAGCGATGGGCTTTATTTCAAGTTCAACACCGGCAGCGGCATGGAGATCGTCACCTCGAGCTCCCTCTCGGGCCCATGGACCATCAAGGGCTCTGTCCTACCCGGTGGCACCAGCATCACCACAGCCGGCCAGAAGACAGACATGTGGGCCCCAGATGTCCACAAAGTCGGCGATATATACCATCTCTACTACTCCGTCAGCACCTTCGGCAGCCAGAACTCGGCGATCGGTCTTGCGACCAGCTCGACAATGGACGCAGGAAGTTGGACCGACAAGGGCGCGATCGGCGTCACCAGCTCCTCCTCCAAGCCCTACAACGCCATCGACGCCAACCTGATCCAGGTGGGAACCAGCTATCTCCTCTCCTTCGGCAGTTTCTGGGGCGATATCTACCAAGTGGCTATGAACTCCGCGGCTACCAAGACGGCTGGCACGGCCGCTTACCAGATCGAGTACAACCCATCTGGCAGCCACGCCTGCGAGGGTAGCTTCATCTTCTACAATGCCGGATACTACTACCTCACGTGGAGTCAGGGAATTTGCTGTGGATATGACACAAGCAAGCCTGCAGCGGGAGCAGAGTACAAGATCATGATGTGCAGGAGCTCGAGCGCTACAGGCGGCTTTGTTGACAAGAATGGCGCGGACTGCAAGAATGGTGGGGGCAGCGTGTTGCTTGAGTCGCACGGAACTGTGTATGGGCCTGGTGGACAGTTAGTTTCCTCTTCCCTCATTGCTATCAGCGTGTCATGGCTAACAATTGTAGGGGTGTCTTCACTGACTCGAGCCTGGGCCTTGTGCTTTACTATCACTACGCCAATACCAACGTTGGTCTCGGCGATGGCGCATACCTCTTTGGATGGAACAAGCTCACCTGGAGCAACGGATGGCCCGTCGTATAACAGACTATGTTTGTCTCGGGTGGGAGAGATTCTCGTATCATATTTTAAATCGCTTCATACCACTGCTGTGGCGGCTATTGATGCCAATAGTCGAGCATATGTATATATTTTTAACTTTACGCCCGTCTCCCATTTACCCAAGCGGGTGCGTAGCCATTATAAAGAGGCATATATGGAAGGGCCTTTCTATCAGAAATATCACTTATCACATGCATATCCCGAGTTTGAGTAGTAAAGATGCTGCGTTTATTCCATACTTGTAATCGTAGCAAATCAACAACCCCTTTCTTCCACGTCACCACACTCTGATGCCATCCCAGTCTCCCAAGACTCCTCTGCAGCGGTACACTAAAAATCCTCGCATGAATACACCTCTCAATAGAACGAAACTCATCAACTGCTATGCAGTAGCTGTTATGAATGCCAAGCTGCAGGATATTTGGCGAGTTTAGCAGCAAACAAAGCTCTAAGAACGAATTAACAATTTGATCTCCCCCCCTCCCATACCCTCACACACTCACCAACACTAGAGTTTACCCAGCAACCCCTTCCCCATCACCCAGTCATCTCTAGACAGGTCCTCACATCCCGGGCAAACCCCAAATCGGAACTGCACATCCTCAACCACAGACTCGAAATCACATCTGACTTTACTCCTCGTCACCTCCTCGGTCGTCATCCCCTTCGTCTTAGCGTTCTGCTCTAGCTTCATGCGCTCTTCGCATTTGAGGGTTGAGCGCGGGACTTCGCAGCCGCAGCCACTGTAGCTGATGCAGCTGCGGTAGCACATTGTCGTTGCTGGATTGCGGTGCTGTGTGGTGTGGTGTGGGGTATTATGAGGTGGATTGCTGATGAGAGTGGGTTTGTAGTTGACTGACTGGTCTTGGTGATGCGGTATGTTTGGTTTTGAAGCTTGTTTGTGGGAAGAGAAGGAAGGAGCGGTGGAGGGGTGAGACACGCTCTTTCCGACTCTATATGGGGTGGTGGTGGTTGGTTATTCAGGGAAGAAGCAATCACACGTTCTTTCCACTTTATAGGGGATTTTGATTATTCGGGGAAGGAACGATTCACTCATCCACGGTTTGTCCTTAGAGAGGGTATTTTATATGATGAGGTCAAACTCAAACGCTGTTCTAAATTTTGATTACAAATGTCTCACTTTATGATCAGCTCTGCATAAATCTTCCTGGGTTAGTCGCATCGCATCTATCACTTTCATGGATCTCATTATCATATCAAGATCCTTGGCAGTCAAACACACACAGAAATGATAGAGTGGCATATTTTTTAAATTCAACGATATCAGAGTTCCCCTATAACCACAACCCTCCTACACCCCCCGTTAAACCAACACCCACTGTTGGGCAATCTGCTCACACCTTGGACACCGGCCATTGTCTCTAATCTCCAGCGGCTTATCTAAATCCGCATCCTCAACCAAACACCAAGCTTCCAGCACATACTCCTCGTCTACCAACCCATACGGCACAGCAGCACCATGCTGTTTGCGCCACGAACAGTATTTTTTGCCTACTAAATGGGAACACCCGCACCCGCCATAGATTTGTACGATGGGACGACACATTGTGAGTGATTGATTGTTTGTTTGTATAGTGTGTGTGTCTTTGTTTATAGTTCGAGTCTTTGTTCTTTCAGGATGATGAATAAATATGGTAAAACATAAAACGAAAAGGAGGGTTTCTCCGCTTTTATACTTGGAAATTTTGCTAGTTCTTATTCATAGAGATTTGAATAAATGTCAGTTTAACGTCAGTCTGTGATTACTTGACTTGATCGAAGGTATTTGGTGTTTCAAAGCGATGCGGTGGGAGGGCGGAATCACGGCCTTTAGAGGAGATCTCCTAGCACATTCACCTTAGAATTCACATTTACTTCTTAATCACAAACTAGAAATCGATTCAATAGGAGAGCTCTGAATTCACCGTCCTGTAATCATATTCATGCAACTACCCCAGCTCCATGGTGTATCCCACCCGCCACCCCGCCACTTACTCTCATGCCTTCATCCCACACTGCCAGCACCCCTCATCGAGCGTTTGGTTACCCCCCTTCTCTGAATCAGTCTTGCAACCCCTGCTCCAAGTCTTCCTCTCCGCCATCGTGCTGTCCTTGCCATACTAAGCACTTGTCTTAGCCCAGCTGCATGTAACGCTAGGTCTTAGACTCAATAGAGGTTTCGTTGCGTTGGTTTACTTATTAGAGGAGGCAGGGGATCAAACGCGAAGGCTTTCCTAAAACACGTTACAGTATATAACAAATACTATATTGAGTTTAGCACGAAGCTCCTATACTAATAAATAACTATCTACTTATATAGTGGTGTCGTGCTAAAGGGGACTGTGGGAATTATAAGAACTGTAAGAGTTCTAACAGTTCTCATAGTTCCATCATGTGACTTCCGGCGGCCGTGGATTTATCCTACTAAACCACTGATGCCGGATTGCAGTGCTGGAAAACATCCTAAATAAGGTTTTCTACGCACTGTTAGCACAGACAAAGGGTTCAGTGGTTAGCACGATGATGGAATGAGGCGTGTGCCTACCCAAAACCAGGGTCTTTCATCCGATAACTAGAAATTTGTTCATTTAAAAAATTCTCTGCATCAGCATACGTTGAGTGTGTGAAATAAAAGTATTTAGTATAAGAATAACTATAACCCTACACCAAACGACTCCATTCCCGGCCTAATCATCGATTATTATAATTGAACTTTTGACTCTCTTCTGGATAGTCAAAGCATCGCCACTCTCTCCGTTTTCGCAAGGGCGCTTGAGGCTGCTTTCGGCCTCTGTGATGGCAGAAAGACTCTGTGGGAGCTTATCTTGCACTTCGTGTCTCCATTGTCGAAATTGCTTGATTTCTTGCTGACAGCTTTCAGAATCCGTCGTCCACCACTTCTTATACACTTCCTTCCAGTTATTTGAGCTACCACTTCTCAGAGAGTACTTGTAGAGTACATCAATTTCAGCCGCGTTATGCAAAGTCTTTCCTAGTCGCTCAATTGCTTCCGTGGGACCTGGAATGACGTATATACAAAGACGTTGCCTCTCTCCATGCATGTCCTGTGCTACTAGAACATACTGCTCATTAGTTGAAGGTACAGAGTTCGGAAAGTATGATGCGACAGTCGGACTAGTGGCGTCACTAATCAGTGAATTCCATTGGTGAGAGATTCGAAGAAATGGCTCTGTTGGTTCCTCGGAATTCTTCTCACACCGACGATATACTTTATCTATCACCTCATATGTCTCTATGTGGCCCCATCCGGCCTGACAGTAGTGTATATCGACAAACTCGAAGGTAGCGTAGGAATTTGGCAACGAAGTGCCAGTGCTTATTTCGTGTAATACTTGTCTTGTTGAAGCCAAAGCTGATGCGAGATTTTGTTGAATAGACTGATTTTGCAAGGAACCTATCAAGGCTTCTGCATTGCTCTTCCTAAACATTTTGGCAGTTTTGAAAGGCATAGGGGGGGATTTTCGTGCGGTAAAGCTCTTCACATAGTTCAACGCTTCCTCGTCAAGTACAAGACAATAGATTATCCTTTGGAGTGCCCAGTAGTTTGTCACAACCGTATGATAAACAATAGATGCAAAAAGACGTGTTTCCACAGTATGCTGCGGGGTTTTCGGTCTGGCTCTGTTTGTCCAGAGTTCTTCCAACGTGTCGAGTATATCCTCTGATACCAAAACGGTGGTGTATCGATCTAGAGCATATAATGCATTTTTTGCAAGCGTATTCTTAGCGGATTGCTTAGTTACAGTGGAGAAAAGTGCATCAATGTTCGCCTTCGTAACGAAAACGCATCGAAACAAGTTCTGGACAGTACATGCTGGGCGGAAAACACCGAAATTCGAATCGTGAGTCGCCCACTTCTTAAGATCTCGTTCCTCATCAGGTACGATCTCAGTATCATGTTCAACAGCAGCCCCCCAATCTTTGATAACGCTTGACTTCTTTATCGAGGCGAGTGTCTGCTTCGGATAGGCTAACGAGAGAATATCGCTGTCTCTTTCAATTCTAGAGATATCATCATCGCAGGTACGGTCATTGTCCTCTGAGGGACCAATTGCAAGTCTCTCAAGCTGGGAGATTAATGAAGGCCTGTATATATCGCGAGCCCAGTCGAATATATAGTCAATAATAAGAAGGAGCTGAAGTGTGCTCTCCAGGTCATTCAACAGCCCAGTCCAAAGAGTTACAATCTCCTATATAAGTTAACAAACATTGTATACCTACAGAAGAGGCAGAACTTACATATAATGGCCCATCAGGCTTCTCGGAGATATAGCAAGCCGACAGACGCCAGTCTTCGGCTCTATACGCTATATACCAGACTAAAGGACCTCCATACTCTAAGGTCATTTGAGACTCCCTCTGCAAGCCCTCTTGTATTTTCAACATTTTCAAAATTGGTAATGCAGTCTGTATATTGCAATCATCGAAAGATTGGCCGACTCTTGATTTTGCCTCGATAATAAGAAAGGGAAAGAAAAGGGAATTTCCCTTGTGATTCAAAACGGTACTCTGGACCGTCTCCCATATAGTCTCGAGGCCAGCTTCCTTTTCTAGTCGTCCAGCCATCAGATTATATTTCATAAGCCGGCTACTGAAGCTGCCCGTTTCTTGAAACCCGAGGATGCGGTCAGGTCGCCTTCTCTTTATGCTCTTCTCGGAATCGTTTTTATCGGAATCGAAAGAGGTCATTTCGTCTGCCCGGCTTGAGAAGATTTTGTTGCTTTATGCATCGTCAGTATAACGAAGAACAATCGCTCAGGTTGAAAACTTACAAGTCTGATTTTTTCTCACCCGGCGAGCACTGGCATGGTGTACGGCCTTGCCGTCGAGTTATCAGACTTTCGGCGATGGGACCCGGAAACTCCACCTCTACTTCTACTTCTGACCTCCATAACCGCCTGTTGCAGGCCGTGGATGGGCTTCGAACTCTTAATCAGATACGCAGGCTAAAGTTTGCACCATTCAAACTTACCACTCGATGATCTTCTTGAAACGGCTTAGAACCTTCTGCTCCAAGTCGAATCGCACTCCCATCTCGGCAGGCGCATCTTCTATGAGAACCTCGGCGATTTTAACGATCTTCTTCGCACGATTCGTTATTTCACTTCTCCAGAGAACTCGTTCAGGTAGTACTGATGGGTCGCTTAAATGAAAGGTAGCGAGATCGATCGTTCTGAAGGATCTGATTTTCTGGAATGTTTTGAGAAGGTGCGTTGGAAAATTTTCTGGCAGGATAGCTTTCACGAAAACTACTCCTAGCTCTCTTAAGCCTTGCCTTTCTCTTTGCCTTGCGTTCATAATGATCAGCAGAGGGCGAATCGGGCTTGTGTCTAAAACGTAAACAAAAGAATAGAAAGAAGGAACGAAAGAAAGAAAGATATCGAGCAATTAGAGAAGTAGAAGACAAGGCTGTATATATAGGCACGATCTCTGGATTGCAGCTTCTTACCCCAGAACCAACACAACTGCGGGGCATCTGCAGCGTGGCTGTTGGAGCAGGTCGAAATGCGTTGCTTGCGACAGTTAACAACTCCAACGACCAGGTAGTAAACAAGGTCTAAGGCTCTTGCTACAGCACCCATGTCTGTGGCTTACTGTAACAACACTGAGTTCGGACGGTCACCAGATTTTGGAATCCTGGCAAGAGCCTTGTGCGGCTATGAGGTTGGTTCGAAGGTATTACACTACTGCAATGGCCATAGAGAGAAGCCAGGCTTTCTGAAAGCCACAGGACTCCTGCATGGCCTTCGAAACTATCGTGTACCGGAGGTGTTTGAAACCACTCGTTCGGGCTCATCGGCCGAAATACATCCATGCTAGTTCATCCGACTGGCATTTGTTTCACGACAGCTACATAGCCCCTTATTCTCAACACGGACCATTAAAAATTGGCAACCAACAGCGAAGGTCCTGACACATTATCCGAAATTGTGAAATAATGGAATCGTGAAATCCTCAGAATCGTCAAGTACAGGCATGCATAACAGCGGTATTCACAGCAAGGCAACCGAAGAATGAGAGATATGAGATATATATATCTTAATAGGCACCCTGAACGGAACCACTCAATTTGAGAACCACTTCAAACACTCCACAACCCAACCCATCAGACACACTCCCTCCCACCACACCCACCACACCCATCATCCGCCCCTTACTTCCCCCCCGTAGTCGGGAACCCCATAACGATCTTGAAGTAATCATAAATCATCCACTGCAGCCCCGTCAACGTTCCAATCATAACAATCCTAACCGGCAGCCCGTTCCACAAGCCCCTGAACCCAATCTCCTTGTAGATGCGCGAGGTAGCCGCACCAGCCGCCTCACCAGGCTGCTTATTCGCATTGAGCTTCGACACCATCACATCTGCAGGGTGCGAGATGATAGCGCAGAGGATACCAGCTAGGTAACCACCGGTGAAGGAGACACCGGTTTGGGCGGCCTTGCCGTAATCGGATTTCTTGCCAGGGAGGTAGCCGTAGATCGCTTCGACGATGGTTTCGAAGGAGGCGAATTTCATCATGGTGTAGCTGGGGGGTGTTAGTCGGGGGTTGGAAAGGGTGGGGTGCCTGGAAGGTAGGCGCGGGACGGCGGGAGGGGTGGAGCTTACGGGATCTGGCGGCCCCAGAGTGGGTATAGGCCCTTGTAGAGCCCGCCGAAGCCTTCCTTGGCTGTGATGATGCTCATACCGTTGAATGTTCCCGTAGCGAAAGGTGGCATGGTGGTTTGCATCCTGACCTTGATAGCTTCGAAGGGGCAGAGCGCGATGTCAGCAATGAATTCTGCAGAGGCAGATGCGGCCAGGTACACTGCGGTCTTGTACTTTACTGCCGCTTCTGGACCAACAACGTCACTGTATGTCTTCTTGAAGTACTCGTATCCACCATACTTGAACATGCCCTGTGCCGAGTACCCAAAGAATGTTGGGCCCCATCCGGTGTAGATGCCCCGGAAACCCTCAGCCCGGGCAATCTTACCCCAGGCCTGGAAGTTACCCGTGTAGAGCTTCGAGTCGACTTGGCGACGACACTTCACGAGATCGAGGGGCGTGATAAATGTGTGCGTCAAGCCGCAGGCAAGCAATCCACCAAAGGAGCAGGCGGCATAGTATTTCCCGGAGTAGAGCTCGATACGGCCTGTCTTCTCTTGCGCCTTGGCACTGGCCTTTTCGAACTCCCGCGCAGCCTCATCACTGAGAGCTTTGGCCTTGTCTTTGGCATCGTCAATTGTGGACCAGGTCGGGAAGAGCTCAGCACGCGCTTGCAATGGAGTTCGTGTTGGTTGGGCGGGTGCATCGGCTTTAAGACCCGACGATTGGAACACGCTGTTGAGCGCGTCCGATGTCGGGAATAGAGACGGCATTGCGATTGAGAGCTGATTGAATAGTTAGGATCTTCGGTTTTCGTCCCAATTGCTTGTTGTAGACCAAAGAGAAACGGTCTCATACTCACTTTCTAGAACAGCTCTATCCGATAAGGCCGTGATAGCTTCTAAGTGCGGCGATTGGCGACGTCAACGACTTGGGTGACCGTATGAGATTCACAACAGTCAATGGGCTATAGTACCAGCCCAATAACATGCACCCTGAAGCTCTAGAAGATTTAAATAGTAAATTGGGAGAGAGTTAAACCGGTTGGTTTAACAACATGAGACGTGCCGACATGTAAGATGCGGAGATAAGGTGAGTCCCGTAGGATCGTGCATGGCTCACGTAATGACGTAGTGGACCAATCGTAATCGGGTATCCCAGTGTCAACACAGTTATGTTTATGTATGATTGTTCCTCATATACTCTATATATGTGAACATACTCTAGGTCTCCATGGGATAACCAGAGCAGAATCGAGCTATTTCTGAGCCGCCGTATAGGACACATCATGAACGGAAAAACAGCGGCTTCATACGGCGACGAGCCACACTTTGCGTAGAGGACTCCATGCAGACGGCATACTTGCGCTTTCTTCTGACGAGACCCCATAAGGTTGACTCCGGTGATGGATGAGATGGTATTATATGACAAATAAAGAATTTAAACAGTGAAGGAACCGTGAAGATGTATGAGAAATGTCGGAATGCCTCTCTCTTTCGCAGCTACCCCTGAACACTATAGATCGATTTCTTGTGAAATAATTGCGAAAAAGAATGTGATATGGCCATTTCTTAGAGACTATAGAGTCATAGCATGTTTGAAGCTTTGTCTTACAGTTCTCATAGGCGCCGGTCTCTCCTACACTCGTAGGGGCTTGATATACGGACTGCCCGCCAATCTCTGGAGTATTAACAGAAATGACAATTGAAAGAGACCGCATTAGACGTTTAACCCACAATGCAGTCGCATTTATAAAATTTCGAGAGAATATCCAATTTGTTGTATTGTCTTTGATTTCAAATGATATTTACGGATTAATAAATAGGCCAAGTCTGGGCTTTTCAAGATTTTCGCCTAAAGAAGCGAGACCGTCAAACTAAAGCAGAGACCATCTCATCCCATCATCGACATCCTGCCCCGCCTCAATAATAAGCCCCAAAACCTCACAAACTCAAAAAGTCAAGGCCCGGAACAGTGCCCGCACACACAATGGCTACAGCAAACCACACCGAGGCGGCTGCGTCGCAGTTCCACTCCAAATGGTCTGACAAGTACCGCGGCGTGAGTACCTCCCTCAATGACCCCCAAAGCGGATAACATCTAACTGACCCCCCAGGCCACCGTCGAGGACCTCGACCCACCCTCCGCCCTCTCCTGCAACCCCTCCGACCCGATCTCCTATGCGCTCCTGACGGCCTTCGAGAGGGACTACACGCACCTTACTGTCGTCTCGCAAGACACCCGCGCGCTGCTGGGCTACCTGAGCATACCACGCCTGCGCGAGCTGATACAGCAGGGGACGGTGAAGGATACGGACCCAGTGTCGGCGGCGATGATCAAGTTCAGGAGGAAGGCGAACACGTATAAGGTCATCACGATGGATACACCGCTGGAGGAGCTGGAGACGTTCTTCATGAAGGGAAGCGATGGGCAGACGCCGCAGGACTTTGCGGTCGTGACTGATCTGAGTAGGCGGTTTGTGCTCGGTGTTGCGACTGTCCATGACTTGGAGGAGTTTGCGAGGAGGAGACCGGCTTGAGATGGAGGATACATATTAGCGTGGGGGTGAGGGGAGGTTGATGTTCGAGGGAAGGCTCCTCACGACCACGGCGTTTTTGCTGGCCTTCCTCTCAACCTCACATTTCGATGGGGAGAGGGACACCTGCGGCGATCTCAAACCATGGCCGTTATATGGATTTTGCTCCTTGGCGGCCGTTTGTTCTTTCTGTTTTGAATTCGAGGATCAAGGTGGGAAGCAGCACCAGGTATCGTGCACCTACCGTTAGTGTTTCTCAACAAACACGCAATTGGGAGACGATATTGACGACTACGGTGACGGAGTTGTGGAGAAGCATTTGGTAGAAGGCGACAGCTGCCTGATATTGGCATGGGGGTAGACAAAGACAAGAGAGTCTTGGGGCTCTCATTTATTCGGGGGATGTCGGGGTTTGATATTTAGCCTCGACGGAGTTGTTGGTACAGGCGTTGTTATCAGCAAGCAAAACAGACGATTAGCTTCTTCTTACCTTATGAGATGCAATGCAATGGTGCACGCCAATCACTGATACTACTTGCCATCGGGTTGAGGATCAATAGTCAAGGTGCCAACCATTGTGCTGTGCCTGGCTGGGTGACACGTTTTTGTACTGCATGGTGCACTTGACATATGCATGTTTCTCCGCAAAATATATCATACATTCTTACCATGTGTCTATAATGTCTTACTGTGAATGGGCAATTGGACATTTCCAACTTGCATCTGGGGTATACTTTTTGGTAGAGCGGCAATAGATTTGGTAGTTCGATCCCGAACCAGACACCATGGTACGGGCCACTGCATCCCCCACTAAACTCGGTAACAGGCCCCAAGCTTTGGTCCCAACCCCTGCTCTTTCCTTATCGCCCTATCTCCAACAATGGTAAATGGGCGAAAGATAAAGATAAGGGATAACGACGACTCACAGCTCCCCACCGACCCATTATTCAGACTGTTGACTTGCGCTTTACCATGTGTCGCTACGATTAATCCCATATACATCTGCTGTCAGGTCCCGTAATAGGCTTCTTTCTACTCTTATTGCACCTCATCCTAGTACGCGCTTGCCACATCTGCACGCAAGGCTCTCACGCGGGAAGTCTCGTCATACAGCCTTGCTCACTTCCTTCTCTTTACTCGGGTCTTCCGTCCCTTCTCTTCTTCTCTTATTCTCTCAAGTCTCTACATTCCTCCTTCTCAGTAGCAGTCAAAGAAGAGACAAAGCAAAAGACAATACTGGATACAAGCCCTATCTCCATCTGCACAATGTCGGAGCGCAAGTCGATTGAGAGCATCAGCCACGGCCGCGGAGGTGCGAAGCCCCGTCCCCTCCCCAAACCTCATCTCTAACCAACCCTCCCAGGAGCCGGCAACATCGGCGCCGATGACACCCCGTACGCCCCTCCATCTCCCCCTTCATCCTGTCACTAACCCCCCCGCAGCTACGCCGACGGCGAAATCGTGCGCGAAGGCGTAGCCGGCGACCACGGCGACGGCCCCTACAGCTCCGGCCGCGGCGGCGTCGCCAACATCGGCTCTCCCGGCCTCGCAGCCGCAAAGCGCAACGATAAGGAGGTTATCCCCGCCGAGGCGCTGAGGGATGAGGAGGATACGAATCATCATGTTGGGCGCGGGGGACAGGGGAATGTGCATGTGGCGAAGGAGGGGGGGAAGGCGCATCCGACGGGGTTGGCGGATAAGTTGAAGGCGAAGCTTTTTGGGAAGAAGGTTAAGGGGGAGACGGCTTAGGTGGTGGTAGGAGGGTGTGGGGGGAGTGAGCGGATGGAGAGGTTGGAGAGGCTGCAGAGGCGCGTGCGGTATGAAGTGGGAGTTTGATTTACGCATCGGATGTTATTGTAATGGAGTGCAGCAAATTGGAGCAATCAGCAAATTCGTGTTCGAATTTAGTCTACCAACATTTTGGTGTATACGACGTGAGCTGGCTAAGCTAGCCCGTGAAGTTACAACGTCAGGCCAGATCACGTATGTACACCTTTTAAATGAATGTAAATAAAAGGACCTCTTCCCATATTCATCCTGGGACCAGTACACAATTGCAACAATGGCTGGCAAAACTCCCTCCTATCCTCGACTCTCTCATCCAAAAGAGTGCAAGTATTGCTATGACGCTTACCTCTACTATGACGACAACGACTACAGTGACGAGAAAACAATTCCCAGAACAAGACCGGGCATGAGTCGTGGCGAATTTTATTTCGAGTACTCGAAAATCATTCTGAGCACCATTGCGATCATAATTTTTTTCATCAGCGCTAATTCGTGTATGTTGTGGATTACGTGGAATTTCCTGAAAACTGGAAATATCGACTTGTCAGTAATAAACCCACCTGTACCTTTACACGGGCTAACACTTAAAATACAGTCTCGCCGATAAACTTCGCAGTATTGCTGATTTCGTTCAAGAGGTCTCATCAGGTGAGTATCCCCAAAGGTACCCCATCTACCCCGCCATCTCGCTAACCCAAAGCTCCAGCTCAATTCCACTGACCACCTCACCCCTCCAACCTCACCATCCAAACCATCCACACCACCCACCATGAATCCAACACCACCAGAATACCTCCCCTGGACAGCCAGCGACTTCGACTTCCTCGCCCCCCACCTCCCTCCTCCCCCGCCCCTATCCCCCTCCACCACCCCCACCAAACCCCACCTAACCCTCACCTACGCCACCTCCCTCGACAGCATGCTCGCCGCCCGCCCCGGCGTCCGCACCACCCTCTCCGGCCCCGCCACAAAAACAATGACCCACTACCTCCGCAGCAAGCACTCCGCAATCCTAATCGGCGCCGGCACCGCCCTCGCCGACGACCCCGGGCTTAACTGCCGCCTCGCCGGCGCGGCAGACGGCGACGACCCGCTGCGCTGGCAGCCGCGGCCTGTGATACTTGATCCGCGCGGGCGGTGGGATGTGGAGGGGAGTAAAGTGCTCCAGCTTGCGCAAGAGGGGCGGGCGCGGGCGCCGTGGGTGGTTACTGATTTGGCGTTTGTGGATGACGCGAAAGCGGAGGCGTTGGAGGCGGTGGGGGGTGCGGTTATTGCTTTGGCGACGGAGGAGGAGGGAGGGGAGGGAGGGGGGTTAAGGTTTGGGTGGGGGGATTTGTTGGGGGTGTTGGCGAGTAGGGGGGTGGGGAGTGTGATGGTTGAGGGGGGGGCGGGGGTGATTAATGGGTTGTTGGAGGAGAGGGGGGAGGGGTGGGTAGATGCGGTTGTGGTTACGGTTGCGCCAAGGTGGTTGGGGAAGGGGGGGGTGGCGGTTGCGCCGGTGAAGGACGGGGGGGAGGGGGCGGCGGCGGAGTTGAGGGGCGCGAAGTGGGTGCAGATGGGGGAGGATGTGGTGGTTTGTGGGACGTTGGCGTGATGATGGATGATCTTGAGTTGGGATGGAGAATTGGCGGTGAGGATAGCTTATACCTACTCTATAGGACAAACAGGAGGAGGATAATACGTGGGGAAAGCAAGTCCGGGTCAGATGATAGGAACGAAAAGGGTCTCACGAGCGTTATAATACCTCTGCTGTATAATATGCAATGCCGTGTCTCAATTTGAGTTTCTCTACCCGGCCCTCCATCTATCAACATAACGCACCCCCCCTTCCCCTTAAAAGATCGAGTTAACAATATTCCCTCCAATCGTAGCCCCCGCCCCAAATATAGCCGCATTCCCCAACTTCGACCCAAACTTCTTCCCCATCTCCCCAACCTTATTCGGCTCCTCCTGCTGCTGCTGCGGCTGCTCCGCAATCGCGACCGGCGGCACCGGGTTATTGTACGGGTTGCTCGGTCCCGGCTGATACTGCTGTGCCTGCTTCTGATCTCCGTAGTACGCGTTCTGCTGTGGCTGTGCCTGCGCCAACGGCGACGGGAAGTTCTCGCGCCTGATGTAGTTAGACGGGAAGACCCCCTCCTCGCCCGTGCGGATGTTCTTCCCCATCCACCACTCCGCATTCACGAACTCGGTGACGGAAATCCCATCCCCAGGCTGCAAGTTGAGGTCGCGCGCATCGGGGGTTACGTAGGCCCAGAGGGCGACGGCGTGGGCGATCTCCCTGTGGTTCGAGGGCGGAGGCGGGGGAGGCGGTTGGTGGTGTTGCGCTTGTTGGTAGGAGGGTGGTGCGTGGGGTGAGTTTCGGTCTGTGGAGGAGTTGGCTTCGGAATAGGATGTGTTCGCCGCTGGGGTGGGGGTTGGTTTGGCGTTGAGCGAGGCCTCGGCGGGGAGGGCGTTGATTATCGTATCATATTGGTCGTCTGAGATGAAACCACGTTCTGCGAGGGCTTCGAGCTCCTGCGTCTTGTTAGCGCTGTATCAGTCAAAGTGGGATGCGTTAAACTGTACAGTCTTGATAAGCCTGAGAGACTTGTTGTTGGCTGCACGCTGCGCGCGTTCTTCGGACATGGTATTATTGATTAATATGGATGTCGTTGGTTTATAGAAAGTGGTGTTGAACGATCGCCACTCGTTATCTTGAAGTTGTGTTTATAGGTGGCTATATTTAGCGGCTGCTTCCCCTGCTACCCGTTACATCGCTAAGTCACACTCGCCCAGCATTAGCCCAGAACCCCGCCTCAAATTATGTAACTGCTGCACCTCAGAAACACCCATCGAGTATCCAATAATTATATCATTTCGCTTTTCTCTACTAGAATCTTTCCAATTGTCCCCCTCCGACCCCTCCAGTTATAACCCCCATAATACTTGTCGTTGGATATTAAAGTACTTGAAAACCAGTTACGCTATTCAAAAGGCCACACCCTTTCTACTTTCCCGAGTTATATGCAAAATGGTATCACAATGATGGCCCCTCCCCTCCCGCATCCGTCCACCCTCTACCTTGCTCTTGGCTCCACTACTACAACAACAACCAAGCTGGTGACCATCAAGGCCCCCGCTACCGCAGCCACAAGGGCAATACTTCCCCTACTCGCCGGGAACTTGCCTTTCGTAACCCAGTGTTGCGCCTCAAAGTATCGGTGGAATCCAATAAGGAGGACCACGATCGATATCCCCAAGAACGCAGCACCGAGCGGCTTACCCAGGCTGCGGAAATGTATCGCCGAGGCACTGGGCTCGGGTGTCGTGCCTGCGGGGGCTGAAATGGTCGTGTTGAGGCGGAAGAGTTGTGTGATTGCTATACCAATCGATGCGAATGCGAGGGATGTTCGTAGCCATGCGAGGAAAGTGCGTTCTGTGTGCGAGTTAGCATATATCCCAGCAGCCCATAGATTCGATGTTAGATCTTACCTAAGGCAAGATGATCCCTCGCCACGCTCCCTTTATTCTCTAGTTCCAGGCTCCCATACTTCTCAAGCTGTTTCTTCCACCACGGCTCCTCCCTCGGGCCCCCATTCGTCTCTTGATCGTTTACCGGAGTCTGAACCGCCGACCCTCGCCGCCGACGACTCTGGCTCTGGCTCTGACTCTCTGTCCTGCTCGCCGTCCTCGTCGTCAAGCTAAGCTGACTATTCCTGCTGCGTACTTTCTTTGTCCCCTCCGTCGTAGCCCCATAATCGCCATCGCCATTCGCTCTTGCCGCGCGCTCACGAGCCACGATTGCCGTTCGCTCATCAGGAGTATGCTCATCGGTGCTGCTGCTGCCGTCCATTGGGGCGTCTGTAGGTATGCCGTCGAGCTGTGCGAGGCGTTGGACGTCGTCTTCTGTGAGCCGCGAGGTAGATTCGAGGCCGAGGGCTTCGCTGCGGCGGCGGCCGGTCTCGAGGATCGAGCTTATATTAGCCCCGGTAGTAGAGGAGGAGGAGGTCTTGGGGGAGGGGTTGGGGGTCGTGTGTGGTGGTTGCGAGGCGCTGGGTTGGGGGTGCGAGGGGTCAGATGGTGCAATTTCAGACTGCATGGTGTAGATCTGTGTGACAGGGGGTAGCTCTGTGGGGGTTAGTGAGTGGATGAGGTGCGGCGACGGCGGCGGTGTTACGGCATGGAAGGGGGGTTATGGCGTTATTTGTGGTGGATGATAAAATGACGATTATTTTGGAGATTTATGGATTCACGGGAGGGGCGATAAGAGGGTGAGGGGGAATTGGAACAAAGGGACTATAGTTTCCCAATAAAGCCAATAAAGGGCGGGAAACTTGAATAATAGCGTCGCATGGAACTTGGCCAGTGGGGATTCTGCCCGGGAGCTTAATCGGGCGGTGAGTGAGGAAGTTGGAAGGTGGAAAGTGGTGGCTTTGAGAAGCGACGTCAGATGTCAGACTACGATGTTTACCCCGTCAGTGAAGGTATAATCGTCCATCTAATCATCTATCAATTGATATATACTGAGGGCCAGATAGGTAAATATGAGGCAATGACATATGCTGTGTATTCGATATTTACTTGATTGCTAGAGACACGCAAGGGTGTGCATGCTGTATGCCGTGCATGGTGTGCAACAGCTACAGTATGTCTCTGTCATCCAAACTGTCAGACATCAGCCGCCACCTTGTCACACCGGACAATCCAGCCCGTGAAACAGGCACCTTAGACTACCAGCGTTGTGCCCTCCTACACAATTTCCTCGTAGAATACTCCTGGCTGGCAGATGGCCAGTCGTTAGCTGATCTCGACCGACGTTCATTCTTTGAGCGCAATGGGGACGAGGCCGAGAAGATCCGTGAGCGACTAGACCCTGCGCTGATATCCTTCCTCGAAGCAGCATACGATGTGGAAGGCACCGTTTTCTACCTCTGGGTTGTGGGCATCACTGCTCCATCTCTGATGTGGATAAACCACTCCGGAGACGACGAGGGCGAGACGCTCACTCTTTACTGGACGAATAACATATGCTCTCACACCAATGGGCTAATGTACCACCAGAAGCAATGCAAGGCGACAATGGCAATGGGGATTTTCGACATGGACTTTTCACAGCCGATCGAGGACCATCCCGAGCTCTGGCACCCCCTCGAGACTGTCCTGAGCAATTGGATCCACATGATCCAGCTAGGCAAGATCACAGCCACCCCAGAAGAGACTGATTGCGAGAAGCAGGGAGTATGGGCATGGCATTCTTATGGCGAGGCACAGGTCGAAAATACTGTCGCCGCGTTTAACCAGCTAGTGGAGGCGATCGAGTCTCGCATGCCAACAGAATCACTCCGGCCGGCTCGCGAAGGACCGCTCCTCAGCGACAAAGACCTCGATGCAGCATCCGTCCCCAAATCGTGCTTTGTGCGCGGATTCTTGACCCGGGTTAGGGTCCCGCGCTTTGAGTTCATTGCGCCAGGTCTCCTCGTCCCGCATGATCGCGAAGCCTTTGTTTCACGCCAAGTATTCACCACAGTGGACACCTCCTCCAATGACGACTACTACAGTGACAAGGCAATCGTTCCACCGGTTTTGCTCTTCCGCGCGACAGACCTCACAGCAAACTTTGACTGGGACAACAAGTATAGGTCACTCAACCCGTTTTGCCGCCCGTATACAGTTGCGAAAGGGGACCACTCTGTCCCAGCAGGTTTGTATAGCGAGTCAGTTCCGCGTTCAGTAATAGATTATGCGGAAGAGGGTTTTCGACTTATCTTGCCGTTTTCGCTGTGGGGGGAGGAGCGTGGGGCGAAGACGAGCAACGGGCAGGGCATTGAGAAGGGATCGGTGGCGGATTTGTTTCAGCATGGGTTTAAACCGTTTGGTGGTGAGTGGTGGCGGGCTCAGCGGCTGGAGAGGCTGTTTGGGAAGTGGACTGAACTTGTGGAGAGGGGCGTGTGGGATGTCGATGGAAGGGGTGTCGCGGGGACGATTCTCAAGTTTGATGATGCGGATAAGGGGGCATGGAGGGACTATTGCATCGAGCCTGACTGGTGATTATTATGAGAATTATGATGGAGTCTATATTGAATAAGGCTGATATTTAGGCCTGCTCTTTATATATCCTCTCTCGAATAGATATTTTGGATTTATTGCCACTTATTTATGAGAATATTTCATTTTGCGACAAAGAACGTAAACTTGGTGTAGAGAGGGTCAGAACTGAGGAATTTAGTTGTGAGGTTTGCCAACTCGCTAAAGGTTCCACACTGGAGACCCCTCAAAGACAGTCACATGGCATTTTTGAGCCCCATCACGATGTGCAAAGTTCCGCGAACCACAATCTCTTCGCTCTCTGGCGACAACGTATAGATAGTCTATGCACCCAGCATGGAAATCTACATGACCGAGAATATGCATCAATGAATGTGGAAAAAGGACTTGAAGTTCCTGTGTTTTCTATGAGAGCCCCAGAGGACACTTGCTATTTCCTATGCCCTCCTACATCACTCGACTACCTTGAGAGGTAGTCTCCTCCGCCATCTATCTTTGTTGGCGCTGCTATGTGAACTCATCTTTATGTTTACATTAAGTAACTCCATCAGCTATAAGCGGCAACCATTCAAAAAAATCATACACTATGCAATTAACCCTCCTTCCCTCTAAGCTCCAAGCACACATTGTGTCTGGCTTAAATAATCGTGATAAGAAGAGTCTTCGTCTAACATGCAGGACCCTCCGCGACAGATCTCCCCTGCGTATTGATAGGGTATTCCTATCCGCCAACGTGCGCAACGTCGAGGTTTTCCGTGCCATTGCCGACCATGAGATATTCCGCAAAGGCGTGACCGAAGTCATTTGGGACGACGCGCTGCTGGCTGAAAGCAATGAACAGTATGAGGATGAGTTTTATTGTGAGGGCGAGGACCTGCCCGATTGCGACGAAACATGCCCTGTCTGGTTTCTGTGGGCATGCAGGGAGAACCTTTCGTGGCTCACTAGTCGCAAGGGCAACGATGTTGACGATCTTCCTCAGCACCTAGAGAGGGCAAAACAGATGGAAGCGCAGATACCACTGAATGTGTCGTATGCATACTACCAGGGGCTTTTGATGCAGCAGGAAAGCGTCTTGTCGACGCAAGCCGATATCGAGGCTCTCAAATACGGTATAACTCGTTTTCCAGCCCTGAAACGAATCACGATCACGCCAGCGGCCCACGGGGCTTTGTATACACCGTTATACGAAACCCCTATGATTCACGCATTCCCATACGGCTTTAACTACCTCATTCCACGGGCCTGGCCAACCGTTGAGCCCGGCTTCTCGCCATGCGAAGCGCCTCCTTGGGACACCGAGGCCGAGAAAAACAAATGGCGTGGATTCCGCATCGTGTTGCGCACCTTGGCTAAGCAAGAGCACCACATTTCAGAGTTCATTTTGGATGTGAATGGGCTCTGCACTGGGCTCAACTGCCACGTTTTCGACGAGCCGTGCGAAGAATACGAAGATCTTGTCGCCCTCCTGCGAAAGCCGGATTTTAATCGCATCGATCTCGGTCTTCTTGTCAGCACGCAGCAGGACGAGGGATGGCCAAGTTTCCGCTCCGGTCATCTTAAACACGCCTTGGGCGAGGCAAAAGACCTGCAGCATGTAAGCCTGTGCACGGATTTGGGTGCCAACCAGGAAGTTGACGTCCCAGAAGAGGAAAGCGACGTAATACCACTTCGTACTATATTCCCCATCAATAGGTGGCAACAGCTTCAACATTTAGGGATTTCAGGCTTCGTGGTACGTCAGGATGACTTGATATCCTTGCTTGCCGCATTGCCGGCCTCTTTACTCTCTGTAGAACTGAGTTTTTTGCATTTTTACGGCGATGGCAACTACAGGAACTTGCTCTGTGACATGCGCGACAAATTAGGCTGGCGTGACCGCACGGCATCTGAAAGACCAAAGGTCATCATTGGCGGGGGCGGGGGAGGGTTGGTGGCGGTTCATGTTGGTCGTGCTACGTGGGTTGGGGATGAGGTGTCGGGGTTTCTCTATGGCGACGGTCTGAATCCATTCGGTCGCGAAGGCGATAGTTTCAGCCCAAATCAGATTCGTTTGGGTTTTGGTGTCGAGCGAGATGAGTTTGAACCAGGTTTTGAGCGACCTTGGGCACAGTACGATGAATTACAGAGACTAGGGTATTACCCAGATGTCCGACTTCAGTACGAGGAATGGAAAAAATCTCTCAGTGATGACCTATCGACATGAAAATGGTTTTGCAAGGGAGGAACAAGGCTGCATGCGCATGATCTCTGAGTTGAGTTCAATGATATTTAGTTACATTTAATACGAAAATATAGGCCTAACGGTCGTCTGCCTGGTCTAAAATGGCATCAAATGACTCCAGAGAAGTTTCAGCAACAGTTCACCTGCGCCTAGATCCCTAATCATATCTCACTCCGATGAAGTTCCCATTTTGTAGCCGTAGCCGCCACTGACAGGAACTGCATGCTTTCATCCCGCAATTCGGACACGTATCTGTGATATGGCACAAAACACTTCTCGCAGGCATTAAACCCTCCTTGGACCGCGTGGTGTCTTATTTTCGAGTTGGATGTTGCTCTGAAAGACGTATTCTCACAGGGGATTACAAAATTGATCATTTTGCTATCATGTATCTATGGAATATATCACCGTCAAATGATTAAGACTCCAACTAGCACTGATATAGCATAGTCCCAATTCAACTTCAATAGGCATAGCTTTAACAGCGAGAGTTTGAATTTGATGCACATCAATTCGTGATGAGGCTCTTGTCGAGTTATTCGGATTAAGACAAGTTACTGTAGAACCCCGCTTTCGTATTTCGAGAGGTGAGCTCTTACCTTCAAACTACTCAACGAATGCACGCAAAGACTGCTTCATGGGCGCTTCGTGGGCGATCTTGGTTGGTCGGGGGTGCATGATCCAACAAACACCACTGTCATCTCGACAAGTCTCGACAAGTCTCGAGGCACAATATGGTGCCATATCTTTATAGCAATAGAAAATGAGATAATAGAGGTACGAAGAGAGCATTGCTACTCTCTGCGCGAGGGATTTTGGAGTTGACGACTCTCGATACCGTGGCCAGAGTCAATGCTGCAAAGTGTAGAAGGTCTACTATTTCTTATATACCTTATAGCTACGGGGAAAATCTATATAAATCTAGGTTAAGGATATACTAAATAAGAGCTAACTCTTTATATAGAGTTAACTTCTATAAATTAGGAATAAAATTATATTAAGAAGCCATTCTATAAATCTAATTACATAAGGTCGTTTAGGGGATATCGTATGATGCTATAGCAGCTTAAACACTTTGAAATTAGCCTTGTTTAATTGCATTAATAGCTAATAGTATTCAACCCTCTTAATTAGAGGATTAGGCTTATGTTGGTAGTAGCATGTTGACTTTTGTTACGTTGACGCGTTGTGATGTTTTGGTGGGCGACTCGCTTGTGTGGGCGACTCATATGTGAATTACGTTATCGGATTCGTGAACGACTAAATATAAACAAACTCACAACCAAAGTTCAAGATATAATCGCCGCAGCTACAGCTAATACATTCCATTCATTCATCTTCAATCTCCTTTCCACGCCTTGCTAGAGGCATTCACACTGTCCCCTCAACAGCCCAACCCCCCACGACCCCGCCAACACCACCCCACCACCCCACCAACACCACCATGACACCCGTCAACGTCCCCTCCTTCGCAGCCACCCAACTGCACCTCCTAGACCAAGAACTCCAATCCGAGCTCGCCTCCACCTCCGCGCTCCTCACCTCCACCTCTCCCGCCTCCCTGCAACGCGCGGGCGTCGCAATCACCAACCTCGTGATCGCGTCGCAGCGCACGGGACTAGGCGGGAAGACGGTTTTGGAGCTGAGTCTTGATTCGGCGATCGGGGAGGGCGATTTGCCGGAGCATGGGGTGAGGGTTGGGGATATTGTGATGGTGGCGGGGCAGCCGGCGGGGAGCGCGAAGAAGAGGGAGGTGAAGGAATTGGCGGAGGGGGGGGGGAGGGGGGTGGTGACGAAGGTGGGGAGGGCGGGGGTGGGGGTTGCGATGGAGAAGGAGGAGGTGGAGGTGGGGGGGAGGTTGTGGATTGTTAAGTTGGCTAATGATGTTACTTATAAGCGGTAAGTGGAGGTGTTTCGTTATGGGCAGTATAAGAGTATGGAATGGATGACGAGATGCTGACTGTTATAGGATGAACCAAACTATGGAAAAACTGCAGAAGATGAACGAGGCATCTTATTCAGCCTTTCTGCGGGTGTTATTCGGGCTGTCGTCACCTTCACCGGTACAGGAGAGCCCAGAGGCTGAAAAGATCGAGTGGATAGACCCAAGTCTAAATGACTCCCAAAAAGATGCCATTAAATTTGCTTTGGCGTCACGGGAAGTGGCATTAATTCATGGCCCTCCAGGGGTACTACTACCCCCGATTTATTCAGCCATCGAGACGACTAACCTTCGCTAGACTGGCAAAACTCACACTCTGATCGAGCTCATCCTGCAACTTGTCAAGTTGAAGCTTCGCGTCCTCGTCTGCGGCACGAGCAATATCTCAGTAGACAACATAGTGGAGCGCCTCTCTCCACACAAGCTGCCCATTCTCCGCCTTGGACACCCCGCACGCCTCCTCCCCTCAGTCCTGAACCACTCACTTGATATACTGACGCAAACCTCTGATGCTGCAGCCATCGTGCGCGACGTGCGCAAGGAGATGGATAGTAAGCAGGCCTCGATCCGCAAGACGAAATCGGGGCGAGAGCGTAGGGGAATCTATGGAGAGCTACGAGAGCTACGGAAGGAGTTTCGCGAGAGAGAGAAGAAGTGTGTGGCGAATCTGGTGATGGGGAGTAAGGTTGTGCTTGCTACGCTTCACGGGGCTGGTGGGTTCCAGCTTAGGGGCGAGCAGTTCGATGTTGTGCTCATCGATGAGGCAAGTCAGGCGCTGGAGGCACAGTGTTGGGTTCCTCTGTTGCAGGCCGATAAGGTGGTTTTGGCGGGCGATCATTTACAGTTGCCACCTACGATTAAGAGCTTGAATTCGAAGGTTAAGGCAAAGGTAACGAAGAAAGGAGATGGGGACGGAGAGGCTGAGGAAGCGATTATCAAAGGGATGACTCTGGAGACTACGCTATTTGATAGACTATTGGCCATGCATGGGGAAGGCATTAAGCGGATGTTAACTACGCAGTACCGGATGCACGAGACTATCATGAGGTTTCCAAGCGACGAACTGTACGGGGGGAAGCTGATAGCTGCTGAGGCGGTTAAGGCGAGGCTTTTAACAGACCTGCCGTATGAGGTTCAGGACACAGAAGATACGAGGGAGCCTCTTGTCTTCTGGGACACGCAAGGAGGCGACTTTCCAGAAGCAAGCGAGGAAGAGGGGGTCAGTAAGAAGACAGGTAAGGGCCTGATGGGCGAAAGCAAGAGCAACGAGATGGAAGCTGCGCTTGTGAAGCTGCACGTGAAGAACCTTGTCGAGGCAGGCGTCAAGCCAGAGGATATCGCCGTTGTCACACCCTACAACGCACAGCTGGCGCTGATGTCAGGTCCGCTGAAAGAGGAATTCCCTGGCATCGAATTAGGCAGTGTGGATGGGTTCCAGGGGCGAGAAAAGGAGGCGATCATCGTGAGCTTGGTGCGTAGCAATGGCGATGGCGAGGTGGGTTTCCTGGGCGAGAAGCGCCGTCTAAACGTTGCTATGACGAGGCCCAGGCGTCACCTGTGTGTCATCGGTGATGCGGAAACAGTAGCAAAGTGAGTACTCCGTGATGTTCAGATGCAGACGAGCACGTTTGACGAAGGGATGATGTGCTGACTTTTGGGTAGGGGAAGCGGGTTCCTGAAACGCTGGATGGCCTTCTTGGAAGAAGTCTCTGATCTCAGATATCCCGATTTGGCTATGCTTAGTAACCCTTGATGCCTCACGTCGCATGGCATCAAGGTGGAGATGCGATGAACGAGATAAACGTGGGCTGAGGCCTAGATAGATGCACGTCCTTCCGGGCCCCACGAATAGCTGATTGTCGTTATTATGGCTTAACTGGACGTCCAGGCACGGCGTCCGGAACTGTAGCGCAACTGTAGCGGGCGCGGGGCCGCCCCTCCGCTATTTGGATGCGTGGCGGTGAGACACTCCAGGGTCTGGGACCGGATGAACGGTGAAGTGGAGTCTCCGTCTTAGGCGTTTCATAACACTGTAGCGTGAAGATCAGCTCTCATGCACGGCCGTGTTGGCACTGCACTATTTGGCGGCTGAATGGCAAAGAAAGACCACAGGGATGGCCAGAACCGTTGTGGCTTGGGATGAAGTCGTCAGTGAGGCATAAATGCGGCCAATGATACTCTAAAAGTGATATATATATTCGACGCCTGGGCTGAAAGGGTGTGTAGACGAATTCCCAAGTGTCCAGTTACAATACTGAGTTGAGAAATAGCGATTTTGCTTGCTGCAGTTGCCAATATTCCTTCCCCTGGCGCCGCTGCAGGGTACCTTATCACTCGCTTACTGTGGAGCAATTTACAGCGGATGGTACCTTGACTAGAAAGTCAAAAGGTGTCCAGACTGTTGCGCTACAGACGACCAACATCGTCCACCACGCATCAACCATGCATCGCTACTAGAGTACTCTAGAGTACTCTGTAGTGTGCAATGTGGCGGCCACGATCCCCCTCTGTTTCACCACTTTCCCCACCACTCGCATTGACCGCCATCGGCAATATTTTACCCTCCACCTCCATCACCGCTACACAAGACTTCAAATCACAAACACAAGGCAAGACTAAACCACCCAAACCCCTTCATACTCACGCCACGAAGACTGGCGTAACGCTCAGCCTCTCACACCATCCTGGCCACTACCTGCATAAACCAACTCCGACGTTGCATTGATCCATTTACACTTCCACTTTCGGGAGTTATGGAGCACAAAAGGTAGGCAACATGGCTGGCCCTTTGCCAGGTTCTCCTCACCATGAGCCGCTATCCGAACCACGCAGGGTACCATTGCTAGGCCTAACATACATTGTTGGACGTCACCTTCTCTATTGATGCGGTCGAGGGGTGTAGTACGTACATCCCTTTAACTCTCGGCACGTCTCAACTGGCCCAAAGCGGGGTGGTTCGATACGAGGCTGCATTACCAGCGCGATAATGCTGGCAGCGTGTACACCAGCGCATTCTCTTCCAGAGCCTGGATTCCCACGAATGAAGTTCCCGTTTCCCTCTTGCATGTTGCATATGTTTCAGTGTCCCATCCAGGACACACTTGCATTCGCCTGTGTTGCAGGATATATGACCAGTGACATGCCCGTGAATGCATAGAGTTGACTTATTTCCCTTGATGAATGACGGGGTCGCAACAGCTGTGCTGATAATGCTTTCAGTTGTGGGTGTGCTGGCCGAATATAGTGCATGATAGGGGGAAGAGACGAACATGACTCGAAAATACACTCATTGATTTAACTCGTGGCGATTCTGCCCGCTCCTCTTCTTCTTTATTCCATTCTCCCTTTTTAAGCAACAACTTTTCGCTAGGTTTGCTTGACGCGGCCGTCCTTGAGCGCCAGCACGAGCTATAACGATGAGCAAACTATGGGGCGGGAACCGAAAGGGTGGTGAACAGACTCCAGTCTCTACAGTTCGTGGAAAGATATCGGCGCCAATACCTATCCCGACCGATGACGATGAGCTTCCAGAACGAATTCCCGTGGTGGGGTTGGCGATACCGTTTGGATACGACACTGCAGATATAACCGCAGACGACGGCCAGGGGACTATACATAGCCAGACACAGACAAGTATACAACGGTCACCGCCGCGCAGGATAAGCCCACAGCGTCTATCAGGCGACGAGTTACGAAGGTCGACAACTGGGAGCAGGTTTAGAGAGTCTGGCCTACTCAGTCCCCTCGCAAGCCCAGCGAAGCCTGAGCGGCGAAAAGGGTCTTTTAGAGCTGCTCTTGGTCGTTTATTTGGCAAGAAGCCAAAGGGCAACGGGGAGCCATTATCCAATGGACATGCAGAGGGCCGGGCAAACCATAAGCATCACAAGAGTGTACGTATTTCAGACAGCAATACAACTCTGGCACAGCTAACAAGAATCAGGATCCCACGGCATTATCGAACGCGGCAGATAAACCAACCTCTCCCCAGCGATCGAACTCTCTGCCCCTCAACCAAATCAACCGGGGTTTGGCTTCACATCCGACCTTATTAAATAACGATCCGTTGGGGCAGGACGACCAGCCAGAGAATTCGCCTACACGACCGCGAAGAGCCACCATCCCCAGCCGTCTCTTCAGCAACGCACCTGCTATGTATACCGGGTTCTCTGGGCTCTCTCCTCGCCCAACCAGCCATGGACGCGAGGGCGCCACGTCCCGAATCGGCCAAGCCATGACATCTGGCGCTCACCCAAATCGGCGCTCTAGGAGTGCGGGGCAACTTAAAACGCTGTCAGGCTTCACATCGCCCTTGCCCAAAAGACGCAGTGAGGAAATTAGACAGTGGAGAAGTAGTTTCGATGCTTCGGGGCCACTGAGCCCGTGGAGTAGCCAAAGGCCCGATACCGCTGTTACAGCACAGTCTCAACCCGATCCCTCTCAGCAGGACGAGGAAGCGATGCCAGGCCTAGCAATTGATGGGAGCGAGGCGAACGAGGCATCATATCCTGACCCTGAACCGTTCAATTTCGGTCCTATAGGCCCCATGGCCATGGCTGGGATGACCATCACTCAAGCCGCAAGCCTCGAGGACCGAGTGTTATACCTCGAAGCACGCTTGCGGGAGATGGAACAGGCCATATCCAGCTGGAGCCCGGGGCCTCATGCGAACGGCCACACCACGGCCGCAGACCCACAGCATCTCCAACCACCCATCCCACCAAAACACGCAAGCCGCCCCTTCTCAGCCGAATTCGGGTCCGGATCCGAAACTCTAGCTGGACGAGGCCCTCACAGCCGCGACGGCACGCCCAGACCCGTTACACCCACCCGGCAACCGCGCAGCCGCTCCACCACCGACACCACAGAGCCATCTCACGGGCCGGGAGACCCATCTCCGCGGCGTCGCGAACAGATGGAAGATTGCAGCCCGACGAGTAAGTACTCAACGCCCGAGTCGAGCGGCGCGCAAATCGCGACGCCGACGGGGACAATGCGCGGGTTCCCGCCGTTCTCGGGAATGCCGCTGAGCAAGCACGGGTCGCTGACTGCGCATCACTACTCTGCGCTGCTGAATCTGATACAGGTTGAGCGGAAGGCGAGGGAGGAGCTGGAGGAGAAGGTTGGGCTTGTGGAGAGGAGGTTGGGGGCTGCGATGGCGGGCGTGGGGAGGGGGGAGGAGAAGAGGAGGAGGAGTGAGGGGTTGAGGGGGATGAAGGAGGAGATGGAGAGGAGGGAGATGGAGGTGAGAGAGGCGATGGAGGAGGATATGGATTCGGATGTTGACATGGGGAATGGGACGCCGAGGACGATGAGTTTGAGTCAGTTGACGCTGGGGAAGGGGGGGGCGCTTCAGGATGTGGTGTTCTGAGGGGGGTCTTATGATTGGGGATCGGGTTGTATTTGTAGGAGCGGGATGGCTGGATGGGTATGGTCTGGCGTTGAATCGAGGGATGGAATGTGCATTTAGCGCCGTTGTAATTTATAGCTTTTAGCGTCGAGCGTTGAATAATACCAATATTTATAACTTCAGCCTACGTATTCAAGATGCTGTTCTTAATGAGGAGGATATTGTAGGTATTACGTATATTGCCAACATCTAACTATGATTATATTTCCATGTGCCAAACGCCTTCGCCAGGTAGATTCCAACGCTAAAACAAAAGAGATCTTTATATATTTCCCAAAACCACACCCACTTCTAAATTATTATACCCATCTATTATCTCGCACTCCCATTCAACACACCCATCATCCATCATCCACAACTCTCATACCCTCTCCCGATACGGAAACTGCGCCGTCTTTGGCACATCGCTCATCCTGTCATCGTGCCTGTCGTACACGCCATCACCCCTCGGCGCCTTATAACTCCCCTCATACACCCCCTCACTCCTCGCAGTCAACGGCACATCACTCGTCCTCTCCCCCCTGCCAAACTCGCTGTCACTCTGCCCCTGCCCTCCCGTCTTGGGAGTATCATAATCGGGCTGCACGCGCGTGCGCTTGCGACGTCCACAACACCACCACCTCCTCGCCCCCTTCGTAACAATCGGCTTCGCGAACTCGGAGCCGGGCCCGCGCAAGTAGCGACCGGGGTGGATGGCGGCGAGAGAGAAGAGGGCAAGGAACATAGGGGTTGCTTCGAGGCCGTAGAAGTATGATTCATGTGTTGGGATGGGGCCGTAGATGCCGGAGGAAAACTCGACGAGGCGGAAGATGATGCGGATCTGGGGGGTAAGGGTTAGTTGATTTGGTTGGGCGAGCGGAAAGGGGGACGTACGGAGATAAGGATCAGAGCGCCGTAAAGGGTGTAGACTAGGGGTTGCCAGCGGGTAGCGTGGGTTCTGCCTTCGCGGAGGGCGCGAACGTGGAAGGTAATCATGAGGCCGATAAACGCGAGGAGGACGCCCTGCTGGACTCCGATACCGCTCATATCTATATCTCATCAGCATTTGCCCGCCAGCACATACACAATCAACATACAGATATCCAGCCCAATCTTAGTCTGACTCGCCGAGACATCAGTGCCAGACAACATCATACCGCCGGCGGCCTGGATGAGAAAGATGATGACATCGAACCAGACGAACCAGCGTGTCAGCGACGTGGCGCGGATTCCCCAGATGCGCTTATCCGGCAGCCAGAAGTAGACGATGCGGCCGACTACCATGTAGACGAAGGCGTTGACCCAGAGCGGCGCGAGGAGAACGAGCATCTGCGAGGCGACGGGCCAGCCCGAGGCGCGCGGGTTGCGCGCCCCCATAATGCGGAAGGCAAAGCCAAGGGTTTCCCAGGTCGAGGCCATGCATACTACCCAGCAGAATCGCTTACGGTAGCTGAAGGCTTGGATGTAGTGGGCGAGGGTGACGGCTCCGAAGAGGGCGGTGAACGTGATTGCGCCGGCGTAGGAGGGACAGTAGGGCCATTGGGCGTCGGGGTCACGGGGGTCTGAGAGAGTTTGTTAGAGCAAAAGTCTTAAAAGGGAATATGAGAGATTATTACCTAGGCACACAGGGGCAACCATTGTGCTGGTGCTGGAGGGGTAAGGGTTGGCAGATGGTACGAGAAGATACGGCGGAGGATGGCCAGAAGATTGCACCACCGTGGCAGATAGAAACAATCTTGACAAGCACCAAGAGAAAAGCTTATTGTTGGATTGAAGCTATAAAATGCGCGGGCTGCTGCAGGATACTTATCCTCAGGACTCACCGGTATGGAGGCCATGGCTCTTCGGTGAAAGCCGCATCTGTCATGGTCCTCGTCGTCACCAACGGGCTTGGAACCATGAAGCTTTGAAGCATACTACCCAATGCAGGGCTCATGGAATTAGCCTCTATCAAAATCGTTGGGAGCACGCACAGTAGCATGACGAGGCCAGTAAGCTGTGACAGCCAGCCTGACGCGTCTCAAGAATATATTTAGCTCCATCCAACCCCGGGGTTATCGTTGATTGGTTCGCTCGGGTAATCCTTTTTATAAAGAACTATGATTGGCTAGCTGACAACGTCTCAAATGAATACATGGGGCCATTTATGTAGCAACCATTGGCTGAATGCTAAATAAGAGTCCTCTAGCATAAAAATTGGTTTAGTTGTCTCTAATGTCAACGACCCCCTGTATCCAACGAGGCTGACGACGACGATCCAATATGACATGACAGCTTCACATTGGGTGGCGCTCCAGGTGTACGAGTACTTTTCATATCTTACATGAAAAATTTCGTCCGAAGTAATGCGGCGTTTGATATTTGGTTTGTAAGCCCAAGTTTATCACAACTGCCGAGTCAGAGCTGATCGGGGGAACACGCATACCAATTAGTTACATTTCCTCGAACTGCTCAACCAACTCTAAGAGTCAGCAGCTGACAAGCTCCGAGGCATAGGTCAGCCAAGATTTACCGCCAATAACTAAAGTCAGCTATAATGCACGAATAAATCCACAGTTCTTCACGGACAAGCTTCCTGATAATATCCTTGGTTTTTGTGAAGGAGGGCGGTGGTGTCTCCCCATAGGCGTGTATCACGAATACAAATTAGAAATACAATACAGCAAGCACTGCCGTCCAAAGCTTATACCACAGTAACAGGCTTCTGGAGAGGGCGCGTGATGGCCGCCAGTGCTTGATAGCACTAACGCGAATTAAACAACAACTATTCAACTTAGAGTTTATATACTTTGATAAATGAATGTCTTTAATAAATATAACTTTCTCTACAGGCAACTGACTTCAATAACATAAGTGCCCATATGATCTTGCACAAGCAAGCCTTTGGGTAGAATGCTAGTAGACTTTCCAATAACATAGATACCCAATCTTTCGTACACAAACGAGTTCCTTCCGGAGTCCTCTATCTGCCTTAGAAGCAAGCCCTCTTCCGAGGTGAAACGCAAGGCCTACATACTCGAGAGTCTATCTGTTGTATAGTGCATGTCAAAGAGTCCAGTTGCAGCGATCTAGGGCCAGTCTAGGCCCGGGTCATGGAGCCCTTCAATTAAGGCCGTATTCTCCGTCTCCAATGTCTCCAATCGGAATGTGTGCCGGTCCCATGGATTCGGGGTAATATTTGACTGAAAACCCAACCCATGTGCTGTAACCAGTATGGACCTTAGTTTCTTATTTCGAGACACGCAATTTCGGATATAGCCCTTCACCATAGGTCGAAACGGATTAGGGAATTTAATTCCCTAATCCGCTTCATCATCTCGTAGTCCCATGGCTCTCTGCTCATGTGTATCGGTATACAGCATAGCACTCAAAGCAAGCTGAATCCTCTATCATCCACTATCGTGGTCCTAGCTCCCTGGTAAATGGGTCCAACAAGTGCCATCCGAGACCACGATGGCGCCTTTCTAACAACATTCCCTTTATGTTTTGGTGGTTGTCGTACAGACAAGTTCGGATCCACGATCCGGCGGCTTCTCCAAAGCAATCCGCCATAGGCCAGCCGCGTATGTATGCGAACCAGGGCCAAAACTTTCGAGTAGGGCCTTCTTAAATAGACGGGCGAGACCAGACAAAGCCGCGTGGTTGTCTCTAGGGTCATAGAAGCTGCGTGATGAGAATTCCGCCGTCGTTGAATATCACCGATTCAGAACCGCGTCCGAGGCGCTACCTAATTCTAATAGACGGGGCTTTTAGATGTCGATACTTATTTTATAGCGTGATGGTCGTTCCTTGAGCTGATATAGCTTCGATGGCATGTTGTCTTTCAAGACTGGCGGTAGAGAACGGCTATGGTTTGGCGAACATAGTGGATTGTATCAGATATCCGCCTTTTCAACAAACACATAAGTACCATCTTCATACTCTTCGCGTTCGCGGCATCGAAAGATGAGTTGCTGTTCGCCGTCAATAACCATTGGCATTGGCAACAGCTCTCTAGTCTAGATCCCTCCTATCAGCGCCAGCGATACACCTCTCACCCTCGTCCCCAATATACCTCTCCGCATCCCCCGCCTCGACTGGAAGTTTGGGCTTGAACAAGTAAATCTCCGCCATCCAGTGTATTCCAGTCGGTCTCGTCACTTTGGCAGGCCGGCCAGTGCCCATGTAGCAAATATCACCCGCGGGAAGGACAGCACTGAGACGTCCATACTCGGTTGTCGGAATCCGAAGTACCACAGCCGGCGAGGTGTGCAAGACGGGTGTTGTTTTGATGGCTTTCAGATTCCCTATAATGCGTCAGCCATCTCTGTCTTCACAGCCTCTACAAATAGCATATCCGAGAAAGTTGCGTCCGAAATCCGAGATGGTGTATGATGAGAGACGGCGGAGAGATGGTATCCTCATATGTAGGTTCCTACATGGTAGAAATAGGCGTCATTTCACTCGTCTCGTTTGTTTTGTCTCTGTGTCGCACCATCTCACCGAGAACTCTGTGCCATGTTCACCAACAATAGTGTAGCACGAAGAGCTTCGGGTCAGCTTACCTCCACGCGAATATACCCTCACGGCCCATCCCAAATCCATTATTTTGATTATCGTCTCTCACGTCGAGTTCCTACATATGTTAACAGTCGTTCTTTTCTGCCCCAGTGTGTGGATGAGAAGTCCTTACCCAAGTCCAAGACTCTGCCAAATCATCTTCTCTGCCCAGTTAAATAGCCCTGTGCCTATTGCGCCGAGCACCTCCCCCACTACACTGGGAGACTGGACAGCTCTGGGCTCTAGTATCGGAGGAAGTGGCATCTCGAAGTAGTTACTCTTTGGTGTGGGAGTGGTAGATACGTGGTGGTTCTCGATGGCTGAAGATGATGATTGTTTTGTAGCTTGGTCAGTTAAGTGACGGATATTGAACAAAACCTACAAATCTACGGCATGAGAAATGGCATGGCATATTCCCAAATAAATGTTACATTATGACTATGACTGTGACTATAGCGGGGTTTTAGTAAAGCCTTAATATTGGCCGGCGTCAGGGCTACAAGATAGTGCTGTCTCCGGTTATCATAGTGTCACAAATTTCGTAGTATAGGCTACAATTGGTTACCGCTACCTAACCGGATTCGGCAGCTGTACCTGCCCCATCCATCCACCACGGTTACGTTACCCCACACATGGCGCCTTATCTACTCCCACAGTTAAAGAGTCAGATGGCCACTTGTGAGACAGACGCTTCACCTCTCTTGACATCAGACTTTGGTATTTAATATATGGTACTGGCAAGACTTTATTCTCTACTGGCTGTTCTCTGATCACGACCTAAACTCCCTAGAGCCTACTATATATCTTTGGCCCTTATCAAACCGCAGTCTATAGTGCCCACGTGAGCAGAAAGAAGAATATGGGATCACAATCTTCGAGGCCGTCGTACGACGATTACACCGAAAAGCAGGCTGTTGAGCGTATGCGACAGCTGGCTCTCACTGCACCAGGAAGTAAGGGCAGCTATGAGGCCGAAGGAAACGAAAAGCAGCGACCGAAATATGTCGCTGATGAGGCTTCGGGCCTCTCAATCAGCGATGTTTGGAAGTGGCAAGAGAAGCTGATGGACGACCCAAAGAACCGGTACGCACGCTATAACATATGACTCCCCCTGACTACGGGGTTATAGTGCACTTTACTAACGGGGTTCTAGACTGGCGCTTTCAGCACTAAGTGCCGCGGACCCCAAGACGGTGCTCCAGAACCGCAACGTCCTCACCGAAAATCAGCACATCTTCAATGTGAAGATCCGATTCGAAGGCGCACCGATCACGAACCAGAACTCCTCGGGACGATGCTGGATCTTCGCCGCTACAAATGTCTTCCGTGTGGCACTGATGAAGCGCCACAACCTCGAGGCGTTCGAGTTGAGCCAGTCATACCTCTTCTTCTGGGACAAGCTCGAGAAGGCCAACTGGTTCCTGGAGCAGATCCTCGACACAGCCGATGAGGATGTTGAGGGTCGCCTTGTGCAGCAACTCTTACAGGCCCCGGTCAACGATGGCGGACAGTGGGATATGATCGTCAACCTCGTCAACAAGTACGGACTCGTCCCCCAAGTCCTCTACCCCGACAGCTTCAACGCCTCCCACTCCGGCACCATCAACAACCTCCTAACCACCAAACTTCGCGAAAACGCCTTAACCCTCCGCTCCCTCGCCGCCACCTCCTCCTCCCTCTCCACCATCCGCTCTGCCAAAGCCGAAATGATGCGCGAAGTCCAGCTCATCCTGACCCTTACCCTCGGTCCACCCCCCTCCCCATCCTCGGAATTCACCTGGCAATATTTGGATGCCAGCGGCGCCGCACAGACTCTCAGCACCACTCCTCTCGCCTTCGCCGCTGAGCTCTCCTCCACCCTCTCCATCCGCACAATCGGCGTCGACGTCAACTCCATGTTCAGTCTCATCAACGACCCGCGCAACGCGCCAAACACCCTCCTCACCGTCGCCCGCCTGGGTAACGTAGTCAGCGACACTTCACGCACAGTGACCTACGTCAACGTCGCCATGCCCACCATGAAAGCAGCCTGCATCGCCATGCTACGCGCCGACATCCCCGTCTTCTTCGGTTGCGACGTCGGGCAATCCTCGGAGCGTGCCCGCGGCGTCATGGCTACGGGACTTGTTGATTACGAGCTGGGCTTTAATGTGAAGCTCGGCTTGACGAAGCGCGATCGCATTCTGGCGGGGGAGAGCAAGATGACGCATGCGATGGTGTTGACGGCTGTGCATCTTGATGCTGAGGGGAAGAGCGTGAGGTGGCGCGTGCAGAATTCGTGGGGGGAGGGGTCGGGGGATAAAGGGTGGTTTGTTATGAGTGATGAGTGGATGGATGAGTTTACGTATCAGGCGGTTGTGGATCCGAGGTTTGTGAGTAAGGAGGTCAGGGAGGTGTTGAAGCAGGATCCGAAAGTGTTGCCGCTTTGGGATCCTATGGGGGAGTTGGCTTGAGGTTCTGCTGGTGGTGACGTGGGATTGGGGGGCTGGGGGGTTGGGGACGGATGGATTCTGGGACGACTTATGAATTGATATTCGGAGGGTGGGATTTTGGGACAGGCCTGGATAGGGAGCGTAGATATACTTATATACTTATCAATGACCACTTCCCGCACTGAACACGTTTGATAGCACCAGTTTATCCCCAGACCCCCAAGGATTTCCCCTTCCCCCCGGCCCCAACGTTTGTGATGATAAACTCCAAGTCCACCCACAGACCCACGGTATGAGTCGGGCGCAGGTATAAAAGGTCCACGTGGAGGAGGCTGTGCTCCTCAGCAACGGAATAATTAACATGGACATAGGGGTGGGGCGGGCCTGCTTGGGCTGCGGGCATGGAACTGGAACTGGATATTGTCCGGTGTGGTGTCCATGGAAATCTGGCGCAGAATGATAAATACGGGAGGTTTCGGCGGCGAGAATCACGGGCCAGTGACGAGAGTGTGTGGTGACAGGAGCGTCGTCAGACAGAACTGCGGTGACAGTGAGAGCGAAGAGTCAGATTCTTGGGGCCGATGAGCGCAACAACACCGACGAGAAGTGTACATAACCGACGGCAATACCCTTACCTTCCGGATATGTGCATGTAGGTTGCCTGTGTGGGAGAATCGGTTGCAGAAGGAGCGTTACAAAGACAGCTTTGAACCATTATATGTCCGCTGGAACCAGCCCTTGCCGGAGGGTGGGAAGGCTGATCAGGGGTGGAGTTGGGCGGTCCATACCGGCCCAGGAAAGGGGTTTGTTGAACTTCTTCGATCTGAGCATGCATATAAACTTCTTACTTCACTCGCTCGTTCTTGGTAAAGTAAGTTACTCGCACATAAATCTCATATATCAAAACAGCCCATCCCATCTCCGCCCCCTCCCGCTCTCCAGACTTCACTATATATTTACATGTGCGGGGAAGGTGGATGTAATGCTGAATGATAGAGGTAGTAGTAGAGGACCTAGAGGACGACCTTACCAGGCGAAAAGATAATGCGGAGCAAAATTGCAGGCTGCGGGGTGAGTGGAATATGGATGGTGATGGGCTGGTGTGCCTCTGGTGAGAGGGGCCTGGTGACAGGAGGGTGGCGGTGGGTGCTGTTTGGGTGGTGACAAGGGCTACAGTTTTTTTGTGGAAGAGCCGGCGGTGCTGGGGATTTGAGGGGTTGGCACCAGACTCTTCGTCAATCTGTCGTACAGAAATCTCCCCTTCGCAACGCAGTCATGGTAGAGATCTGGTCAGATTGTACGGGGCAGGTCCAGTTGCCCTGGATCTCCATCGACGAATCGTATAATGATCGTCCGCGGTCGTCTGGGGTCACATTCGACCCTGCTGACGAAGACTTGTCGATAGCGTCTACCATGGCTATCGATCCGGCTAATGCGTTGGTGTCTCATAATGTACCCATATTGCGGTGAACTCAGCTATGAGGCTTCAGCGGAGATATATATACTCATATCTTCACTCGCTCGCATTTGGTCTAATTAGTTGCTCCCACATAAATATCCCTACATATGTCAAGATATCTCATCCCCTCCCGCTCCCCTCCAGTATCTAAACTCAAAAAAATCAAATCCCAAACCATGATCAGTTCCCCCTGTGCACCCTCTATATATACGCACGCTGTCTTCGGTCAAATCTTTCCGGACCAAAAAGTCTTTTGGACACTGTCCAAAGTGATCTGCCCCTATTCTCCACGGGCCTCTGAGAGGCAGTACAGGCCTCCAATCCTCCTAATCTCAGTGGATGTAAATGGCGATGTGCTGGTTCTGCGCTGGTTAGGATGAGGGGCGGTGACAGGAAGGGGGGACGACAGCAAGAGGGTGTGGTGGTGACAAGAACGCCGCGACAGCGAAAGGGGCGCCTTGGCGAGTGCATGAAGGCTCTCAATCAGCAAGAGGCCCATTTGTTGCAGAGTCCTGATGAAGCGACCGTTTGGGATGTCTATGATGCCACGTCTCTGGGTTCAAACCTCTCCCACAGAAAGATGAGCAGCCAATTTATAGTTTCTTCGCGAACTCAGTAGGATGAGGCGTGTTTCGTCGTTATTTGATCTCGTAAGTATCTCCTACATAGAACTCCATATATATCAAATATCCCACCCACCCGATTCCATGCTATCCCTCCTCCCCCTCTATCCGCCTTTGAAACTCCAAAATTCAAACCAAACCTCATACCCATACCTCCCCCACCTCACCACACCCTCTTCCTCGGCCTATAAACCCTACTGAAATCCACATCCTCCCCATCCCCCTCCGTCCGTATCTGCGCCTTAATCCTCCTCCGCCTCGCTGCTCGCGATAACTGCTCCATTGGTATACTCTCATCTTCTTCTTCCTGCTCCTCTTCTATCTCTTCGCCGCGCACCCGCGCAATCCATCGGTGGATCATCTTATTCGCTGTGCTGACGACTCCGCCGCCACGCCGGGGGGTGGTGGGTTTGCCGGAGGATGGGAGGTAGGAGGTTATAAAGTCAAGGTAGTTTGTTTGCGGGGTGGTAGTGACTTCGATAAGTTGACTTGAGTCGCGGGGAGAGATGTTGGGGAGGGGTGAGGGCGCATCGTTTGAGGAGGGGGTGTAGAAATGTGCGTCGGAGGGTGTGGAGAGGTGGGAGGGGCGGATCGCAGCGCGGAGGTTGGTGAGGGTTTTTTGTTGGAGGACGTAGCCGGAGAGGAAGAGTGCGAGGGTAAAGAAGAAGACTGGGGGGTGTTAGAGGGGGGTTGAGTGTGGATGGGTGAGGACGTACTGGTGACGGCGGAGATGAAGACGGAGACTTGGGATTGGGTTAGGAGCATTGTGGGTGGTGAGCGGTGCTCAGAGTGAGGATGCGATAGTATAGTATTCAAGCGATATGTGTGTTGTTTAAAGGCGGTGCATAATTGTGTTTGACTGCAGTCGTTTCTGTTTGCCAGGGTGGACGACGTCTTGAAGCCAGGGCGAGGTTGTACGCAAGGCTGGGCGACGTAAATAAATGCCGTTGGTGGGGCGACAATCGATATCAGCCTTGTCGCCATCAACTTTTGCGACAGCCTCAAGGAAACACTCCCCAACCAAACCGCTCCAATCCAACAGCTATCGCAGTACACTCCATCATAGCGCCATTACCATGCCCTACACCGATATCTCAAACTAATCCAACTCGAATTATACCACACCAAGCCCGCGACAACCCCCTACCACCAACAGAACCCACGAGCTACGCCATCGCCACCGTCACCACGCCCGAACCTCCTCCACATCTCCTCCACCCACCACCACAATGTCCGGCCACCACCGCGCCGACGAAAAGCGCTTCCTCGACGAGCGCGGCTCCTCCGCCCCCCTCGCCCCCAACGGCCTCAACCCCGCCACCATCTTCGAGAAGCCCGTGCGCGAGCGCATCATCGACTGCTACTTCTGGAAAGACCAGTGCTTCGCGCTGAACGAGGCCGATATCGTGAGTCGCGTGGTCGAGCACGTTCATTTCGTGGCGGGGACATACGGTGACTCGCAACGGCCGTCGCCGTTCCTGTGTCTGGCGTTCAAACTACTACAGCTGGGGCCGGGGGACGACATTCTGAAGGAGTACCTGGGGTATGGGGGCGAGCGATTCAAGTATTTGAGGGCGCTGGCGTGCTTTTATGTGAGGTTGACGAGGCCGGCGAAGCAGGTTTATGAGACGCTGGAGCCGTATTTGGAGGATGGGAGAAAGCTGAGGAGGAGGGGGAGGCAGGGGACGAGCTTGACATTTGTGGATCAGTTTGTGGATGAGCTGTTGACGAAGGAGAGGATATGCGCGACGAGTCTGTGGAAGATGCCGAAGAGGGAGCAGCTGGAGGATATGGAGGTGTTGGAGCCGCGGGTTAGTGCGTTGGGGGATATTGAGGCGTTGTTGGAGGAAGAGGAGGATGATGTGGTGATGTTGGAGGGCGAGAATGGGAGACCTGAGAGTGATGTTGATGAGGGTAGTGAGGAGGGGAGAGTAAGGAGTCCTGGCGAAGAATTTGGGAGAGAGATGAGCAATGATAGTGATGGGAGGAGAAGAACGAGTAGGGAAGACGATGTGAGGAGTGGGAAAGGCGATTGAGATAATTAATATGGAAATGAAACAAAATATTACAGATAATATAAGCATGTTTATATAATTATATATTTTGTTCGTCAACAGTAATTCGAAAAATAAGTTCACAAATGGTGAAGTTAAATTCTTGTTTATTTATTGTTGTTACATTTATTTATTTATTTGAGAAACAAAGAATCACATTTGCATGCCATACAATATTGAACGTAGTTATACGAATTCTCAAAAACTCAGTTATTGCTCTCTATGCTACATACTGTCCAACTCCAGCTCGATATAATATACCCACAGCTGTACTACGAATCAAGAAGAAAGCAATGCTGTCATCTTAGATCCATGTCAACTGTTGTATCAATGCAATATCTGAACCAAGAGACCGCGAAAATATCAAATCCCCAATGCCGCAGCCAAATTTCCACAATTTCATCGCCATCATTACATCTGGGCTTTCACACTCATCTCCTCTATTGAGACTAACGCTTACAATCTGGAGCCGTGGATGACCTTCATGTCAACGGCGAGCTCGCGACCGTGGTCGTTGAGAACGAGAACGCGAACGGAGCCACGGCCGCTCTCGAAGGCATCGTTAAGACGAGCCCAGAGGTTGGACTGGTCAATAACTGGGAGAGACTGCTTGACATCACCCTGGAATTGTTGTTAGTATGGTTCTACTACTGATACAAGTGGGGTTACTTACGGTCTCGGTCATGGCGACGACGGTGCCATCGTTCAGGTCAAGGACTCTGTACTGCTTGAGGACAGGGCCGAGAACGGTCTGAACAACAACAGATGGGGATGGGCTGGAGATGAACGAAGAGTCCTCGTGCAGCTGCTTGGTGAAGAGGTCAACACCGAGGAAGCGGTGCTGGCCGGTGGCAGGGGAGGTGGTGATCTTGATGACCTGGCTGGCACGTCCCTGGAGGATCACGATGTCGCCAATGCGGACGTGGTTGGTTGGGATAGTGATGGTGTTGGGAATGCCGCCACCCTGGACCGACTGGGAACGGGGAGCTTGGCTGCTGCCACCGCTGGTGGTAGAGGTGATCTCCACATCAATCTCGGGGTTGTGGTGGTGGTGGCTGCCGTTCACAATGCGGTCGGCGGCACGGTGGAGACCGTTGCGGAAGGAGTGGTAGTGACCTTGACGGAAAGTTAGTTTTGGAGAAGGTTGCATCTAAAGGATTGCTACGTACCAGACTCATCGTAGTAACCCATGTTGTCGTTGATGATAACCTTGGAAGGTTGAACGTTGGATTCGATGCTAACGCGTTCTTGGAAGTTAGGTTGGTAGCGGGTGCGGTATTGACGCTCGGCAATATCGATTGTCGAGTTGAGGTTGTTGTCCGAGTGGTACTGGTTCAGTGGCTGCTGGAACTGCGACTGCTGGAACTGCGGCTGGAACTGCTGCGACTGCTCTTGGTGACGCTGAGGTAACTGGACGTCAATGTGGGTGGTAGAGTGCTCCTGGATAGGTCTGGATGGGGATTCGGGTCAGCAAGGGTGTTGTTGCATGGCATTGGTTTGGAATAGGGGTTCTAAACTAACCTGCGGAATAGGCTCGGACGGTGGTGGCGGTCCTCCTTAACGTTGATGTGGACCTTTTCCTCTGTGCGTTGCTCTTGCTCCTGAGGAGGAAGGCTGGCGGTGAAAGAAGATTGGTAACCGTCCCGTCCGGCGGAGCTCTGCTGTGGAGCTGGAAGCTGGATCTCACCCTCGACGTGAGTTTCTTCGACCTTGGTAGGTGCGGCGGCGACGTTTCTATACGTCGACGGGAAGATGCTGAAGGGGATCGGAACACGGGCGTCAAAGTCCAGATTGCCGGCTCTTTGGCGCGAGAGATCACTTCTCGAATGCCTTCCGAGTAACGAAAGGTATACAAGAAGGGGCCTCTTGCTTCACTGGGAAGAAGGGAGGGAAGAAAGCGTCTTAATAAACGCTTCTTAACTCGTAGTCTTCTTTGAAGTGGAGAGAGGATGAGGTGGTAGTGCAGGAATCTTGTGTAAGAATTGTTGAGGAAGATGTGTTGATGAGGAAGGAAGAGGAAAGATTCGTGGCAGTTTGTGGAGGTCGAGGTCAATAAATTGTATGGGGTTGTTTGTTTGGGTGTCAACAAAGCTAACGTAGGCGAGGTCTCAGACAGCCACCACATTTCCTAAGTGGGATCCACGAGATTTGCCTTGAGCTGAACGTGCGTCGCCACCCAATTACAATTGAACTTGGAGTGGAGTTACGGGATTGTCACATAATGGGCGGTTAACATTGGTTGTCGGGGAAGTCTTGGATGTTCAGGAGTTCCTTGGACATGGCCGGGGAAACAGGGAAAACAACAGAGTACGAGGAAGATGCCACTACACGGCCAGGGAACTGCAACGCATGTGCACCGAAACTATCGGAAAGGTCTCAATTGAGAGTCATATCCTGCCTTCTATTTTCTGCTCCCAGCCTCATTTCATGCCATGTCATGTATAATAGTATTGCGGTGGTTGGGTTGTCGGTGAGGCTCCTGCCGCCAGCACGCGTGGACAGCATCCATTGGACTCGCCGTGCCAACAAAGTAAACAGCTCCTGCATATCGCAACCCCCAACCCCGTTGTTTCCCTCACTGCATAACAAGTCGCATGTGAAAGGATTAGCAAGAACACAAACCCTGGAAATCCCCTGGATCTCGCCATTCATAGACCCTCGAGGATCCACCCGGCTTGAGACCGAAAGTACCTTGATGGCACTCTGTCCCGAGGTATGTCCAAAAAGGAGTAAGTACTCGTCACCATCGTGTATCCATAGCAACGATGATGCCAAGAGCCCGGAATGCCGGAGACCGCGGGGACCGCGGCAACGGACCACATTTTCTAATTTTATCGCGGATCGGTCGAATGTTTCTCCATGCTAGTTCGTAGTCAATTTTGATGACTCTTCAGGTGGGAAGCTAGGAGCGACCATACTCGAGTAGTTTGGAGTTAAAGGAGCTAAATGTTTCTGTTTTAGCTTCCCCCCCTTTTTTTTTTGGCTTCGAGGCTAGAGTACTTAGTAGAGTATGTCAAATGTGGACGAAGTGAAGTTATCTGTTCATCGGCGAAGACGACGGACTCAAACACAATGAAAGTTCCCTTGCATCGTACGGTATGGGGTCTTTGGTATGACCGGAGACCTGGTCTAAATGGAAGTAAGGTAGCGGTAGTATATTCATGGTTTGTGATTCATATTTGTCGTCGTCGCTCTCTCTCTTCTTTTCTCTTCGATTTTCCCATACCGATACCAAAGCCTTTGCGAGACCAGTTCACTTCCATCAAGCAAAAGAGTCAAAGTTGCCTTGCGCCAAGTCGGCATATATAGTCTTATTACAAGATATTCGGTAGAATTTAGCTGCTGCTTGTGGCCTCGACGTAAGTGCTCTTGCCCAAAACGTATCGAAGCGTCGGGCGTTGACTTCCATAGAATGTTTTGCCTCTCCTTTTCACAAAGCCTCCTGGTCACTGGGGTCGTATTCTGGCTCGTCTGCCTGGGTGCAGATGTCATCAGTGGGCTTCAAAAATCTCCCGCCGTAGATCCCACCACGGCGTTGTGCTTTTTCGGCGCAGTTGCAGCAGCATTCCTTGCTGGGGCGGTGTATGGGCGCGAAGCAGAGTCTGAGAAGGCTCAACGCGAGAAGCAACTCCACGAAGATCTCGTGATGCAGCCACTTCTGGACTCTAAAAAAGCCAAAAGGGACTCATTTCATGGGATGTTCTGTTAATGAGGAGTACTATAATATGTCACGGCGAACACGGCGAACACGGCGTCTGGATTTGGCTATGGCGAATGGTTTTTGTTCACATTCATATATTGGGTAAACTGTATCAAACTTATTTTCAACTGTATATATAAGCTCCATTGAATACCTTTCAGTGATTGGTTAATTCGGGGTCAGTGACTGAGAACAATAGCTATTGTACTGGTTATTTGGCAAGGGAAACTAAGCTAGCCTCGTTGTTCTCCTATTGTGGTGTCTATTGAGTCCCATTATAACTTTCGCTACTGTCGGTCACAATAGGAGCCAGAAGTAATGATAGAAACTGAGGCACAACCCTTCAGTTTTTGACTTGCTTAATTTCACTCTCACACTTCAAACTAAATTTATCGACTTCACTTCTTCATCAACTCTTTCATCAACTTTCTCATCAATTCATTGATCAACTTCTTCATCAACTTCTTCATCAACTTCCTCATCAACTTCTTCAGCAACTTCTTCATCAATTTCATGATCAATTTCTTGATCAACTTCTTCTTCATTAACTTCTTCATTAACTTCACGATATCTACCACCAACACCATGGCCAACACCAGCACCAACATCGACATCAGCACCATCATGGACCCACCAACAACAACCACGGAGCAGAATGCGTCCACCAATAACCAGCACTCCTCTCTGTAATTAACCCTTTCTAGTCCTGGGAATCTTACTAACGGTATCCAGGTCGGCGCAGCCCGATAAGGGAGGATATGACTATTCGAATATCGATCCTCAACTCCTCGCTATTTCGGCGCAGCCTGATAAAGGAGAACATAATTACTCGAATATCGATCCTGCGATCCTTGCCAATATAGGAGAATATGACCCTTCGAATGTCGATCCTGAAATCCTCACCATGTTTGACCAGTCCAATAAAGGAGAAGAGGACGACTCGAATGTCGATCCTGAAATCCTCGCCATGCTTGAGGAGGCCAACCAAGCCTTCAAGGAAGGCCTGGAGGAACAGGCAGCATGCGACCTGGAGGCTGACCTGGACTTTGATGATGCGCTGGACCGGGAGTTTCAACTGGCCTTCGCAGTCCTGGATGAAGAAGAGCCTGGTTGGGACGACCCGGTTTGGTCGGATCGTTCCGGAGCGAATTCTCGGGCATCTTTCCGCAGTTTCGACTTCGAACATCTCCCGGGTGAGTACCGATATAACGACGACGACGACGCTCGATCTGAAGGGTCGAACGGCTCGTTGTACCGCGAGAAGATCCCTCCGGTCGGCATGCGTCCAATCCTGCAACCGAAGTCTCGCGTCAGGGCTACGCCGGCAGAGAAGGCTGCTGCTGCAATGATGCCATTCACTGTTAGCAACCCGGCGGATGTCCCGAACATCTCCTTCCCATCCAACCCCTATTGGGGTGGAGCTCCAATTCCCTCGTCTGGCCAACAGACTCTAACGTTTATGGGCGTGACAACTTCAGTTCCAGTGCTCTCAGACGCCGCCAATATGGAGTTAGTCAACAACACCGTGGTCAACAACACCGTGGTCAACAACACTGTGATTAACAACCCTGTGGCTGTGACCGATACCGTTCAGGAGTGCTCTACTGAAAAAGATCGGGCACTGGTGGGACTGGCAATGCAAGAGCTCAATACCGCCACACATAAGCTGATCGCCGCTGACGTGCACAGCGCTGCTCTGGAGACCAATATCAGAAGATTGGAAGAGGCCCGCAAGGAATCGGATCTGAAGATTGCAGATTTGGAAACACGGCTTTCAGAGAAGCTGGACTCGGTTACCGGCACTCACATGGCCGCGACGAAAGAACTACAGATCTGCCGCAACGCACTCGCCGCATCGCAGCAGTCCTGCAACGCCATGAACAAAGAGAACGGCGAACTCAAGCGCCAAGTCTCCGAGATCGCCAATGCAGCGAACAGTCTCGACAAAGAGAGCAACGAAATTCGCTACCAAGTCACCGAACTCGCAAATAAGGTCTCCTTTGTCAACGGAGAGCTGGACACCCGCACCCGAGAGCGAGATTTTGCGGTACAAAAGCTCGGGGAGGCCCAGGCGCACATCGATGAAGCCGTTGCTGCCAACAACTACCATCGCCAACAGATCGCGATCATGGAAAACAACGCTGCGGCCAAGGAGATCGAGGTCAATACCCTCATGACGGCCTTGACGATGGCAGAAACCGAGAAGCAGGATTTGGCACGCAAAGCCCAAGAAAAAGAGGAAAATGTGGCGGCCAGGGAGGTCGAGGTCACGACCCTCATGACAGCCTTGACGAAGGCAGAATCCGAGAAGCAGGATTTGGCACGTAAGGCCCAAGAAAAAGAGGACAAGGCCAAAGGCCTAATAATACCGAAGGAGGAAAAGGCCGAACTATCCAAGACTGAGCAACATTGGAAGGACCAATACGATGCAGAAGCTAAGCATACGGCTGTATTGGAGAGGAATATTCAGGGCTTCGAGCAAGACTATTACGATATGCAAGGACAATACAAAACCGCCAATATCAGAGTCTCCCAACTCACAGATACGGTTGCCGAGATGAAGGCCGTGGCACAACACAAGGAATACGAGATCTCCGAGCTCACACATAAAGTCACAAAACTCAGCAATGACCTCGGAGAGTTGGAATCATCCACGAAGACCGAAAGCGTCAACCATCACGCCAAAGTCGAAAAGTTGAAAAAAGACATTGGGGTTGCTATCCGCGAGAAGAACTACATTGATGGACTGCTCACTGAAGCCAATGATGAATGCACCTCCCTCAATAGAGCCAATATCCGGCACAAGAAGAAGATTAATGATCTGGATGAGGCATTGAGAAAGGAGAAAGCCACGACCTCCAGGCTCCAGGAACAGGTGAAGAATGAACGCAACAGCTCCGACGACGCGTTGCATGTTTCACGCATCGCGGCTGTTCACAGGGCTCAGCGCACTCATGGATTTCCTCGCCCTCCACGCGATGATAGACACTTGATCCCAACTCTGGATGAGCAGTTGGCTGCCTGGAAGGAGGACAAGAGAGATTCCGAGAAGTTTATGGAAGATCATCGTCGGATGCTCAAGGAAAAGCCTATGACGCCCCTGAGACCAATCACCAAACCCAAAGACTCTTCCACTGATACAGTTGGGCCATCAGAGTCTCACAAGAAAGCTCCCAGCGTATCCGAAGGATCTTCCACTGCTGGAGTTGGTCCTCATGAAGAGACTGCTAGCAACTTTGACGACTCTTCCGTTACTGCCGTTGAACCATCCGTGTCCAGCGACGAGACCGACAGCGAACTCGAAGATTCTTCCGACACTGAAAATGAATCATACGCCAGCAAATCCAAGAAGTTATCCGCTATCCTCACTCGCCGACCAAAGAAAGATGTCAAATATGTCGAACAACTTTTCTATGTCGACAAAGAGGTCATCGTCGACAAGATTATCGAACACACTGTTCACCAAGTCCGCAGCCCCATCTTGGCCTTTTTATTTGTCTACGTCGACCTGTGGACCATTTTCTCCCACTCATACCCCAATTTCGCGGCATTCATAGGCCGCCTCAATCCTGTCAACATCGTTCGTCGCCCTTTCGCCGCTTTCGCGCGCGCCTTCCCAAAGTTTACGGGATTCCTAGGACGCCTCAATCCCATCAACATTGTTGGTTACCTTTCCTCTTTTTTTGCGCACTACTTCCCAAATTTTGGGTCATTCATCCGACGCCTTCCTATCAACATCGCTGGCCGCCTTTCCTCTATTTTCGCGCACTACTTCCCAAGTTTTGCGGCATTCATCCAACGCTTCCATTCTGTCAACACCGCTGGCTGGCTTTCCTCTGGTATCCTCTCCAACATCAGTCGCCTTATCTGCATTAACACCAAATCCTCCAAGTCTGCCACCACCAGACTCACGGATATCGACATTGAATCCCAAACCAAGGAGCCCACCGTTATAGGCCTCGAATCCCAAGTCGAGAACATCACTGAGCCCGACACCCACCCTAAGGTCATCCACAGACTCCCACCCCTCTGGCCGAACCTCCTCACGGCAATCCTGCAAATCCTCACGATCTACATTCTCTACCAAAGCTACCTCATCTACGGCCAGCGCAGCATCTGGCTCACGGGCAACGAAATCACCCGCAGCACCGTTTCGCGCTTCTGGGGCCGTGAGCCTGGGTACTTTGGCGTTTCTATTAGGCCCAGTAATTGGTACATACTTAAGAAGATTTGTTTCTGGATGATTCGGGGCACGGGGTACTCTTACGCACTTCCGGGATAAAGGGGTGGGATGGCCGGATGCGTGGGGGGGTTGTTCTTTGTTTTGTGGCACACGCTGGGAATCGGATTACTGGGATAGATTGTGTTGTGGGATGTGCCTGCATATTGTGCATGTTGTTACATGAATTCAAATAAAAGGGTTATTACATTGACTATGTTACTGTTGATCTGTGCCCTTGACAAATTCCACTGGTGATCTTGCTCGTAACAAACGTCACCGATAAGATGCGGTCGCCCTTGTCACAAACAGTTCATGAAATGCCTACTAGCCTAGCATATGGTCTATCTGGATTGTATGAGGGGAGAGAGCATGAAAGTCCGTATAGCCGACGGCAAATATGGCTGCGCCCAGCACAAACACAATGATTTGAGTTTATCATCGTAGATTAGTATCGCATTTCCCAGGAAACGGTCTAGACGCCCGTCCTTACAAATAATATAGTGGCACCTCGGCTCGGATAATTGCAAAATTATGCTTCCGTGCCTGCATTTATGCTCTCCACCCCTACCCAAAACCTAGACCGCTGCTCCGGGATATTCGGTATGTCAGCATGAAGACAAAAATGTGGCTGCGGTTGTTGGGATAGTATTTGCATTTCGTGATCTGGGGTTATGGGGGAGAGATCTATACGAAAATATCACGACGGCGATCCAATCATATACTTAGCCGGTAGTGGCGAGGAATCCACTCTACCGTGGTTGATTTGGCGCTAAGGACCTTCCAGACCTTATCGGTTGCGTCACTGGCTCTATCGCTATCGATGTGAGGCCATGAAATTGTCAGGGTCTCAGATCGTGAAACCTATATAATATAATCTGTATTCCCCGATCTTCAGAGAACATAATTGACCGTCAAGCACTACCTTGAATAGCAACAGAGACGAAACTACTACCAGTTTTAAACCCGGCAACATCCACACATCACTGAGCTCAACGACAAACACACCGTCGCCATGACGTCCAAGCTCGTCCCCAGCAACCCCTCCGCCGTAATGGTCATCCGCGACATCACCCCCAACATCACCACCCTCTCCGTCCCCTTCGCGCGCTTCGGTCTCATCCGCGTCGGCGGCCGCGGCACAATCGGTATATCCCCCCCACCCTCCCCCCCCTTCTCTCGCTCAACCGGCTAATCCCTCGTTCCCAGTCCGCCTCACATCCGGCGCCCTCTCCGTCTTCTCCCCGACCGCCCTCACCCCCGAAGTCCGCGCCAAGCTGCAAGAAAAAGGCGATAACCTCAAATACATCATCGCCCCCGATATCGAGCACCACATCTTCGTCAGCGAATGGGCGCGCGCCTACCCCTCCGCACAAGTCATCGGCGTCGAAGGACTGGCTGAGAAGCGCGCCGCTGCTGCCAAGGACCCCAAGAGTCCCAGCCACGGCGCGCAGGTGCCGTTCGCGACGGTGTTTACGGAGAAGTTGAAGGGGCAGGTTAGGATATCGGAGGAGTTTGATCGGGATTTCGAGTACGAGTATGTGCCGGAGCATATGAATAAAGAGCTTGTGTTCTGCTACAAGCCGGACCGCACGTTGATCGTGGCGGACTACTTGTTTAATCTGCCAGCGACGGAGCAGTATTCGCGAACCGGGGAGGCGGCGGATAAGGGGATCATGACGAGGTTGTTTGGGGCGTTGACGTCGACGCAGGGGAGGGCGTTGGGGCAGAAGAGGTTTCTTTGGTATGGGGCGAGTGCGGCGAATAGGGAGGGGTTTGGGGAGAGCGCGAGGAGGATTGGGGGGTGGGATTTTGAGAGGATCATTCCGTGTCATGGGGATGTGGTGGAGGTGGGGGGGATGGAGGTGTTTAGGAAGGTGTTTGGGTGGCATTTGGGGGGGGGGAGGAAGTAGAGGGGGGGTTGTTTTGGGGGGGGGGATTGGAGTTGGGGGATTGCGTGTATATCATAATGAGACTGTACTTGTTGATCATGAACTGTTAATCATGAACTCTTTTGAATTTTACGGAAATAGCTTAATGCAGGCTACAGTGTGGGCCTTCTGGTTGCCTTCTAGTTTAATATGCATGTGCTTCTAGCTCCGGACCACCCGCAAGGCTACAGTACGCACCTCTGATCCCCCACCCCATATACGCCCAGAATGATAACAACATTTCTCAACTCCCACATAAAAAGCCGCAATATTAACAAGCCCTGACCCATCGAGGCATTTTTCGCGGGTATTCATACTTAGCCCAGAGCCTTCCCCAGGTTATGGTTGGCGAAGGCCGTATTTCCCCGCACCTCGAAGGAGTGGTGCGTTGCTGCGCCATACACGGCTGGGCGGCTGGGCTGGTAGGGCAGTACTGCTATCTGACGATTTAATCCTTCCAATAAGGGTCATCTGTCATGACGCCGAGTTAAGTATTCATCTCTCTCCTTCAACTGTCGTGTGAGCTCTCTCATTTATCTATCATCTCTCATCTCCTACATAAAGGCTGTTATCACACAGCCTTCCTCCTCCGATACCACCACGATAGAGTGAGTTTGACGTCACCACCACACCTCTCACTCACGCAGCCTTCAAGACCCCGCAAACCCATCGATGCGCACATCGATGCCCACAACCATCCACCATCCGAACTATCATATTATCACTATCTAGCCAAACTCAAAATGTCGACTACTCCAACCCCACTCGTCCCTCCCCCCGCCTACACCCCCCGCGCCTACACCCTCCGCGGCCCCTCCCCTCCCCACGACATCGAAACAGCATCCATCCTCTCTGCCGCCCCCTCCTACTTCTCCTCCGCCCCCTCCTACTCCACCATCCCCCCCCGTCCCCCCCAAAGCACCTCCCGCACCCCCTCCCTAGCAGACTACTACCCCACCTCCTGGTCGCGCCACTCCACCCCCTCCTCGCGGCACTACGACGCCGTCGCTGCTCGACGCGCGAAGGCAGCTACGGAGCGCGATACGGCGGATCTGTTGGAGGCGGCGAGAGTGACGCGGGATCCGATCAGGGCGGCGCTGATGGTGGTTAGGGAGAGGGAGGAGAGGGAGTTTGGGGTGGGGGGGGTGGAGGGGAGGAGGGTGAGGCCGGAGGAGGATGGGGAGTTGGTGGGGGAGGAGGCGGCGGGGGAGGCGAGAAGGGAGAGGTTGAGGAGGGAGGGGGTGGAGGTTTTGGAGAGGGAGGATAGGAGGTGGGATTGGTTGCTTGGTGAGATTTTTTTTCCTTTTCGTTTTGTTTCTTTTAATTTTCTTGGGGGGGAATGCGCGAGGGGATGGGGGAGTTATGGGTGCGGGGATGATGGATAAGTGCTAATTGTAAATAGCCCAGATGAACGATTGGGAAGAGAGAGAGAGGAGCTGGAACAGGTTCCGGGAGAAGAAGCAGAGGACGAAGAGGGAGAGGATGGCCAGCAAGCTGGGGTTTGGGACGGCTATGTGGATGGGGAAGTAGGGCGCCGGCGCCGGAGCCGACGAGACACGATTTATGGACATGAGGCGCTTTTGGGTTTGGGGTCTGGATTGGGGACAATGGGCGGATTCGGAGGAATGATCAGATTGGTATACAATGCGGGATTTGGGGATGCGTACATACGGACTTGGACTGTATGCGGACTGTACGATGGAGTCGGGGTTTGCTATGAAGGTTGGGATCGGAACGGGAACAATGACTTACTCGAGTGGGATCTCGTGGTGGAATTTTGTATGTAGTGTGAATAGTTACCAAACCGGTCGACTGTCACCCGGTAGACTGTCGCCCGGCCGGCTGTCAGTCAGCATCACCGGGTGTGCCTTAGGTCATCTGAATCTTTCGTTTTTTCATGAACCATACATGAAAGTCTGGAACCACCTAGAAGGTTATTTTTTCTTATTGTTTCCTATAAGGTTCAATCGAGTATTTTCCAGCCGGAGAAACTCGACACAGCGTACAGCATAGTATATACTTTTAGGCTAAAAACGAGCGATTGGTGCGGCCGACAGGCTTCCGTGGTAGCAGCCCATCGTTATGCACGTGTATGACATAGTGAGCTTAGATGGGAGCTTGGGAGATGACTAAGAAGTTGTGAAAGGTTGTGTGGCAAAGATTGTTGAAGATTGACGAATAGGAGAGTCGATAAGAAAGAGCGATTTCGATGTCGTTTCTAATATGTATTGTGAGAGGTTTGAAAGGTGATTCGAGAGATTTACAAAGATATGTATTGCTTATACTGTATTACTAACTTAATGTAGTTCCTTCTTGTCTCGATTATGCTCTTGTTTGTAACAAATTGTAACAGATACTGTGCCACCAATGTCCATCCAAGAAGACCCCGCGCTAGCTGTCTCCGAGGACGCCGCCCCTCGCTCCCCCTCATCATACATCTGTAGTAGTAGTCCGTCCCTTACTCATAACTACTTTACCTCCCCCCCCCCCACACTCCCCACGTCACAATAAAACATCAACAACAATCTTCCATCTTCCTGTAACACACCAATTCCATCACATTATAATCTGTGAATTAATTCAATTTTAAAGCTTCACATACACACATCGCAATCATGTCCAACTCATTGGAGCAGCTCAAGGCCACTGGCACTGTAAGTTACTACTCCGTCTCCGGTTTTGGTGGGGTATCGAGGATGCAATCGTCAACAATTTTACCTCCCCCCGCCACCAAAGCTTCACCATCATCACGACCTTGAAAACGATTGCTAACGTGGAATCTTTGCTATAGACCGTTGTCTCTGACTCTGGTAAGCTTCTCTGCAAACTTTTCCTCTCCAAAACAGCCAGCTAACTGCTCATCTAGGTGACTTTGTCTGTGAGTATACCCCGCCATCCGGGCCATCCCAACAAACCCCCACTCAACGGCAGCGACATCGCAATCCGACGCAAACACGGCCATCCTAACCCCACAACGCTCAATAACTGACATCTAGAACAGCTATCGGCAAGTACAAGCCGCAAGATGCCACCACCAACCCTTCCCTGATCCTCGCTGCGTCCAAGAAGCCTGAGTATGCCAAGCTTATGGATGTTGCCATCGCTTACGGCAAGGAGCACGGCGGATCGGACATCAACGCCCAGGTCGATGCTGCCCTCGACCGCCTCCTCGTCGAGTTCGGAAAGGAGATCCTCAAGATCGTCCCAGGACGTGTTTCCACCGAGGTCGATGCCCACTACTCTTTCTCCACCAAGGGTTCCGTTGACAAGGCCCTGCACATCATCGAGGTGAGTTCCGAGTTCCCCATCTCCAAAGCTAGAATCCAGTGTACTGACACCGTACCCAGCTTTACAAGTCCGTTGGTATCTCCAAGGAGCGCGTTCTGATCAAGATCGCCTCCACCTGGGAGGGTATCCAGGCCGCCAAGATCCTCCAGAAGGAGCACGACATCAACTGCAACCTGACCCTCATGTTCTCCCTTCCCCAGGCCATCGCCGCCGCCGAGGCCAACGCCTTCCTCATCTCCCCCTTCGTCGGCCGCATCCTGGATTGGTTCAAGGCTGCCAACAAGAAGGAGTACTCCAAGGAGGAGGACCCAGGAGTGGCTAGCGTCAAGGCCATCTACGATTACTACAAGAAGTACGACTACAAGACCATCGTCATGGGTGCGTCTTTCCGTAGCATCGGCGAGATCACCGAGTTGGCTGGATGCGATTACCTCACCATCGCCGTGAGTTCTAACCCCCAAACTCAAAAGTAACATAACTAACACAGCTCCTAGCCCAACCTGCTCGAGCAGCTCCAGAACTCCACCGACGCCGTCCCAAGGAAGCTTGAGGCCGAAAACGCACACAACCTCAAGATCGAGAAGAAGACCTACATCAACGACGAGTCTGTCTTCCGCTTCGACTTCAACGAGGACCAGATGGCCGTCGAGAAGCTGCGCGAGGGTATCAGCAAGTTCGCTGCTGACGCCGAGACCCTGAAGGGTATCCTCAAGGAGAAGCTCCAGAACTAGATTATAGTTAGGGAAGTGGCTTTGAGTAGGTGGTGAGGAGGGCGGTTGTAGCCGCGATCAAGGAGAACGAGAGGGGGAGAGGAAGTAAAAATTGTATCGGCGCCGCAGTGCTGTGACCGAGTAGGAACAGAAGTATAGATAGGCAAATTAAATTGCGTAGTATTTGCTACTCCCTCAGTTCCGCCTATTTGCGTTTAAATATGGTATAATCGCGCCACGCTCCTGCCTTCCCACTATCCAACATTGAGGCTGTAAAACTACATATCCACCTCTATATATCCATACATATCCCTTTCCCCTTCCCCCGATGTATATATCCATACATATCTCTTTCCCCTTCCCCCAATCTAAGGCCACAGCGTACTCGGATACTCCGGATACTCCCCCGGCTTCCCATAAACCTGACTGAGCTTATCATTCAACGCCTGCGGTCCCTTCAAATGTCCCTCCCCTGACTCCCCCCCAACCACATGCCTCCCCAACGCCACATTCCACGCAAAACTCGAATGTCCCACCCCCCCAAACACACTCGCCCTCGTCATCACCAGAAAATCCACCATCCCCTGCTGATCCCAACTCATCTTATCCATCCTCTCCACCTCCTCCTTCCCCAGAACATCAAACTTCGTCGTCACTGTCATATTCTTCGCCGCTGCCTCAGCACTTAACTTCGCGACTTCATCCTGGTCCCCGGAGGCGACGTATATGAGCGGGAGGCTTGCATTGGAGGCTGCGGACAGAAGCAGTGCAGCCTGCGTCTCATACCGGCTATACACCCAATCCCCCCCCGGCCACCCCAGCTTCGCATCCCGCTCCGTGCGCAAATGCGCACCGAAGAAGAAATCCGGCACCCCTTTGTATCCATACCGCTCAGCGAGGCCGCGCAGCACGCTAGTAGCGAGAACCCGGACGTCGTCGCGGAACTTGAGGATGGAACCGAAGTGATGCGCGAAGTTGACGCCGTCGCTGTAGGTCGGGTAGGCGAGGTATGTGCGCGAGAGATGGACTATTTTCGTTGCTGGCAGCGCGCGCAGGGGTATGCGCTCGTGCAGCCAGGTTGTGAAGTTCGCGTTCCAGGTTTCGGGGGAGGCGAGGCCGGTGCGAGGGAGGTTCTTGGATTGGAGGTATTCTGGCTTAAGCGGTAGCGGGTCGTGGTTTTTGGCGCCTGCGATAGCGGATTCGAGAGTCTCGTGCAGGATTAGGCCCGGACAGGAGAGGGCGAGGGAGTCGCGGAAGTGCGAGGGCGATAACATGTAGGAGAGTGGTGCTGTGATGCCGGTGCGGATGGCGGCGGTGTAGGATTCGTTGCGCACGACGATGAGGGGGGTGACGAGGGAGGCGGCGGCGGAGATGGTGAAGCGCACGCAGTTGAGGAGGGAGTTGCGGATGTTGCGGATGCCGCCGACGCTGGAGTTGCAGGTGAATACTAGGGAGGGGTCCCAGACTGTGTCGGCGCAGATGCTGCGGATGGCGGGGGAGGAGAGGGGAGGGGTGTCGAAGACATTGGGGAGGATGGGCGGGCCGGCGGTGGAGGAGTTAGGACGAGGGAGAGGCGGGAGGGTTTGAGGCCGAAGAAGAGCCAGATTGCGATGAGGAGCCTGAGGGCGACCGCGGCGTGGGTGCGGCTGGTGCCGTGGGGGAGCTGATCATCGCTGGGGGAGGGGGATGGCGATTGAGGGCATGGAGAGAGGAGATGGCTAACTTATAACGAGGGGAGGATATTGAGATGGGAGGCGCGTGCTTACATGGTAACCCCTGTCCGGCCCGTAGCACTTCCCCACGTCGTGTGTCTAGCGGGGCACGGTGGTTTGGGGGATCAGGAAGGCTGAAACAGGCGAGGATCCATATTGTCAATTTGGACATCTGGGAGTTTGAGGTGAACGGCGTATAGAACTATTAGTATTCAATGTATGCGTGGCATCAAACGCGTTACTCAAGAAATGAGTCCGACGAGCTTGGTGGAAAATTGGCAGTTTATTTTAGCCAAAGCGCGGATCCTTCCGCTTACGAGACCCCTACAGGCTGGATCCCCACGTTTGATATCATCTTCAACTTTAAAGTATCGATATTATGGATTTCCAATTAATGGGCTATATGCTCTCCAAAGCCGTCTATATAGATTCTGTTCATCCTACAAGCACCGATTTGAGTCAGATCTGGCATGGAAACCCTAAAACAACCCTATGAAAGAGCCAATAAACCCCGTCCCAACGGATACCTCCCAGCCCAAGCTATACCATCCTAACCAGTCCTATCAAAACAGTGACTGACAAAAACCGAGAACAAACGCCCTCCTACCCAATAAACTTCAATACATTGCCCTCCTCTTACTTATACCACCTCATTCCCCCTCTTCCCCCCATCCCCTGGCACCGCCCCCTCCCTAACCTTCGTCCCCGTCCCAAAATGCCCCGACGCAATCTCATTTAACCCCTCATTCTCCACACGCGCGTTCTTCTGTACACCCTTTGACTAATATAGGCGTTAGCTTTCTGTTTACTTCTCAAAAAAACCGTGCCCCTGGGGACTTGGGAGAAGGGGCGTAACTAACCTCGCCAAACGCATCATCAACAGCCGCGTTAAAGTGTCCCCGTACCGCCTCGCCCGTACCATGCACCGCAGCGAGTGCAGAATGGGCTTTCTGCGCTAGACCGCCGTTGTTGGGGGCGTGCTGGGTGGTGGTGGTTGTTGTAGTTGTGGTTTGTGTTGGGGCGGTGTTGGTGGAGAGGGGGGTTTGGGTTGGGTGGGTTGACATTTTGATGGGAGTTTAGTTGGATTTTAGAGGTCTATGTGTGTTATTTTGTTATTTTAGGAGGCTGGGAAGAAGAGGTTGATATATAGGAGGTGGGTGTGACGTCATGGAGGGGCAGGGGAGAGGTGGCGAGGGGGACAGGTACAACAGGGTAGCTTGCAAGGCAGCTTAAGAGGTGGAAGGACTTGAAATAAGGGTTGTAGCTGGAGAACTATGACTCGATGACTTATAACAGTGCATTGGGACAGGGAGCCTCACGATGGATGCAGCATTGTGATTCAGGATCCTCAGGGCAACCTATAATGGATGCAAGCAACATGAGACCTCTGTAGAGCTATTTTTGAATATGGTTCTGTATATACTTTATAAATGGGAATATGCACATCGCTGCTATGTACAACCTTTACAATCCTTTCCCTGCATCTCGAAGCTTGATACCCTCAGTCTTCAACTCAAACTTCTTGATCTTCCCCGACGGCGTCTTGGGATAGTTCTTCGTCCAGAATATATATTTCGGGACCAAATGCCCCGACAGCTTCCCTCTCACCCACTCCCTCAACTCCTGCTTCGTAACCATAGGACCCTCACCCTCCCCACCTCCCTCTCCATCCCCCTCATCCACCCTCACCCCCCCATGCACAACCACAAACGCCGCAACACACTCCCCATACTTCTCATCTGGAATCCCCACCACACTCGCCTCACTCACATGCGGATGCGCAAACAACACATTCTCCACCTCCAGCGGATGAATATTCTCGCCCCCACGAATAATCAAATCCTTAATCCTGCCCGTGATATGCACATACCCATCAGCATCCATCTGCGCCTCATCACCCGTATACATCCACACAGCCTCGCGACCCTGCTCATCCGTTTCCGTCTTGCGAACCTCGGCCGTCCGCGCCTCGTCACCCCAGTACCCGCTCATGACGTTGTAGCCAGCGATGGCGAGCTCGCCGCACTCGCCGATGGGGACGACGCGGCCTGGATCGGTCACGGATACGACTTTGGCGTGTACGTGCGGGAGGAGACGGCCTACGCTGTCCAGGCGTTTCTGGAGCGGGTCATCGGGAGTCGTCATGCATGATACGGGTGCGGTTTCGGTCATGCCGTAGCAGATTGTCAGACCGGTGAGGTTGAGGCGGTCGTGCAGCTTGCCCATTAGGACGGGGGGGACGGAGGAGCCGGCAGCGATGCCAGTGCGTAGATGCTCGAAGCCTTTGTCTTCAATGGTGCCGTTGGAGAGGAGTTCGAGCTCGGCGGTGAACATGGTGGCGACGCCGTAGAGGGCGGTGGCGCGCTCTTCTTGGACGGCGAGGAGGGTGGCGGAGGGCGAGAAGGCTTCGCTGGGGAAGACGATCGAGGAGCCGTGCGTGGCGGAGGCCATGTAGCCGAGGATCGAGCCGAAGCAGTGGTAGAGGGGGGGTGGGGAGACGATGATGTCCGCGGGGGTGAGGCCCATGCGCAAGCCAATGAAGTAGCCGTTGTTGAGGATGGCGGTGTGGCTTAGGCAGGCGGCTTTGGGGAGGGCGGTGGTGCCAGATGTGAATTGAATGTTGATGATGTCGTCTCGGTGGAGAGGAGAGTCTGGGGTTATCGATTGGGGTGTTTGCGTGTATAGGAGGTCGTTGAAGGAGGTTGTGGATTTGAAGTCTGAGACATCGAGGCGCCCGGCGGAGTTGTCGACGAGGATGACTTTCTGGAGGGATGGAACGGAGGCAGACTTGATAGATCCCGATGTGAGATCTGGGGAAATCTGTTTGAGCAGCGATATATTTTCTCGGGGAGGTTTGAAAGGGAGGTTGGTCTCGGTCCCGATTATGAGATGTGTTGCTGAGAGATGCGACAGGGCAGAGATAACTTGAGGGGAGTTGAATGCTGGGTTCAGCGGAACCTATAAAGTTAGCAAACGCATGTTCTCAAGACCTTTCTACTGCTGTTGTGCTTACCAAAATCGCTCCGAGCTTAAACAAGGCATATGTTGTCTGGTCACCTTCTATCAGCACATCCAATCCAACCAGCTATGTATCGGCATGTCATACCACTGCAAACTCGATGTTGTTTCCCAAGCTAACAGCCACTCGCATGCCTTTCTTTACACCCTGTGCCTGGAGCCCTGCTGCGACAGAGCTGCTCCTCTGGTCTAGCTCCTCATACGTGAGTCGCGTCTGTTGGGCGCGCGAGATCACCGCGTTCTGGTCGCCATGTTTCGAGACGATAGATGCGAAATGCTCGGGAATTGTTTGGTCGAGTAGCGGTGGCTATGAGGCACGAAGTCAGTATATGCTGAGAAATAACTGCACGAGGGCAATAGAATGGTAAGACTATACCTCTGTTGGTCCCTGGGCATACGACGAAGTGAGAAGTCCCCGTCTTTGCACTCCACGAAGCACAAGCGCACAGGCCCGTGGGCTATTGAATCGAAATACCGGGCGAATCATACTGTAACTTTCTTCTTCATTACCACAATTGTACAGGAGAGAAGCTTAGTGAAGAAGGAGAGATATCAGCAGCTCAAGTAAGCATTAAGCATCCAGGCCCAGCTTCGAATCCCATCCGAGGTAGGAGCTGTTGAGAAGCATGGGATCCTCAGCTGCTACCCCACACCTCCGCGCTGCAAACGCGGGGATGGCCCCGGTACTGGGTGACGGTACGCGGGTACCGTCGCCCAGAAACGGGAGGATCTTGTACTGTTACCCGAGCCAGGGTTGGCTGAGTGAGGTAAGCAGGCTGAATAAGCAGACTAAATCAACACCAACAGATTTCAGGAACGAAACGAAAAAAAAACAAAAAACCAGTTTCAAAGACAAGAGATAAGTGAGAGAGCTGATTTGAATTGTATGCCAGTCAAGCAGTACGACATTCACAATTGCAAAATATATCTACTTGTACTTTACTTAATTTTTTTCGCTACATTTCGGCCACAACAATAGCAACCTTTGGCTAGATACAGTAAAAAAAAATAGCAAAATGATGATACTCCTAAATGGAGATCGAAACTTTGCATCAGCCGTGAATCGAACACGGGGCCCATCGATGGCAACGATGGATTTTACCACTAAACCACTGATGCCGGATTCCTGTTAACCAGTCACCGTATTCCGTTCTATGTTAGCGGGCCCGGCTGCTTTAACCACCACATCGCGACTGCGCAAAAGCAGCTCCCCGTTTCTCGTTTCTCATTCCCTATTTATGCAGCATCCAACACAACATTCCGTTTCTGGTTTCCAGATCCTGGACTGTTAGGCGTCCCAGTGGGTTTCCGATTCTAGGATTCAGCTTTCCGTGCGCACGACGCCGTGGACATCATGTCGGCGCATGGCCCACCCCTAGTTTGGTGTCCACACACACAGTCTCCTTCTCTTCTCATCATTCTCCTGTCTTCCCTTTCGTCTTTCCTGTCATTTTCCCTCGCATCTTACCTCTTATATTTCCTTTGTTCTTGAGAATTTTCTTAGTTATTTTGCTTTTTTACGGGTCACTTCTTTGCTTGCCTCTTAGGTCCCTCGATCTTTAAAGAGACTAGTGGCTATGAAGCTCTCAAAGGATGGACTACTAGCAGATATCAAGCAGCAGGGCTTAACGAAGAAACGTCCACTAAAGGTTGCCCCTCTAATAAAGAGAGGATACAAGTCTATCCTCTTACTATGGCAAGAGTACGATTCCGTCCCTTTAAGTCAGTGCGAAGAGTCGCTAACGAAGAGTAAAAGGTTTGCATTGCGTATTGACTAGCCAGCGCTGGTCCTAAGCGCGGGTTGCATGAAGAGCTTCTTCAAGATGTTAGTAATTAAGCATGAAGGAATGCTAGGCCCGCGTCTCTCCCTCAACACCTTATGCCTATACGTTACACGCCTCGCAACAGCGTATAAGCATGAACACGATATTAAGATTTTACAGAGAGTAGTGAAGGAAGTGAAAGATGTAAGACGATGCTTGTCAATGTTCTTCTATAGTATTAAAGAAGCTAATATAAGGATACTAGATTCAAACAGACCTAAAAAACTCGCTAGGGCTTAGCAGCAAGGCCTGCCTAAAGCTAATGGCAGATTTGTAAGACCTTGAAGTGCCCATTCATTATTTATAGGTAGAGGATAAGCATAGTTTCCAAAACCAACTTAACCGCGTTAAACTACACTTCTTTCTTCTATGCCTTACGTATACTGTAGCTCGGCTAGGTGCGGTCGTTGTATTAGATTCATATCGAAATAGCAATGAGGCTATAACTTATAGAGTTAGTATATATCTAGGCTTTACTTCATACATTTGCTAACCCGTTTAAGGATTTGAAATTCTACCTTACTTAGGATGTTAAAAGGCGGTCTGCCTTAGATGAGCCTTACAATTACCTTTAAACTTATGAAGGGGGACAGAGACGAGGAGGATGAATTGTAAGTATCTATAGACTATAGGCTGTCTTAACAAAACTAACATAGCTTAGCGTCACAATAACGCTCTAGGAGGACTAGGTCTATCTACACCTATGCCTAATTATGCCTTTCCTTACCTTAGCATACGAACACGATGCTTTTGATATTAAGCTAGAAGAGCTCTTTTACGCTACGTTAGATCGTAGCGTTGTTGAAGTCCCTCTTAAGGATGCGGTCTTAGATAAAGCCCTTTTTTAAGTAGCAGACGGAACGGCTGCATAGACATACGCTGCTTCTTACCGCGCCTTAACAGAGCTTGCATACCGTGCTAGATATAGATGCTAAGTAACTTCATACGCTATTAGGCGCGGAGCTGCAAATATTTTAGAAAGTAAGTAATTTTGACAGCAAGGCCGGAACTTATGCTAACCTTGTCGCAGAGTCTGCTACATGGGCAGAAACAGGCCTTTAATGGGTAATGTCAGCCATGGTGTTGTCCTCGGACTACAACCAAACACGTGTACTTGAAATCACAGCATCGGAGGTTGATGATACACTTAAATTCGTTTCTTTCTAGACTATACGCTTGTTCTAGATAGCTCTGCTGCATAAGAAAGTATTTAGGCTATGAAAGTTGTCCATTCATTTTTAAGCCAAATGTTGCATTAGCGTGACGAGTGGCACTATGATCCCAATCATGTACGCGCTAACAGTAAAAGCACCTTAGATACCTTGCCCTAAAACAGTCCACAGTATTCCCTAAATGGAGCTCACAAGCACACACCATGTACACGATAGCTGTCTTTTTGCTACACACCCCTTCTTCTAGATCTATGCCCCATCTAGGTACTACGACTTTATCACTACATGCTAGCTTCTCCTTAAGTTTCTTCAGAAAGCAGTCTAGACATGCTAACACGTCTTTAGCGCAGTCTAGGTTGTTAAAAAGGTGTATTAACCTATTCTCGCCAACTAGTGGTATTAAGTTAATTAGAATAAGAGCGTAACAATAGTTTGGATTTTTAGGTAGGGGTATATCATTCTTAAGACGCACATCAACCGATTAGCTCTTTCTATACATTTTAAACTTAACAAATTTGATGCCTGTTATGGTTCGAAGGGAAATGAACGACAACCATTTGTTGCACTTTGATTGGTAGTGTTTGTTAAGAGCTCGAAAAAACTTTTCGTCTAATTTAATATCACAAACAGAAAGCTAGAGGAGTTTTTTGTCATAGACGCCGACGTTGTGGCAGATCAGCAGGACAATGCTTCGGCTAGCAGTAGTGGTGGATTTGCTACATGCTATACACTAACAGATGGTGGTAGGTGTTGTATTAGAAGCCCCTGCTCTTCTACAGTAAAAGTGCGACGTACCCTCGTGAATATATTCGGGATTAGGCTACACATGGTGGTCAAATATGTAGGGATACGTCTAGAAGAAACGGTGTTTCTGCCCGTAGGCTTTTAATTTAGCGATTCTTCTAGGCGCTTTGCCGCGCCACGGTGTAGTTCAACGTAGTCATCATACAAATACTGGCCACATTTCTGTAATTAGATTAGTATTATGTCTCCTAGGTACTTAAATAAGTACTTACGCATTTCCATCTCACACGAATCTTGCCCTCATATACTCCTGGTTCCTAGAATTCTCGAAATCGTGTCGCATATTTAGGTATGTGCTAACTAGAAGATCCTTCGTTTACAGGCTTGAAATTATTAAGCATCGATAGATTCTTATCTGAGGTTGTCCTGGTATTGGGCAGATCTTGACACGCCTCAGCTAGCTTTCCCTGATTCTTATAGAGGAGGCCTAAGTTGTTGATTATTCTGAATGTTGATGTGTGCTTAGGTTTACTTAAAGCAGTGGCGTGGAGCTGACGCTTATTCTATTCATGTAACGTCTTCATTACTAGTAAGGATGGAATATTATAGTAAATATCGTTGTGCTAAAATCCTCCGTTTTCTAAGACAATTATGAAATATGAGTCTATTTATCCTGGCCTTGAGGACAAAATATAACTAGAGTAGAACCAAAATGTCTATGCAACAGTTTGTAACTCCCGATTTCAGCTGGGCTATCTATATACATAGTCTGGCTCAAGGAAAGATAGCCTTGGTTCGTTACAATAAATATCGCGCGTCGGTGAAATACGACTTACCCGGACCTGGTAAGTCTTGCGTCGGCCGAGCGACTGGCCGCGGCCGAGAACCCTTAATATAGCCCAAATCAGCTAAATCATAATTATCCACATGTGGGCGCTTGTGATAAGGATTAAAGCAATCTTTCTCCCAGCCAAACCCGAATCTTATAGCACTTGGACCTCTAGTTGCCGGGTCGTTTCCAAACGGATTGCTTCCATTCTCATACAAGAAACTATACAACTCATGCTCGAGCCATAAAGCTTGTCCCGGTTTGGGATTCGAAAGGTCGGTACTAACGACAAGTGTTGGCCTTGGTTCTCGTTCTTTCCAGCCTAGCGTGTCGCGTATCCCCCATAGCAGTGTCCGATAACTGTCCTTCTCGCCCATGAACTCGAGCATGCTCAGTTCAACCGACCGTAGAGTCTTTGGCATGGAGGCTAGCAGCGCCAAGAGATCATCCTGCTCGACGTAGAAGCGGGCGAGGCCGAAGTGCTGAAGCCTCGAATAGCTAGTTGGTGTGAATATCGTAGTGAGGGGGACATACCAGTCGCACTCATCAATTGTCGTATACATGTCAATGTTCGTTCTCAAGCTCAAGGACTTCAAGCCCTGTCCGCACGAGGCACGAGCTAGGGCACGTTTGAGGAGCCCACTGCGGAAGACATCTGCCTGCGTGTAGTGCGGATCGACCATGAGATCAAGTTGCAAGTGTGCAAAGTCTGGCCGCGCAAGTACAGCCTCGAAGTCACTCAGGGTGCGATTTTCCTTCTCAAACACCCGCGAGTTTAGCCCCATCTCCAGCTCATGAACGTCGATGCGTAGATCCACCACCCTGCCAAAATCTCTACCCTCTGCTAGAACGCGTGTCACGGTGCGGAAGCCTTGCCAGTCACTACCATCTTCGTTCCAGTCGTCGCATTCGGGCATAGAACGGTCATGGACGGGCCAGGTGCGAGGAATATAGTAGTTGAACCCACGGGGGAAGGAGCGGATCATGGGAGTTTCGTACAGTGGGTTGTAAATCCATCCATGTGCTGCCGGCGTAATAACAATTCGCTGTAGCGCCAGGAACGATCCGATATGCTTCTCTAACGCAATGATATGCGCATTTGAATCCAAGATATCGCGCTGCTGTTGCACTAGCTGTTGGTAGTACGCCCATGCCTCTTCCATAGGCATTTGCTCGCAAGCCTGTTGTGCCCTTGCAACAAGGTCAGGTCTGTTCAAATATTTATCGCGCTTCTCCTTTAGGAAGAAAACGTTGTCTCGGCAAGCTTTACGGAACCACCCAGGAACATTACCCCTCCAATTAATCCCATTCTTATCACATTCATCGTCCGATTCTTCCGCATAGTCTTGATAATCATCGTCCGACCCGTAGTACGCTTCTACGGCGCTACGCGGCACAGGCCGGACGTACAGGAGCGCGTCGTCCCAGATAATCTCGGTGATTTTGGCACGAAAGGCGTCGTGGTTGGCAATGGCAGTAAATACTTCCACATTGCGCGGGTTCGCGGAGATGAAAACGCGATCAAGCCGCAGAGCTACTGTTTCCAAGTAAAAACGGCAGGTGAGGCGCAGATTTTTTATGGTGCTGTTGGGAACCTGATCGACGATTGTCTTGATAATTTCAGGGGGAAGCCGAAGCATAGGACTGATATGGCTGGGGGACTCCGCAGTTTCTGAGTTTGGAGGCGACATTGAGTTGAAAAGTCGTTCTGTACTGGATTGGTGGAGTTGGCGGCTAGCCTATCTATATAATATTGATCCACGCTAAGGCCTCGGTGCTTTAGTTGGCTTGTCGTTCCTTGCACCCAACCATATTTCGATCGCCCCACTCAAACTGCCTATCTCTCCGCCAGGTCTCTCCGCCAGGTCTACGAGTTTGTGTCGCTATCTGTATAACACTATTAATTAGTATTCTTGGTACCTAACTTATATAACCAAGCATTGCCGATTTGTCCGCAGCCAGTTTATCGGTAGTTGGCCGCGCCTAGGCCATAGAATCCTCGTAGATTCGTATTTATCAACGCTGATGCCAAAACTCCGGTTGCCTTAAGGCTCGTTGCAATGGCATTGCGAAATTTAATAAATTCTACACTGCCGTAACTACATTAGAGGTACAGCGCATACCAAAGTTGGCCTTATAAGCCATGGGTTTTTATTTTCTAGCAACTTATATTTCAGGGACTTATGAAAACATAGATCTATTAATTTATAGTTACAACGACGAGGCCACTTCTGTCGTCTAAAAACTTCTAAATCTGGCTATGCCTTAACACAAACGTAATAATCAGGCCACAAGTTGGTACAGTCAGATCCAACATCGGGATTCCACTTATAGAAATCCGCCAGCTCGATTCCATGGGCTTGACAGATAACCGCACACCCTTCATTAGCAACAGCCTTGTAGAATGCCTTGCAGCCCCCTACCATACCATTTTGCGTTGGAGTAGGAGTGACAATACCACCACTGGATGTTGTTGTCGGTGTTGTTGTCGTTGATGTAGGTGTCCCTGAGCTTGTCATTGTAGGATCATCATCATCATCATCATTATCGTAACCGCCTGGACGGCTTCCATTTGCTTTATTAGATATGCAGTAGTAAGTCCCGGCGGCCATGGTTGCGCAGCCCTTGCCAACGGAGGGATTAAATGCGTAGAACTCTTCTAGTGTCAAGCCGTATAGAACTAAAACATCTGCACAAGTAGAGTATGTCTTCATTTTGAACCAAGTCGTGCAATTTGCCACTTCTCCCATTGCTCTCGGGTTTGGAGTCTGGATAGCACTACCAGATTCTGTTGATATTGTTTAGCTAATGCCAAGATAGTAGCAGTTGGAACGGGATGGTACTTACGCGTAGTCGGCGATGCGAGCAACGCACAGTACGAGACACTCTCTGACAGCTCGCAGTCAGGAGACAAATCCGAACCCGAGCTTCCTGATTCAGTCCCATTCTCCGCAAGAGATGGATTCCAGAGAGCTATTTCCTATAACTATATTAGTGGAACACTTCGAAAAGTACAAGATGACATAACACACCTCTGGCTCGACGTCATAAGCCATCGCAAGATTCCAGCAAGACAGGTCTGGAGTTTCTGTCGTGTTGGTTATGTAAAAGTAACTTGAGTAAAGGCAGAGTCAGTGGCCCGCTCAGCTGTTTGACAAATTTGTGCAGAGAGCTTACCTATAACAGTCTCGACGTGTATCATTAGCAAGCGGAATGACAGGTGCACTCGTGTTAAATCTTGTCAATGGGTCTACATACGGCACAGACGTCGCAGGAGTATTAACAAAGGGCACAGTTGAGGTCGACTTCGGGTGGCCCGAGTATGTTGTAATAGTCCCGACTGGTTTAACGCAGTAGTTGTAGTCCTTCCAGAGATTGGTGCAGTTTTTCCAAACTTCGGGGTTCAGGAACAAGCTGCAGCGAGGACTTAATATTTCTTCTCACATATAGCAATGTTGACAAATATTGGAAGTCTTACAAGTCGTCACGTTCAATGCCAAATTCAGTTGCGATAGTGGCGCAATCATCGCCAGAGCCTACCTTAAAGTATTCCCCGCAGTATGAATTTGTTCCATCAGGTGTAGGTGTTGCAATTGGCCTGTCTGATCGTCAGCGCAGCACAAACTGGTAAGTATCGACAAAATACATACGCTACAGTAGTTGCTACATCCGGTACCCCAATGGTGTTGCTAGGCATAGAGAAATCGCCCAGTGGATTGCTCACACAAATGCTCTTACCTGACAAAGACTGTTTTCGGAGTTATGTACTGCACAGCACCACTCTTGCTTCCCATACTTCGTAAGAGTGTTGCGTGCTCTCGCTGTTTGTCAAAATCATAATGCCATCTCCTTCCCACTGCCAAAACATTTCCGCATTCTCCATGTATACAGCAGGGCTGGAGCCTCTGGACGTACAATCTGAGTAGAGCAAGTGGAGAGAGATGAGCGAAAGTGCCAGAGAGGAAACACTAGGGTTAGGATTCGCGACGGCGATCATGAATGACCAGGGGAAGTCCCCAACTGATTCTTCACTCTTCACTCTCTCCCAATGGCTGCTTACAAACGACTTATGGTTGGCTAATTCTGATGTCTTGTTATGGAAGCTTCGTCGTTCCTGCAGGTCGGAATTTGCCTTCATGAATACCCGTACAAACTTCCTATAGGCGGAATGTTAAAACATATTTTTAAAGATAAGACATCATTTTTGGATTTGTCCAGGAAAAGATTCAAGCATGACCTTCCCGTAGAGCCGGATAACCTCACCTGTGGATCCACCCCATACAGTTCGACTAGCAAGTCGGAGCACTTCCCGTAAGTCACTAGGTAAGGGCAAGGATATGTCGGAGGTAGTTGGCCCAATCAACCAATCAATTCCAGGCAGTGCCATCCACGGTAAGTCAAATAGACGGACATACTGTAGACGGGGGGATCCGCTCGGTTGTATTATGCATATTTATAGAGGGGGGGTAGGGCATGTGTCACAAGATGAGAGCAGGATGAGAGCTGTCTCCACCCATCATTTTTGACACGCCTTCGAGTCTGGTTGATAACGTTTCTGCTCTTGAACTAAGTCATCTTGAGTTTAATATCGCGCCTAGATTGATCAACTGTATATGGGAAGCTCTGCAAGCGTCTGGCAACCAGGTACTAACTAATCAGGCACCGTGATACCAATATATAAAGCTAAATGTATGCCAAGTAGGAGAGCGAAGTTCAAGGAACAAAATAACCCCAAGATAAGATAACAGCTGTACTGCCAATCCAGCTCAAGTTGTCTCTGTCTCAAAATGCAATTCCTCCGGCAGTGAAGCTACCTAGTGGTTGTTTCTTCCTTCATTGATCTGTGCGGCAGTGAACTGGGTGTAGCAGCGGAACTTGCGGTCGCCACGTATCCATGATGCGAATTGTGGACAGTAATAGCTGACTGAAGGAAATGGATCGCAGTTGCCGTAGACTCTGCCGTCGAGACCAATCATTGCATAACTGTCGCGATTTTTATAGATGGCTATTTATATATCATGTTAGATTGTTACATCCGTTCATTTGTAGAGATTTGCAACTGAAAAAAATATGGGAAAGCGAGACAGTACATACTCCAGTGATAAAGGGGGTTGTTTGAGTAATGCATTTCCACAAGATCAATATCCCAAGGATCATTACTACCATCACATCCACTGCCCACACAGCGGACACCAAGCTTGTTCCCACTCACATCATAACTGTCATCGGTTACCGGGGTATTCCAAGCTTGGTCACAGTTGGGATCGGTCTGGAAAATCTGCCATATATCGCGATCCACTTCGAATTCTCCAAGAACCATCCATTTGCCATGGTACATGTCGAAGTCTGCGATGACAGCGAAACTAAATGAGAAGAGTGCAATAAAAGTAGAACACTTCATAATGATCACACTTTGAAATTTTTAGAGGTAAGTAAGTTCAGATTCTTAGTCGATTATGTGAAGTACTGAGATTGAGCTGTTAGATCAAAACTAGGTCTAAAGGCCCTCTTATATACTTAATCAGATATCAGATTATATAAACAATCCAAAAAGGTTATATCTTTCACGTATACCCATATAGCTACTAAGTTTGAATAATTAATTGACCTGATCCTGAGCTCGCTATCCTATGCTAGTTTCGCTCCTATACTGCAAATTGTGACATCTTTTGCCAAGGCTGACGTGAGACCATCCCGTTCTAGGTGCGCTCCTGCAATTGCAAATAGTTCAACACTTTGCTAATGCACGATAACTTAGGCTGAAGTGGTAAGATTTACGTACAGGGGCGGACTGAGGTGTTGAGGCCGCCCTTTGGAACGTTACTAGGCTAACGTTTCTAGCAAGCCTGTGCGTCTACAGGAGATGCCAGTCATGACTAACAGACCATCTCAAGCTAGTTTTGATCCTGCCGTTGTGAATAGTGGAATTCTATGCCAAGACAAGGTAACTTAGGTTAGAGTGGTAAACACCACTAGTAGTTTGCATTTCACTTGTATTTTCCCGCTCCTCAGCTATTGCTGCTTTTATCCGCGACCCACATTATCTTCCTAATTTCAGCAGGGTATGGGTGATAGACGACCTGAAACGATGCCTTATGGAAGCCTAAAAAGGTGCATTAATTGCCTCGTTCCGAAACTCGCCTGATCATTCCTAACTAGGATAGTTTTACATACAACCATAGGGGGAATACTAGGCAATGACCCAATATTAGGACAACTAAATACCTCACAGCCTTAAGTGACCCAAGAGGGCTGCCATATACTTAGGGATGGACGTTAACAAACATGTACTACCTAGAAACAGTAACGACCTCAACACCACTGAACGACTCTGTGTTTTCTCCCTCTCCCTGTAACGCTGCTCCCCAAACAATTAGATGCACAGAGGATTCTTGCATTATGGTTTAACTTAACAGAGGAGGCAGGGGATTAGACACAAGGCTTCAAGTAACAGGTTACAGTATATAACAAAATCTATATTGAGTTGAGCACGAAGCTCCTATCTAAGAACTAACTATCTACTTATATAGTGCCGTCGTGCCAAAGGATATCATGGATATCAAATATCTAACATATCTTTGTTATCTATTACGTAGGATCTCGCGATGTGATGAGGCCTCAGGACCTGGAGTCCCTAGAGCTAACTAATCTCTCAACGCTCCCCGCTCTCAAGACCGTAGGGCGTGGGAGCGACTAGGCTCCTGCGCTCCTGCGTATGACGCTGTCAGGATCCCAGTATTGAACTTCCCCCTTACCCTTGCGAGCAATCCTTTTGAAGAAAGTATCCTTGACAATCTCTAACTGACGATTCCTCCCCAGCCACCCTCTTCGATGAACAGTGTTGTCTCTGTAACAGGTCCTTATTCACTTCTTACATTGGATGCATCAAATACAGGAGAGCACACACCGTCTCACTTATCTAGTCTCTTGAAATTTAATAATCTAGAACACGATGGAGCCAATAATGATTGCCCCTTCGACTAGCGTATTATTTAAGCATAAATCCAATAGAAGTACAGTACACAGAGGAGCCAATTACAGTTGCTCACCTAACACCCTAGCATTTGTAAGCAACAGCTCACAAACACGGAGGAGCCAATTGCTGTTGATCCACTCTAGCGTCGGAGATCCCGTTGAAAGCATATTAATAAGCACTTACAGTTATATTGAAATGTTTGTTTACCCATCAACGCTTGCCATTGGCCTCTTGTGGTTTAGGTGGTCGGCACGCCATGAGACAATTTACATTGTACCTATCATTGCCCTGATCCCATTCGCCTGGGGCAACCTATGTACTTTTTATCTCTGCAATACTCAAATGGTTGACACTTACAAAGCGTCGAATAGTGCTTCAGTATTAGCAGCTAATGGTGTATTGAGATATGTTGTTAGGGGCGTCGTCCCTCCCTTTGTGGTCCAGATCTATTAGCGTATAGGGCTTGAATGGGCGTCAAGTCTTCTGGGTTTTATCACAGAGACACCTCTACTAAGACCGAAACCCTTCAATCGATTGAAGTCATGTCATCAGCCTAGCTTACGGATGTCTAGCAGCTTGCTGCGGCCCGCGAACAGATCCGTCAACTGCAGGAACAGTTGAACTAGACGCAACCGCTTCTTAGCGGAGCGTTTCCTAAAGAAGCTCCCTAGAACCGCTAGACCACGCTTCTACGGTCAAACTCAAAGACCCTGATCCCCTTACGGACGGGGTATTACCATCCTTCGATAATTAGCGCATCCAAATCGAAGATAAGTCTCTAATTAACGCCCGTATGTTCGACTCTAAGCAAGTAAAGATGGCCTATATCTTTAACCAGACTGCTGACGTAGCTTAGAAGCATCTAGCACCCCGTTACCAGAAGCGCCTAGACCCATTCACGACTACTATGGGTATGATTAACTACCTCGCGGAAATCCTTCAGAACCCGTTTGAATCGAAAGACGCCCGCATCGACTTCCGTAAGCTTTCTATGAAGGAAGATGAAACCTTCGCAGAGTTCTACACCCGTTTTCTACACCTTACGGGTATAGGAAACATCCCTACGGTCGACCTACAGCCAGACCTCTGCGATAAGCTTACTCCAGCCTTGTAGCAGTCGGTATTACCTTTTTTAGATATACTCCCTACAAGCAAAGCACTCGCCCATAAGTGCCTACTTGTCGACAAGAATTTACAGAGGCTCTAACAACGCCGAAGCTAGTTACGGACCGCCAAACTCATGACTAGATCCGTAGCCACCCTAACGGGTACGTGACTACTTGTTACGACTTCTACGGCTCCTTTTGCAGTCTGTACGGCGTCGCCAAACCCAGCTCTGAAGCTTCACGGACCGTCACGAGAACCCATACCTGTCCGTAAGGATCTAGGAGAGACCTGTTACCGGTGCGGCCAAGCAGGCCACTTCGCAAAGGAGTGCTCGAGGGCTCCGGCCTCTATACATGTTCCACGGGTTGACATTGAAGAGCTCGTAGACGAGCCTACCCGCCTTTAAAGGTGCTTGATAAATCATTGCCTTGGCAAGTCAGCGAGCAACACTCGGTCAACGCCAATGTCTAATCCTACTAACAGTTACTCGAAAGTATTACAGTAGAAGGCAAATTCGCTGTCGCCAGGTTTTTAGTTACTAATTCTTCGCGGGGTCCATTCCCAGACACTTGTGGCTGTGCGCCACTGCCATAGGTAACTTCTCATCGAGTAGCATCTCAATCTTGCCCGCAGCGTCGACCTGCTCTGCAGCTTCCTCGACTAAGAAATCGAGCATAACTCTTGCCGCATAAAGACTATCATCCTCTCCCTTCTTCAACTTCTCCAACGCCTCTTGCAGAACCTCCTCGGTCCATATCGTCGCCCCATAGCTCGTAATCATCTCTATATTTGTCCATTCGTCATACTCTGGATGTCCCTGAAATGTCAATACCCTTCCAGTCTTATACAGGCCTTGAAGAGCACAATGCTCGCTCCGCCCTACACTGAGGAAGTCCGAGGGCAACGACGGCAAGATGACATGGTCAGCGTGTGTGAACCGTAGACGCATCTGGCTGGGAGAGGCTGGGTTAGAGGGGACGGGGCCGAAGTGGGATAGGAACTGTGGTGAGAGGGAAATATCGTGGAGGCCAAGTTTCCAACCTTTCGGATCCTGAGACACGACGGATGGAAGGGGTGATAGTGAAGAGGCCAGGGAGATAGTTGAAGATGGGGATGGAAGTGTTATAGACGAGCCGACGGAAGAGGAGTATGGTGAAAATATTGCGTGGCAGATAATTTGATGGCCGAAACAAGAGCCGACGAGACGGACGGAAGGATTGTTATGGTAGGTGTCTAACAGGTCTTAGACAATATTGTAATCTAGGGGAGGGACTTACTGGTTAAGAAGCTGGCAAGCTTCACTACCCAAGGTGTTGGGTCGTAGGCTGATGCAGCTATGGCACTTAGGTCAGCATACATCCCCTTGTAACTTACGAGCGAGGGGTAGCGGAGCTCGTCTCACTTGAACCACTTAGGAAGAGACCATCTAGTTTCTCCAAGTCCTGTTGCAAAGGCAGTTCTCCCTTGACTGCATCATAAGCAGTGAATACCAGTTCTGTGGTCTTCCAATCTGCGTAGAATTCCGTTGCTCTTCGTAGGAGGGATGCGAATATATCGCTGCAGAGTCCACGAGCAGCGAGAACATGTGGCACGGGCGTATCGCAATTGATGACTGCAATGTGCAACGAAGCACGGCGACAGCTCATGATGATGGAACGGGGATGTGAGCAGTGATGGATCCTGGAATAACCTGCAATATGAGATTGCTGTAATCAACGTGTCAATTGCGTTTCCCCGTTTCTAAGCCCTGCTACGGTCGCCACCATTAACCACCCATGCAGAAAACCCATTTACCACACAATACAGTACGGCGCCATAAGTTCCTCGTGCGGGCCCGTGCTCAAATTGGAGTGATTTGTATGATTAAAAGCACCGGGCCGTACGTATACTTTTTGGCACCGTACTGAACATACAATACAAAATAAGGTGTGGACCGTGCGAGATCCCTCCCCATCCAGGACATGTATTGGGTTAACCCAATTCCACGATTACAGCCAATAAGGCAGTCCAATTCATCTAAAATCAACGTACAATAGAGCGGAGTTGTGGCCTAACCCACCAACAGGGCATGAACCCATTTAATAGCGTAAAATGTGGAATTTAATGTGTTGGTTTGTATACTCTGAAATCGGTTTCGCTACCTCCTTCTCCTCATCTAGCGTCTCAGTCTCATCCTTGTCAACTCCCTTATCCTTGTCATCTCCCTCAGTCGTCTCTACTGAAGATCTGCGGGGGGTACCGTGGAGGATGATACCGCGCTTCCAGGGGATGAGGGAGGTGTACATTTCTTCGTAGTCGAAGAAGGTGGTGATGTCGCTCATGATGCTGTCTTTGAGAGATGGAGATAGGATGACATCGGACCACTTTGTGCCCATGACACTCGGGTGGAGTTTCCTGTCTTTGCGCCACTGGGAGTTATCAAGACGTAGATCTCGCTGTGCTCCATTTTCCCACTGTTTGTGTTCGTCTGTGCGTCAAGCTGTACCAACCCCTTGCATTAGCCAATGGCGGTGAGGGCCTGTGCAACACCTACAATAACACGACCTTCGATGTCTACCTTGCACTTGAACCTTAAATTTTCACCATATACCTCGTTCCGGAGCGACTAAGTGAAATGACGGCATGCTAGACTCTGGATAGGAGGGAGATTGGTAGCCATGTGAAACATCGATGTAAGGAGACCTTTCGAACCGGGATTGGGATCCTGATATGCAAGCCTCCCTTGGGTAAAGTCCTCGTGACCAAAATCCAAACGGACGGTACAGGATACTTATGTCCAAGAATCCGTTTGGTAGAGTCTCTGTCACTAATCTGCAGGATCTTTATGTCAGGATTCTTGGGTAAAGTCACCGTGACCGAAAATCCAAACGGACGTGCAACCGAGATTCTAATCCTTGCAATCTCAGGTATACATTCTGCAGGATCCTATACCGAGGTGTTACCGTACACACGGAATCTTCATCTAAGTCGTTATCACACTCTTCTCACAGAAAACATCAACCGCTTTGGATCCTCCACCCACGGCTCCGCCGGCTGCCCATCTCTAATGAAATACCTTGCCCCTTCCACTAACTGCGACTCAACCACAAACTTCACTCCCGTCTGTTCGCCCACCTCCCGCCACAATCCCGCCCACGACTCCTCATCATGCCTATAAAGAATCGTTGCGCCATCCGAGCTCTGCAACACCCCGACGTCCAAGCTACCCACCTGCCACCCAAGCAGTAACGAGCCCTTCACCGGCCTCATCAGCTTAACGATCTTCTTCGCGACCTCGATCTGCTGGTCATAGCTAAACAGATGGAAAAACAACCCCGCGTGGAGAATATCCACTTTTTTATCCAACTTCCCTAGTTCGGAGAACGGGTCAAATACATCCCCCGTCAAAAAAGAGGCTTTGAGACTGCCCTTGTCGCGAAACAGCTCGTATCCCAGCTCCCAAAACTCGGGCCGCAGGTCCGTGCCATATATATTCTCGCTCGGGGCGCCATCAGCGACGAGCTGTCTGATCTCGGTCCCGAGACAGCAGCCGAGGTCGAGGAAGGTTTGCTTGTCGTCTTTGAGGCGCGAGAGGATGCTGGGGTAGAGGGGTGAGGTGCGTAGGCTGAGGTTGACGAAGCGGAATAGGCCAATGCATGGGTACGGAAACTGGTGGGACTAGGAGTAAGTGGGATGTTTGTAGAGGGATAGTGGGGTTGGTACAATTGCCCATGCTCGATCTCGCTGGAGGAGTTAGCGTTTAGAAGTAGGCTGTGGCTGGGGCGACGCACGATTTCCTCGACGTGCGAGACTACGCGGTCGGGGTCGATGCCGCTGTAGTTTTCGAACAGGTCTCGGGCTTCCTTTGACAGGTTGTCTAGGGTCGGGTTATAGAATGGCGAGACCTTCGACCGCGCTCTGCCCGCGACAGACAGAGTGAAGCTATCGTTACCTGCCATCTTCAGGCTTGTGGGAGGTATAATGCGTGAAAATGAGGTATCTCGCGGGTCTCCGGCGATTCACTCGAGATGCAGTGCCCTCATAGTAGTTTGCATGTTACTATATACGCATATGGCGGCCGACAATGGTGTAATATGTGAAGGAACACAATCGTCCAGCTGATTGTAGTACAGACTAAGTGAGAGGTCAACAAGGTGATCGGGCGAATGAGAGACAGCCACGGCATGCCCTCACCCCTTTATAGGATTGCTGCAACCTCATTTGGACGATAATATGCATGTAAAATCGAATTCGGTGTCTGCGATGCAGCAGCTTGTGTTTATGTTGGGTGTGGATTCTGGGTATGCAGAGCCACAGCCAAAATCGTGTGGTGGCTCCGGTTACCAGGAATCTCCGCTTGATCATAACGGGACGGACAGGAGGCTTCAAATAGGGCAGTATATAGAGTATATAGAAATCAATTGAATTATATAACTATTTAATAGGCCCGCGTAGCGATTAGGAGTTATAGGGGGGGGTTGCCAAACCCCCAGTCCTTGACCGCTCTTTTGGTCGGCTGCTAGCTCAGCTGGCAAATGCGCCCGTCGTGGCATACGGGAGCCCTTGGGATCGATTGGGGATTTGCGCCAGGCGAGGCACAATGATCTTCGCACATTTTCCACTTTTCGATCTAATCTAGAGCTTCTGATATATTATACTCATCTCACGGCTTACGTATAGCTAGTGGTGGAGCGAAATCATTGCAGTTTAAGTTTGTTGCATCATTGGTCGATTTTCTGCCAGTCTTACTGTCCCACGCTTTACTATACCTCAACGACGGCTTCATATCTTCAAACTCGAACAATGCCTCGATCGCTTACAATATGAGAGATGTATTTCTCAGATATTCATTATTACAAATACTACAGAAACGCTCAAAATGTTGCGTGATAGTGTTTACTTCAGTACGAACTCTGTGGCGTATTTGGCTAGCTTACCCCGACAGCCCAAGTGTTACGGCTGAAACCTCCAGCCCAGTTGCCGCGAAACCTAGTAATAGGGTAAAATAAATGGCAAAGAACATGCCTAGAAACAACCCTCGTCTGCAGAAGACCCTCTAAAAATCACTTTAAAGAACCTACAAAAGATGCTCCTTAATCCACAGACCCCTCAGCTCGAACATTAGTGAAGGAAACTACTTGAAAGTCGTAGATTACGTAGTCACAATATCCTGTACATAAAGTCAACAACTATCAGCTGATATTTAAGAGAAAGGGCAACTGGAGGGAGGCTAGCAACCATCGTGGTTGCTAGTTCTAACTAGCCGGTTTCGTGATCGATTACCTTACAGAAACATGTGAAACATAGCAGATCTAGCGACGTGGTATCGCTATAACAAAATTTATCTTCCATCCCCAAGATGGCCTTGCATCAACTTCCTACCCCTCACTCAAGAACCACACGTGTCCAATTTGACAGGATACTAGTCTCGCCAATATCAACAATACCAAAGGTGTCATCCGCACGCTCACCAAGATAGACGGCCCTTCTCAAGCCAAATTGTTCATCGTTTTGAGTGTACAAGTCTTTGTAGAGCAAGTACATATGCTGACGAAACTCTTCATTCCCGTCGACTGCGTCAAAATCCGGAACATAGCCAATGGGGGATCCGTCAATAGACGCCAGAAAAAGGCCCGTGCCAGTGATATGGCTTTCTTGCCGCTGTTCGACAACATGGAAGTTTGGCAGGTTTCTGCTGTCAATAACGGATCGTAGGATCAGAGCAAGGACCGGCTGGTCGGAGAATGCGACCACGACGGCGTACAGCCTTTTCCGGGCCCAGTCAAACGCGCTTAGAGGGATGCCGCAGCTGACCATCGCGGCAAGAAAGAAGAGAGTCTGTTTATACTCTGGTGGGTCGCAATGCACCAGATATGGCAGATGGGTGTTGATCCAATCACCACTCGCTTCGGAATCTCTTTCGTACAGTCCAAGCCCTGTCCATTGTGCGTCTAGATAAGAAGTGACCTCGTAAAGAAGACGCTCCGAAGTCCTCCTTTGCATAAGAAAATCTTGCTCAGCCGCCCCGGCCGAGTTTGACACTCCAATACCGCTATCATTTCTCTGCGATCTGATGCTTTCATAATCACTCGTCCACGACCCGTATTTGCTCAGCTCTCCTCCTCGGTGTGCCAAACTCCATACCCTAGGAGAAAACTTCATGGCTGTCTGTATCACCTGAAGAACCTGCATCATGTTTGAGGGCATCATAAGTTTTGTGCCGCCGAAAGTATTAGCCACCACTGCCACCTTCGAAGGTGAGGACGTTGGGCTAGGTGGCCGAATTAATTTCACAAAGTCTCCGAGGCATGTCGGCGTGGGTATGTCCTTTGCCGGAACCCAATGGCTTCCGCTGCCGGCCTCTTGAGGTATCCCTGTCATTTCTAGTAATTTGGAGTTAAAGCCAAACCCCGCTTCATGCGCTTGACGGTGACAATCTAGAAATAACTCGGAAAATGGCATGCTCCCCGCTTGCGCTGGGACATGATACCAGCTGTACTGGACCATCACGGCAAGGATGAAGTCTCGTGGTTTGCCGGTAGCGCGGATGGAATTTATATTCATTTGGTACCATAGGTTGTTGCTTGAGCTGGGGTGTTCAGGCATGGCAGGGCCAGCAGGGCGCGAAATCGGAACATGACAGGTCATGAAGGCCCTAGCGAACTCACCCATAGTCTCATCGGTGATTGTATCATCGCTTCTGCCTTTGCGAGACCAGCATGAGCCCAGTGCATCCAGACTAGCTACGATGTTTAGTAGAGAAGATGTCACACTAGATACTCCGAAATCTGCGTCGTCATTCCTGGATTCTGGTTCCCAATCGGCACAAACTTCGAACTGGACGTTATCGCTCAGTAAGATTTCTTCTAGTGGCCATAGTCGAAATAGATAGGACTCAGTCAAACCGATGTGTGGATGTTTCGCTCGCACATGGCCGAGAAGCTCCTCCTTCCCTCGCAAGTTCCAATCAGCGAAGGAACTGATGGCGTTGGCACAACAACCTCGAAAGCCATCACCATCCTTAATTGCAACTGTACGTACCGCGTTGCGATAAATGTCGGGGATGGATTGCACAACTGCGATGCGTGCTGCCTTAGACCGCTGATCGACACAAAGTATATCCATCCAGAATGGCAATTGCCCCACGAGTTTCGGCAGCTTCGTTTCCAGAAATTCGGCCTTGTGTTGTGAGACAATGACTTGGTGCTGAATTCCAGGTATGTCTGTCCAGTATGCTAGACCCCATACGTGGGATATTGCAATGAATTCCGTAGCGTTAGTATCCGCCTCAAATGATTCGAGTTGGCCTTCCCTACCGAATCGACAAAGAGTAATTATAGGCATGGTGCTCTTCTTATTCCAGCAAACTCCTGCTAGGTGATTGTTTAGGCAGATAAGTTGAACCGAAGTTTTGGAAAAGACGAACGCTCAGCTCCTCACTGCATAAGCTGCTGAAGACTTCGAGGAACAGATTCACGGCGTGGCGTACCGTACCCAAGACGAGAGGATTAGTGACTAGGGACGTTCCCGTAAAATGAGGTGCAGATATGCGGCGAGAATTGCGTAGCCTCGAATTGACTTCAATTGGTCCAGCGTTATTAGACCCAAATGAAAGAGGACCAGCCATCGGAGAGAATGACGTAGCTTCGAATTGGCTTCAGTTGGCTAAGCTTTATTTCACATGTTAGAGACAAATGACTGAGGACCAGCTCGAGTGGCATCGGGCAGACACGCCCAAATGCTGCTCTTTGTTTTTGCGATATCGGTTCCTGGAACCGGAGGATTGCCCGATGGAAGGAGCTGGACGTGCACGTGATGGAGGAATTGCTAGGCATGGAGCTGTCAGTTGGATTATCACGTGGGCTTACTCCCTAGGCTTACTACTTAGATACTGTCATCATTTGGCTCAGCTTACATCTCCCTTTATCTATTCCGTAGGTATTCGAAGTCTTCGGACTCTTCATTCAGTTTAGGCTGATATATGCGGTCTGTAGTTGGAAGACAGGATTGAACAGAAATTTGCATGGTTCGTGGGACGGTAGAAAACTCCGGACGAAGAAAAGGGTCTATCGTATAGTACAGAGAGAAGGATAAGGACGATGGGATTTTCGGCCAACGGCAAAAAAAGATCCGGAGCCGTGGAAAGGAGTATCCGAGGCACTTTGCTCATCATGATTGCGTTTCAAGCTTAGACCACTGATGAACCTTCTTAGGGCCTCCGATATTCTCGATATCCTTAGGCCAGTAAGAGCCTTCGATCCATCCTTTATCATATATATAATGTGTGGGACAAACGGAAATTTGTCTAGCTTGGGCAACACTGCTAGGATTGGCCGGGAAACAGTCGAAGATCAGCTCGACCACGGGATTGTGCATCTCATGCAAAGAAGTCATGACCAGCCCTGCAAAAGCAGACAAAGCGCAAAGGTCTCCATATACGGAAGAAGAATACAATTTGCTGATCGGCCTTAAGGAGGAATGCTTACCGTGGAAGAGATACATTGGGCTTTCACCCGTTCTTTTCCAGAGAGGAGCATCGAATCGCTGCAAGCGCGCTATTGTACGAAATTAAAGGACAGAGACTCTGGATCCGATGGCAAAAAAGACTGGTTTATCCCTTCCAGTACTCCCGTAGGCATGACGTCCGTGCTCGTTCACCATAACGAATCCATCTCTCGGACTCTAAGAAATTCCATCCTGAACGATGGATCGAGCATCCGCATCTTGATAGGTATCTGCTTTCGTTTTACTCAGTCTTCTCATTTGACACTGTGTATTTGTTTCATCAGTTATGGGTACGGTTTAACGCAAGCGTCTTAAACGTATAAGACGCACAGAAGCTAGAAACCATTTCTAGTGGCATTGAAGGCATGTATGTGTTCTCGTTGGAGTTCGAATTATAATGTATACTGTTATTAGAGCCAATAAGCCTGCCGCAAAGAGAGGAGCTTGTGGTGACCTCTAGAATATGCATCTTTGTATCATTTATGTTCCGGCCCAACCGCCAACTGAGCTGGTTGGCCAACTGGCTGGCGCAACCACCAACAATTAAAGTACCAACCTCTGGCCCTTAAGGCTGTGCAAAGGGTGAATAGACACCGTATCTATGACCTGGTCAAGCCAAGGTACCAAGCTTGGGACACAGCAAGAGTTCGCTAACTCGGAAACTCAAAACCGTCATCTTCATCATAACTCATACAGTAGCGGTTGCACCAGTGTACTTCCTGCACTGCCGCTGTTGCGGAGAAGCGGCGCCGAAGAGACGAGAACGCCAGTAGTCACAGTGGCATCGTTGAGTGAAGAGAGAAATTGCACTTCATGAATGGGGAAGTATACGAACTCCCCTACCCTCCATCATAATAACCAACCCTACCTTTCAAAATTTGTGCTTCGCTACACTCACCCCCACAATCACTACCCAAACGCCCCCCCTCTCTTGAAACTTCAACATGCCTAAACCCAAGACCTTGGCCCTTGCTTTTTCTACTTGCTTTATATTATACACACCTGCTGCCATACCACTGGTACAGGAAGTTGAAATGGTGGGGTTAGGATTAAGCGAGGGGGCATAAAATTCGTGTTCTAACTCTGCGATCCAAGTGTTCCCAGATTCATTCCCGTACATGAATGTGGCAGATACGTATGATAACCACTATACAATTCAATGCACGCCCTAAAGTCCATCTGATCACCACTGAATGGCTGCCATTCCATATTGCAGACCCGCCGTCCCGAACATGCTCACTGCGAGAACTTCTACTTCAACCATCTTGACGTTTGGGATTTCGGTATTCACAGCTGCAGCATATGAGACCCGTGACACGTACTGACACAAATTAGACGCCTCGCCCAGAATCGCAGCTGTCTTCTTCGGGCCATCTGGCTTATCTCTCAGCTCAGAGAAGTGCCAGCCGGTACCAGTCAGCGAAGCGATGACCAAAGTTGCGTTTATGATCGCGCCCGTTGCTCGTCCGTCAGCAACCTTTAAATTCTTCCTTTAGACTCTTCATTACACTTTTCGAAGCCCCGAACTTTCTCTGTATGGGACCACAAAACAATATCTTCGAGAGAATCGTGATGCCTGATATGGACATCATGGAGCCACTCATGTACTTGTCTTCGATCGGGTAAGGAGGCAGAAACCAATTAGCTGCCTCCAGAGAAGCCCCCATGATAACGCCCATGACAGCGGCGGGTATTGACCAGTCACTATCGCTTGTATCCTGCGTGGCCTCTGGGACGACAAGGATCAAGCAAGCCGATGGAGGAGAGAAAACCTGCAATGCCATGGCCTGCAACATAAACGGAATGCTTGTAAAAATCATCTGAGTCTTCGGTGCTCGCAGGCTTGACAGGGTCTGCTTGGTCACCGATGAACGAGGATGTGTGTAGAGGTGTAGTCACTGCCATTCTCGAGACTGGTACTGTAGGGTGGAAAAGAGCGGCAAGGCTACTCCAGTCAGGCGCTGAAATCAACTTGGCAGTCCCATCGTTGTCCGGAAAAGGCGCAGAACCCTTCGCGATCTTGTACACAACCGTATACCCCACAGAAGCAATCCAGAGAAATAAATCGAGGAAGGAAACGTCCGGAATGCCCAGTTCATTGAGTATATCCGAGATTATGGGTATGTGGAGCTTCGCCTCCAAGATTCCAATGGTCGCACTAGCCACCTCTACCAGTACCTTAAGCAGAGCATCCACCACGACTTGCACGCTCGATAGTACCCCATCAACTATGATCCCAGCCACACGCTGAAGTACCTGACCTACGTTCATGGATGGGAAGTCTCTTGCGAGCGTTTGGAGCTGGTCGTAGACCGCAGACAAGACGGCACCTTCTTTTGATACTGCTCCAAGGAGGTCGTCGACCAGACTCTGGGCCATGTTCATAGATGGAATGCCACTTATCATAGATATTGAGCCGACGTGATCGCGAAAATGATTTGCGAATAGCATTGACAGTGCAGTTTGTCCTTCACCAGGATTCGGAAAGCTCCCGATGATGGGATTATTTGCTCATGAGTGAACCTTGGGAGTTAAGAGCTGCGAGCTTCTTGAAAGGCTTCTCCATTGGGTTAATGGCCGTGGTTCCGGCACCGGGCACTGCGACGGCGATGATAGTGCCATTGATGCTATTGGTTGCTTCTATGATCGTGATAGACCCGGCAGAGTCTGTGGCCACTTTCGTAGGACTTTGTTGTAGAATATAATAGATCCCGTTGATATACACTGGAGATCGAACTTTGGCAGAAACAGCAATCTCCAAACCTCGTGCAGGCAGTCCTTGCTCGTCTGCAACCTGAATACTGGTAGTGTATGAATTGAATGACAGCGATTCCTGCCTTGGTGGTGCTGTGAGCTTGATTTCTTGTGCCTGCCACATCTTTGATGAGGTCCCGGTTGCCTGGACCAATTTCTGCAGTTTACCTGCGCCTGAAGCGAAGATGGTATTGCCTCCGTCGCTTTTGTTGACATAAGGAGATATTTGCTCGATGCCAAACAATATCGGGACAGGAGAGCTCCAAGACTTAGGGTCAGACACTGTATTAGCAGCGCATGAGGTATAGAAGACTTCGTCACTACCGTTTCTCCCCCACAGAGTGGTCACCCCATTATGTGTCATGGCGATCAACTTGCTGGTCTCAGAGATGACCTTGCTTGTCAACAGAGGCTTCCCGAGGGCACCGTCAGACTCCTGATCCTCAGCACTGAAACGAAAAAGTGTCGAGCCACTGGTCACGTAGAGATCGGGGGTTCCATGCAGTTCCGAACTTTGGTTGTCGTTCCAGGCTGCAGCAATGGCCGAAGGAGTTGCGCTGCCAGGCATAGTGAGGCGTGTTGGCATAGGAGGACCGCGACTGAACACATTGATCATTGGCACATAGACTAGCTGTGCAGAAACTCCAGAAATACCGGCTGTGTAAACACCATCAACTACGGCATGCAGTGCTCTGCCGACGCAACTTTGATATCTGTCTTCCTCAATGTCCACAGGTACATCATGCTCCTCCTAGTAAGTTCCACTCCTCCTTGCCGGGTCTATATAGTAACGAGCAATATCCTTAACATTCGACACCAGGGAGCGGTCGATGTCAACAATCAGATACTGATCCTTTTCTCTCGTTTCTGCGAAGGATTGACACAATTCTGATGGCAGACGGGATATTGCCAGTGGCATCAAATGGACACAGTGTCCAGTTCGGCTTAGCAATCCAAGAGGTATTGAGGCTAGAGTTGAAAAGTGATATGAAGGGATTGTCTAAATTACCAGATGTCACAGCCATTGCGAGGCCAATGGTCCCATCAAACACACTCTGTCCAGCATCGAAAGTGCGGACCTTACCCTCTCGGATAGTAGATGAAATTGCTGCAGAAGAAATGTCATTCAGCACCCAGCCAGTTTGCGTCTTGCCATTTTGCTCCTCAATCACATTAAGTACATTGTCTGTGCCCGTGGAGAATAACAAAGTATGCCCATCATCCGACTGCAGGCCAACAAACTTGCCCACCGGTGACACAATCGCTCCCTGTACGTAGTTTCGCATCATCTCAGATGAATATGTCAGCTTTAGGGGTGTTGAAGGCCTTAACGTGTTAGTATTCTGATCTGTTGATACTGCTGGGGTGGAATCACCCTTTGGTGGTGGAGGGTCTGGCAAAAAGAATGGAGGTGCAACAGTTGGGCCGCCTTGTGGCAAACCCTGATTGCCACCAGGAATCGGAAATGGAGGTGCGATGCCTGGGTTAAGTTTGCTCCAATCCTGTGGCACTTGATTTGGGCTCGGCTTCACATACGTGATAGCACAGATAAGATCTTGATGCTTAGAGAATGTGGCAGATTTATACGTGAAGACCTTTCCTCCAGGAAAAACGAAGGACTGCAAGGATCTGAAGTCAAAGGTTTTTAGCGTTGTGCTGGTGAAGCCGCTGACTTTCTTCTTGATATCGTTGGCAGTTTGCTCGAGATTGATGAAGAAGTTGACGAAGTCATTCACGTTGGGTCCTTCGTTAATCTCGTCCACGCTGGACGCCGGCTGAGATATTTGAATGATACCTTCCTAGTCAACCGAAATTGTGTACACATCGGTCAAAGTCTTATTGACAATATTGAAGTCCACTGACGTGAGATTTCTGCGAGCGTGCATGAACACAAGTAGCTGTTAGACCACTTTGATTGTGTTGTCCTCGAAGAACACGTTGCAGGTATAGGTGGGATTGATTCGAAGGGCTCCATTCACGGCTCCTGAAGAAGCCGAGTCTTCACCATTTGAGGAGTAATCAGCATATATGACCCTTGACTGATCGCCGGGAGTGATGCCAAGATCGTGTGGTTGTTGGCCGCCCGTTAAGGTCCAGCTATATGTCAAGCTACTGTCCTTCTAATCGGCAGAAACGTGGACCTCTGAATTGAAGCAAGCGTGTGGAATTACGAGCGCCAGTTGCTGTCGAAAATGCTCTGCAATGACGTTGCGGTTGATTGAAATGATACCACTCTCTACATTAATATCGCTAGGTTCCACCTAGTTCCAACTGAATGCCGTAGAGCCAGCGGGTAGAGATGGGCGTATGTGACCGTTAATAGCACAGAGGAAGTTGAGTGTCGTAACATCTTTTTCAAGAGCTGATGGATCCTAGGTAACAAACCCCTTGTCGTCTACCATCTGGCTTACGGCTCGCTCGAATGAAGTCATTTGCAACTGAGATGCATCTGGAGAGTCCGATACGGCATGAACAGAGATGAGAGGCTGCCCGATCTGTTTGGCATTGTCCCAGTAGATGCTAACAAAATACTTGGTGAGTAAGGCCTCGACATCAGACCCTTTGAGGCTGCCGCCGAGCCGCGGAAGTGTTTGCATTATCGCATTTTCGAGATCTAGCACCAACTGCTGTAAGCTAAAGGCGGTGGCTCCCAGATTGTTCAGAGAGGCGAGGAGGTTAGCTTTCTCTACAGGGTGGTTCTTGAAGTGCTGGCTATTCGTCAGATTGCGATCAAGATCTTCGACGACTAGGTTTACCGATGTTTCCACGGACCACGGCTGGCTTGAAGTTTGACCCGTAGGTTGATGCCACACACTCCAAGTGCCGGAGTCAGAGTCGAAACCATCAGGTGGACTGTTCTGGACGACAGAGAGAACTGCGAACAGTACATTCTGAACAGTAAATTGTTCGCGCTGTTTCCCAGAACCACAACCGGGGGAAGGTCCTTCGGCAAAAACCCAGAGGGCAGCCCGATCTGCATCTTAAAGCCACAAACAAACCTCGCTCTGGTAAGTACTGTAATCCGATCATCGTCGTAATCAGTCTCATCTGGAATGTCGAATAGATTTATGCCACCAGTCTTTTTCATCAGATCTTCCAAGGATATCTGTTGTGGGGGAGTTTTTGTTTTCTTGTTCGCTGCAAGGAAACATATGTAAGTGACTGGCTGGTTGCCTTGACTAAAATATTCCAGAAGGCCAGAGTTGATACTAGCCTGAGTAGTTGATACGACAAATTCATAACCGTATCGTGATAAGTAAGAGGCTGAGGCGGGCATATCGGGCGAACAGGTAAGTGATGCTGTCGATATCGCTTTATTGACCATGCAGAGTAAGTCTTTCTCGATGGGCTGAGGGTGGTAGTAATATTTGAGAATGGATAATAGAACGCAATGGTCCAAGATTTGAACCTGGAGCTGTCTCGACGCCGTGGAATATTTGGGGAACGCTGCACATCTTTATATTCTCTGGACTTTTGGCCGCGTTCTCCGTATTCGAACGGGAGGATGTCACTCGCCATACAGAGGTCAACTACCTTCAGTTGGTCGATAGGGAGCTTTGCTATAACCAAAAATCTCTAAAGTTACGTATAGGTACTAGCCTCCACCGACCTCTGTACAATGCAATTCAGCCCCAGCCACCGTAGTACCACTAGATATCTCAAGTTCGGCCAGACTGTGGTGGTGAAGAATCGTGCGTCGGACGCGCAGGAGGATTGAAAGGACTGCCTGCATTGAGGTCAGCCTTCTTTGATGCCGAGACAGACCATAGCGAAGGTCGGTGAAGATGGGAAAAGGAATGATTACTTCCTCGTCTGACGAACTAGTGCTTTCGTCTGATGCAAATGTATTCTCAGCACGCCTCCAATCTGCGCCATTCATATATCCTGGAGGATAAGCGAGGAGGCGCTCCGATTGGGACTTACACACGGGTGTATGGTGAGGAGTCCCGTTATCCTAATCCACTGCGAATACCTTAACATAGAAATTGTGAATACCAGAGCATGAGATTCCTTTTCGAGCTATGACCAATCCTTGGCGATAGGATGTGCCTTTTGACGGCCGTTCAGATGAGGCACGGCCTTCCTTTGGGCTCACACCACAAGATCAATATCATCTTCACCTCCGGCAGAGCGAATTCATAGGTGCGTTCACGATCAAGAATGGACCGCGAAGGGGTCCTGGCTGGCCAGGCGTCAAGGAAACTTGGCCGGGTGTCAACAGGGGTTGTGGCGGTCAGATTCGGTTAGATTAGACTTTAGCGTTGCATTAGCGGAGGACTAGTAAGCATATCCAGCGTGCTAAATCAGTAGAGTAGAGTAGAGTAGTAGTTTCGAAGAATAGCTCTTTTAAGTATCTTTACATACAAATTACTATTATAAGGTACTTATTACACCTAAAGTGCAAAACCGCACAACCCGCTTCTCCAAACGCGAAAACCGCACAACCCGCTTACTCCAACCTTGAGCAGAGCGAGAAGTTGGGTACGACGATTAAGTGCCCGCCTGCACCTCTATTCGAAGTGATAGTTCTACCGTTCGTGAGATACCCAGCCATTTTCGCTGTGAATCCCCGCCCGGCCCGAATCCTCCGTCCAACAGAACCCACCACTGTGGGCTCCCCCACAGGTAGATGCCAAAAATCACTTAGGCGCCTGACCTAAATATCCAGCGCTAAAATAAAGTATACTATTGGCCAACTTGGCCTCATTCGAAGAATTTTGGGCGGCTGTCCTGCCGATCGAGCCACATTCGTAACATAGGGGCCAAATCCAAAACACCAACATGACGTTTGCCATGATTGGTCCAAATAAGATCGCATGTAGATGATTCCAGAAGATAGTCTTCTTCATCCTTTGCTCCTCTTCCGTTCAGAACATTAAGAGATCGATCTCGTCCTGTACAGATACACGTTATCATCTTTATAGCGGCGCAGTCCTAGCTATCATGCTAATACTTGTACTGAGAGCAGTCCCGATCTTCTGTTTATGTATTGCATATACTCTTGCTGCTGGACCACACGTTATTCTATGGTCCTCTCAAACTTATGGGCCTGATGGCCCTTGGCACGCCGTCACTGTCAAGCTCGGCACTCCTGCTCAGCAAATGGATCTCATTCCTGCCGGCGCCTGGGAGACACAAATCCTCAGCTCTTCAGTATGTTCGACCAGCACGACGCTATCCGGTTGCAATGCGAACGCGGCTGGCCTTTTCGATCCCGAAAAATCAAGTTCCTTGGTCACAATCTCAGAGACAGGAACAATCAAAAATGGCAATTTCTGTGTCAATGGCGGTGGCATCCCATCCATGTCTGGCGACGCGGAATGGATGTTCGACACACTCTCCCTAACTCTTCGGGATGGCGTCGTGGGAAACAACGGCCAGAACACGATTCGCAATTTGTCCACCATGGTCATTTCCCGCGGCTACAACACGCTTCCTTCGGGCTCTACATATGCTGCTGAAGTTGGCAAACTCTCACTCGGCGCGCCGAACATAAACCAGTCGTGGGTACATGCCGGAAGCCGCTTCAACGCCACGTTCCTCCCTGGAACCCTCTTCGAGGCTGGCCAAATCCCGTCGAACTCATACGGCATGCACATTGGGTCCGTAGCTGCCGGGGTCCGTCCATCCCTCATCCTCGGTGGCTACGACCCAACACGAATCATAGGCCCCGTGTCCGCACAACCCTACACTATCCTCAAACTCCCCATCGACCTGCTTGATATCGGGATCTCCGTCTCATCTGGCAAATCACCCTTCGAATTTACCTCCAAATCGGGACTGTTGGCGTCCAACAACGCATCCATAGGCACTTCCCTTCCCGTCGTTATCGACTCCGCGTCCCCGTACCTCTATCTCCCTAAATCCACCTGCGACGCCATAACCTCGCTCCTACCCCTGACCTACAACCCCCTCCTCTCCCTCTACATCTGGGACGTCACCTCGCCGCTTTATACGACCATAATATCATCTCCCGCGTCTCTAACTTTCACATTCCGCCTCTCCTCCTCCATAACTGCCAACATGACCATCTCCGTCCCCTTCGCGCTGCTCAACCTAACGCTCACTACCCCCCTCGTCTCCAGCCCGATACCGTACTTCCCATGCCGGCCCGCCCAAGTCGAAACACTTGGAGAGAACTACGGTCTCGGGCGCGCGTTCCTACAAGCGGCGTTCGTGGGCGTGAACTGGGGCGGCGACGGGTTATGGTTCCTCGCTCAAGCGCCCGGGCCAAACACTCCCTCTCTCTCACCGCTGACATCCATCTTTCCTGGTGACAAAACGCTCAAGGGCGCGGATAACGGCTGGGAGGACAGCTGGAAGGGGTACTGGGAAGACGGCATCGACGGTGACGGAAACGCCATAGTGCCTACCGGCTCAACCGCTTCCGGGAATGGGACAGGAGCAGATATTGCACACACTTTGCCCGACTCGGCGCTGTCGAGGGGCGTGATAGCAGGGATCGCTGTCGGCGCAGTGGGCGGTGTTGCGGTGATTGTTGTGCTTGCGTGTCTTCTGTATAGCCGCGCGAGAAGACGGAAGGCAGACAGGGAGAATGTGAACTTGTTTGCTGAGGCGCACGTGGGTAACGACGGGCTAGCTGGTGTTTGCGATAGACATGCAGGTCAGGGGTACGGGCCGTCAGAGTTGTATACGCAGGCACCGGTGGGGGAGTTGCATAGCGATCATAATGGAGTGGTTGGGGAGTTGCATGGCGAATATAAGAAGGCGAGTGTAGTGGAGCTGCCATGATAGCTATAGTATAATAGATTAGTATAATGACGAAGTGAAATAGAAACTTAGAAAGCTGTAATCTTAATTTAAGTGTATAGCAGATACTACTACCTAGGTAGTATCTAGGTCTTCCCTAGGTACGGTAAGTATCTAAGCGACTTTATTCAGGTGAGGCAAGTATTTACAGATACTTCGGTAGTAGTGTTGGCAATAGTATATTGGTTCTTAGCAATATAACGTATTAGATAAGCTTGCACGTGTAGCTGTAAGGGGGTAGCGGTAAGGGGGCAGCAGCAGCGCTCTAACCTACCTTTGTAATCTAAGATTAAATATAACTATTACATCTATAGATTAGAACCTATAAACTGCTAAGCGCCATAAGCTGCCGCTCTTTAAGATTCACAGAATGGAAAACTAGGGAAACAAACCAGCATTACAGGGCCTAAGATTTATTATGGCAACGATGGATTTATTACCACTAAACCACTGATGCTTCTTGTTGTTAACCAATACCGTATTGCCACTTATGGACTTTACCTCGTCGCAAAAGCAGCCCGACCAGCTCCCCGTTGCTTTTGCGATGAGCCCAAAGTTTAAGTGTTGTTCTGTATACAAGTTTACAGCAATTTCAGCACTGACCCGTACGAATACGCACTGTACCTTACGGCTAGCCCTCGCAGGATAACACCCCCTTCCCTTGCCAACAGACAGATCACGCCATCTCCAAGGCTCAACAACTGGGCTATCATTGCTAGTCTCACAGACCCCCCCTATTAGAGTATCGCCTCAGGGGTTGTACCCATTTGCAAGGTTGATAGCAGTTTCCCATTAGAGATCTGCCTACTATTAGTATTCAAGCCTTAGATCAACTCACTTCTAAGGGTAGATTCCTTCCTAAACTGCATGTCCTCCAAATCAAATTTTGAAACTTTTAGACATCTAGAAAGTTGAAGTACAGCTTGATTTATAGAGATACTAAAAGCAAATAGGATCTAGGAAGCTATCTAGAGCGGCAAAGGGTAGTTCATTTTCGTGACGCTGACCGTGGGGGTCTTGCTGGCCTGTATCTAGTGACAAATGATACGGAATTATCAGCTCAGCACCGTCGGTCGGTATTTCCCCACGAAGCTCTGGATATTCGTCAAAGAATCGTCGTTGGACCGTCCAGCATTGCAAATCCCGCACTCGCTTAGAAAACTCCGTTGATAATGAATACAACCCCGTACGTGTATCCCAGGTGTATAGGCTTTGCTCGTCAAGGGACCAAGCGAATCGAAAACAAGAGCCCATATATGCAAGACATTTATTCGCCGAATATTTCTGTGGCCACACAACGAGGTGCTCACGAAATCCGGGCCTGTAACAATAGAATAGAGTCAGGCAATGCCGTACTTTAGAAGTTGTAATTAAAGAAGAGGATCCTCACCATACATAATAGCTCGCAGAAGGGGAATGATCTATGACTGATTGAAAGGGCCTATTGGGTATGTTGGCACGAGAACCAACAAGAGAAGCCGCTTCATTTACGTACCTTGGGCGCATGAAAGTCGGGAGCTCGCAAATCTGCCCCCCTCTGAGATATTGCTACCAGATGCAAATCAGCACCACTGTAAATGTGGACGTGAAATATCAACCTACCGAGAGTTGTAATGCCAATATATACATCATAGCAAGCTTCTCCACGGCTCCATAAAGCGACAGAATTTCCTCGTCCATATGACGAATCGCTTGCCAGATGGGATCCAGTAAGTATTTTTCCGGTACTAGATTCCAACCGTGCACGAGCGCTGTAACCAAAACATTATCATCGTGGGCCCTCTGTATTTGGCCAAAGACCAATGGTCTGATCTGTTTGGTCGAAGCTAGGGCGTTGTGTGTAATGGTTTCCAATGAATTCCACATAGACATGGAACCGTTGTTCGAACACGGCGTTAAGAGAGCTGATTTTGGCGGTTCAGAGGTTTCTGGAGAAGCCGATTCGCGGCAGCAGTATGCCTCCTCTGGACCTGACATATTGGAGATTACCTGGAAAGGATCCGGAGTGCTACCAGCCATCAGTTCCATCTGATCTGGGTTTGGTGGCATGGATATGAACGGCGTAAAGTCATCATTATGTCGCTGAAGCGGTTCCGCGGCGTTAAACAACTGTTCAAGATCTTGATAATGCGGCTGTTTATTACATCGGTCCAAAGCGAAACCTGGTCCAACAGTCTCCATGGCTTCGCTACTGCTGCCCTCAGGTGGAGATTGTATGCCTTCCTGGTCGCTGGCCCCCACTGCAAAAGCCAGATCAGTTATCGCCGACAAGGGAGGCCTGGCTATGCGATCGCTTGACCCTTGGAGGCTTGATTGGGCCATCTCAATAATGTTCGTCAAGGTACACCGGAGCTGGAGGGCAGCATTGTAGTTCTCGTCCGCCTGTTGTATGAGACATTGAACCTTTTCAGAGTCGCTAGACGGAGCACTGCTAGCCTCAACCAGCTTCTCTAGATGGGCAATATAACTTTTGGTCTTCTCACGAGATGTTTTGCGGAACTTCCGGTCCGCGGCTCTTTTCCGTGCTCGCTGGGATGGTGTCAAGGGTTTCGGTCCCGGCTTTTCTTTATTAGCATACATTATGAAGGTGGCAGCGCAACTTGGCGCAGCGAAAATAGGAATGATGGATATTATCTACTTGGAATAGGGGATGGGGTCGTCCTGCAGGATTCTCTCCAGGCTTGTTAGACCAGGTCTAGTTCGTGGGGTGCAGGAGGGGACAATAGCCGAGGCGACAAGGGAAAATGCGGGGTAGGCGCTAGGGAATGTATCATTTCCACTAATTTGCAAGGTGTCACTAGGGGCATCAGCCAATAAGTTGCCCTGAATAGCTCTGAAAATTACGATGAGTTTCATATCTCCATGATGATTCAATGTACGCGTACAAATAGCTACATCATACTAGAGGCCAGTAGCTACCCCGTGTTATACTTGCCCCGCATCCCACCAGAGAGATTCTCCACTTTAGAACACACAGACACCAAAGTTGTTCCACACAGTGTACATCATTCCGCCACAGTTACTTCGCTCAGATGGTAACCTCTTTCCGAAATGGAATATTTTCATCACTGGTTTTGGGATTATCCCAATATTTACATGATGAGATATGTCACGGGTGCGTAGGGCCTATGTCGGGGCTGACTCGAGGGCGGACTGGTGCGAGCTAACAGCCTAAGGCATTAACCATACAGCCCTTGCTACGTATAGTGGTGGGCCGGGGGCGAGTTGGGGGTGACACGCCCCCGACAAATTGTATATAGGAGGGAAGAGATTAGTCTGTAGAATACAGAGACAGCTGCTCTATCGCGCGAGCCTAGTACGTTGTCGTCAAGCCATTGCAAGACAGGTCATGAAACATGTACTATTAACACTATCTATTTAGTCAGCTAATGTTTAAGTAATTGAGTACAGTGAGCAAGAAAAGATAGAGATTGGGTAGTGAGTAGTGAGGGAAACACACGAAATGCACTTCCAAAACAATCAGTGTGCTGTCTCGTATGCGAGGCCATCGAGTTTCCCTTCCTTTCGCCACTTCCGTAGGAGTTCAATGAAGGCGGGGGATCCGAGTCCGTACCAGGAATTTCGAAGCACCACGTCAGATACCTTCCCTTCATTGTTGTAGTAGCCGGGTGTGCATTGTTTCGTGAATTCTTGTTGAAGTCTCGCAAGCTCAACAACAGTCTGAACCCATTTGTTTTCGGCCTCTGCTGTGGCTTCCACGGCTTCGATGCCATTCTCCACACAGTACGAAGCGATGTAGGCAATATGGATGGCCTGCTCGTCAAGCATATGGGTTAGATTAGGGGTAAGGCCCGATTGCATAAGGCTGACGATAAAAAGGTTAGGGAACCCCCTGCTATGAAGGCCATGGAGTGTAGATGCACCAGATTTCCACTTCTCTGAAAGTTCAAGTCCTTCACGACCTCGAATAGTAAGTGAAGACTTGTTTGTATGGTTGACGACAAATTCAAACCCGGTGGCGTAAATAATACAGTCAAGCTCGTAGGTTTTTCCACCAGCAACAATGCCCTCTTCGGTGATTTTCTCGACACCTTGACCATCGGTGTCTACCAAAGTAACATTAGGGTTATTAAATGCAGGAAGATAAGTGTCGTGAAAGCAGGGTCGCTTGCAGAACTGATTGTACCATGGCTTCAGCTTCTCAGCAGTCGCTGGATCGAGAACTGTGTTGTCTATCCGAGCACGAATTTCGTCCATCTTTTGAAAATCAGCGAGCTGTCGGGCCGCCGCATTGTCTGCTGAAGCTGTTGATTGATTTTTCCCACCCAAAACCGACAGTTTACGAATAATGTCGGTCCAGTTGTCCCCAACCAGGTCTTCGTCGGCGTGGCCACCAGTGACAATAGTGTTGAAGTTCTCCATCCTCCGCTTTTGCCATCCAGGCGTTAAGCTGTCAACCCATTTCGGGTCAGTAGGTTGGTTGTTTCGAACGTCAACAGAGGATGGAGTGCGCTGGAACACGTAGAGATGTTTGGCACCTGCTGCGAGATGCGGGATCGCTTGAACTGATGTTGCTCCTGTCCCAATGATACCGATACGCTTATCTGATATCTTGTCTAAGTTTCCCAGGGTATCCCCTCCGGTATAAGCGTAGTCCCAGCGATTGGTATGGAAGGAATGTCCTTTGAACGTCTCTAAGCCAGGAATCCTTGGAACCTTTGCATTGTGCAGTGGGCCGCTTGCCGTTGCCACGAATTTGGCCCTGATGTTGTCGTTACGGTTTGTTGTTCCCGCCCAACGCTTACTTTCCTCATCCCAGTCAAGTGCAAGTAATTCGGTCTGGAAGAGGGCTTTGTCGTACAGGCCGAATTTGGTGCCAATGGCACGGGCATGCTTCCGCAGCTCAGGCGACTTTGCGTACTTTTCGACTGGTATATAACCCATCTCTTCTAGCAGTGGCATGTAAATATACGATTCGGTGTCACAGGCCGCCCCGGGGTATCTGTTCCAATACCACACGCCACCAAAGTCCCCTGCCTTTTCCACAATTTTGATGTTGGTGATTCCCATTTGAATCAATCTCACAGCAATAAGAAGACCACCCCACCCACCTCCCATGATTAGGAAGTCAACTTCTTTCTTAATAGGGTCCCGAGGACTAGGTGAACCTGCATATAGATCTGATTGTCTCTCTTGATCCAAACGCACATACTGGTCGATACCATCATCGCGAAGGCGTTTGTCGCGCTCTTCGATATACTTTTTTTCGATCACTTTGGGGTCAAACTGCAGTTTGACGCCCTCGTCGCTAATGCTACCCATTTTGTTTTGGTATGAGCAGCGGGGAAATATGATATAATAGAAGATGTAGTTTTTAATAAACGTTCTACTCGGGCAGCTGGCAGGGACCACCTCTTAATATCTATCTTTACGTCGTAGGCGCACATGTTAGGTCGACAGGTATCGACTCGATGGGCATCGACTCGAAGGACAGGATAAGCTGGCTTTGATTGTCCCAGTTAGTCGCAGGCGTAGATGTTAGGTCAATAGGTATCGACTTGATGAACATCGACTCAAATGGCATCGACTCGACGGGTATCGACTCGATAGGTATTGACTCGACAGGTATCGACTCGGCGGGCATCGATAGAGTCGACTGCGCGCCAAAATTGTTTTGGTCGTCCATATTAATTACATACGTGTGTCTCTTATTACTTTTTTTTCTTTCAACCAGAAAATGTGCATCGCTCCTACGCCACCATCCCCGACTGAACCGGCCTTTTAAGTTTTCTTTCCTCACAATGGCTACGGTGCATGGCCACTGCAACGCCGGTTTCGATCACGTTCGCAATGTGTTCCAAGAGCACATCACTGCCGATAAGGAGCTGGGGGCATCTCTTTGTGTCAACATTGATGGAATAAACGTGATCGACCTCTGGGGTGGTCATGCGGACGCGACAAAGACGAAGCCATGGGATGAAGATACGCTGATCGTGGTCTGGTCTTGTTCCAAGATTGTCACTGCATTAGCCGCGGCTATTCTTATTGATCGTGGCTTGTTAGATCCTGAAAAGAAGGTTTCTAACTACTGGCCCGAGTTTGGAGCATCTGGAAAGGAAGACATTACAGTTGGCCATATTCTCAGCCACGCATCTGGCGTGCCGTCCTGGGAGCAGCCAATCACCATTCAAGAGACTTATTCCAGCAAAAGCGCAGCAGAGAAACTAGCACAGCAGTCGCCCTGGTGGACCCCCGGAGAACACTCAGGATACCATCTTTTCAATCAGGGCCATTTCGTAGGCGAACTAGTCCGTCGGATAACAGGGAAGACGCTCAAACAGTTCATAGCCGATGAGATTACGGTTCCCTTAGAAGCAGACTTCCGTCTCGGACTCGAAGAGAAAGACTATCCGCGTACTGCAGATGTTATCGCACCGCCGGCGATACCTCTAGACGGCCTTGATCCAAATAGTATTATGGTTAGAGCCATGTGTGGCCCCGTTATCAAAGCCGAATATTCATCAACACGGGAGTTCAGAGAAGCTGAGGTAGGCGCCGCAAATGGATTTGGGAATGCTCGATCGCTGTGCCGCATTGGATCAATCGTATCGCTGGCAGGGACAGTGGATGGAAAGCAGTATATATCGCCTCAGACCGTGGACCAAATGATGCACGAACGGATCCGCGGTCAAGACCTAGTTCTTGGCACGTTCTTGCGATTTGGCTTGGGAGTTGGCCTGCCCGTGCCGCAGACAGTGCCGTGGGTTCCAGAGGGCCGCATCTGTTTCTGGTGTGGTTGGGGTGGGTCGACAGTAGTCATGGACTTGGATCGGCGGATGACGATCAGCTATGCCATGAACAAGATGGGGGTTGGTACTTTAGGAAACGAAAGCACTGCGGCCTACGTTAATGCGGTGTATGCTGTTGTTGGCGGAAATTTGCCTTCTTGACTTTGACTTCACTCACGCGACCTTTTAATTCGGCATAGAATTTACTTATATGGTTTTCGAGGTTTATGCACAGTGACTACTAGAGAGTATATGTTTAAGCCTTAGTTTGCCTCGTTATAAACGTCAACTGTGTACAAAAGGTCTAGAAATGGAGCACATAGATGCTAATGCTGCTACTTAAAACTTAAGCAAGTTGTTTCTGCTTTAGCAGGATATAGAAACTATAAATAACATTTATTGTGTCTTTACTGTACGACGCACGGTCCTATCTCCAACATGATGATAGCAAAGGATATGCTACGTGTTATGGCTGCTGTTGAAGGCAGCTTTTGGGAAACACATGTTCAGGCGGCCAAGCGCCAGAAATTGCTGCTTTTCAAGATTCACAGAAGAGACACCCAGGAGATATAAACCGGCGTTACGGGGCCCGAAAGACTTCATGTATTTATCATGGCAACGATGGATTTATACTACCAAACCACTGATGCTTTGTTGTAGGCCAATCGCGTATTGGCACATATGATGGTTGGGGCCGGCGCACAGTACTCGTCACTAACAGTGTTGGGGGAAACCGACATTCCCGTGGGATACGGCAGGCTTTTACCGCCAAAATGGCCACTTTTCTCCGTGGGATTGTCCGGCTCCCCTATTGGCTTGGGCATTGGGTGGTAATTACACTCAATGTCTCACCACAGCCAGGGGGCAGAAGAAGCAACTTCTTCAGGGCTTTGGGGGTTTCCCCCAGGCCTACAAATACTGTACGTAGCCCGTAGATTAGGTAGTAATTCAATTAATTATATTGCCCCATATGCTGTACTCTACTGCTGCCGAAGCATCTGTCTGGCTGCCCGTAGGAGCTTATCACGGGAACCGGAGATTATCACACGATTTTGTGTGTAATTCCCAGAATCTCGCAATTGCTCTCAACAAGCAGATTTAGAGGCGACGCTGTGAACGATCTGGCTTGGGTGCGGAGATGAGCTTCTTGGCAAAAATTGTGCTTTTGACGCGGCGGCTGCTAGCTGCTACGCCGCAGGCCTAAGTGTTTTCCTTCTAATTCCTTGCCGCAAACGTGTCTCCTAGATATATGTTGCGACGTCGCCAACATGCATCCTCCTACCCTCCTCCTGATTGCCCTCACAACCTGCGTCGTCACCGCGACCAGTGCAGAGACCGTCCCAGCGGCCATCACCCGCGCCCCCCGAGCCGTCGACCCAGAGGGTTGTCCTACCGAGTTCCTAACCCAGGAGGGTTTGGACGTGCCCAAGCCAACCGGCTCTCTGGCCGACGAGATCCAATTCTACGGCTGGAAGCTGTACAAGTCATGCATCACTGCTACTGCTACTGTTACTGCCACCGACGTTGACAGATGCCCGTCCTATGCCGCGTCAGACTGGTGCGGCTTCACTACTGCTGCGCCGACAAGCGTCCTCCCGGCCTATTCGATATACGCTAGCCAGGCGTACTCATGGTGGATGGAGCATAGCTCTGCGCTTGTCTACATGAGGGACAATTGCCCTAATACTTGGGAGCATGGCCGGTGGCGTGATGGAGACGGCGAGAGGTGGATTCAAGACACCTATGTCGTTGGTGCATGCTATGCCGAAGCGCTTATGACTGCTGAGCTGGCGCCGACGGGGGTGGCTACGGGGGGGTCGAGCACGACGGAGCTGGCGGCTACGGGGGTGTTGATGACGACGGGGCTGGCGGTTACGGGGGCTTCGACCGCGACGAAGCTAGCGGCTACGACCCTCGCGGAAACGGCTGTGGGAAGCGCGACTCCGACATCGACGGACGCGCCGAGTGGTGGGATGGGACGCTTGAGCGCGGAGATGTGGGTGGCTGCGCTTGCGGGGATCGCTGCTGTTGCGGGAGGCTACGAGTGGTAGGGAGTGGGCATATTTGTGCGAGAGGTGCTGTATTGTATAGTTAGATACCCTAATTGGTGCGTGATGTATGCGTTGCTGCTCTAGATGCCTACGGTCCAAAAGTACAAGGCAGGCGTTAAGGGATACACATAAAAGGGCAGAAGCTCAACAGTAGACTATAGTGTATAGAATAAATGGATCAATTGAATTACCATACTAACTACGGGCCTACGTACATATTATATAGACCTCGGGCGGACCCACAAAGATGCCGACGAGCTAAAGGCTCTCAGCTTCAGTTGTGATGGAATTCAGTGGCTGCATACAGGGGCAGAAGCCACCACCGAACCCGAGCCAACCGCGGAGTCGGAGTGAGCGGCCAGGGAAACCTGCCATCTGAGGGCCAAATGCGCCTGTATCCCAAGGCTCATTCCCGAGTTCCCCAAATACAATCTAGGTTGCAGTACACCTACCATGGAGGAAAGGTGTCCTTCGTTGGGATCTCAAGTATCAAGATCTTGATTTATCTTTTATTCCTTTAACACTCAAGCTTCTAGCTCACACATTCTGTCTTGTGGTAGCTCCAATAGCCTGGCCAGAAACAGGTATCAAGAAATCACTCGCTGGCACTCGCCCATCAGCACCTCGAGCGCCCTTTAGAGTCGCCGAGTTGACACTCTTGAATGCACTATCAGACCAGTCTCCGCCAATCTGCCACGAGTTGCCCGATGCCACCACAGGTCCCGTCAAGCTAACCTGGGCATTGACGTTTTTGGTCGCGATGTTGGCAGTCATTGCTGACGAGGAGCTACGGAAGGTGAAGCCGTTGTCACCGTTATTCCATGCTGTGTTACGCTCAACCTTCAGGCTCCCTGGGTTCCCATTGTCGATGAATCCCTTCTTCGCATTGCCCCAAGCCATTGAGTTGCGCACAATATGGTTGGCGGGTGGGTTGTTCGTGATGCCGAGTTTGAATCCATTGCCGTCGCCATTGAAGTCGCTGAATCCCCAAAGGTTGAAGCCGTTGCCCCACGAGTATACCTCCTCAATTGTCACGGGCGATCCGAACATGTAGAGGTCGAGGCCATCGTCGACATTGTCCCACAGACGGGCATTACGAAGCACATTACCCTCCCCAGAGCCCTCCTTCAAGGCAAAGCCATCAGCAGACTCGCCATTTTTGCGAGGATCGCGGTTGCGGTAGGAGTCAAGGTAGATGATAGTGTTGTTAGAGGCGGTGCCCTGCATTTGAAAGCCAGATTCGTAATTATCATGAGTGGAGAGAAGTTCATAGTAATTATGAGAAGAGTCCCGAGAGTAGATACCATAGGGTCCGTTGATTAGTCTACTATGGTCAGTCTCTTCGTGTAATCAATGTGGCCATTGCAATTTACTCAAGGTTGTAAAACTTCCAGTAATTACCACCCTCAATATGCATGATGCCCCTTTCCTTGTTCGGCAGGGATTCATCTAGGCCGTAGGGGGTCCTAGTAACAGAAGTCAGATCATAGGATAAAAAGACTATCAAGAGCAAGACATACCCTGGCAGAGACTCGCCATCAAGGATGACCTTCTCTTTCTCATATGACCGGAGAGTAATGGGCGCCGTGCGGGTTCCGCTCTTCGTGATCTGGATATTCGTCGTCGGCTTATACGTTCCGGCACGTAGCAGAATGTTGTCACCGGCAACAGCGGCGTTCACGGCAGATTGGATGGAGCCGTACGGCGAGGTGGAAGTCCCGGAGCCACTGCCGGTTGGCGAGACGTAAATATCCTTGGCCTGGCTACCAGTGAACAAGACGGCCAAGAGAACGGCAGGACGCAGAAGGTATGTTTCAACCATCGTGAAGGTTAGATGGTCAATCGATTTGAAATACAAATATCAATCTTCTCCAATGTATCATCTTTTATTATTGAGCGCGCCAGCATGCAGAATAAATACTTTTCCAAAAACCCCAAGGTTCGATCCTTACCCCATGATAACAAATCCCCGCCATGACTTTGCTGTAAATTAAGGATGCTTCCACGTTATGCACGCTCTCCTCCTCTATTTCCACCAACTATTTATGTTCGCCTATAGTGCTGGGCCCTGGCAAATTTGCTAATGATGATCTTCCCAGGCGAAGACGGAGAATACGGCTCCGTCGGGGAATAAGAAAGCTTGGCCACTATAACAAGCAACTAATAATATAATTCTCCGCATTATGATCATATTTGACAATAGATATTTTCAGAAGAGATGAACATAATCCAGAAGATATATATAGGTCACGTGTTAATGAGAATTACGTTTGGAAAGTGGTTTCATATGCATCTTTCACGTCTCTTAGTTAGCCGGATGGCTCTATTATAGTCTATCCCTAGCCCTTAATTTAATAACTATTTCTTATAATAAGCGTTTGCGCTACCTAAATTTCTATTTTGAGACGGACATGCTTGCTAATACCGACGCACTCACCTATCTCTTGCATGTGGTGTTCTAAACGCTCGATGGGATGGAGTCTATACGCCCATCAGAGCAGTCGTCGCTTCTCGATACCAACAATTTAAATCCAGAATTTATTAGTGACTTATGGTCTGTGTGCCCGGGGTATCTAGATACCGCGCTCTCAGTTTTCGAACGTCACGGCCAGCCTTTTATACTGGTCAGCACCTTGGCGATGATATGGAGTGGCAGTAGGAATTCCCCACGGAAGGAGATCGATGTACTAGTTCGACCGACACATTTGCAAACCCTCGTAGATGGTCTTGTCGAAACTAATGACTGGGAAATCTCCGAAAACTATGGTCAAACCACGAGAAACGAAACTCATGTTCGGGACGCCTGGCTCAAAGCTACTTTCTTAGATCCACAATTTGAATATATCCGATTATGGCCAGAAGAACTGTACCACCTTTTTGTTGGCTGCCACAAAATCGAAGTATCTGATGTCTACGTACGAGACAGCGTGCTCCTCGAAGAAGAGTACCACCGGGACCCATGTCGACGCTTCGGGCCACCACTCCTTCGATACTTCGAAGAAAGGAATCTCCGTCTCTTGCTACCTATCCAAGCACGAGCTAAAATCATGAGGAGAGATATCCCCATCTTCATCCCCACGATCGAAGACCACCTCAACGCCCTCCTTGACCAGCGCAGAGAACAGATCAGGACTAACCTTGACAATGGAGGAGCCCCAGAGTGGCAAGTCAGGAACTTCATCCGTTGTCTTTTTCTCGACTGGAAGCCAGCGAGGAATTGGATCTTGAGCACGAAGGTTAAGGAAAGAAACCGAGAATTGATGGCGGAGAGGATTGATAAGTATCGGAGGAAGCCTTTACTGAAACCCGTCCGTACTATGGCAGAAATCAAGGTTCTTAGTTATATGCCTTGGGAACGACCCATCATGCCGGAGTCTCAGTATCTTGCGGGGGGAGGCTGGGAATCTACTGATATTCAGAATTAGAAGCCAAGTGATCACCGACGATAAAAATTGCGGTTGAGAGATCCTCTCGCCCATCATTCAGAGCTGATGGCCGACAAAATAACTTGCAGCTTGCGATTTAACATTAATGGGGCGGACTCTGGCCTCCACAATCTGCAGATCTATGTTTAAAAAAATATTAATCCCCAAAGACCGCCCAGACGTCGAAAATTTTCATTCTCGGCAAGAACTTCACACACACAACAACCAAAATATCAAAAATTGCAAAATATATACACTCCGAATTGGAGCTTCTTAATTGAAATGCATCAGCCGTGAATCGAACACGGGGCCCATCGATGGCAACGATGGATTTTACCACTAAACCACTGATGCTGTACTGATGTGGAGCCTGCCTTGTTCCGGTTATGTTGTCCATCCACAGATAAAGTGGGCTCGTTAATTTCTCCTTGAAGATGCCGCCCGCGTGGTAATTAATTACTTATGTGTGTACAGTAATCCATAACGTTTTTGCCAGCAACTGTCACTTTCATATCCATACCATAGGCAAAACCAGAGTGCATTGCATAGATTCAAAACCGCCTCAGATTCATTTTTCAAAATATAGAGCCTCGAAGTATATTTGCACCCACAAGTCTAAGGATAGGCTGTCGTATCTGGGGATCGATACTAGCAATTATCGCCCAAGGTGAGACTTGCAGTTGCTGCAAACATAGGCGGATATGCAGAATCCTTGACTAGACTTTCAGCCACCACACCTTATTCTACTTTCTAATAACTTTAGAGTGCCCACCTGGCCACAGCTTTGGGCAAGAGATGACGCCGTCATGCTGTACCGAGTATTGACATAGTCGATGTCGATGTTAGGAGCAGCAAGCAACTGTCCTACAATGGCCTCATACCCATTAGACGCAGCATACATGAGTGGGGTATTGCCGGAACTGTCTGTCATATTAACGTCAATGCCAGGGGCAGCGAGCAACTGCCCTACAAGCCCGTTGTACCCCTCACATGCAGCAAGCCAGAGTGGCGTGTGGCCGTCCTTTCCAGCAGCATTGACGTTAATACTAGGGGTAGCGAGCAGCTGGGCTATAATTGCCTCATAACCCCAATATACAGCATGCCAGAGTGGTGTTTGTCCATCCTTGTTAGCAGCATTAACATCGATACTAGGGGCAGAAAGCAGCTGGCCTACAACCTCATCGTCCCCCTCACTTGCAGCAATAAAGAGCGGCGTTTGTGCGTCCTTGTTAGCAGCATTGACGTTAATGCCAGGGACGGCGAGCAGCTCGCCTATGACAACCTCATTACCATATCTCGCAGCCAACCAGAGCAGCGTTTCGCCGTTCTCGTTAGCAGCATTAACAGCATTGTCGATAATACTTGGAGCAGCGAGTAGTTTCCCTATGACCCCCTCGCGCCCATAACTTGCAGCAGAGATTAGCGGCGTTCGGCCGGACTTGCTAGCAGCATTAACGTCAATACCAGGGGCAGCAAGCAGCTGGTCTAGAATTTCCTTACTCCCCCTAATTGCAGCACAATTGAGCGCCGTTATACCTGCTCCCGTAGTTGCAATGTTGACTTTAATTCCAGGGGCAGCAAGCATCTGGCCTACTACGTCCTTACGCCCCATTCTTACAGCCTGCCAGAGCGGCGTTATGCCATCCGCACTTTCAGCGTTAATATCAATGTTAGGGGCAGCAAGAAGCTGAGCTACCACTGCCGCACGACCTTGATCTGCAGCCTTCCAGAGCGGCGAGACGGCGCTCTCCCAAGTGCCACACCAGCTCTCCCAGTTGGGGTCGAAGATGTTATCAGCAGCATTAACGTCAATACCAGGGGCAGCGAGCAGTTGGGCTACGGTTGCCTCATAACCGCGACTTGCAGCTTCCCATAGCGGCGTCTTGCCGGCCGTATTAGCAGCGTTAACGTCAATACCAGGGGCTGCGAGCAACTGGCCTACGATGAGTCCTTGTCCACAATTTTGGGCAGCACATGCAGATGGGATATAGAAATAGACATACTCAACAACAGCATCGCCAGGTTCAGCCACGACCTTCATCCCGATAGATCCTTCCGTGGAGTACAAGTCGGGCTTGTGTGCCAGAAGGGTTGCATCGGCCGCCGGAACTGTTCCCTTCGGTGTAGTCGCCGCCTCAGCCTCGACCTTGTCCCTCCGGAAGACCCCTCTATTTTTAAATAATTTCCGCATTGATTATTGTTTGTCTAGAAATAGATCCAGGGATTTGAGCGCGGCGATATCTTCGGGTTCCTTAGGGACAATTTGACGTTGTTTCAGCTCTGCGCGACAACGTGGGCATCCAACATGCACCAGGTGCGCGCCTGGCCACTAACGCGGGGTATCCCTGCTCGGCTGTGCTTGATACGACATGTATGTGTATTTATATCACTCTTCCTCAAAAGAACAGAAGAGAGAAAAAGTAAGAATACAGGCGAGATAATGGAGAGAGAAAAGAGGAAAAGGCAGAGCAGAGGATCAAAGGGAGAACTGATAGAACGAATGAGTGGACCGGAGAACCAGAGAGCCAAACAAGAAGACAGAGAGAAACCCCAAACCTAGAATACTCTGGTGGCGTGACATAGCCTCCGAGTCAATGCTAATCAGCATCGATATATTCTTTTTCTTGACTGCGCGGTTGATGATGTTGTTGAATGAATGTGCAGTGAGATCTCAGCTGCTACCCAGTCATATATATAGTGAAACGGATCACGTCAGGAACTGTTCAATTCCCACGGGTTCTTCGGTGGCCGTTTACGTTGTTTAGACCAATCGCTAGAGTGTATATTGCAGGTATGTATAATATGCCAGATTTTGTACGTAAGATCAAGACATACCTACCGATTTAGACCTAAAGTCGAGGCCTATGTTTTGTGGCATCCCCGGCATGAATGTTCCGAGCCCCCGTCCTGTACCGAAACCTCAAACGGCGGAGGCGGCGACGGCGTGGCTGATATCGATAGGCGACCATATCAACATTACTACAACGCTCTAACCTCCACAACATTACTCCTCTGTATACACATCTTTCGTTATCCTACTCATGAGGGCGCCACTACGCCATCTGGAGCCCCCATTCTCCTAAGTACGCTTTACAACTCGAGCGCGCTCTCACACAAACAAGCTTCAAACGGAGAGCCATGTTCAGCCTCAGCTCCCTCGTGAAATCCGCGCAGACCCTCATCGATCCGACCCAAGCACTCAACCTATCGTCTTCTGATCGGAATCCCGCAAAATCTACTCTCTTCCGCAGCCAATTCCGCCTTCCTGACTCCGAGAACCCTCTCCAGGAGATCACTGCTGAGCTTACCGTCAGCCCCGCCGTCCAGTATGCCGCAAACGTTACACAGCGCGAGAAAGATAAGGATAGGGATCGCGGATACCACTATGCGGGCAAGCTCCATCTGAGCGAAAGCTACCTCTGCTTCTCGACCCAGCCGACAAGTTTCCTGCAGACGGCGAGCACAACCACAAGCTCGGGGTTTAATGGGCAAACACACGGGGCTGGACCTGGAGGGAACGGGTTTACCCTGCCGCTGTGCGCGATTCGGAGGGTAGAAAGACTGCATAGCCAGAGCTACCAGGTAATTATGTGTATACCCGTCTGTCAGAATAGACTCTAACAAACTACAGTTTGCCCTTGCTATCACTACCTGGAATGGGATGGGCAGCGCTGCCTCGAAAGACTCCTCGAAAGCTTCACCTTCGCTACAAAAGATTACAGTGCAATTGGCCGGAAGTCGTCAACAATGCGAGCGGTTTTGTGATGGTTTAAAGAAGGGGCTCAAGGGTGCAATCGGCGAGGTGGGAAAGCTGAAGAAGGTGGTCGCAGAGTGTTATTCGGAGTTTCTCCTCAGGCCCGACCCGCAGAAGGAGGACCCAGCGCCAGATGCAGGTCTGGGCATGAACGCAGAATTCAAATATCCGGGTGATGCGAGGAAACTGAGGGATAGGAGTAAGATGCGCCTGTGGGCAGAGTACCTGAGAGAGAACGGGAGGAACGTCACATTAATACGACAACCTACATTCCATAAACTTGTGAGGGTGGGCCTGCCGAATAGGCTAAGGGGAGAAATATGGGAATTGACAAGTGGGAGTTTATATCTGCGCCTTCAATCGCCAAATCTGTTTGAGGATACGTTATCAAAGTTTGAAGGCAGGGAGTCCTTGGCCATCGACGAGATCGAGAAGGATCTGAATCGAAGCTTACCAGAATACCCTGGATTCCAGAGCGAACAGGGGATCGAGCGGTTACGAAGAGTTCTGACCGCCTACAGTTGGATCGACGAGGAGGTTGGGTACTGCCAGGCGATGAACATCGTGGTTGCAGCTCTTCTGATTTATATGTCAGACGCGCAGGCATTTTACTTACTTTCGGTCCTGTGTGACAGGTTACTTCCTGGATACTACTCAACAACGATGTATGGCACACTCCTTGATCAAAGGGTCTTCGAATCGCTTGTCGAAAAGACAATGCCAATCCTTTGGGACCACCTTGTGAAGGCGGACGTACAGCTTTCCGTTGTTTCACTTCCATGGTTTCTATCGTTGTATATCAACTCCATGCCTTTGGTATTCGCCTTCCGAGTCCTTGATGTCTTCTTCCTGGAAGGCCCCAAGGTTCTGTTTCAGGTTGGATTGGCTATTTTACGAATCAACGGCGAGGAGCTTCTTGACGCCACGGATGATGGAGCCTTTATTTCTGTGCTGAAGACGTATTTTGCAACACTGGACGAATCGGCACATCCAAAGTCGGAAAACCCTAAACTTCGAGCAGTCACTCGCTTCCAGGAGCTTATGGTTGTTGCGTTTAAAGAGTTCTCGGCGATTACCCAGACGACCATCACCGACGAGAGAATGCAGCACAAGGACACCGTTCTAAACAACATAGAAAACTTTGCTAAGCGGACTTCGATTCGCAATCTCGGTCCTGATAGTAAGCGCCTAAGCGTGGAGGAGCTTGGTGCATTATACGATAGATTTTACGGCATCTTATATGAGCGACAACAGCGTGCACAGATGATACAAGAGGAAGTAGAGAGACGCGCCAAGGCGCTGAAGAGTAAGACGTCGGAATTGGTGTTCAGCGACAGGCAGAGCATCGAGAAGGGCCGTGTTGGGTTGGGCCCAAGTCCAACCCTGATGGACTACGATGGCTTCCGAGAGTTCCTTGCCGGGATATGTCGATGGGCGGTATCGGATGCGCCAACACCACCTGAGAAGGATACACCCAGAGAGCAATCATATTTTGGCAGCATACGGCGTAGGGAGAATTCACTTTCGCCATGGGGTGCAGGAAACCCTGTGCCAGCCGATCACGAGTTTATGCAGAGATTATTTAGGCGGTGGGATGTGGATATGAACTCAGCCCTAACGTTGTCGAATGTTGTTACGGGCCTTGCACATATAAAGGGGACGCGTGATATTATGGGCAGCATCACATATTTCTTTGAGCTTTACGATGACGACGGTGATGGAAAGGTCGACCGAGAAGGGATTCTAAGGATATCAGAAGCTTTGCTCTTCCTCTCGAGACGCGGGTTGGAAGGCTCATTGACACCGTCTGGGACACATGGCTCAACTCCGCTAGAGGGCCCTCACGGAACATCTAATGAACGATTCCTAAGCAGTGTAAGTGCATTTATCAGGAGGTGCTTCGAGTACGCCGACCCAGATCATCCTCAGAACCAACAAGAAGTCGCCGAGGAGACCGACGACGATGATATGCCACAACCTGATTCTTTTGGCATAGGGGACGACTCCGACGAAGAGGAGGACCTCCTCGATTTAAGCCCTCCCGAGAACGGCATGAGCAAGAAACTTCCCAAAACGCCTGGCAACAAGCGTAGCTCCCAACGATCAGTGTCTAAGCAACAATCCGAGGCCGCGAACGCAGCCCTCGATCCATCCAACCCTCTCCACATCACCCTCCCCACCTTCCGCATGGTAGTCCTCGCCGACGAGCTACTAGAGCAGTTCTTCGAGTCATCCTTCCCAGCTTCCTTCCACACCCTCGACTCCGCCAACGACGCCGTAGTCACACGCTCCTCGAACCTAACCACCTTCGCCAACCTGGGCTTTGCGCGCGCCCCTAGCATCGTGCCGGGTGTTGGTGGCTCGGGATCAGCTGGTGCGGTGCCTCCTGGAAAGGGGCTCCGAGGTGTGCTAGACAATATTGTGACGGATGGTATGAGAGTCGCGGCTGAGGTGCGACGCAGAGTCGACGAGGCGCAGAAGGATATCGAGAAGAATGCTCTGCAACGTGATGAGGACGAGGATGAAGACGAGGTCGAGGACTATAGCAAGCCGAGCCCGAGCGCGTATACAGATCGGAGGTCTGTGAGGTCTGAGGATCGCGATTTGTTAGAAGGTGCGGATGCGGAGGCGGGGAGTAGTAGGGGAGGTGGTGTTGGGGAGGTGTCGATGGATGACTTGAAGGTTCCAACTAGCAGTGCGTCGCGCTCGAGGAGCGCGAGCACGGCGTCGGGGAAGAGTCGGGTGGTGGAGTTTGAGCAGTGAGTCTTGTTAGCGGGTGCGTGTTGATTTATGATGGCGATCCGAGACTGCGGGGCATGATGACGCATGGGCTGGCGTCGAGAATGGCGTTTGATTCCTGTGGAGTAGAGTATGAAGGACGACGATTAGGTATAGAACCATGTAACTCAAATACCAGCACTTCACATTCATTTACCTTCAACGAGCCGACGACTATAGCAGTCGCATCTTTTCCCACTTGCTCATTTAATGCCACTTGAAATGCATTATTAACATTCAGGCCTGTTAACATATCCGGTTAATAATATGAATGTAGCTATTCGTTAGTTTAATTTACAAAATATAAATAATTTAACTATTATAATTAATTATTTTCGACCAGTGTTCGGCAGATCGTGATCCGGATCTGATCCGTAGCCCTCACGGGTCAGATCATGATCCGTCTAATATCTAACGGATATATCCGGATCAGATCCGGATCTCTTAAAAAATGAGGCTTAAAATATATACAGATAAAGCGTCTTTGCTAGAATTAATTATACATTTATTATGCAGCCTTAGCTATTAATTATACGTTTATTATGCAGCCTTAGCTATTCTTGGCTATTCTTGGCAATATCCGTATGATCCGGATCTATCCTCGGATCTCACGGATACGCCAAAATTATGACGGATAGGATAGATCCGGATCATGATCC